TAAAATGTGAAATTAACTGAAAAAAACCTATAGATTGTTAGTGATATGTTATGCATAATTCTTTTTACAATCTTAGTTCATTCCTATCCAAAAACTAGTTACTTGTTAGTGCTTAGGCAGGCCTACCAATCGTATGCCAAGTGAAATTAGAAGTAAATTATTCACTGTTGATTCGTTTTCGTAAAAGGCCTCGCATCGAGTAATGGCAGTTTTCCCACGATTGTTGTTCTTTTATTCGTTTGCACAGGCATTTTCAGGCAGTACGGAGACGCTTGAAGCAGACGCGGGTTCTTCCATTGCCAAGCCACAAGATGATTCCAAAGACGCTGTGAACTGGGTATATGACTTACTAGGCCTACATCAAAATACTACCCTATCAATCGTTTAGTGAAATCACAAATATTAAAGTTCAATTTAAAGTAATTGTACTATTGCCACTTCTTATTTAATGATGTTTACACAGTCTTTTTTTGTACGACTTCAATTCAGAAACCCCAAACTTTCCAAGTTCTACACGAAGCTGAAAAGGTCAACAGGACTCAGCTCCACATCTTTGAGCATGGTTGCGGTAGAAGTTCACGCCAGTTAATAGTTCCCATGAAACGGGTGCAAATTCTGATTGATCCAGTTACAAAGACAGCTTGGGGGATGGCTATAGTTTGCTTGGAGCTTCCGGCTGGGCCTTTATATAGTTACAAGTATGCTGAAATCAAAGAGAAAGGAATTTTCCATCGTTCCATAGAATTTATGTTTATGTCAGAGTATTCTGCATCTGTCAATTGGGAGCTACAATACAGAACATTAGAGGAATGTGTTGATTGTTGCGAAGATGTCTTTCAAGATGGGTCTTCCATAGCACATCAAAAGTCATTCATGGGTCACCTACTATATGAGCTGGAGCTATACAGTTCCGTGACCGACGCGAATTTGGTCCGGGTTCTCAATAATAAGCATTCCCAAAAGCTACACGCATTGAAAGAGCATATACCAAACGAATATCGTAAGGGTGTGCAGTCAAATATCATAAACCTAGTCCAAAAAAGCGAGTGCTCATCAGATGCTATGGTGGTTTTCCTTGCAAGGCTGTTGGGCAACATTTCAATCACGGGTGAGATGCGTAGTCGGAATATCGCGAAAAAAATACTTGATGCGTTTCAAAGTTCTGTTCAAATAATCACTCCCTTTCTGTTGAACGCAGAAAATGAGATGTCATGCGATCTTGAAAACATCGCTGTTGATTGCACACGGTCCCTTGAAGGCAGCTGGTTGCATCTCGTATTTTACACGTACCCAGCAATAAGCGCAAAACAGCTGTGCACGTACCACAATTCATGGGAAAATGCAGCCAGCAAATTGCTGGATCCAGTGTCTCAGGGGAAAGTCCTGTCCCGCTGCTGCAAAGACATAACAAAAGATGGAGAAACACTAGTCAAATACGTTTTCCAGAGCATCACACATGTAAATGTGCTCCTTCGAGCTTTAAAAGAGGATTCTCCCGCCTTCAAGGACTGTCAAGGACAGTACAAATCGTGGGTAAAAAGTGCTATCCAAACGCAGATAGAGTCTCCAGAAGGCTTGCGTGAATTCTTGAAAACAATTGCTGAAATCAACGAGCCTACAATGAAATTGCTGGCTCAAGAAATTGTTCTTGAACTACTTGCTCAAAACTGCAAATGGTTCGAAGATGATGCAAAGTTTATGGAAACTTTGCTTTCCGATGATGCATTTTGGGACACACAACCTCCTGACTACATTGCCAAAAAAATGTTTACGTTTCTCTGGGATGTACTTATACAGGGAAACCGTCAAATCTGTGTTGATAGCTTTCTTAAAGTCATGATCAAGAAGTGGGTTACCAACTGGTTGAGCCTTAAACATCTCGGGCAATTGGTCGAGAAGGGATTTGACCAACAGTTACGAACTGAAGGGCATCCGCGAGACATCGTACACAAAATGTACCAGTTTCTCGACTCAGTGCACTCCACCCTATGGATTCAACAGTTACCAGAATTGGTTGCCTCTATGAATAACGAAGCGCTGGAATTCATCCGAAACCATGAAGAACTCCGCACACTCGTAGATATAGTTTTTAGGAGAGAGACGTGTCATGGCAAAGAACAAGAAATGGCGACCTCACATATAGTTCAGATGATCAAAGTGAAGGAGGTGACGTCCACAACCATCTATGAACTAATTTCGCCATTCACACAAGACGGCCAAATAGAGCTTCATTCGAAGTAAGTTTGAAAAGAATATTCGTGAGAAACACAGACAAATACTTGAGCTCTTTTCCGTATCCTATTTTCTAAGTAGAACACGCATTATCAAAAAAATTCCTCCTCCCCCACCATTACGGCATTGGAACAATTATTGGCAACACTTGACAACCGTAAGAATGTATTTTATATTGGGTTTGACCTTCGAAAGCCGACCGTAGACGTAGCCAGCAAGGGGGGGGGGGGTTAAGGGGGGTATTCCCCCCCCCCAATATTTTGTAAAGACTGCCCATTTCCATTCAAATGCCCTTTTTTTTACCAGCGCTCACAGTGCCCTTATTTTGTTAACAAGTGCCCATTTTACTAGTGACATTTTCTCTCTTTTTTTTTTTTTTTTTTTTTTTAAAGTCGTGCTCTTTTTGGTGCCATCGACCGTTACGGGTGCCTTTTTTATTTTCCCGCATGTACCGGCCTGAAAAAGCACCATATATTGTCAGTCAGTGTGCATAATCGTCGGTTTTCGACAGATGGTACCAGCCCCCCCCCCCCCCCCCTCCCCCAACTATTTGGTTTCACGGAGGCTAAGTGTTCGGAAGAAAAAAAAGAACGTGTGTACATTTCAGCACGAATACATGTGCAAGTGCCTTTTTCAAGAATTCCCCCCATAACAATTACCTTGCTACGCCCCTGTCGAAAATTTTTAAGCATTGTAATATAATAAATTGAAATAAGACTGAATGGAGAGTATACAGCGTGTCTCGGTTGCAAGACCGATTGACGGGTACGGAGTTTTCACGTTTTCCACATGGCCTCCATGGTCACCACAATCTAGAAACCAGGACGTATGGATTCCGTGCATGAACAGTTATTCCAAAGCGCTTCTTGACCACTCGTGAGTGGTCCGTTGGAGGGACAAGTGACGTGCTCTCTGGTGCGCACGCTTATGGTACGGAGTGCACACATTTCATTTTACTATGAACGTGCACAAACCTGTTTCGTTTTTGGGAGAGCGCCAGGCGACAGCAGCAATGCGATTTCTCTATCCTCCTCCTTTCGCATCCAGCCTCTTTTTAACCGAGTGAGGAGGCTCTTGTGCACGGAGTCCATTATGAATTTTTCCTGTGACACGTCGGGATTCAAAACATTTCTGGTGACTGACTGCCCAAAATCTCTTTTCTTCCTTTTTTGTTCAATTTAAAAAAAGGTGTGTTGTGGATGTACTGACGGCCTCCATCGATTTAGTTCCTCGAGTGCAAAACGATGTGTTCAACATTCTGGACAACTTCAGCTTTTGGCAGCTTATTTTCAAGGCTAAAGAGACGGGTGATTACGTACTGCAAAACAACGCGAGTTACAAGGCGGCCACTGCTTGTCTCGAGTCTGTTGAGAAATCATTTCTGAATATGTCGGTAACCGTGAAGTTTGTCAACAGGTTGTTGAAAGGAGGTTCTATCGACAAGCTATTGTCACTTTGTCGGATTGTCAATATTCACCCAGATGAAACTACTGCCACAAAGCGTGATCAGTCTTTTCATGACAAAATGGCAATTATAGATAGGCATGCACAGCAACTTGGTCAAATTGAAGGGTTTGTAACGTTTTACAAAACGTTGGCGAGGAACGCGTGCCGAACTGATTTGGAGAAAATCCAAATGGAGGTCAATCGCAGAAAGGACGATGCTAGCCCTGAGAGTGATGCATGTTTCAAGGACCTTGTGTCCATAAATTACTGGGGCGTTTTACGGCCGATCCTCGAAACTGGCGAAGAGGTAAAGATGATTACAAGGTCGAAGATGTTCTTCAATATTTGCTCTAGGGACTTTGAGTCTGAGGGTCGCGGCGCGCCAAAAAGCTCTACCTGTGAATTCACGTCTGACAATAAAGAAGATGCGTCATGTGATACTTCTGGTACCTCTGAACTTGACATTGCAAGTGAGAGCGGAGAAAAACCAGCGCAGATAGCTTCATTTGCTGAACTGGTCATATCAAAGAGCCTGCCATTCTTCAAAACGCTTTGTTCCGATATTGTCGAGGGATGTCACAAAATAACAGCAGGCCAAATCACATGTTTGCTCGATGGTGTTGACGAGAGAACACTTGCTTTGGAGTTAGACAAACTGTCCAGATTTGCTGGCAAGCCCATCAGTAAAAAATCCGAAGAATGTGTTAAAAGTTGGGAGAAGCTTGAAATGACAAGAGAGTACGCAACACAGTTGCAGTGTCTTTTCCGAACATTTAAAATACCCGAACATGGGAAATCCGACCTCCTTCAGGATGTCCAGATTGTGGTCAACATTCTTGAGTCTGCTAATGCGACGGTCCTCCTGAAAAAGCTCCATCCTGCAATAAGGAAAGTCGAAAATGTTCATAACAAGTTCAGCAGTGACGACTGGAAGCCTATAAGTGAGCTGATACACTCTGATCAGTTAATTCAGTTTCTAAAGCCAATCAGAGATGAAGATCTGCGAAATCTTATCGATGCGGTCGAGGAGAGGTCCGATTCTTTCGTCAGTGAATCAACTGTTTCAGATCTTATTGACGTTCAACGGTTCATTGGGCCTTTCCTAAGAGTTGAGATACTCGACACACCAGATAAGCTTATCGATGCCCTTCATGAGAGTAAAAAGCTTGGCATTAAGAACATTTCTGAGAAGATCGAAAAGTGCAACCAGCATTTCCATGCTCTTAAGAATCTGTACACCAATATTGCTCAAAGGGGAGAAATGACAAAGAAGATAATTCTCAATGCGTTGACGAAGGGTTTGTTCAGCTTTGTCCTGAAAAGGGATGAAATTTGCCAAGTGACTATGAGCTATATGAGGGACGATATGACTGTGGCAAAATTTGAGCAGGATGAGCTGAATGACTTGCGTAGTAGAGCTTTGTTGATGGTTAATTCAAGATTGTCTTATGAATCGGCGAGACAAGGAGGAGAATGTTGTTCGTCTAAACAGCTCCAACAGTTTATCCAATGTGTTGATGAAGTAAATGAGATCGTCGAGCTTTGCTCGGGGCTAGCAAATGCTGGTCACTACAACTTCAAGAGCTTTCAACGAAGTGTAAGAACTCTACATTTTCTTCTTAGTCTTAAAAGTACCCAGAAGACTGAGTTCCAACACTGGAAGAACATATTAGATGGCGAAAGGAGTAAATTCCACTACTTGAACTTTTTCCATTCAAGACAACTGTGGATGCTCGACCAGTTTTTCAGAGGAGAAAATGAAAATGATGTTGACATTATGAATCTTTTCCATTATGTGAATGCCGGAATTAACGTGAGCAGTCATCTGAGACAATACTACGAACAACCGAAAGATAGTGCTGATGTGGAGGCTCGTTTGGTTGAGACAGGTAGAGCTCTAAACAAGATCTTTTTGGACTGCATGTCTAAAGACAGACGTATTAGGCCTATGAGTCTCAAAACAGCGCAAAAAGCTACATTCGACAACACAGTACAACCTGGTAAGGTTTTCGTAGCAGAATTGAAAAAAGACAGCAAAAGTTCGATTCCAGTTCTCATGATGCTTATGAGAAACACAACAGGCCATTACCCCCAGGCAAGCCACGTTCTGTTTTGCCATTCGGAAACAACTTGGGAGGAGGTCTACCTTCTGCTACGACGATGTCGCAATGCATCGCAAAATAAGTCAAAGACACTTTATGCTCTCATCAATGTGGAACAACTGGCAACAGAGATTCAGTTTTCGTTGGTGGATGAAGTAAAAGGTCTCCAGCAAGACGATCAGTCCTTCTTTCTGGCTATCATTTGCCGCGGCGGTTACCATCATCATATTATTGATCAATTTTCTCCACATTTCACACATCAAATTCAGGGAATGACGGCGAATGAGATGAGAGAATGTCTCGAGCAGGGATGGCCAAATGTTGAAGTGATCACATCTGAAGTCCCTGGACTGGGAAAGTCGGAGTACATAGCCAGCAGAGCAGCAGAGCAAGATAAGAATGCCATTTGTTTTGAGATTGGAGGGCCGGTGACAAAGAGGGAATTAGTTCAGCAGCTTCTTCAAAAGTCTTCATCCGGGTTCCAAGTACTACACGTTGACATAAGACCGACGTCTGATCCAAGCCTAGTCGATTCTTTCATTTTCGAACTGTTGGTTATTGGGATGGTTGTGTCAGGTACACATTTGTGCGAGTTGAGGTATGATGAGGTCTTCATTGAGATTTCAAACACGCAGCAGCACCACCTTCGCAACTCTTTGACAAACTGCAGTTATTTTAACAGACGTCACATAGAATGGGACAACTACGACAGTTACCTAGTAAGCACAGACATAAACAGCCCCGTCCAAGTTGTTTGCCACTATCTCCAAGCATCTGAAAATGAGGTACTTGATTCAAACGAGATACATTTGACGGGACCTGTAAAAGCCGAAATCCTCCCCGACGTTCAATGCAAGCAGCTTTTGAAGGATCATTTTTCCCTGAAGTCTAAAATGGCATTTTCCACCGTCAACATCTTTCTGAACGTCCTTGCTACAGAATTAAAGAAGATGTCAGCATCTCAATTCTTTAGTACCAAAGGTCTGCAGGACATGTTAGGGGCAGGTCCACATCGAGTACGATCTGATGTTTTCAATGCCCTTGATGCAGTTGCAAAAGAGTTTTCGTCACGCTCTGTGGAATCAAGTGATACGAAACAACCGACTGGGAGGGATGCGGATAAAGTTTTGAGTGCGCATACTCTGGGTCCGTCTGTTACCGCAGAAAATATGGTAGAGCGTGTCAAGGGCATGGTGCAGTGGGCAGACAGCAATCATCTGATAGTCGTATTCAATCATTCAGACACACAAACGCTATCTCCCCTATACCGTCTGCTCAATCAAGTTCCTGAAAGTGTCAAGGACCTATTTGAAAAACAACTGAAAAAGGAGCTTCCAGACTATCAGAGCATCGAAAAAGTCCAGCTGCAAAACGTCTTAGAAAAAATATGCAGGGACACGCGTGACCCATTCCCTAAAAGCAAGCTTGGCCACCTGAAAGAATCCTACGCTCTTACACCTGACAACTTGATGAAGATGGTGTTGATTCACATGAGGGTTAAGTCACGAGTCCCAGTTGTCATCATGGGTGAAACGGGATGTGGTAAGACCACTCTTATCACTTTCCTAGCTCGAGTTTGTGAAGTTCAATTCGAGGTTATGAATTTTCATGCAGGCGTTTCTAAACGGAATATAATTGACTTCATTACCAAAATGCAGAAAGACGCCGAGGATAACCTTGATCACGATATATGGTGCTTCCTTGATGAAATAAACACTTGTGATCACCTGGGACTACTGAGTGAGATCATCTGTCATCAAACGTGTCTAGGCGAACGCCTACCACCGAATCTGGTATTCCTTGCAGCCTGCAATCCTTATTCGCTGAGAAAAGGAGAGTCTCATACATCAGGTCTACAAGGGAAGCTAACTGTTGACGAACAGTCAAAGTTGGTATACAGAGTTCATCCACTTCCAGAAGCCTTGATGGACTACGTCTGGGATTATGGTGCACTAAACGCAAAAGATGAAGAAGCATACACTCACCGGATGGTCAAAGACATCGGGAAAGACTTGGCTGCACTCTTTGTTGACTTGTTGAGTATGTCGCAAAATTTCATCAAGCGTAACACGAACAACAAGTATTGCGTGAGCCTTCGTGATATCAAAAGGTGCAATGATCTTGCTAAATGGATGAACAACATGTTGAAGGAGAAAGGCCTTGCAAAACTGAACAACGATTTCTGTTGTGACTATGAAGTGAGAGCTATCATCCTTGCACTCTCCCACTGCTATCATTCACGATTATCTTCATCCGATGACCGAAAGCTGTACAGAGAAAGCGTAGCCAAAATCTGTAAAAAGAAGTATCCTCCTTTTACGGAGGAGCAGATAGAAGAGGTCATAAGAAAAGAGCAGCTGGACATTCTGAATAGGATGGAACTCGAGGAGGGAATAGCCAAGAATGAGGCCCTGAGGGAAAATGTGTTTGTTGTCCTTACTTCCATCCTTAATAGGATTCCTGTGTTTTTGGTTGGAAAACCAGGTTGCAGCAAGTCACTTTCATTGCAACTCATCCGCAGTAATCTCAGGGGACCAGACTCCAAAGATAAGTACTTCAAGACACTGCCAGCTGTCTATATCGTTTCCTATCAAGGATCAGAGTCATCAACATCTGAAGGGATCATAAAGGTCTTTGAAAAGGCAAGACGCTACAAGGAGGCTAATCCAGACATCTTACCAGTTGTCCTCCTAGATGAAATAGGCCTGGCGGAAAAGTCCTCCTTCAATCCACTCAAGGTTCTGCACAGTTTGTTGGAACCTAGCACGGGTGACTTCCCTGAGATGGCTGTAGTTGGAATATCTAACTGGGCACTCGATGCTGCAAAAATGAATCGAGCTGTTCACCTGTCCAGGCCAGAGCCTAGTGAAGATGATTTGTTTGAGACGGCGAAGTCAATCCGAGATGAGAGTGCACAACGAAGAGCTTCTGAGACGGATGCATACAAACCGAGAGATGACGAGAAGTTGAAAAAGCTAGCCAAGGCATTTTTAGACCACCAGAATAACCAAACACATGCAAACTTCCATGGCTTGAGAGATTATTATTCTCTCATCAAAAGCATGACAATGCCACCTACCACATTAGAAAGTGGGCTTCGTCGAAACTTTGGAGGAATTCGATCAGATATGCCAAAAATAATGAACACATTCACGAAAGCATTGAATGTTGTTCAAAATACTGCAAAGCACCCGTCAGCTTTAGACCTGATCAAAGACAACCTAGCAGACAAACATGCCCGACACCTCATGCTGATCACCAGTGGAGACTCTGCGCTGAGCATCATAGAGAAGGTATTGTTTAAGTTAGAAAAGAAGCCCATAATTCTCCTCGGAAGCAGATTTAATGATGACATATCAGAAGAATACAACTACCGTATCCTGAGTAGGATCATTCTGTGTATGGAAGAAGGTTGTGTTCTTGTGCTCCGTGACTTGGAGAATGTGTACAGCAGCCTGTATGATATGCTGAATCAGAACTACACGCTTGTAGGCAAGAAGAGACACTGTCGTGTGGCTTTAGGGGCCTACAGCAACCCGATGTGTCAGGTACATCCAGACTTCCGTTGCATAGTCATCATCGACCAGCAGAATGTGGACTACTCAGATCCTCCCTTGTTGAACAGATTTGAAAAACAGACGCTAACGTTCATGGATATTGTAAGTGATGTGGAGGAGCGAGCGATTGACATTTTGCGTAAGTGGGTTGAGGACATATCAACAGTAGAAGAAATGCAGTTTACTCCAAGTCAAGCTTTCTTGGGTTATCATAGTGATACCCTTCCCTCTCTGGTTGCTTTTCGCTGCCAAGAGATGAGTAGTCAGACTATGGACTTCAGAGAAATTGCGGACACCTGTAAGCAAGACCTGCTGAAGATTGCGTCAGTTGATGCAGTTCTCCGAGCATCAAAGTCACAGTTGGTAATTGATGAACAAGAGGAAGTACTCTGCATCCAAAAGAAGTACCTAGATCTTCCACTTAACGGTGGACTAAAGTATTTCCTTCAACATGCTATCTTTGAGCAAGCTCCCTCTGCATCATTAGTAGATGGTAAATTCCAGATACGTCCATGTAAGCTGATAGTGTATACTTACTCTACTATTCACGTTGACTTGACCCAATGTGTGGATGGTTTGTTCAGAATGCAAGCTGCAAAACTGAGTCAGTTCAAATCAGAGAGACAGCTTACAGAAGCACTGCAACGATTCGGCATGAGCAATGATCAGCTTTTCATTCTTCAGTGCAAAACATCTCTAGACGCACAGCACATGCTTTTGGCCAAATGTCATATTGACAAATATTTAGAGGAGTATAGGGAAGCAAGGTCTCCCCAAGAAGTGAAGCACCTTTGTATTGTAGTTCATGTAGAAAGGGATCAGGAGGTTGGCGGAATGACCTCGACCTTTCCGTGGCAGTTCAACTTCCTGTGTGGTTGGCAACAAGTCACACTTGATTCACTGGAACAACCAAAGCTTCAAGTTGCCGAAGTTATCAACATGTCCATCTCTGACGTCTGTGCCAAGTTAATTGACATTGACTCGGTCATTAAGGATAAGCTTATGTGGTGTTTTTCTTGTATCTCATACGACCATCGGTCAAAAACTGTAGATGAGATCCTCCAATTAATTAGAAGGGTGACTGAGTGTCCCGAGCTGCTTCAATGCCTTTCTAAGAAAATCTTACACGACATCAAGGAAGAAGATCACAATATGAGCTGGCAAGTGGATGTTGCTTGTGAAGTCGAATTATTGTTTGAGTGTGCCAGTTTCATCCTTGCACTGAAAGAGCATGTGAAACGCAGGATTCCCCCGCCTCTCTTTAAGATCGTGTACTTTCTAGAAGAACACAATGCATGGGACAGTTACTTAAACCGAGAAGAGTGCAAGGTCATTTGGGAAACCATGCTCATGAATCCATCAGTTTGTGACGTTCGATCAAAATCTCTTCCAGATCCAAAAGGGAATCAATCATGCAAGGTCGATGCCCCTCCGCCTGCCCTAGGTTTCCCTTTTTTCCACAAGCTCTACACCATCATTGAGGAGCACATGACACGCCTTCGAGCAGATGCAGAAGCAGAGCTTGTTGCAGAACAGTTCGATGAGATGCAGTCTTTTGTGCTGTCTGATGAGATGGTTGTCAAGTTGACAGGCATCTTAAATGGCGTGCTTCCGAAGGCTATCACATACGACATGTCAACGGTTGTTGATGGCGAGTTCTTGTTACAGCACATCCACTCGTATTTGAATGACTTATGTAATGTCTTCTCAATCACGTATGTGAGTCAGATGCCACTTGAAATGCGCATCAATACGACAAAGTTGCTCGTACAGCATCAAGTGTTGGGACTTGGCAAGGTGTCTTCAGCAAATGAAGAACTCGCCAAGTGGCATATTGCTTTTCTCATGAATTCAGAACTTTTCGCCGCCCAACTTCAGCTTTTGAACATTTACCATCTGGCTACGGGAGATGATTCCTTGCAACTGCTAATGTCAGTTCTTGGAACCAACTGCAAGAAAAGTGATGTTAGCTTCTTCGGTCTTGACAACGGCTTGGTTTCTAATAAAGATGAGCAGTGTGACACATCAGTGGAGTTTGTGGATGCAAGTAATGAATTTCTGGATGAGCTAGATTTTGGCGATGAATCTTTTGTCTTAGCGCTTGAAAGTTACGATGGGGAAACAGATGATAGTGCATCGTTTGATGGGGAGACTGATGAAAGTTCACTGAAATTCCAACTAGTCTCATCTGTATGCCAGTCCTTGCTCCCGAGCACAGGATTTCTTGAAAAATTCAAAGGTCAGGAATCATGGGTACGGTTTGTCAACAACATTTGGTTATCAGCCGAAAGTATTAAGGTTCGGCCGAGGGAACTCCATTACTTGCACTTTTGCAAAGACTTTGTGAACTTGCTCACATTGCCTAGTCACCTTCGTATACTTGATGAGCTGATTGTCACCACTGAAGGTGGCAACGTTTTGGACAGCGACAGTATTCGCATTTTCGTAGAAAAGACTATCAGTTTCATTCAGCAAGAGAGCAACAGGGGGTCCTATACGACCAAAAACCGCCTCTTTCTGTCCAAGTATTTTGATCGTTGCATCAAAGCAAATGTTAAAACTCCTTTGTTGGAGAACATCTGCAGATCTCTGGTCACTGATGATGGAAGTCTCATCGAAGGATCACGACTGGTGATGCGGCGTATCATATGTGAAATTGATACAGACAAAGATACAGTGTTCACAGAGCTCATCAGTGACGATGTGAATCAAGTCAGACGTTCGGACAATCTTGTCATTTTGGACAACATGCTTCAAAACCAACCAGATGGACTGAACTCTCATTTTGCAACCCTCTGTTGTGATTTGATTGGAGAATGTGGTTTCTGCAACATAACGAGTTATAGTCTGATGGAAGATCATTCTGGTTACATGACCACTTCCATCATTGCAAGCCGAGTCGTTGCTAACTCCACTGAATGTTCGCTGAAGTTTGTTTGTGCGTTGGCTTTTCTGAGCAAGTTGTTTCGTGTTTTTGCAGAGATATTCACAGACAGTAGCAATGTTGACAACTTTTCCGAAGAACTCAAGATAATGGCTGATTCCTTTGTCAAAACGCCAGTCGATGTTCATAAGTGGATCTTGCGATATATGTTTCATCAGGACATCAGTCTCTATGATTTGAGAATGGCAGTGGCTTCTCTCTCAGCACTGTCAGGTGGGCAAAATAGTGATTACCAAAGTCTTCTTTGCCCGGTTATTGGTTATAGCCCGATGAATTACATGGAGATGTACAACGACGTGAGAAATGCCTGGGTACTGCTTCTTCGCGATGATAAAACTAAAATGGAGACTGTCATCAGTAAGCTCGAATCCTCAACAAAACACCGCACTGCACTAATGGCAGTGCTCGTCGATTACTCCTACCTTGTTGCGACAAGATTCAGTGACTCGAAGAGGCTTCATGCCCAGTGGATCATCAAGGGAATCACAGATACAAACCTCCAAGGAACAGCGTGGTATTATGTCATAAAGGCCATTTCAGGGGTTACCGACTTTAAAAGTAAACTCCAGCTATCCGAAAAATCTACTCTGCAGGATGCGCATCTTGCCTCCGTGTTAATGCACCTCGCCACTATCATACTTGGTCCATTGGAGCCGGGTAAAGAACAGAGTATCTTTCAGAAGCTCTTTTCATCGCAAGCTGTGGCCAAGAAAGGGACATTTTTCCCGGGATCACAGAATCAGTCTTCAACCGAAGATGCATGTACCAGAGCAGTCATCTGCCATTGCGGACTGCAGTTTGTACAGGATCTACGGTATGAACGGTACAAAAACTGCCCAACTTGTGGTAATTTGTTATTTGGTGATACATCAACGCCTGATGATCAGTCAACACAACAGACCCAAAGAACAAGTGGATACAGCTTTCCTCCTGTGCCCCAGTTGTGGAATAAACTTCAGGGAAACAAAGGCATGTCCATTGCATCACAATTAGTCACTGACTTCATGGTTCATGGGTGTCTCTATGTTGCAGCTGAGGTATTCCCCGATGACTTCAAGAAGGTTCCCTTTTGTGAGGGCACCATGATGGAAACCAGATTGCTGGAGTTGTGGTCGGTCTTGCCATTGGTACTAAGAGCAAATAGCCAAGACACCTCCGTGCTACTTCACTGCATCATAGCGAAGTCTTCTGATGTTTTGGTTTCTCCGCAATATACAGGTGCCTCAGCTTCCGTCATAAATCACCAAGAGATGGAAATACACAATGTTGTTGAGAAGGTACTTCAAAATTCAACACTTGCCAAACGTCAATTTTTCGAAGATTCGTTCAACATGGTTGGCACACCAGCTGAATCCATTCATCACCACATGCATGAGCTGGATAACATTGATGAGAGTACAAGCAAGATTTTACAAAGATCATCTCGTAGTAAACGCGAGCCATCGCTTGAAGACCTCCGAGCATGCTTTTGTAATCACAGGAACAACAATTCAGAGCATTTCCCGTTTCTCCATCTTGTACTGTCACGATACAATGCTCTAAAGTATGTTGCCTTCCTCCCTACCTTGTTGAGATGGAATTTGCTGCTGAGTAGTCACATGAGCCTTCAAAGAGCCACGCACAAATATTGCAACAAACATATCAGGGTTTTGCTTGATGATCAGCCAAATATGTCCGAGCCTTGGCAAGATTTTATGAAGGCATTCAATGAGGTCTGTGCCACGTGGACTGAGCTCACTGGCGAAACCACCCGTCCAGATGACATCACACTTGACTCTCAGATCAAGGAGTGCCTCATGCCTAAAGGGATCGAGCAAAACACTTTGAAGCGAATGATCAAGACTCTTCAAGAAACACAGAATGAATTCTTGATGGAGGCTCTAAATATAGCTACAACCACAAACTGCCCAGCAATCGGCTTCCTCGTCAAGGACAGCCATCTTGCTGCTGCTCCAACCAAACCTCTGAACCTGGTGAGAAAGAAGGATGTCATTCTTCCCCCGTCAGATGAATGCCTCTGTCATCACGACATCAACACAGAGTATGGACATGGAACGGAGATATCTTATGACCTAAACCAGATTGAGATGGAGGTGGCATTAAGCACTGTACTGAACAAAGTGATAATTACTGATGGAAGCACCTTCGAAGGTTTCATCTTTGCTGATGACTTGTACAGTTCATCAACTGGCATTCTTGATGACGTGGCATCCAAGGTCCGACAAGAATCCTTGCCGGAGGACATTGTCAATTTGGTCATTAAGGAGGTACATAGGTATACATTCACGCGTGACTTGCTTCAAACGCTAGATGCACTCATGGGTCTTCTGAGGAGAACCAGTGGCGACCCAGAGGCTACATTGGACGAGTTCATCAACAAGTGGAGCGCAGTCATTTCAATTAAATTTCCTGACCTGTTAAAATCCATCAACCTAAAGCACATAGTTGCACTGTACCATCATTTGGAGCTTCGTCTGTCAGCTGCAGTCATACAGAACCTTGGTAAAGAATATCGTACAAAGTTCCCTGTTAAATTCCAGCTCGAACTACACAAATGCTGCTCCAGCTGTCCTCCAGATGTTGTCATTCAGTTCCGAGACATCCTAAAGACGTTTGCTTTTCGCTACCTCGGAGCAAGACGGAACTTTCAACCTAACTGCCAAGAGCGACTACGTGATCTTTTGGGAGGATTGGCTGGATATGACCGTGTGATCCCTCTTCTTCACAAAGACACTCAACTTTGCCACATTATGGACCTCATAGCATATTTGGACAAGACAATTAAGGTACGTTTCTCACATTGTTTTTCGCTGGTTAACATGGAATTAATACAATATAATTCTTTCAAAAGTGGAATTAAAAGACTCAGAACCGTCTTTTGTGATTGCGGGGCAGATGCAGAAATCAGACATTGCAAAAACTTAAAGGCAATCAGTCTTTCCTCACTACATGGCAATTTTCAAGATTTGTATTGCCTCTACAAGATGGGCATAGATATTCTAATTCCTTTACTCCCTCCAAGACACAATCTAGACAGTAATTCGTTGCATGAAATATAATAATTCTACATTTCAATAATTCTAGTCTTCTCTCTGCAGTGTAAAGAGGAAAAAGCAGTGAAGGGAAAACACAAAGGAGTGAAGAAAACAGCACTTGCAACTGGCTCATCGTACTAAGGGATAAGTTGACCAGGGTATGTAAAAAAATAAATGTGATTATTATTTATATCAGGCTTCCGGCGGTAAAAATAAATCAGCATATTGTATGCTTTCATAAAAAGTTGACTGCAATAACATTGTTATTGCAGTCAATCCGGGCATTTTCGCAGGTTCCCGCTTGATCAAGATCATAGAAAGTCACAGTTGTCAACCACTCAACAGAACGTAGCGCGCGCGTACCGTCGAACACGGAACATACCGCGCGCATGCAGCGCGCAGAAGGCCAGGTATATGCACTCGCTATGACAATATTGCACTCGTCTTCGACTCGTGCAATATTTGATTCATAAGAGTATTATAATAAGGGAATAAATGTGTGCTCCGGAGGTTTTTATCACTCGTTTAATACCGCTTAGAGTCTGGGTGCTGATAATTACCCGAGCCGGAGGCGAGGGTAATTATCAGCACCCAAACTCTAAGCGGTATTAAACAGAGTGATAAATACCGACCGAGCACATATTTATTCCCATTCATAAATACCTTATCCGTAAAAAAATATCAAGTAATTCGTTCAAAAAATCCCGATTTTGTTCAACAAGTTCACTTCATGCTTTTTGAAACATCCCTCTAGCAAAATAATGGAGTGTTCAGCTGGCGAGTAAGATGTAAACAACCCTTTTATGGAGATTGACGCGCGCGTAACATGTTCTGCGCGATGTCACGCAGAACGCACCTGGGGCGTTGCGCTTTGAATTTAGAACTATAAAATTCTGACTCGCTTGTGGTGTTGCGCATGCCTACGTGAGGATTGTGAACGTTCAACCAATGAAACGGTAAGAGGCACAGGATTTTTAGGAGTCCATATTTTATTGTGACACTGGAAAAGTGTTTAAGACCATGGAGCAACCAGCTAGCCATGTCTTTATCATCCGTTTAAGACCGGCCACGTGACGGGCTCTCGACCAATAGGATTAGCTAAACTGTCTGAGGTATTTATGAATATCAATTTCATACCCCAGGTGTTTAAATGCAGATGGAGATTTTAGATTATGTTTTTTTGCAGGGGGAGGGGCTTCATGTCCTCTTTCTTTAATAAAAGAGAAATGACAAGGGAAATGGAACAGAAAGCATCCCCGGTCATCCCCCTTGCTTTACAATATATTTGTTGAAGTAAAATCTTTTCTAAAAACCTGCCTTTTCTGAAAGTTGCAAGAAAACAACTCGCCTCCCCCTCCCCCAAATGTCTGACCTGCATGTGCACGTGAATGTCTAACTTGAACCTTATTTGGCATTTTTACACATAAACACTTAAGGTTGTATTTTTATACTATTATTTTATGTTATGTCTTTCTCACAGTTTACAGAGCTACTTTGAGATAAGGACTGAGCATCTACCAAATTGGAGTCATGACTACAGTGTTACTGAAGACTGATATTATCTAGTTCAAGTCTGTATAATAAAAATGCTAATACCTTACTTGGACTGGACTTACTTACTTGGACTGGACTTTAACTCTTGTAGACAAGAAGTTGGTCAAAATGCAACACAGTATATGTAATATGCCAAATAATATTATGCCACTTGAAGTAAACAGTCATGCAGATAATTATGATGGCTTGTTAAACATATGTATAATGATTTAGGCAAACACAGTTAATGCAGTTGCAATGCATGACTGGTGTTAAATGTTATTAAATCGGGGCAAATGACGGCTGCATTAGGTTTTTCATTGTGACACCATATCAGTTAGGGGATTTGAAAAGAGACCATGCAGCTGATGGATATGAAATCTCAAAATGAATTTTCTGTGTACTAATTAGTGTTAGATGTATTAAGCCCTTCACCAATATTCTTTACAGACATGCAGATAATGGCTGTATATTTTTCCTCAGTGTTGCATTTGGGTTTATTTCTTTGGGATACAGGTAGTTTGGGATTGAATAGGAGACCATGCAGTTGATGGCTCCTCCTTCCGGTTGCAGGTTACATGTGTTTTAACTTTCATCTTCATTGGAGATGCTAGCTACGAACAGATTATTGATTCAGAATTTAAGAAATCCTAAATTTTGCCATTAAATAGGAGATCATTCAGTTCGTCACCGTTTTCACGAAGAGCCACATATGTCGTTTTTGAAGAAAAAGTGTTTTTGAGATAATCGCAAAAGAAGTTTCTCGTATTTTAAAACTGCAAACAAATACCACTTTGCAACAACTTTGTGAAGCAAGGAAACCATCACACTATTCTGTGTGAGCTGAATTTTTACAAGAACCCAGTAATAAGACTTAATTCAGCAGTTAATTAGTGAAAATTAATTAGTAGAGATATGTGGCTCTTCGTGAAAACGCAAATTCAGGTTTCCGACATATTAGCCCTTTCTGTTCAATGTGTATTTCTATAGGCGCGCGTGAGTACGAGTACGCGCGCGCAGTTGAAAATGTAACAAAGATATGTGGCTCTTCGTGAAAACGCAAATCTCATTTGACCCACTTTTACGTATTTCCGTGCAATGGGTTTTGTACGCGTTTAAAGGGCCAAAATGTATGTGGCTCTTCGTGAAAACGCAAAATTCATTTATCGAGATTTTGGCCCCTTGCAACATTAATGTAACGTGGAAATTAATGATGTTTTGCTTACAAAAACATGTCAAAATGGTTAAGTACATTGTTTTAAAGCAAAATATTGAAAAAAAATCAAAATCGAAAAAATGGTAATTTTTGACATATGTGGCTCTTCGTGAAAACGGTGACGAGTTGATTGCTCCTCCTAATTTATATCTGTTTTGACTCCCATCATCATTGGAGATGCTAGCTACAAACAGATTATTAATTCAGAATTTAAGAAATTCTATATTTTGCCTATTGAGTATAGGAGGCCATGCAGTTGATGGCTCCTCATTCTGTATTGAAGTAGCAATTTTCTATTTATTTCTGAAGGAAGTGTAAGATATTTTAAGGCAAATATACTATACTGTGCAGACATGTAGGCGATGGCTATGTATTACCTTTTTATTATTTTTTATTTTGCATCGATGATCATTGCAGATGATGAAGTTTGTTACTATGCAGTTGATGGCTCCTCATTGTTGTTGAAGTTACAATTTGACAAGTAGTTAGTATCGTGCTAGATTGTTTCCCATAATTTTTGTTTTCACAATAGCTTATCAGTCATGCAGATAATGGCTGTGTATCATTTAGTTCTAGAGTGAACTCTTTTTCAAGTTGTTAAATTTTTTTGGTGGTTGCATATAAGTATATTTTCAACAAATAAGTACTTTTTATGACTGAATTCTAGGCCATGCAGTTGATGGTCCTAATTTTGTATCAAATTGTAATAATTATGTGTTCAGCCATTCCACAACTACCTATAGCCATGCAGATAGGGGATATATATTTAGTGAGTACAGTGTTTTTCTGTGATTGCACTTTATTCTTTCTGGATGTAATAGTCATACATTTGGTGATTGAATAGGAGACCATGCAGTTGATGGCTCCTCGTTCCTTTTGAAGTTGCAATTTGACATATTTTTGTAAGTAGTGCTAGATTTGTTTGCCATAAATATTTTTCATCAGTCAAGCAGATGATGGCTGTATATCATTTAGCAGAGTGTGTGAACTCTTTTTCCAGTTGTTAACTTTGAGTATCAGCGCAAATGATGGTTGCATTTAAGAATATTTTCAACAAATAAGTAGTCTGTAACTGAATTCGAGGCCATGCAGTTGATGGATCCTCATTTTGTAACAAATTGTTACAATTTACTAAATATTTCTATAAGCATTGTTCATCAGCCATTTCACAACAATCATGCAGATGATGGCTATATTTAGTGAGTACAATGTTTTCTGTGATTGCAACTTACATATTTATTCTTTCGGGATGTAACAATCATACATTTTGTAGTTTTGAATAAGAGGCCATGCAGTTGATGGCTCCTCATATTTGTTGAAGTTGCAATTTCACAGATTTTGTAAGTAATGTTAGATTTCTTTGCCATAAATGTTTGTTCATAAAACATGTAGCCTGTCAGTCATGACGATAATGGCTGTATATTATTTAGCCGAGTGAAATATTTTTCAAGTTGTTAACTTTTAGTATCAGTGCAGATGATAGTTGCATATGAGCATATTTTCAAAAAAAAACTTTGTGACTGAATTCGGGACCATGCAGTTGATGGATCCTCATTCTGTAACGCAAAATTACTTCTGCAAGCATTGTTACATGGTTTTATATTTAGTCAGTACATTGTCTACTGGGAATGCAACATGTAGATTTATTCTTTTTGGATGTAAAAGTCGTAAATTTTGTGATTGAATAGGAGTCCATGCAGTTGATGGCTCCCAAACCCAGTTGATTGCAGCTTGCATATTTACTATTTTGAGATGAAATAACCACACATTTTGTATCTTGAATAGGAGGCCATGCAGTTGATGGCTCCTCGTTTCTGTTGTAGTTGCAATTCGACCTATTTTGTGAGTAGTGCTAAATTTTTCGCCATTAATATTTTTCATAATAGCCTGTTCAGTCATGCAGATGATGGCTACAGTACAGCGAAGTTTTTTTTATGTTGTTAATTCAGTTTCAGTATCAGTCTAAATGATTGCTTCATTGAAGTTTTCTCCACAAATCTATGACTGCGTTCGAGGCCATACAATGGATATATCCTCATTCTGTAACTCAAAGAGGTAGCAATTTAGTAAATGCATTGTATTTCTGTAAGCATATTGTTGGATGTGTTCAGCCATTCCACAATAATCTATAGTCATGCAGATGATGGCTACATAATTAGTGTGTACAACATTTTCTGTGAATTCAACTTCATCCTTTGGGATGTAATAGTCATAAATTTTGTGATTTTTTTGGGGGGGGGGTGGTGGTCATTTTGTAGACCACATTTATCAGTAATACAGTTGGAGATGGCTGCATTTAACTCTAACTTCATGATTTATAATTATCATGATTCAGATAAACAAGAGGCCATGCAGTTGATGGCCCATGGCTTTAAAACATGATTGTAATGTTAGTGTTGCATCAAACTTTATTGTGACACAAAATATTGTGAAATTTGATGTTTGTAGGAAGAAGCAAAGCTGTTTTATGACGATTTTTGCAGCCATGCAGATGATGGCTGCCAATATAGAAACATTAATGTGAAACAGTCACAGGAAGAGATTTTTATAACACCTAGGCTACCCAGTCGAGGTTGCTGGGTTTGTTTCTTCTTTTTTTTAAAGCCATGCAGATGATGGCTTCATTCATTTATGGATTCATTGTGTGTTTAAAAGTCATGCACGGTTTGATGGCTTTTAAATTCTTCTAAATTTTTACATCAGTCATGGAGTTGATGGTTTTTAATTAATAAATGTTTTGATTATAATAGTTGGAGGGTCATTATTTGTTTTCTTTACATCTGTTTCTCATGCGAATTTTAGTTACAATCGGTTTGGTCATGTACTTGTTATCCTTAATATAATATTATAAGTTAGGTGTGGATGCCAAATTGTAATCCAAAACATACACTGAAAACATTGTTGTGCACAAATAGTTTATGAGCAAAGTTGTAATAATTAGGCCTACCTTCAAACAAGTTGTTAACTAACATTTGAGGAAAGACATTTTATTTCGTGAAATGTTTACATTTTGTTTCCCTTTTCACATGGCCATGCACATGATAGCTTTCTTGAGCTACATACAAAATGTTTTTTTTGTGTAGCGTCCACGCAGTTGGTGGCATTTTGATTTTTGTTCAGCCATGCAGTTGATGGCTTTCATTTCAAATATTGCTTCTCTTTGAGACTTTAGATTAAGGAGAAACATGTGGGCAACCTTACAATAATTACGTCATAAATAAGCTTTATTCTGTACAGAATAAAGTAGTTCTACTTTATCATGACATTTTAAGAGATGATAAGGCCATGCAGTTGATGGCTATTTTGTGATTAAGTTCATTTTGACAGTCATGCAGATGATGGCTGTGTTCAAAATGAACTTATATTATAATTGTATTAAAAATCATTATTGACATGTATGTTTAAGCTGCCCATTTGTAAATGGTGGCAACTGGTTTTCATCTCATTGATTCTTTACAAGTAAGCTTTATTTGCATTTTTTTCTCAAACTAAAGATATAGAAGCTACAAACCACATATTCTTTCAGATGGTTTGAACTATTGTGGACTGGAAAATATGAACAAACAAACCTTGTAAAACATATTTGAAATGTACAATTACATCAAGTGAAGAAAGAAATTATATAGGCCTCATTTGGTACACGGAAACAGCAACATATTAAATACACAAGAAAAATAACCAACTTTGTAAACAAGGACAAGATGTCACATTGTAAGCATCGAATTGAGCACATTGTTACAACTTTGACGTGATTAATATTAAACCTCAAGAAATCTGACAAATTGTTTGTTCTTGTTTTTTTTTCTTAGGCGAAGTAAAAAAAAAAACATGTTTCTCGTCCCCGCCAGCTTCCTTTTTGGAGGCCGCCTTGATTTTGTTTATTATTAAAAAGTCCAAAAATTCATCGGAAAATAAATACTTGTAAAATATGTGACCAATACAACTCTAAATGCCACTGTACATGCACTGTAGATAGGCCTATGTTCAGTTCTCTTGTCCAACTTGTCTTTCATTTTAAAACTAAAGTGTCTTTGAACAGTGGAAACACCAACGGTTGCAGGAAATTTTAAAATGGCGACCATCTTGGAAAAACTAAAAAATAAAAATTAAAAAGCCCCGCTTCCTCCTTTTTTTCAAAAACCCGGACGAGAAACATGTTTGTTTGTTTATTCGGCCTTATCTGGTGATACTGATAAAACTATATTTTCTTTTTGAAAAAACGATTTATGATAATTCCGACTTGAGTCAAGTCTACGTCAATGGCAATGCAAGTCTGCTGCAGGATAGGAGTACAGTGAAGCATCATGAGCATCCGTTGAGAAAGCCAACACACAAAGTGAGTCGATAATTTTCATTTCTCGAAACAAATTGAGCAAATGTTCCTTCCTTCAACTACTATATGCTATGCCAATATCTGAACAATTTTCTTGAACGTAATTTCTTACCTTTAGCGCTTGTTTAGAGTCGAATATGAGAACTTTCACGACCACATTAAATTTCGGCTCCCGCAACTTAACTTTTCACAGATGATGATGACATTCACCACTTCGATATTTCTGCGCCAATTTGCGCCACGAAAACAGACGAGTCCAAAATAAAGTGTTTATACTGGAAAAACTTGAAGGGGAGAGTTGATAAAAAAAATGACATGGGGAAAATTTGTTTGCAAATTTATCTCATATGCACACACAAAATAAATAAATAGTCCGACCTATTTTCTTTAACCGCGGACGTGGACTTACTGTGCCTGCTCGTGACTAGTAGTAGCCTCGAGCGCAGCAAAGTGCTCGAAAGTGGAATGATAGAGGGCGCTCTAGTCTGCGCACATTGACATTTTGAGAACAGCCTCGAAAAGTGTGATTTTTTGAAGAAATTAACAAGTTAGGCCTACTCGTACTCATGGAAGCGCCTCTCACAATGCAACTCCAATTTACACAAAGAGGAAGGAACACAAATGACTTGAGGTAACGAATATAGTTTTGCCTGCTCAATCTTAGGCACGCTGCTGGAAGAAAGATCGGATTCATCTGGGATAAAATATTACGGCCTATTCTTTCATTCGCGCACTGGACTCTGTCAAGTGTCATGTCTGTCAAAACTCGGTGCTAGCGCACGAGTCAAAGGCCGGGCCACATGGGTTCCGAAAGACGGAGGAAATGGCATTTTCTCATGATAATCACCAGGGCTGATACTCGGCATGCGGGTGCACTTACTATACCCAAGCATCCTAATTTTCAACCAAAAAGGGGAAAATAATGTTGGAATATTTTATGGAGAGTCAAGAACATTTTCAAAGTATTTCCTAACAAAATTGGAAATGTTTCTCAGTAGCAGATTCATATCTTATCATTTTTGCAATGACTGACCTTCGTTGAGATGATATATAATATGAATATAAGGCCAAAAAAAAATAATATTTGGTCTCTGCATGGTCAGACCAAAGTTCCGGAATTGACGCAGCCACACGGCTTTTTTTTTTTTTTTTTTTTCTTCTTTAGCTTGGATTGTACAGACAAGGTGGGGTACTATTTTGCTTTTTTGGTGTCCTCATGTACATTGGTGTCCTCATGTACATAGGCATGATAGGTGTCCTCCATAATTTGCCTTGGTGCTTTCGATCATTTGCCTTGGTGCAATTTCCCATTCCTTGGTGCTCTTTGGTAAAAAAAATTGAGGAGGTGCGGAAATAGAGGGCGCTGTTGGAGCTACCGCGGAACATTTTGGAAAAAAAAAAGATCGACGCGCATGCTTAAAATTGACGGGCGCGCTGACCAGAGACCGACTTATTTTTTTTTTTGGCCTAATAATAATAATAATATAAAAAGTGGCGTAAGGTTGCAACATTTTTTCCTAAAAGAGGACTTTCGTGTGGCTGTGGTTCTTCCACCACTGTCCTACTAGTTTATTTGCCACCCCCCAATTCCACTTATCAGCATCGTTTCCCAAACATTTTTGAACTCGTAATAGTCATATGTGGCTATCGCTTTGAGCACAGAGTTTACTCCAGTGCGTGGCCGGCCATGATTATCATAGTGGGTCTAGAGGACTTTAAACTCTTGTTGTGTGGCCCCAGTTCAGTAACCTTCATACACACCAGACAGTGTTGCCTCGCAGTTTTATCAATGTGGCCATCAAAGGGATGGCATCAATAGAATAGGCCCTATTGGGAGCTGAATCAACAAAAACGCGAAGCCAAAGTTCACAGTATTGTTCAGTCTGTTTACACCAGTTTAGATGCACAGACTGGGTGGTATACAGAACGGGACAAGATTCAACTGTTGAACTATAGCATTGTACATTTGCAATTTTACCACCATTTTAGCCATGTAGCAGTTGAAGTAGAGAGTATAGCTAGGCTACTAGTTGACAGCTTTTCTTCAAGTTCGATATGTGCATAGACATTGTTTGGACAACGTCTGCTGGGCGAGTTTGAGATCTAGTGCCCAGCATTACAACAGTGAGGTTAGTAGGCCTATTGACTTTGAATAAACACATTTTTATTTTAACCTATTGCTACACATTTGGGGTTTTGTTTGTTTTTTAGGGTTTTTTTTGTTAAGGAGGAGTTTAATTTGAAGTGGTGTACACAAAAGTGTGCCTATGTTAAGATCTAGGAATATTTGGCATGCACATAGTTTTGTGAGAACTTATTTATCAAGAATATTATATTTCACAGATGCCATAGGAAGAACAAAGTATATTGTGGACAGTATGTAAGAATGTACTTGTACGTTCCTAAGGCAAATAACCAATTAAGCCAACCATTCAAAGTGAGCTCAAGAAATTAACTATTTTCATTGCAGGTTTGAGACTTGGAAACAGCCTACGATGGACGGTCCAAATGAAACCGTCGACGATCCATGGAAATGGTTTTGCTGCAGTAATTCCTCCCTCTGGACGAACAATGATGTAGTACGGACGGTCTGTCTGATTGACGTTGCCAATTTCATCTGTCACACTGCCTGTTTTGCCCTGTCGTCGCTCATTCTGCTGATCTTAGCATGTTACTCCTTCCGTAATGGATGGGACGTGAAATATCTAAAAAGGTAACGAGGAAATAAAGCACTCTTAAAACTGTTATTATATACACTATTAATAGTACGGGACGTGCCTTTGATGCTACAAGCATGGCATTTGGCACACAATTCAAGAGTATGTCATGAGAAAGATATTTGGCTATTGAAGATTTCTCCTGTGAATAAAATACAGTTAGAATAACAAGTAATGGCAGCCATTTTGAAAGTTATTAAAAGTGCTTGTTAATCTACGTATATTTTTTGCAAAGGACAAATCTGCCATGGCCCTATAGCCAAATATCTTAAGACATGTACAGGTACTCTGACTAGTTGTAAGGTGCGACCTCTATTTAACAAAGATGTGCCCAACAAGCCTATTAACTGTTGCTTCTTTGACTGGTCGCCAGGAGTATGGCAACTGTTTGGCCCGGGTGGCAATGTTTTTATTTCTCTTTGCCTCCATTGTGTGGATAGGGGAGGGGATAAGAAGAACGTTTGAAAAATAGTAAGTTTGGAGCTTGTTGATTGATACTATGCAAGAACACATCCTTAATTAAATTCTGTTCTTAACTACATTTTAAAAGACATCCACTTAAGACAGTTAATGTGTTGTGCTTGTTTGTACTAGCGCCTACTTCTCTTGGACCGTTTTTCTTCTTACTACAGGTATCCTCTGCATTCTGCTCAGTGGATCCTAATGCTCCTCGTCATCCTGCTCGACCTCTTCTCCGTCTCTGAGGGGCTCCTCACTGACGAATCCTTCCGTGTCAACGGGCTCACCGGGATCGCATACCCCACCCAGCCGCACCTCTACATCCCGCAGCTTTGCGCGCTGGCGTCGGCTTTCATGGCAATGCTGTGCTATCACTTCATGGAGGCATGGCGGCTGCCTCAGTTGGCCTGGCTGCTGATGGTCTACTGGGGTGTCTCCTTGATCGGGGAAGTGCTGCATCTCCTAGGGATCATCAGGCTGGAGCTTGGATCAGTTGCTGTGCTCCGATTTGACCTTTCTGTGCTCTCACTTGTGGTGTACTTCGGACTGTTTGCTCTGCAAGTTAACAACATCAGGGTGAAGGTAAAACAGTCAGACTTTTGCCCTTCATCATGTTTGTATGCATACCACTGTCTGAAAGCTTATAAGAAAGAAAACACAAGCTTGGTATCTTTGAAACCGAAGCTAGTCCAAGAAAAATGTGGCAAGATAACGACTCGATCACTGTGGCAAGACATTTTGATGCAGCAAGTTGTAGTTGTTATTCAATGAGTGGCCATATAACTCAATTCAATGAGTTACTATCTCAATTTGTGGCACCTTAGCTCCTGTAACTAAATAGATCTTTAAGGTAAAGGAGACGAACCTGTGTTTAAAGGAACGGACTGCCCATCTCTCTTTCGAAGCGCTTGGGCCAGACTCGGGTCCATGAAATGCTGCTGTGGGGGGATCACCACACCTCCTCCACAGTGAGTCTGTTACCTTCCCTTTGTCTGAGGGGCTCTTGAAAGTGGTAAAAAAAGTGCACTTTCTTGTTCGCGAATGAAGCTGATCAAACTTAATTTATGCATGTTTCGATTCCCCTCCTTCTAACCATTGTAACAGGTTTGCAGGTCCAAAGTAACATCTCACAAGAACCACCCTCTGGCTCCCCAGGACACCATGAAGTTCACCCAAGAGTTCAGCAGCTTCATCTCTGAGGTGACTTACTGGTGGCTCAACTGGGTCTTCCGGCTCGGCTACAAGCGACCCTTGGAGATGGAAGACCTCGGGCAGCTCCCTGAGGTCCACTCGGCTAGCTACATCCACGAGAAGTTCAAGGAAGCCTTCAAGAAGGAACAGGTACTCCCAAAAAATCTTCCACTCCTTGAGATTTTCACTAAGCACCCTGCTGAATCCAACCGAATCCAATCGGCAAAGTGTGCTGTCCGTTGGATGCAGGAAAATCTAACCGTAGCAAACTCTTGGAGGTCTACTTTGAGATCTACATCCACGGGAAGTTCCGAGAAGCCTTTAAGAAGGAACGGGTAAACCTCAAAATCTCCTCGTCCTTAAGATTCTAAGGTATCTCACTGAATCCAAGAGATGCTCATGTACTAAACTCAAGTGCAAGTCTGTTGGATCGAACAGAATCCACCAACAGCTATGTCTGGAGTCTGTTAGATCCAACAGAATCTAATAGTGGCAATCTACCGGAGGTTCACTCTGCGAGTTAGTCCACGAGAAATTCTTTCATACAGAGCAGGTTAACCCTTACTGTCCAGATGTCTTCCAGGCATCTTACTGATTCCAAGAGAATCCAGCGACAGCAAATTGTGAAGTCTGTTGTATCCTACAGAAACAAACAAAGGAAAGCGTGAAGCCTTTCAACGGAAACTTGCTTTGGGTCGAGAAATATCAAGATGAAGTTTCACAGTTTTCTAAGAAAAAAAGTATATTATCCACTGAGCTGAAATTTCAACAGGTTATAATAACCTGCTTCTGATTTATTGTTGTTCCTGGAATCGGCAAACTTTGGTTTTATTTAGGTGTTCGCTACCTTTAAATCTTGGCAATTACATTATTAAATGTTTTTGTAACAGGAGAGGGCGAAGTACAAGGGTCTCAAGCCGTCCCTATGGCGGGTCTACTGGGCCGTCCACGGATGGAGGTTGGTGTTTGCGCTCTTCCTGAAGCTAACTGGCGATATGTGCGGGTTTGTCGGACCCTTGGCGCTCAATGGCATCATCTTGTGGGTGGGAAAGGTCAAGGATGGATCTCAGGTATGTTGAGAAATTGAAAGAATTCGGTAATATTTTGATTGATCACCTTTTTGTTGGTTTAAGATAGTTGTTAATTTCCTTCTTTTTGGAGGGGGGTACTGGAGGCACATAGGGGTCCTTAATTTTACGAGCAGGTACTGTTCTCTTACTTCTGAGCTGGGAGGGGGGCAGAGAGGGGGATGGGGTACGCAATTTTTTCCAATCACAAACATATCAGTTAAATTTGGTACATGATTTGGTACATGTACTGTAAATGCATCCTAGTCATTGAATTGCGTACTGAAAGTGTAAACTTGATTGTGCTAAGTTCATTTTGTCCAAGTTGTCTTGGTGTCTTATCTCACCCTCTGATAATAATCAGCTGTGACTACGAAGCAACTTTTGATAATGTGAAGTATTTAAGAATTTCTGTTGATGTTTATGGCGTTATTAGGTACCCAGTGAGCCCCATTTCATCACGGTATTGGAGTTTTTTCAACATGGCTTGGTTCTGGTCGCAGTCACGTTCATCGTTGCGTGTATTCGTACGCTGCTGTTGCAGACGTTTGAGTATTGGTGCTCCCTGGTGGGAATCCACATCCGTTCCGCAATACAGGTGGGGAGAAAATGCCATGTCTGATCTTGCTTGCGTGAAATTTTTCAAGAATCTCTTTAGGGTTTTTTTCATTTTGTTAAATCCTGTTTCACCAAGTCTCATATGTTTAGTCTTCATGGTCGAGATTCCTAATGTTTCAACTTTTCTGTAACTACTTTTGCTTTCTGCATTTCTGACATTTATAACAAGGAATTAGAATATTCTTACAAATACTGGATTTCATTTCCTTAGTCTCCCAAAGAATAACAAAGTGGACCATTGCAAACGTCAATACCCTGTCATCACAGGTTCAGCGCAAATACTTACTCCCAAAAGAGATTTTTTTCGTGGTGTACCCGCAAGCCTACTTGCCTACTTAAATTCCTCAGTGAAACAGTTGCGAAACTCCTCCTTTTTCCCTCCTTTCACTGATGTCATTCACCAAGTGAAGCGCTGTGACCCAATGGTTATGGTGTTCAGAGATCATGGTGCTTGTGTTCTTGGGCAAGACACTTTACTACAGTTGCCTCTCTCCACCCAGGAGTATAAATGGGTACCTGTGAGGGTAAAGACTAGAATGCGCTGATCTCGAGCTGCTGCAAAAACTGGTCTCATGGCCTGATGAACAGGGGTAATAACTCACATGAAGCGCGCTGAGACCTTTGGTAGAAAGCGCTATAAGCACCACATCATTTTATTACAAATTTTACAGACGATGGTATTTGAGAAGTCGCTTCGCATCTCTACCTTTGTCCTCTCCAGCGGTGAAATGACCACGGGACAGATCACCAACCACATGTCCACGGATGCCATGAATGTCTCCGGTATGGTGGAGTTTCTCTGCTGGATGCTGACCATGCCTATACAGGTGAAATATTCAAATCGGAGAGGCAATCCCTTGCCGATCCCTCCGTGGGTGTTGCCATGTTGCCATTAATTATATTTGTCGACAATATTTGTAACTGCATCCCTTTGCCATTTGCCCTGCCACAAAAGCATCACATCTGGTTTTGTCTTATGTTTTTTTTGTGTTTTATGTCACCCATGGTTATCCACCACCCACCCCTTGCCAGCCCTGCCCAACTTGCAAACACACCAATCAGATGGCATGTGACAAATAATCCACTAAACAGTTACGATCTCACAAGCGATTCGATTGGCTGCAGGTTGGAGTTACCAGGGTCACGCGAGGTTGAAGGTCAGAAAACTTGCCAACTCGCCAATCAGATGGCATGTGACAAATAATCCACTGAACAGTTATGATCTAACAAGTGATTTGATTGGTTGCAGGTTGGAGTTACCGTGATGCTCCTGATCTTTCAGTTGGGTTATTCCGCTGCTCTGGGCATGGTGATCTTTATCTTCATAATTCCTATGCAAATTGTTATGGGGAGCTATATGGCCAAGCTAGAGGAACAAAGTTTGGTAAGGCACGCTCCAGCGTTATTGCATATGTTGTCCTTGAGCAAGCCAGTTTATCTTGATTCGATCATTTTTTTTCACCAAAGAGATAACGAGAGATAAACACAAACCTGATGAGTCATGAGAGTCATATGCAGACATGACTTGTGACGTGGTATGTCAAAACCAGGCAGAATTGAGCAGAGTTACGAATGGAGAAACAGCTGCAAATGACATGGGGATGATTTTCAGTGATTTTGAGATTTTTAAAATTTGTGATGCTTCTCAAAATTAAAATTTGATCCAAAAAAATATTTTCTTTTCAAACACTTTTAGAGAGGCATATCATTTCACAAAATGACGCTTTGATGCGGAACATTTCAAAATTTAATAACTTCGCTTTGGAATGTCCAATTTCGAAAACAAAGCAGCGTTTGAAAGAGCAAGGTCTGTATTGTATTAATATTGCAATAACTCAAAATTGACAAATTGAAAGTGCCTGTGTTTGACATACCACATCACGCCTTTTTATTTTATTTCATTTTATAATTTTTTTATTATTTGTTTTTATCCATCAGGGTTTGTCCGACAAACGTCTCAAACTGTCCAGCGAGGTACTACAGGGGATCAAGCTACTTAAAATGTACGGCTGGGAAGATCTGTTTGGCTCAGAGATTACAAAAATAAGACGTTCGGAGATCTGGGTAATGGGCAAGGCGAGTGTGTGCTATGGGGTTATAGGTGAGTTTCATACATAACCCTCCCAGATTCCTTTTAACCGCATCTTTTATCATCTTCATTACATGGATTTAAACTAGAAAGCACTCAGAGAGCGCAAACCTCCGCCAAGGCTTAACAATTCCCCGCCGTATTGTCAGTACACTCAAAAGACATACTTGCATAAATGGTGAAGAATCCTTAGAAAAAAATCCTGGACCCAGATCCGGATCACTTCCAAAATCTAATGGATTTGTACTTGTACCAAGGACCACCCCTAGAATTTTTCATGCAAATCCGTTGATAACTTATTTAGTAATCGTGTTAACAAACAAACCAACAAACTAATCAAATCTGATGAAAATATAACCTCCTTGGTAGAGGTAAATATAAGATGTGATGAATTTAGCGATTTTGCTTGTCTCCAGCTGGTTTTAACTGTTTGCACCTCATGCACTCGTCCTGTGGAAAGAGTTAGACAACACTACGGGCACATAGGAACATTTGCAATCGGAAATTGTACATACCGATTTAACGAAGAAATCTTTGCTCAAAGTGAAAATAAAACTGGTAGTAAACACCCTGTGAAATTATTCCGCCTGCAAATATATCATTCAGAAGTTTTGCGGTATTCGGAGTGGATGACAGATAAACACGCAGGAGCCAAGCCGGAAATATCTGTAAGCGACCCGCTGGAAATATGCGAGGTTGGAAATATGAGTGTGCTGCCCGAGGGTGATGGCTTCAACCCACCTGGCTTGAGGTCGAGTGAAAAACAATCCCGCGCCTCGTTCTGTCCTTGTCAAAATAATCCCGGCGTTAACTGGTTAAGATTTTGAGCAATTTTGTTGCCTCAAAGCGAATGATCCTCTATCCCTTTAATGTTGCAAAACATTTAACTCAATGTGCTACATTTTCTCTCTCAGGTTCAATTACAGAAGCAGCCCCCCTCTTGGTGACATTAGTGGTAAGAATGTGACTTTATCAAAGTTTATTTGAAAACGGAATATTATTTGAACGTCCGTCTTAGGCAGATGGAGTGAACTCCAAAACATGGCTGTTTAGATCAGTTGATAGAGTGCATACATGCCAGTATTGAGTGGGGAGTGTGGCCTAGTGGTTAGGGTTCGTGACTCATGATCAGAGGGTCAGGGGTTCGAATCCAGCTGCTGGCCATATGTTGTGACCTTGGGCAAGTCACTTCACCCCCCAATCGCCTCTCTCCACCCAGGAGTAAAAATGGGTCATGGCATTACCTAGGGGATTGACTGCAATGGACTAGCATCCCATCCAACAGGAATAGAAATGTTTTCACATGCCTAAAACCAGAGATAAAAGACAGCCTGATAGGCCAAATTGGCTTGTGACAGACTTTAATTGTTTCTTTATGGCATTATTGGCAATTAAACAAGCACTTTCCAAATTCTAGCCTTTTTTGTTTTTGTTTTGCCTCAGTCTTTCGGCACCTTCACGGCCCTCAGTGGTGAGGTCCTGACCCCCGATGTGGCTTTCTCCTGCCTGTCCCTCTTCATGCTCCTAACAGAACCTCTCTTCCTGTTCCCCATGGCCCTGTTGGTCACCGTCAGCGGTGCCATCAGCACAGGGCGTCTGGCAGCATTCCTGGCCGCCCCCGAGGTGGATATGAAGACGCTGGAGGCCATCAAGGTGAAGAAGCAAGAAGCACCTGAAGTTGTGGGAAGCCGTGAAATGCATACAGTGAGTGTTCTTGTAGAAGTTGATTGCACAATGTTTTGTCTATAAGTGTGAAGAAACAAATACATGGCAATACCAGCGTTATGAAAGGAAGTGTAAAAGCCAATTAACCATGATATCAAATCAGTGACCCAGAGAGACGATCAAAAAATTCTTTCAGCATTTTTTGGTCATTCTGCTTTAAATTTCAACTTGCGAATTGGACTAGACAAAATGTCTTTTCTCTACCTCAAATGTTTTAAAACATTTGCTGGTAAACGTTGCTTCTTAACCCTAAAAGAGCCTGGGGGGGGCAGATTTCCCCCCCCCCCTGGCCCTTTTAGGGTTAAGGCAGAAGCCACAAGGTGCTCTTTTATATAATCCATCATTTTTTTTCTTCAGCCCGACAATGACATGGATCCTGACGTCCATTTCACTGATGGCGACACAGAGGCGCCACTACTCAAGACGAAAGCGCGTTGCTTTAAGGACGCCTCACTGCACTCCTTGGTCAGCCAAGACACCACCTGCTCCTACGGCTCAACGGACTCATCCAGTCTGGACTCACTAACGGGCCTGCCGAGTAGCATTGCAATCAAGGTTGGAACATGATAAATATTCCCCTTTGGTCCCTGCGACCGGTGGCTCGAATCCTACCCAAGTCTATGTGTGCATACATTTATCTCCTGAGTTATTAAGCGGCACCATTGTTGTACTAGAGCAAAGTACAATATCCTCCTGACAAACTTAATCAGTGTGCGTGCATCTCAGTTTGATGGAAGTTAGTTGGTAGCAAGTTTTACGCTGTTAAAATGTATCGTAACACAGGCATTCTTTCTTTTCATAAGGCTGTCGCTTTTTACTTAACTTGTGATGGACTTGTGACTCACTTGTGATTAGACTTGTGATTGACTTAAATGTGATGTGATTTTGACTTGTATTTTGACTTGTTTTGACTTGATTTGACTTGATTTGACTTTTGAATGACTTGTGATTATCATGTATGTGATTTGACTTGTGATTTGACATGTGATTGACTTGTTACTTGATTCTGTAACAAATACCATATTATGCAGGTTAATAGAAAAAAGTTAAAATCAGACATTGTATTTTTCTTTTAAAGATTGAAAATGGTTGCTTTGCCTGGGATCCAGAAAGTTCTCAGCCAACACTTCAGGATCTGAATGTCGCAATTCCCACAGGTGCATGTCAAATAATGTTTATTACTCATTTTTAGCTTCCTTTTTTTTTCTTTGCTTCCTTGCAGGTACACATTTTCTAAACAGTTCTCTGTCAAGCTACAAGCTGTATAAAAATAAACACTCTACAAGTGATAATTAGCCACTTCATTCCTGCATCAATTTGGAAAATAATGAGGGGTTTATTTTGATCAAGCAGTGAAATTTGTGCACATTTCAGGAAAGTTGACAATGGTCGTTGGAACAGTGGGAAGTGGGAAGTCTTCACTATTGTCGGCCATCTTGGAAGAAATGACACTACAGGATGGGAGCCTACTGATAAATGGGTAATTGAATTTACTGCGTCTTTCATTTTTGTTACGCTTTTAATTGAAGAGCATTATCGAGTGTCTTTTTTACTGTCATTGAACATATGAATTTAGAAGAAACTTTTTTTTTTTTTTTCATTTGTAGAAGTAGGAATTCCATTGCTTATGCGGGGCAGAAGGCGTGGTTACTGAACACATCGTTACGGGAAAACATCCTGTTTGGTCAAGCCTTCAACCTAAAGAGGTAAGTCTTTGTCATTGTTCATCTCCTGTTACTTTTTATCCTGGTCTGGCATCGTGGTCGTAGTGTTGAATTCAAGATCTGTCAGGACTTATGCACGTTGTGGGTTCGAATCCAGCCCAGGGTTGTGGTGTGAGTGTCGTTGGGCGACACACCTTGTCACTGACTGTATCTTTCAACAAAGGGGTAAAATGCTTACATATGAGGGCAGTGGTGTTTGAAGTAGCTGAAAGCAGTGGCTGCATTGAGCTGCATCGGCCATATTGAATTGAGATTGAGGTCAAATCTTCATTTTCGGGAACTTGTGTAGAGAACTGAAAGCACTACATTACAAATTAATACCAGTCAGGCTGCTCCGATGAATGATTTAAAATGTGTGATTAAACATACCTTAATGTTTTAAGCCAAATATTAAAAAAAAAAAGGGAGGCTAGAGTGAATAAATAGTCTGGCACCATCCTATTCAACAGTTCACAATTTATGAAACACATTCAGGGAACACGACAAAAACGAATAAAGTTCATACTCCCTAGAGAGCTGAGAAGGTATAACAAATGTTAAAAGTGCATTAATAATATTAATTTCAGTAATAGTTAATTTAATGCAATAGACCATATGTTACATTTGTTTACAAATTGGATGTTGTGGTCATATGATGCCAACTTTCAGCGAACAGTTCTCTTCTGCACTGCATGTATATCTCTCGAAATATGAACGGTTTAAAAGTGTGGACATATACTGTATAATGTGGGCAAAATAACATGCAAAAGATGCTTCAATGTTTGAGTTGCCCGGTAGTTGCCTGTGGGCATAACGTCACAGGGCGTGTGGTCTATATGAACCCTCTGTTATGAATCCTATCTATCTGCAGGTATCGTCGCATCATCGCTGCCTGTGCCTTGGAAGCCGACATCGCAATGCTGCCGGCAGGCGACCAGACCGAGATCGGGGAGAAGGGGATCAACTTGAGCGGGGGACAGAAGCAGCGGATCAGCGTGGCGCGGGCCATGTACTCTGGACGGGATATCATACTCTTGGTGAGAGAATTTTGACTAACTGCCTGGATTCCATGCAGCAGTAATACGTGGTCCTGCGACCCACTCATACATTTTAGTAAAGACATTTTCTTCTTCAAGATATTTTGTTTATACTGCCACATTTTTGCCTCAATCCTCTCCCAAGTTTATGGTGTGGATCAGCGTTGTAGTCGAGAGATCACAAGACCAGCCTCAAGACCAGACACAAGACCAGCCACAAGTAACGGGGCAGGAATGATGACAAAGGACTGCCTTTGATGCAGTTCATTGGAATAGCTTGGGACTTGAATTGCGACTGGACGTCTTGAATTGATCTTGTGATGGTCTTGTGGGATCTCGACTACAACACTGATGTGGATATTAGGAAAATCAAATAATTTACAATAAATTTGAAATTTTAATATAAGAAATTCAAGAAAATTAAGTTTGGAATCATAAAACCATTAGCCTTACCCCATAAGTTCCTGTATCGCCCAAACTGTCATGCCTGTTATTACGCCCTATCCTGGCCCAAACCGCCAAGTTGAGCAACGTACGGTTTTATGGAGTCATCAAAGAATTGATACAATGTAAAACATCATGTAATACATATGTAGTACAATGTAGTACAATAGCTAAGTGGTTACAACAATCTCTGCAGGATGATCCGCTATCGGCGCTCGATGTCCATGTCGGCAGCCACCTCTTTGAGCATGGCATTCTGGGTAATCTGCGCAAGAAAACGAAGACCGTCATCTTGGTCACGCACCAACTGCAGTATCTGGCCCATGCTGACAAGGTAGGGCCAAGTCTTTTGAGTTCTTTATGCGAGTTGTAGGCATACAGTCAGGCAAGGATGCTCTGACTAACTCTGACTTTGTTACTGTTTAGAGGGGAGTTGTACACCGTTCGTTAGTCCCCACCAACCTCTCCCAATGGCCGCTGGTGGTAGCTGACTGTGCCAGAAGGCAATTATACAATGCAAAGCTATTTAACAATGCATGTACTTCTTGTGTGAAAGGGTCATGCACACACCGAAATGCTGACCTGCGTCAGCTGGCAAAACAGTTTATCCAATGAGAGCTGAGAACGTTTTAACCCTTGGTCATCGGTGAACAAAAGTCGTCCAATCAAGATCAACACGAACAGCCCCCACCCCAGTGCCTTTGGATAGGGAGGTGCGGAAGAGCATCAGTAACTCTTTCTCCTTTTCATTTGGATTTTCCTAGATTTTACTGATGAGAGACGGGCGGATAGCTCAGGAAGGAACGCTACAAGACCTAGCGGCAGCCGAGCCAGACCTCTACAGCGGCTATGAGAAGGCCGTCAAAGGGATGACAGACCTGGAGTCGGAGGCCGAAACAGACGGGGAGTCCAGAATTCAAGAGATGATGAAAATCAGGAAGCAGATTTCAGGGCAGCAGTCGATATCACGAGACGAAGAAGTCGGGGAAACATGTGGTAAGGCTAATGTGGGGTTGGGTCATGGTGCCATATGCCCCTCCCCTCCTCGGAAGAGTTTAAAAACAATATTCAGTTTGTTAATGTACAGCTTTGTTTACTTGCCACAATGAAGAGCACCACCTGCAGCCTCTTTGTGTCATTATCGGCCGTTTTAAGCAGCGCCCCCGATTGTCTGAAGAAAAAATCCTAGCTGACTTCCAGCAAGGAGCGTCTACTTCTGAATGGTCATTTCTTATTCCAGTTGATGAGAGAGGTCGTCTGATGGCTGAAGAGGAGCTGGAGCGAGGCTCTGTTTCTTGGAGGGTCTACTTCTACTATGCCAAGGCCATAAAGCTTCCCATAGCCTTCGTGATACTGCTGGTCTATCCCTTACAAGCCGGCGTCACCGCCGGTAGTAACTACTGGCTGTCTGCCTGGTCAGAAGCGGGATTAAGCTATGGAAATGTAAGTTGCAGTAGTGACTTCAGATTGCTTTGGACTATGTGATCATCAAATCTATTTTAATTGATGCCGTAAAGAATTTGCTGTGCATGTGCTCATTTTGGAGGATGGAAGAGAGCGGAACTTGTATATCTGAAAATCTTGCAATTCGTGTTTATCTTCATCTCCAAATAATCCTTGTCTGATTCCAAAGTATATTGAGTAATTTTTTTTTTGCTTCAACATTAATTTCTAGTTCCTTGCTTCATCTAGACTGTTTCTTTTGATTCGTCTTGCATGTTCATGATGTTCTAGGTTTCCTCCATGTCTTTTGGTTGTTGTTGATTTATGATTAATGAATAAAAGACATGTGATGATGATATGTTGATGTCAGGCTTAAACCACTCAAGTGTTGTTGTCTTTACAGTAAAATTCTCCATACTTGCATCTTAACATTCAAGCTTGTCTTGAAACCAGATGTGAGTGTGAATTTGTCATGCCTTGTTGAGCTTTGGCATTACCTAATCACAAAAAGTGGACAGCTTTCAAAGTTAGCGAATTTGTTTGCAAATGTTTCACAACATCAAATTTGCTTTTGGATCGATTCATGAACCAGATCTGTTAGTAACTGTAAGTTCTTGAAGAGATCACCTATTCAACATGCATTTATCTATCTATAAACTGTCCTAGGCCACAAACACCGCCTACTATATCGAGGTCTACGCTGCTATATCAGTCGCTGGTTTATTGACTTCCTTCGTTACCACAATGACTACAGTCACAGGCCTACTCATAGCGGCACGGCATCTTTTTAAGCTGATGCTGAGTAACGTCATTCACATGCCCATGAGGTATTCCCATTTGTTCTAAACTCAGGATTGTTTCCAGCCAGGAGAAATGAACAGAACTTGACCATCTGTGGGGTTTTTTGGGGGGTTTTTTTGGAAGAAAAATTGAGTTGCAGTAAACTTTCTTGAACGCCTGTCTTTATTAACCGTTTGAAACAGGCCACGTGACAGACTCTCGACCAACAAGAATGGGTAAACTGTCTTAGGTATTTATGAATGCATCAATAATTATTACATCATTACATTCAAATCTGCAGCCTTATAATTAGTACTTTTCCAGCCAAAAGAAACGTTTTTGGAAAAAAAAGTAATATTTTTCTTTCTATCTTTCCCAGATTCTTTGACACCACTCCCATAGGTCGCATCATTAACAGATTTTCGGCAGACACACACACTATAGATGAGGTAAGAGCAGTATTTCATTGGACTCATCATTCCCCGATATTAGTTTAATTATGTAACCCTCCTCTTGTTTGATCATTCACAGACAGTCAAATATTTCTTCCACTTGAAAACAAGTACATTTAAAACCGGCTAGGGGCCTGGTCGCGGATGATGTCCCTCGTCTTCGGCTTGGGCCACTATCCACATCAAGTCTCCTAGCTGGTTTTAATCATACTCATTTAAAACTGGTCAAGCACATGTTTATTCCCTTAAAAACACATGGCTTCTCTCCACCCAGGAGTAAATGGGTGCCTGTGAGGGCAGAGATGGTTATTGAGATTGAAATAGCTTCCTTGCGCCTAACAGGCTGCATTGAGCTGTATACTCCCCAGGGAGCTGAGATGGTATTTGGAATGTTTCATTGGCCCAATGAGCAGGGTAATAATGATGTAGCGCCTTGAGCACCAGTCCTGGTGGATACGTGCGCTTTATAAATACCCACTATTAATATTATTATTATTATTATTATTATTATTATTAAAAACAGTCACTTGAATGATTTTTACTGCCGTGATGGCGTAGCTGAAAGTGCCAGCCAGAGAGGGAGGCATTTATTGTTATACTGAAATCAAACTATCCTTCTTCATCTTGATTAGTATTATTTTGTCTGTATATTTTCGGAAACGTTTTACGCGTTACTTTTGAAATATTTTCCAATTTTTAAAAAAAATTTTTTTCCAGAAGCTGATGATGTCCTTCGACGCAATCTTCTACCACCTAACGAACATCTTAGCTGCTTTAATCATCAACGCCATCATCAGTCCGCTCTTCCTCGTCTTCACCTTACCCTTCTGTGTCTTGTACTACTTCATCCAGAAAGTCTTCATCACAACCTCCAGGTTGACACACAAATCGAGGAACTCAACTGGTTTTTTTTGGGGGGGGGGGGGGTTTCAGAAAAAAACTACCATATTTCATGAACCCTGTGTATTTAAATTTGGATTCAATTTACTAAAATACAACTTCTGTGTTTTCTAACAGTCCCAATTTCTTCTTCGTCTTTTTTTGGTGTCAACTTGTACAATGCATTTAGAGTTCCCCCATAGTTAAAAAATCATTTCATGCTAACTTATTAAGCTCTGAAACCACACATTTGTTTCTTTTGAAATGTGATTTAAAGTGTTTTCAACTTTTGCCGTGATACAGAGAGCTGCAAAGACTTGACAGCACCTCCAAATCGCCCATTTTTGCCTTCTTTTCTGAAACCCTTGGCGGACTGTCTTCTATAAGAGCTTACCGGTGAGTCTGAAATGAGTGTTCACCCTTGCCTTACTCAACCCATCCCCCCTAACACCTCCACCCCAACACTTCACCACCTCACCACCCGCACCCCCACCACCCGCACCCCCGAACATCACCACTATCCAGAACTATTTGTTGTACTCCACAGTAGAGCACGTGAGTTTATTGAGTCGGAGGCTTTTGCCAAACTTCTGTCAAAACAACTTGCGTCAAAAATGTCAAAACTGACCCAATGTCAAATATATCCAAAGGGCGTCATGTCCAAATAACTCAAGCAAATGTATACTGAGGATTTAAAAGGCCAAACTTATGTCAGATGTCTCAATACAACTTTTGTCAATATGGTGAAAATGACTTCACGTCAAATATGTCAAAAAGTTTGTCAAATATGTCAAAACACCTTGGAGGTCAGACAAATGTTTTATGGGCAATGTTCTTTTGAAGGATTGGATTTTACGTCAGTTTAAATCTTGGAGCGGCTGGATTTTTTCAGCTTTATATTTTGTTAAGATCTTTCCTTGGTAGAGCACAGTGTTTTTTTCCGACAGCAAGCACCAGGCATTTTTTGACGACATCATGCAGCGAGTGGCCACCAACAACACAGCATACCTGTACCTGCAGACAAGTATAAAATGGCTGGCAGTCAGATTGGTGAGTCAGTGTTGCCATGGAGATGTAATGTGTGCTGTGCATCACCTGTGAGGGCGCTGTTTCAGGGATGCTTTTCTTTTAAAGTCCACACAAGTTCTGCAAGTCCACATAATTAAGTCAATTACAATAATACAGTCTTGCGTGACAATGAATAAAATGAATTGTTACTAGACGCCTCCCTTTGTCGTTGTTCATGCCCTCTGTTTTGCGATCTTACTTAACTTGACTTTTGACCTACTGAAGTCATGATTGTCTTCAAATTGTCTTGTGATTGTCTTGAAAACTTCTGCTTAAAGTTTTCACAAGTTTTACCCTGAATATCTGTTGCAGCTCTTAGTTGTGTGTTTAGAAAAAAAGTAATTTTCAAATGAACCACACAGGGAAACTAACTAGGTGAATTTTATTATTTTTGTTTTATTAGGATTTAGTGGGTGCATTTGTTGTACTAATATCGGGCCTAACAACTGTACTGGGCGCCCTTCACGGCACTGTGGACTTAAGTCTAGTAGGCCTAGGCATCAGCTATGCACTCATGGTTAGTACTGGAATAAACATCTTCAACTGACTCTTTCCTCCTCTTTACTAATTTTGGGGTCATCCTTGGTATTGTTTCAATTAAATTGGTTTCATTCCACATTTTGGTAAACATATTTTCATTTAATTTGAGTTCATTCTTGTAAGCTTTTACTTCTTTCTAATCTTGATTGATTTTCGGCAACTATTCATTTTGGTCATCCTTAATTCATTCACGGTCAACTGGAATAATTTCTGATCGACCTTAATTCATTTTGGTCAACTCTGTTTTGTGCCCATGCAGCCAACCTGAATTTGTTTTCAGGTAGACATTAGATGCAATTTTTGTTTGTTTGTTTGTTTGTCACAGGTATCCATGTTCCTGCAACAGTTGGTCCAGTATATGGCCGAGGCCGAGATGGAGATGAACGCTGTGGAGAGAGTCAAGCACTACACCACACTCACAACTGAATCTTACCAAGGTATGCGCAATTCTAAGGGGCGCTGTGCAGTTTTTGTCATATCGCTTGGTCTCCCAGTTTGAGATATTCTTGGTTTCCACTTGTTTTTGACAGGTATGGAGCCTCCCTTTGATTGGCCATCCAAAGGAGCCATCTCTATTGAAGACATCTCGGTGAGGTATGCCGAGGAGCTAGATCCAGTACTGAAGGATGTGACCGTCCATATACAGGCCGGAGAAAAGGTATTCAAACATCTCTAAATTTTTTAACATTGTTGTCCTTTTTTTTCTCCAAATGATCAATTGCATTTGCAGATCCAGGAGGGTCTACTCAGGTTTCTTACACACTGGACTTCACTCTCATAATTTTTCTCAGTCGATCATCAACCCCTCTGTGAAAGTTGTCGTGCAAAAATGCTAGTGGCTGTTTCGCTGATGCCGATATTCTTGATACGTATGTTGAAAGAGCCTTTAGTTAATTTGTTCTCCCTCCTAACTGATTTCTGGCTCCACCCTGATTTAAACTTTTTGAATTCCTGTTTGGAACAAGTCTCTCATCAGCTGATACGTGCTCCATACCAAGTTTCACCACTCTGCTGATAAGTGAAGAGTCTTGGTATTTCATGGTTTCTATCTTTTGCTTTGGCTCAGGTTGGGATCTGTGGTCGCACTGGTAGCGGCAAATCCTCCCTCACGTTAGCTCTCCTTCGCATAGTAGACACATTCAGAGGTAAGTAGTGGGATTAAAACCTGACTTTTTTAAAATTTGGTTTTTGAATTTCACTATTCGGTTTGAATTTTGGAAACTGAATATTCGAAACCAACCTTTAAAAAAATGAAGCCTTCCATTTTTGGGGACACAAGCTCAATGAAAATATCTGGAACATCCAACAAATTGCTCCGTGGTCTCTGATTGTGACCACGTTCACCCACTAAGGCCAAAAACAAAAAATATTCGGTCTCTGGTCAGACCAAAGTTCCGGAAATGACGCGGCCACTTTTTTTTTTTTTTTTTTTTTGCTTTTTTTTTTCCTTCAAGCTTGGTTTGTACAGACAAGGTGGGTACTATTTTGCTTTTTTGGTGTCCTCATGTACATTGGTGTCCTCCATATTATTGCCTTGGTGTGTTCGATCATTTGCCTTGGTGCAATTTCCCATTCCTTGGTGCTCTTTGGTAAACAAAATTGAGGAGGTGCGGAAATAGAGGGCGCTGTTGGAGTTACCGTGGAACATTTTGGAAAAATAAAGATCGACGCGCATGATTAAAATCGACGCGCGCGCTGACCAGAGACCGACTTATTTATTTTTTTTTTGGCCTAATGGTCTTCTTGGTTCACAAATAGCCTGCTCATTGGACTGATCAGCGAGTTCCCGCCCATTTTTTTACCACAAGTTCAACCCTGGAGTGTTTTTGTAAGGGCCCAGTGGTCGGTGAATCTAGCAAACTGTACCCATTTATCGTGGCTCGTCACTCGTCACTTTTTGTTGGCATGACTGAGCTGAATAACTTGAGAACTTCCGATGAAATTAGATAACTGTTATTCGGTTTCAAAAAAAGTAGGATAACCAGATTTTGAAATTTCCGTTTTCTCACACAGTAGTAACAAGCAATTAGTTGTATTTGGGTAGAGGACTCTGTTTAAAAGTACTGATGATTAGTGCAATTATTTAAACAAGGGAAAAATTTTGAAAGGGATTAACTGAAGTTTTAAAGTCCAGATTTACAATTTTATCGACCCAAGATAGTTAAGTTGATGTAGTCCACTTTGACTATTCATGATACAGGTCGCATATTAATTGACGACATCGACATAGCCAGCGTGCCGCTGACGACTCTCAGGCGACGCCTGGCCATGATACCTCAGGACCCGGTTCTCTTTGATGGAACCATCAGGTGAGGTCAAAGGTCACCAGATTGTTTGAAAGGTCAAATTTACTGCTATACATTATAAACAATTGTATAGAATACACTAAATTTTGTTTAATTTATTGGTTTTAAAATGAAACATTTTGTGAAATTTGTATTTTGAGATGAATTTCTCTCAAAGAAGCGTGGCTAATATACAAACTAAAATGAAAACTGCATTTCAAATATTCCCTTCCTTATTTAAAGTAATCGTTCTGAATTATCTTTGATGACAAATCCGTAGAAAATTCTGGAAAAAAATTGATGCAAAAGTGTATGATTGAATGAAAATTACAAGGGACTCTTTATGAGTGTATTTTTTTTATTACATAATGGAAGTTTTAGAAATCACAATTTAATGAATAATGCAGACATGATAGTCTTCTGTTTTGTTTTTCAACTTTTTGTGCACTAAATTTTGTCCGTTTTTTTACAAAGGATGAATCTTGATCCTGAGGATAGAAAGACAGAGAAGGAATTATGGGATGCCCTGGAGACAGCCCAGCTCAAAGAACTTGTCATGTCCATGGAAGAGGGAATAGGTTCGGTTTTTTTTATGAGACTTTTGCAGACACACTTATAAAACTTTCACTGTAAAGATACTTTTGACAAAACTTTTAAAGATACACTTGTAACACTTTGACTCTAAAAAGCATATAGATGCTTTAATACCTTGCAGTGTTTAACCGTTCCTAGGATATTTCTACTCAAACGTGCGGTTCTTGTCAGAGGAGTTGGTGTTTGGCTAGGATTTTCAGGGTCAATAGTTCAGCCCATACTAAAAAGGTCAATAGTTCAGCCCAGGCTAAAAGGTCAATAGTTCAACCCAGGCTAAAGGGGCACAATTATTTGGCTATGTGTGAATGAGGAACTTGTGACTATTAAATTATTTGACTGAAAAAGTGTTGGCATAATTTAAAAAACTAAGCAAAACAAACTTTATTTTAAGGTACAGTCCTTTAGTGGAAATTCAGTAATAAACAGAATAAGGCCAACCAATTTCTGCTATTTTATATTTAATGAATGCAACTAAATCACTTCTCCAAGTTTTTAAGCTGGGGAATTGGATTATGATATTGAAAATTATTTTAGATCATTTCTGGTTAGATATAGGGAAAGAATTCCATACCTGGACATCACTTGACACCCTGTGCACAAACCCTATGAGACTAGTCTGAAAAAGTGTTTTCTCAGTAAATGCTTCAATATTGTCCCTGCTAAATTTGACTTTTTAGGACATGTTATCGCTTTCTGATGGCTGATAGGTCATTGTAGGGAAAAATTAGTGATGTCCATGTATGGAATTCTTTCTAGATATAGACCTTTGTTTGAAACCGACTTCTAAAGGTCAAATGTGTTGTCTGCTGGCTCGATGAAATGAGTACAAGTGAAATCCTCGATCCCATCTTGCACGTGCCTTTCTTGCTTGTACCCGAATATCTGGATAACATCCTGTAATGATTTTCAGATACCTGGTTCTCAAAGTATCCTTCCATGCACAACCTTAGCACCCACAACCTCTTCGTGTGATTTGAAATCCCCTGCATTTTAATTGTCTGTCTGCAGATTCACAGGTGTCGGAAGGTGGGGAGAATTTCAGCATCGGGCAACGACAACTCTTCTGCTTGGCTCGTGCCTTCCTGCGCAACACCCCCGTGCTGATAATGGATGAGGCCACTGCGTCGATCGACGTGGAAACTGTATGTAGATAAGCTGTGTTGTTTGTTGGTTGGTTGTTTTGTTTCTTAGTCTGTGTCTTATATTAGGTAATACGTGGTTTGTGATTTGTTGGTACATGTAATTAACTTATTCTTCGTTTTTTTTGGTTTGTATAGTTCATTTATGGACAGACGAATGTGTTTAATGGGTTGATACATTTTGTTGGTCAACCATTTTGTTGAAGTTTTATTGAAATTATAATTTTATTGAAATTGTCATGCACTGTAAGTGAATTTTGTTCTATTTTACGTGATTTAAATCTGCAGGACAGAATTCTTCAGCAAGTCGTCGCCACAGCTTTTGCCTCCAAAACTGTTCTGACAATCGCAGTAAGTACATAACATTACTCTGACAAATCCCAAAGATATTTTTTAAATTTTCATCAAAATAAAGATGTGGTTGTAATATTTTTCTTAACTTTCTTTTTTGTTTGCCAAAAACAAACTTATTAGAAATTAAATGTCAAATTTATTAATGCTTTATATTTATTGTATTGGAAATTCAAAGACCAAAAAAGATTTTAAATCCAAACTGAAGGGGAAATAATTAAAATCTGAGTCTGTACTTTTGTTGTTTTACCATAGCATCGTGTGGCCACCATCTTGGACTCTGACACCATTTTGACCTTGAGCCAGGGCGAGGTCATAGAGCACGACACGCCTGAAAACCTTCTAGCCAATCCGGACAGCGTGTTTGCCTCTCTCGTCAATGCAAACCAATAGGGTAACAGGCAGCAGATGCGGATTGGATATGTGGCCCATCCCTAGGGGGTGGGGAGTCCAAAGGGACCTCCCCCTCCCTTCCAGGCTAGCAATTGCCCCCCCCCCTTCCCATTAGCAAAAAACCATAAACATACAGATTGTCTAGAATAGTGTTTTTCTTGGGGTGTGCCTCCCTAGTTGGCACTTTGGTTTCTTGCCCCCCTCCCCCCTCCTCCCTCCTGCCTGAAGCTGGTGACTGGGATTGTGGGATACTTTTGACCAATCAGATTAAGGCATTCAGAGATTCGTCCAATCGCCTGTTACCATTGCCAAACGTAATGAAAATATCTAGTGTCTGTCTGCAGAGTGGCCATACATTTACAGTTTTTTTCTTCTTTTTTTGTTTTTAGGCCTGGGAGCCTAGTTGCAAATTGTACCCAGAAGGATCGTCAGACCAATTTTGAATGGGGGTTGGGGGGGGGGGCATTGAAACTTACCCAGATTGATAGCAAGATATTTGATGGAGGAGAATGCCCAGAAAGAAATCTGAGTAACAATATAGTTTGTCTGTCAATTGTCAAAGTAGCAATTTGACTGCGAAGTGAAGGTTTTGAAAATATCTTGGATGGAATGTATTTCTTAAAAGAAAAGTAAGAGTTTCTTTCAAGATATCTCTTATGGGTAGCAGGGAGTAGGGTGCAAATTTCTAATTGCAATATGTCATGAAATAATAGATATTTGAAATAAGTTTGAATTTTTTTTTTTTTTTTTTATCTACTCGCGGCTAAGTTGATAAGATTTAAAGCAAGTCGCCACCAGTGTGTGCTTTATGGGAGGTGTATTCATGTACTTAAAAAGTATAATTTATGCGTTTGTTAACAATAATTGAAGACACAGTTATTTTCAATTACTTAGAATTTTAGTACAGGCTTAACAGTAAAATAAAGCCATCCCGAAAGGAATCTTATATACATCTTAAGATTTAAAATATTCTTTTGAAATTGTTTTTTTTTTAATTTAAATATTGGGAAAAACAAAATTTGACCAAAGAAATTTTATAACATTTGTAATCTTTCAGTAAACTTTGGATTTTTGTGTTTTTATTACTGTGGTTTGTATAAATTTCCATAATTATTGCATTCAGTTATTGTGCAATATTACTGTGAATTATCAGTATTAAATCAAAGGACCTTGCTTTGATTTGTTTGTGTTTTTTTTTTCAAATGGTGTTAATTAGTCAAACTATTTTCAAATTTATTTTGATGAAGAATGCGCAGGACGCCGCGCTCTCCCGCCTGTTCTGAATGAAATTGATAATATATATATATATATTCACAAATCCTGCACAAAATTCTATCACCTGCACCCGTAGAACCACCCATTTTAGAGGTCGCTTGGAGGCCCACCGGTTTAAAAGATTCAGCCCCACCCACCAGGTGCTCTAACTAATCAAATTAGTCAAAATGCAGTCAACATTTCATAAATCATATTTTTTCAGACTTAAATTTATGCACACAACAGTTTAATATGCTGCGCTAAAAAAGGTGAAAAAAGACATGTATTTGTACTTGTTCAAGACAAGCAGGCGTTTCCATGCGGTGTACACAATGTTTCGTCTGCTCAGTGTTTTTACCAGCTTCTTCGTCCAATCAAATTGGCTAGATTGACGAGTAGACGTGACCCTTTACATACTTCTGACCAATGAGAGACGGGCCACGCGAGCCACGCGTGCAACGTCACGAATACCCTCGAATGCCTTCCCGTCTTATCAAAGAGGGCGCTTTATTAAATTATCACTCCACGGGGGCCAAAGGGGGTTTATGTGACGTCGCAATAAGGCAGGTGTGGCAGGTAATTCTGTCCCCCCTGGTAAATGTGTCCCCCGGACAAATTTACCGGCTCGTGACCCGGTAAATCTGTCCGGGGGGACACTTTTACCTAGGTAGATCAGTCCCCCTCCCTGGTAAATATGTCCCCCTGCCAAACGTTGAAAGTGTCCCCCTGGTTAATGTGTCCTCGTGCAAGTATCACCCATGCGATGATACGAGTCGTACGTTCGCGCACGAGCGCGCATCGCCGCAAAAACATGCTGCAAGATTTGCTGCAGCGTTTATCGCATGTGTATATATACATGTAGATGTGTATCCCGCCACGCAAAGGAATCATTCATCCAATAGGAAATTTCGTTAGGCGCTACGATGGGAACGCAGACCAATATCAATGAGGCGTCCACCGTAGAATAGGGCATAGGGCTACTGTTCTATATAGTGCATGACCTTGCTGTATTTTCACCGTACTCCGAATCGATCGAAACATTGTGTTCACATTTACATCTAATAAGAAAGAGACCAAACAGTTAAATGTTTTCATCTTCATGAAGGGTAGACTAAGTTAAAAAAAAATGTATACATTGTAGAGTGAATTCATCAAAACAATATAGAGAACTGCATGGCGCCTTCTGCGTTGCAAAACTTAAGGGGGACTGACAAAAAAACCTGGAGGGGACAGAATTACCTGAAGGTGGACAGAATTAACGGGCTGGGGAGGACACTTTTACCGAGGTAAATCTGTCCCCCGGACACTTTTAACGGGGTACAGAATTACCGTCCACACAGGCACAAGGGCGGATCCAGGGGGGGCCAAAGGGGGCCATGGCCCCCCCCAAAACGAAACCAATTTTTTTTTTTTTATGTGACATCGCAATAAAGGCAGGCAATGAGTACACCACCATCTTTTCCTCAAAAAAACATTGGTTAAAGTGGTCAGAAATTGCCTCAGATCGCACCACAGAGCATCTAGAATCCAAAAAAATTTCGGGGCCCCTAAGCGGGCCCCGAACCCCACGCCGTAATTTTTTTGACCCACTTTTTGGGGGGACCAAAAATTTTTTTGGCCCCCCAAAAAAATTGTGTTCTGGATCCGCCCTTGCACAGGCAATGAGTACACCACCATCTTTTCCTCAAAAAACATTGGTGAAAGTGGTAATAAATTGCCTCAGATCGCACCACAGAGCATCTAAAATCCCCCCCCCCCCGGGCCCCACGTACGTCACGCATGCGCGGTCGCCGCTGCGATCGTCACGCACGGGGAATTCCCGGTGACCGTGACGCCAGCGTTTCATTTCTGTTGGAAGTTATTCATTATTCCACCCACACAAACATAAGGTGTGTACTCTTTGAGCATTTTTGTCTATAGCCACCAGAGTAACTGCGGGGAATTATGATATATTTGTGACGGGTTAAAATATACCCCCTTAATTTCATTAGTTCCTTTAATATGTAGTAGTTCCTTTAATCTGTAATAGTTCCTTAAAACATGATTACATAACAAATATCACTCCGCCACCTACCGTAATTAGTTAGTCAACCATGGAGGAATATAATAGGAACAAATGGTTCAACTACCGGCAACCTTTAAGCTTCCCACGTACTGCGCCAAACACTGATTCGACCGAGTACATCACGTACCCTGTTTTACTCTCTCACAGGTAATTTATATTTTGCTTATTTTACTCTTATCTTTATAATTATCTCCATTGATATGCATTCTTACCGTTCTTATTCCTCCATGCTTTTATTATCAACTTTACTTGTACGTTCTTTATCTTGCATTTATATTCAACATTTGTGGCATTTACTGTAATTTTTGGAATAATGATTTGGCTGCAAGAACAGATGGCAGCCAACGCCGATCGTTTGGCGCGAATCGCAGTTCATTCGTGATTAAGCTATGACTTATTATTTACATTGAAGTTGCATTTATTTTGATTGGATAATTGAGTAGATTGTTAGGTTGACCTTTACATGTACATATTTGGTTTGGATTTTTAACTATTTACTTAAAGAATAGTTGGCCACATTCAAACACTGATTCGACCGAGCATGGAGGTAGAATCTAATTCTACCTCCATGGACCGAGTAACATCACCCTGTTTTACTCTCTCACAGAATAAAGAATTAACGTCAAAGTGAACTGGCCGTATTCCAAGTGTCCCTATTTTCGACGCCGATTCCCGGTGTCACCTATTCATTACACAAAGTGTACTTTTTGAGCATTTCTGTTGTGCCCGAGTGGTATAAACTGCGCGGCGGGTGTTTGTGTTCTTGTAAACTGGCCAAAGCGCACAGCCAGATGACCTTGGACACATAGAGATAAGCGCTCCCGGGCTCTGTGTATACACAGTATATAAGTAGCGCTGCCTAGCACGTGTACAATAAACCATGAATAAACAGACCCTACGCGCTGAGCCATTGAGCAACGGCAAATTTTATTGGAGTTTAGATGTACAATTCTTTAGTAAATGAATACACGCGAGCCTAAACCTTAACTAATCACAATAAGGGTTATATTGTTGGAAAGCTGGCGAGACGAAGAAAAAATGACTCGAGAGATCTAAGCTCCCAGGTGGCGCTATTTAACGTTATGATGATGTTATATGGACCAGTTCTTGGCTGAACGCGTGGCTTACATACAAAACAGGGAGATTTTTGACTGTTTAACCATAGAGCAAGGACCCAAGGAGTTCGTGCTCCAAGACTTCAAAAGTAAACTGAAGGTCGCTGCGCTCGAAAGCAACAATAGCACCTGGCGGCCAGCTTGCTCAGTTGGTACTACGCTAATCTCGACACAATAGAGATCCGCGCTCACTAGTGCCAGAAAAGGAGTTTGCATGGCTTCGGAGACAGTACCATGGTAAATACGCAGGCGCAGTTGTCATACATCGCTAAAAATGAATGATTTTGAAGTGTTTGTTCGCAGTTGGATGATACTGTATATATAAATGTGGTCAACATCACTGGAACCAAATGCTCTGTACCTTTAGTGTGAAAACTTGTGAAATTTTCCAAAAAAACATCATCAATTTCATCAATGATATTGCCAATAAAAATGTCTGTAAATACATGAAAACTTATCTGAAAGAAATCCAATTTATCTCCAAATTACAGGGACAGATAACGTTTTTAAGCACCAACAACTGCACATTGCTAACTTGAGTTCATAACTCACATCTAACAACTGCGCAGTTGTAAAAACCTATCTTGTCGTAAAATATATTTTTCAAAAAAGAGCAGCGACGTGACATGACTTATTATGCAGCATATAGGGAGGTTGTTGGTTACCAAAAAGGTGGCGACGATCATCGTGTTCAAAGGCCGCTGGCATTCACGCTTTGAATGGTCGAGGCTTGCAGTCACAGTGCTGTAGCTATAGACATTCCTGAGGGATTGGTATGTTAATGGTCAAAATGTAAATCGCCCGAGAGTTCTGACTGAAACTCAGTGTTTTATTCAGTTTTTCTTTCATTTTCGAAAGAGTATATTGTTAGGGTCACACTGTACTATTGTGATGAGATCTAAGGTATACCCTGTCGAATAATGAAGTGGTGGCGACAGATGTGAAAAAAAGGCCCGTTTTTAATGATTTTTTTCGCCGCGTTCTCTCATACTCATAGAGGTAGCCCCATAAATGTGGCCTATTTACTGGACTGCCTCCGTAAACATAGGCCACACATCCACATGTACAAAAACGTGTCGCACTTTGCCAAATTTTGATTTTCACATTTAGGCTTAGTTTGTAGGATTTTTTTTGCGTTAGAAGCATACTCACCCTCTTTATAGGCTAGTCAGAAAGTGCTGCCTTTTTCAGATGTCTAATTTTTGTGAAATTTCATGTTGAAATTTTGATACGCAAGCGTGTAAAAATGAATCTGAAAATTTCACGAAAAAATCATAGAGGTTGCACATAAAAACCGGCCCGGTGGGTTAGTTCCCCAAAGGAATTCATATGGTGAACGTGGCTACGTTCACAGGTCTAGGCCATGGCCCACGAGTTCCGAATACGCGCAAACAGCATTGTAGTGGAGCGTTGAATTACGGGTACCCCTCCATACAAACGCTCCACCGATTTGGCATACTTTGGTGGAGCGTCACAGTAGCATAGTGTACATACCCACGCGAGGACAAAAAGACCCCCCGAAAAACGGTGAAGAGAATACAAATGAGAGAAACAGTTACCCTGGATTGATCTACACATTCATGACATTCCATCAGACCCCTTATATTGCTCCCAAACAGCAAAAATTTAGGGGAAAAAAGCAAAGTACAATGTAGTCTGAAAACTTACAGCTCAATGTGTTTGCCGTGAGGCTCAGTCCTTGCCCCGACTTGCCGAATGAGGGCGTCTGACGTGACGTCACCGTCGTTGCTCGATCGAAGAAAAACAAGTCGCGCTTTATCAACGACTGTTTCGTGTAATGATACGTGCTCCGATGTGGCTATCGATTTGAATTGCCATTTTCAGAATTGCAATTTCAGAAGAAAAATAACCATTAACGATGGGATTTTCATTTGTCAGTATATTAGTAGTTCTTTGACACGAGTTTCATGTGGGTATCCGTCATCATTAATTTGTTTGGAACGTGTACGTTTCAGCCGTCTCCACCTTGGGTGTGTTCAATACCCATACTGTCGTACGGCGCGAATCGGAGCACGTATCATTACACAAAACAGTCGTTGATAAAGCGCGACTTGTTTTTCTTCGATCAAGCAACGACGGTGACGTCACGTCACGTCAGACGCCCTCATTCGGCAAGTCGGGGCAAGGACTGAGCCTCACGGCAAACACATTGAGCTGTAAGTTTTCAGACTATTTTGCTTTTTTTCCCCTAAATTTTCGCTGTTTGGGAACAATATAAGGGGTCTGATGGAATGTCATGAATGTGTAGATCGATCCAGGGTAACTGTCTCTCTCATTTGTATTCTCTTTATCGGTTTTTGGGGGGTCTTTTTGTCCTCGCGTGGGTATGTACACTATGCTACTGTGACGCCGTCACCAAAGTATGGCAAATCGGTGGAGCGTTTGTATGGAGGGGTACCCGTAATTCAACGCTCCACTCAGTAGAGCTAATATGACCCCAGATAACTAATTAGGCCTAGGCCTAAACCAAACTGTTCTAAGAGGGTTCAAGAAATAAGCCATCGATAAAGAATCCATATTGAATTCTTAATATTTAGGGTTTTTTTTTTTTAAATTATTTCGTTGCAGGTTGTTTTAGACTCGGAAACGGCCAGCGATGGACAGTTCAAATGAAACCGTCGACGATCCATGGAAATGGTTTTGCTGCAGTAATTCCTCCCTCTGGACGAACAATGATGTAGTACGGACGGTCTGTCTGATTGACATTGTCAATTTCATCTCTCACACTGCCTGTTTTGCCCTGTCGTCGCTCATCCTGCTGATCTTAACATGTTGCTCCTGTCGGAAAGGATGGGATTTAAAATATCTGAAAAGGTATAAAGAGCAGTTATGGTACCCACCTACTCTTCAACAGAAACACTTGTGACAATATTAATTCATTGGAATGGCTGCATAGATGATTGTCTAATAATAATATGCGCAGGAGGCTGTTGCATCTTAGCTGGGTCTTGATCGCAGGGTTTTAATGAACATGCCCTTTTGGCAGGCATGCAACTTTTCCTTGGATCCCGGAATTTCCTCGTTTTTTACTTCTTGTGACTGCCATTACAAATTGAAAAACACTGTACAAAATCTTGTTTGGTTTCCTCATTTTTTTTCTTCTAAATTCTCAGTTGCATGCCTGTTTTGGATTTTAAATGTTATGTACTGTACAATTATACCAGCCACTATACTGAACAATCTTGTGGACTCCATTGTGATTGTAATATGGAGGCATTTTTGCTTAGAGAATGTTACAGTGTGGATTCGCGAACAATCAAATTCCACACAGAATTTATATTCAAAGGCCAACATTTTGGTAAATTGTGTTTTTTTACCTTCTTGTACTCCAACTGCACCGTGACTTGGAGTTGACTTGCTCGACCATGTTTCTTCTCGCTGCAGGTATCCTCTGCATTCTGCTCAGTGGATCTTAATGCTCCTCGTCATCTTACTCGACCTCTTCTCCGTCTCTGAGGGGCTCCTCACCGACGAATCCTTCCGTGTCAATGGGCTCGCCGGGATCGCATACCCCACCCAGCCGCACCTCTACGTCCCGCAGCTCTGCGCGCTGGCGTCAGCTTTCATGGCAATGCTGTGCTATCACTTCATGGAGGCATGGCGGCTGCCTCAGTTGGCCTGGCTGCTGATGGTCTACTGGGGTGTCTCCTTGATCGGGGAGCTGCTGCATCTCCTGGGGATCGTCAGGCTGGAGCTTGGGTCGGTTGCTGTGCTCCGATTTGACCTTTCCGTGCTCTCACTTGTGGTGTACTTCGGACTGTTTGCTCTGCAAGTTAACAACATCAGGGTGAAGGTAAAATAGTCAGACTTTTGCCCTTCACTAGTGTCATTTTTGTATATGTAGTGCTGTCTGAAAGCGTACGAGAAAGAAAACACAAGCTTGGCATCTACGAAACTGAAGATGGTCCAAGAAAAACGTGGCAAGATTGTGACTCGATCACCGTGGCGAGACATTTTGATGCAGCAAGATGTAGTTGTTACTCAGTGAGTGCCCATATAACTCACTTCGATGAGTAAGTATCTCAATTTGGGGCACCTTTAAAAGTGAGGAACATTAGTAACAAAAATGCTAAGGATCGTTACACAGTGGACAAAAGCACCATTTTTTCACCAAAGTATCTCCATGGTATACCTTTTTGAAAAAAAGACGGACGCAAATTTTTTTTTTTAAATTATAAAGACAATTTATGTCATTTTTTTGTTTAGAATATACTGTTGCTCTTATAACGTTTCTACTGTACTGAAAAGTCGAAAACCCTGTATTTTTATCTCCATTCTTTGTTCCATTTAATTCTGGACAAAGAATTGTATCATTATGCATGACATCGCATGTAAATATTATTCTTGCTAGGCCGCTTTCTTACATTTAGTAAATTCCGTCGTGTATGTTTTGTTTTATTTTCCGAGCCCTTACGGCGTGGGGCCACAGGGCCAGGGGCCTGCTTTAAGGCCCCTGAAAATGTTGGATTCTGGATGCACTGTGATGAAATAAATACTGAAGTATATACTTAAACTTATAAAACCCGAAAGGGTGTTTTTTTGGTTCAAGTTAAAACAAAATGGTTCCACTGGAAGTGGGTGAATTTCTGTTCATAAAAATATTCACATAGGCCTAAACGATGTAGCTCTTGATATATTTGCAGTGTTATTTGTTTGTTACAGGGAATGGCAAATATAAAAGACTAACAGACCAAATGCATCTTTATGTTTATGATCGGTAGGTGGCAAGTTTGGGGCTAGGCAAGGATTTATCGGTCTACTGAGTTTTTATGAGAAAAAAATTGCAAAGGGTAACGCATGATAGCTTTTTTATTAAAACGAAACTACACTGGAACTAGTTTCAATGGAAGCCCGTCCCACTCCTATTAGGTTGGGAGTGTGTGAACCTTGATATTTGTTAATATTGAGTACAGAATGCTAGCAACGTCAATCAAACTTTTAAATGAAAAGAAAAACCTTCAGGGGAAAGGTATGAACTTTGCCCCTATTGAAAGATCGAATGAAACAAATCCTGGCAAGCATAATCAACTTTGCCACCATCGTCATGGCCGAGGTTATTTTTTTCGGGTCAAAGCTTCCATCCGTGGCGGAAATATCATAGACATGTCATGATTTTAGATACACTGAGAGAAATATCGATTCTGCATTGCCTGAAAATTTAGAAAATACCCCCTCCTGATATTTTACAGTGTTACTTTGTATATGCAGTATATGCTCAGGCAGTGTGTTTTGTCCACGGGGCTCTCAAAAGTGGTAAAAAAGATTGGTCCTTTCTTGTTCGCGAATGAAGCTCAAAATTAATTTATGCATGTTTTGATTACCCTCCATTTAACCACTCTAACAGATTTGCAGGTCCAAGAGAACATCTCACAAGTACGACCCTCTGGCTCCCAAGGACACCATGAAGTTCACCCAAGAGTTCAGCAGCTTCATCTCTGAGGTGACTTACGGGTGGCTCAACTGGGTCTTCCGGCTCGGCTACAAGCGACCCTTGGAGATGGAAGACCTCGGGCAGCTCCCCGAGGTCCACTCGGCCAGCTACATCCACGAGAAGTTCAAGGAAGCCTTCAAGAAGGAACAGGTAAACCCCAAAATGTCCTCGTCCCTGAGATTCTAAGGTATCCTGCTGTAGGGGTGCTTATGTCGTGTAAGTGCAAGTCTGTTGGATATGACAGAATCCACCAACAGCTAAGTGTGGAGTCCGTTGGATCCAACAGAATCTAATGGTTTCAAAATCCCGCAGGTTCACCCTTTCAGATTTCCTCTAGGCACCTTGCTGATTCCAAGAGAATCCAACGACTGCAAATTATGAAGTCTGTTGTATCCTACAGAAACCAACAGAGGAAAACGAGAAGCCTTTCAAAGGAAACCTTGCTTTGAGTCGAGAAAAATGAAGATGAATTTTCACAGTTTTCTAAAAATTTATCCACTGGGCTGAAATTTTGACAAGATATTTCCTTTTTAAATAACCTGCTTCAGATTTACGTTGTTCCTCAGAATCGGCAAAAGTCTTTTTTCTTTATTTTCTAAATCCTGACAATTATCTTAATGTTTTCATGACAGGAGAGGGCGAAGTCCAAGGGTCTGAAGCCCTCCCTGTGGCGAGTCTACTGGGCTATCCATAGATGGAGGTTGGTGTTTGCGCTCTTCCTGAAGCTGACTGGCGATATGTGCGGGTTTGTCGGACCCTTGGCGCTCAATAGCATCATCTTGTGGGTGGAAAGAGTCAAGGATGAATCTCAGGTATGTTGAGAAATTGAAACAATTCTAGAGCAGGTCCTGTTCACCAACTCCTGAGCTGGGGGTGGGGGGCAGAGAGGGGGATGGGGTTGGGGTGGAGAGGGGTACATGCAGTCTCCGACCATTGACAATTATATTTTCTAATCAACGTATTGGTTAAATTTAGTACATGTACTATAAATGCGTTATAGTCATTGAATTCGGTACTGAAAGCTCAAACGTGATTGTGCTAAGTCAATTTTGTCCAAGTAGTCTTGGTGTCTTATCTCACCTGATAATAATCAGCTGTGACTACGAAGTAGGGTTTAACTTAACTTGACAGTGTGTAGTATTCAAGAATTTCTGTTGATTTTTGTGGTGTTATTAGGTACCCAGTGAGCCCCATTTCATCACAGTGTCGGAGTTCTTTCAACACGGCTTGGTCCTGGTCGCAGTCACGTTCATCGCTGCGTGTATTCGTACGCTGCTGTTGCAGACGTTTGAGTATTGGTGCTCCCTGGTGGGAATCCACATCCGCTCCGCAATACAGGTGGGGGAAAAAAAATGCCATGTCGGATTCTTGCTTGTGTGAAATTTCCCAAAATGTCAGTGAGCTACTGGTTTTTCAGTTTGTGAAATCCTGTTTCACTAAGTCACATGTTACAGGCATGCAGCTTTTCCTCTGATCTGCTGATTTCCTCGTTTTTTGACTTCTCATGAATGCCATTACAAATTGAAAAACACTGTACAAAGTCTTGTTGGGTTTGGAGTTTCCTCGTTTTTTCTGAATTCCCAGTTGCATGCCTGATGTTAGTCTTGATGCGATTCCTAAAGTTTCATCGTTTCTGCAACTACTTCTGATTTCCCACATTTATAACAAGGAATTAAAATGTTCTTGCATTACTTGATTAATTTGCTTAGTCTCCTGATGATGAGCAAAGTTGACAGTTTGAAACGTCCTGACGTTACTCTCACCATATATTCAGAGCCAACACTTCCTAACAAAAGACATTTATTCATGATGCACTCACAAACCGTGGTACGTGGGTTCAACCCTGACAGGGAACACCGTGCTTGTGTTCTTGGGCAAGACACTTTGCTACAATTGCCTCTCTCCACCCAGGAGTATTAATGGGTAGCTGTGACGGTAGAGACCAGAATGCACTGATCTCGAGCTGCTGCAAAAACTGGTCTAACCCTAACAGTCCTGAATCCTCCAATTTCAATACGTTTTTGCACCCCCCTAGGGATTTAGGGCTAATGGCCTGACGAACAGGGGTAATAACTGCAAAGCACTTTGAGACCTTTGGTAGAAAGCGCTATATAAGCACCACATCATAATTATTACACATTTTACAGACGATGGTATTTGAGAAGTCCCTTCGCATCTCTACCTTCGTCCTCTCCAGCGGTGAGATGACCACGGGACAGATCACCAACCACATGTCCACGGACGCCAAAAATGCCTCCGACATGATGGAGTTTCTCTGCTGGATGGTGACCGTGCCTATACAGGTGAGATATTCAAATTGGAGAGGCTCCCTTCTTGCCTCCATGGGTGTTGCCTACCCCCGTTAATTTTTTGTCGGCAAAATCGTCTCCAGTGTAACTGCAACCCTTTGCTAGTTCATCTCTACAAAGTATCAAATCTTACTTGTTATTCAATTTGTTTTGTTTTTTCTTTTGTGGAGCACACAGACAAAGTATGTAGTTGCCTGCAATCAGGGATCCCGTATTGTCCTGCAATTGTTTGTACTCTAACTTTTTAGGAAGCCCTCCCATAAAATTTTTACCCGATCGCCAAATTGGGGACCTTCAGGAATTGGAGACCCTATTGTCCTCTATTGTTCAACATCCCTTATTGAATGCAGAAACAAACTCATAGTGACTACTACCTACCCCTTGCCATTCCTAGCTCTCCCCCTTGCCAGCCGCAACTGACCCTGACCTCGACTCGACCCCTTCCAAGAATCTGAGATAGCTTGGGGAAAAAAACTACCCAATCAAGCAAGCATGAATGAATCCAATCTACACGATAGTACAGGATTCAAACCAGGGTCACACGAGATGAAGGTCAGAAAACGTGCCTACTCACCAATCAGATGGCATTTGACAAATTATCCACTTAACAGTTATGATCTAACAAGCGATTTGATTGGCTGATTGGTTGCAGATTGGAGTTACCGTGATGCTCCTGATCTTTCAGTTGGGTTATTCTGCTGCTCTGGGCTTGATGATCTTTGTCCTCATAGCTCCTGTTCAACTTGCTTTGGGGAGATACATGGCCAAGCTAGAGAAACAAACTTTGGTAAGACATGCGAAACGCTGAATTCCCACTTTTGAGGCTCCTTGGTGACGTCATAGCACTATTGGAATTAGCGTGTAAAGCGGCGTGTCGTCAAGCGTCACTTTGTGGTGAACGGTTTCAGAGTCTTTAGAGATACACCGCAGAATCTAATTTGTGTTTTTAGTAAATTAGAACTCGGATCGGAATAAAACTTTGTGAAGATGGGCATTTTGTTGAAATAAAAAGGTTCATGACAAAAAATCAATTTGGCCAAATTTTGAGATTTTTTTTTTTTCACCCAGCGGTGGGGTTCTTTTGACCCCCCCCCCAGCATACGGGCCTGGCAAGGTTTGTATTTTACTTACATTGCAATAACTCAAAATTGACACTCTTGCCCAAAAGTGCCTGTGTTTGACATACCACATCACACTTTTTTATTAATTTATTTATTTATTTATTTATTTTTTCTATCAGGTTTTGTCCGACAAACGTCTCAAACTGTGCAGCGAGGTACTACAGGGGATCAGACTACTCAAAACGTACGGCTGGGAAGATCTGTTCAGCACCAAGATTACAAAAATAAGACGTTCAGAAATCTGGGTAATGGGCAAGTCGAGTGTGTGCTATGGGGTCATAGGTGAGTTTCATACATAACCCTCCCAGATTCCTTGATAACCGCATCTTTTATCATATCTTCATTACATGGATTTAAAATATAATAGAACGTATGTCTAGTTTATTTGAATGTTCAACTCTGTGGGCTCCGATACTGGCTAGGTGGCGTTTGCCCCTCACAGAGGACCAGTCCACATAGTTTTCCCACTAGAAGCCTTGGTAGTTTCCAGGAAATCTTCTATTTATTTTGGTAAGCCTCGGCAGTTACGAAAACAGCTTTTATTAAATTATTGAGCCTTGGCAGTAGCAGGCAACTTTTTATTTCTTCTAAAGCCTCGGCAGAAGCAGGCCAAGTTTATCACTGAGAAACCTCGGCACGTGCATGGTAGAAAATGTTAAATATTTATCATACCACCAAATTTAAAGATGCGACTGGTGGGGCACTGTCAGCGCCACCCTGAGCTCAAGGCCCACCAGGTGGTTCTGTGGGAGCCAAAATATGGCAGGAAGAAGCGGGGAAGACAAGCTATGTCCTATGGGGGGTGCTGAAGAGGGACACTGCAGTGGAGACGGCCGGCGAGCTTGTCACCCTTGTGGTTGACCGGAGGGAGTGGGGCAGTCGTATCGGAGCCCGGCTGCAGCGGACTGGATGATGATGATAAGCTGTTTGCACCTAGAGTACTCGTCCAATGCAAAAGAGTTAGACAACACTATCCGCTCCGTTCACAAGTACCTCCCTTTAATGTTTAAATCTATGCTTAATAATTTTTCTCACAGGTTCAGTGACAGATATAGCCTCCCTTATGGTGACACTAGTGGTAAGAATGTGACTTTACCCAAGTTTATTTGAAAGCAGAACATTATTTGAAAATCTGTCTTAGGCAGATGGAGTGAACTCCAAAACACGGCTGATTAGATCCAGTTGATAGAGTGCATGCATGCCAGTATTGAGTGGGGAGTGGGGCCTAGTGGTTAGGGTTCGTGACTCGTGCTCAGAGGGTCAGGGGTTCAAATCCAGCTGCTGGTCATATGTTATGTTCTTGGGCAAGCCACTTCACCCCACTTACCTCTCTCCACCCAGGAGTATAAATGGGTACCGGCATTTAGCTGGGGAGTAACCTGCGATGGACTGGCATCCCATCCAAGAGGAACAGAAATATTCTCAGTTGTTTCATGCTACTGAAACCGGAGATTTAACGCCGGCCTGATGGGCCACATTGGCTCATGTCAGACGTTGATATTTACTTTATGTCATTATTGGCAAACAAGCACTTTCCAAATACTAGAGCCTCGCAGCCTTATATTGAATGTAATGGTTCACGTAGGCCCAATCTGCAATTTTGTTTTTGTCCTCAGTCTTTCGGCACCTTCACGGCCTTCAATGGTGAGGTCCTGACCCCCGATGTGGCTTTCTCCTGCCTGTCCCTCTTCATGCTCCTAGTAGAACCTCTCTACCTGTTCCCCCAGTCCCTGTCAGTCACCGTCACCGGTGCCATCAGCACAGGGCGTCTGGCAGCATTCCTGGCCGCGCCCGAGGTGGATATGAAGACGCTGAAGGCCATTGAAGTGAAAAAGAAAGAAGAACCTGAAATTGTGGAAAGCGGTGAAATGCATACAGTGAGTTTTTTTTTTTATGCGCAGAAGTTGAACGTACAATGTTTCTAAAATCTCAACATTGCATTTCAGCATTATGAAAGACAATGTAAGGGCCATGACAGAGCCAATAACCATGATATCTAAGCAATGACTCAGAAATATGATCCAAAAAATGACGTGGGCATTTTTGGGGTCATTTGGCTTGGAATTTTGACTGAGTGGCGGTGAACTTGACAAAACTTTTCTTGACTGAGAATGTTTTAAACATTTTTTTGTAAACAGGCTTCTTGAGGCAGATGCCTTGAGGACTGCTGTATAATTTTACATAATCCATTATTTTTTGTTCTTCAATTTTCAGCCCGACAATGACAAAGATCCTGAGGTCTCTTTCACTGACGGCGGCACGGAGGTGCCGTTACTCAAGATGAAAAAGCAGCACTTCAAGGACTCCAATGCCTCATTGCACTCCTCCGTCAGCCAAGACACTACCTGCTCCAACGTCTCAACGGACTCATCCGGTCTGGACTCACTGACGGGCCTGCCGAGAAGCATTGCAATCAAGGTTGGAACACAACAACAAGTCCCCTCCGGTTTTGTCCCTGCAAAACCTAGAATCCCACCAAAGTCTACGTGTGCATAAATTTATCTCCTAAGTTATTAAAGGCGCATCATTTTTGTACCAAGTGAGATACCCTTCTGACCCATTGAACTTGTGTCTGCATCTCAGTTTCATGGAAGCTAGTTAGTAGCAAGTTTAGTCAAACTCTAATTAATTTATCGTAACAAAGGCATTCCTTTGTCATTGTTCGTCAGGCTGTCATTTTGACTTAACTTGTGATGGACTTATTATTGACTTGTGGTTTGACTTGTTTTGATTTGTGATTTGACTTCAAATTTGACATGTTTTGGCTTGTAATTGACTTCTTATTGACTTTAATGACTTGTGATTTAACTGTGCTGGGTAAAACTTTTTTTTTTTCATTTTACAGATTGAAAATGGTTGCTTTGCCTGGGATCCAGAGAGTTCTGAACCAGTACTTCAGGATATTAATGTCACAATTCCAGCAGGTACTTGTAAATAAAATGAGTATTTGTTTACCATAAGCATGTCTCCTAAAATGTGACATGACGTTTATTTTTGATGTTTATATTTTATTTCATTTTTTGGTGGTGGGGGGTGGCTAGGCACTTCCAGTTTCTAAATAGTTTTTTCTGGTCGTCTTTACAAGCCTCATAAGAATTCAAATCATGGTTTGATGCCACTTATCCACTTCACCCCTACATCAATACGGGCGATTCCCAATAGTGCGCCTCCAAGAGTTTGCAACGCGTTGGCCAATCACAATGCGCAAAATCTGTCGACCCAACGCCCGTTTGGAAAAGGTCGACTGATTTCGCGCATTGTGATTGGCCAACGCGCTGCAAACTCTTGGAGGCGCACTATTGGGAATCGCCCGTATTGGAAAAAAAAAATGAGGGGTTTATTTTCAAGCAGTGAAATTTGTCTACATTTCAGGAAAGTTGACAATGGTCGTTGGAACAGTCGGAAGTGGGAAATCCTCACTATTGTCGGCCATCTTGGAAGAAATGACGCTACAGGACGGGAGCTTACTGGTCAACAGGTAATTGATGTTGCTGTGTCGTTCGATCATTCTAGCACAATCAACACCCTCTGTAGTGTCGTTGAACACATGAATCTAGCAAACAATTAAGGTTTTTTTCTCTTCATTTTGTAGAAGCAGGAATTCCATTGCCTATGCGGGGCAGAAGGCGTGGATACTGAACACGTCATTTCAGGAAAGTATCCTGTTTGGTCAGCCCTTCAACCGAAAGAGGTGAGTCGGTTGTCACGGTTCATCGGTGTTACGTTTTAACCCCTGGTGCTGATCTGACCGTGTGGTCCGTGTGGTAATGAATTTAAGATCTGCGAGGAAGTTCTTCGGGTTGTGGGTTAGAGTCCAGCCTGAGGTTGTGGTGTTGGTGTCCTCGGGCAAGGCACATTGTCACTACTTCTTTACACAAAGGGGTAAAATGCTTACGTGTGAGGGCGAGTGTGTTTGAATTAGTTGAAAATAGTGGCTTCCTCGAGCTGTATACTCCCCAGGGAGCTGAGAAGGTATGAAAATGTTAAAATCGCTTTATAACCCTCATTCTTGTTAATAAACGCGCCTCTGCCCAGTTATAATTAGTTTTAATGCAAAATAGACAATGTGACATTTGTTTACAAAATTGGATATTGTGGTCACATGGGGCCACACGCTAAGCAAGGGATTTTCTGTTTATTTCATGGATTCTGTAAGCATAAGCACAGCAAAAGGCACGCTTACTTCAGAGGAAAAATCTGCTCAACTCAGTGACGTAACAATAGAAATCTCCATGCATGCGCGACTGTTAGCACATCCACGCCGTGAAATAGCAACTTTTTCTTCTATGCTAAGCACAACTTTTCGGCTAACTGTTACCGTGAAATTGGACCCTAATGCCAACTTGCAGTAAACGGTCTCATCTGCACTGCATGTATATCTCTTGAAATATGAATTTAATGTGGGCAAAATAATATGCAAAAGATGCCGAAGCGTTTTGGGTTGTCCGGCCGTTGCCTGTGGGCATGACGTCACAGAGCGCGTGGTCTATATGAACCCTCTGTTATGAATCTTTATATATATGTCTATCTGCAGGTATCGTCGCGTCATCGCAGCCTGTGACTTGGAACCTGACATCGCGATGCTGCCAGCAGGCGACCAGACCGAGATCGGGGAGAAAGGGATCAACTTGAGCGGGGGGCAGAAGCAGCGGATCAGCGTGGCGCGGGCCATGTACTCTGGGCGGGATATCATACTCTTGGTGAGAGAGTTTCGACCTTTGGATTCCGTGCAGGAATAATAATTATGTGGTCCTGCGACCCACTCGTACATTTAGTCAAAAATTTATAGTAAAGACATTTTCGTCCTCTCGAATTTTTTATACTGCCACATTTTTGCTTCCTCTCCAAAGTTCAATTGAAGTTATTAAGTTTGGAATCATGAAACCTTTAGACTTTAGCCCATAAGTTCCTGTACCGCTCAAACTGTTATGCCTGTTGACCCCAGTAATGCCCAAACCACCCCAGCAATTAAAAGTACGGTTTTATGGATTCGTCAAGGAATAAATACCGTGTAATTCAAGGTAGTACAAGTGCTAATGGGTTGACACAATCTCTGCAGGATGACCCGCTATCCGCACTCGATGTCCACGTCGGCAGCCACCTGTTCGAGCATGGCATTCTGGGTATTCTGCGCAAGAAAAAGAAGACCGTCATCTTGGCCACAAACCAACTGCAGTATCTGGCCCATGCTGACAAGGTAGGGCCAAGTCTGTTGAGCTCTCTACGTGAGTTGTAGGCATACGGTGGCAAGGAAGCTCTGCCTAACTCTAACTCTGTGAACAGAGTCCGTTCGCTGGTCCTCACTGCCCTCTCCAAAGGCCGCTGGTGGTGGATGACTACGGAGGAGGGCCATCAAACAATGCAAAGCTATTAATAATGCATGTACATCTTACGTGGAAGGGTCAAGCACACACGGAAAGGCTGACCCGCGTCAAGCTGACCCACGTCCTATGAGAGCTGAGGACGTGTTGACCCTTGGTCATCGGTTAACAAAAAATGTCCAATCAAGCTCAACGCGAACAGCCCCCCCCCCCCCCCCCCCCCCCCCCCCCGTGCCTTTGTTAGGGAGGTGGGGAAGAGCGGACAGAATTAGTAATTCTTTCTCTTTTTCATTTTGATTTTCCTAGATTTTACTGATGAGAGACGGGCGGATAGCTCAGGAAGGAACGCTACAAGACCTAGTGGCAGCTGAGCCAGACCTCTACAGCGGCTACCAGAAAGCCGTCAAGGAGGTAACGGACCTGGAGTCAGATGCCAAGGCAGATGAGGAGTCCAGAGAGCAAGAGATGATGAAGATCAGGAAGCAAATTTCAGGGCAACAGCCGATGTCACGAGACAAAGAGGTCGGGGAAGCATGTGGTAAGGTTTAGGTGGAGTGGGCCTTGGTGTCATGGCGCCCCACCCTTTATTGGAAGAGTTTTAACAAATAGTGTCTACAGCTTTGTTAACTTGCCGCAATGAAGAGCGCCACCTGATGGTGTTTAATATCAGCCATTTTAAACAGCACTCCCAAAGCCTCAAATCTTATATCAGCACTCCCAATTGTCTGAAAAAAATCCTAGCTACCAGCAAGGAGAGTCTAGCTACTTCTGAATGGTCATTTCTTCTTCCAGTTGTCTTATTCTGTAACAACCTTGCCTTTTATCATTGCTGCCTTTATTCATAGCTCCTTGCTTTTGTTTACACTTACTTGTATTGTTTCATGACCTCTTATACTTGTAATCTTGACTTCTCTGGAGTTACATTGTCATATTCTCTGTATATGTTTGTTGCAAATCTTGGCTGAATAAATAATAATAATAATAATAATAGTTGAGAGAGGTCATCTGATGGCTGAAGAGGAGCTGGAGCGAGGCTCTGTTTCTTGGAGGGTCTACTTCTACCATGCCAAGGCTTGTAAGCTTCCCATAGCCTTCGTGATACTGCTAGTGTATCCCTTAGAAGCCTGCATCATTGCCAGCAGCAGTTACTGGCTGTCTGACTGGTCGGAAGCGGGATTAAAATATGGAAATGTAAGTTGCGGTGATTTAAAATGACTTTTCACTTTGATCATCAAATCTTTTTTTTTTTAAATTGCTGCCTCAAAGAATGTGCTGTGCAGGTGCTCATTGGAGAATGGAAGAGAGGGGAAGTTGTGTATCTGAAAATCGTGCAATTTCTGTTTATCATCATCTCCAAATAGTCCTTGTCCAATTCCGAAATATCTTGATGTATGATATGTTGATGTTATGCTTAAAACACTCAAGTGTTGTTGTCTTTACAGTAAAATATTTCAAACTTAACGTTCACGCTTGTCCTAAAACCAGATTTGAGCGTGAATTTGTAATGCCATGGCTACTTTTCGCGTTACCTAACCACAAAACGTGTACACTTCCAAACTTGGCAAGTTTCTCTGCGGATGTTTTGCAACACTAGAGTAGCTCTTTTGGATTCACCTTTGCTAGAATTACGAACCAGCTCTGTTGGTAAATGTAGCTTCTTAAAGTAATACCATTCCTGACACGGTTGTGTTTTTTTTTTTCTTCTTCTGTCCTAGGCCACAGACACCGCCTACTATGTCAAGGTCTATGCGGCCATATCAGTGGCTAGTATATTGAATTCCTTCATCCGCTCAGCGGCTATAGTTGTAGGCCTACTCATAGCGGCACGGCATGTTTTTAAGCTCATGCTCAGTAACGTCATTGGCATGCCCATGCGGTAAGTTCTATTGCTGTACCGCATATACCGAATACTTGAATATTCGATCCTCAACTGAATATTCCAATAGCTTTTTGTCAGTTTGAATATTCAAAAACCAAAAATCTATGCAGTTACACACACAACTTTGGTGTTATTTTTCTATCCTTAAGTTGTAGCGTTTTATATTCAGGTGCCACTTTTTTGTCCATGATAATGCTTATGTAGACAGCGGTTCATTGTTCATATCCACTTAGCGGGTTAAAGCCCTTGCTGCTTTATAATAAATAATTTTCCAACAACAACAAAATGATTTGGGAAAAAAAAAATGTTAATTTTTCTTTTCCAGATTCTTTGACACCACTCCCATAGGTCGCATCATGAACAGATTCTCAGCAGACACAGAAACTGTAGATTCGGTATGAACACTTTTTCATTGGATTCATCATTCACCGATATTAGTTCAATCATATAACCCTCCTCTTGTTTGATCACCAAACAGTCAAAAAATTTCTTTCACTTGCCCTGCATTTGTATACACGCTGCGACCAGTCAGATCCATCAACAGACAAAAGAGATATCTGGTAGGTCAGATGGCACCTCCAGTCAAAGCATGGCTATATCAAACTAACAAGGGAGTTTTTAACTGTTATTCATAAGACAGATTCCTATGGGTCGAGAGCCTGTCACATGTGTGGTTTTGAACGGTTGATGAAACAACTTTAAACGGTTAATAAAACAAACGCAAAAAATGGCTTCTGCCGGATTGGTATATATCTTTGTTATGCTTTTGAAATAGTTTCCAATATTGTGGTATTTGTTTTTCAAAAGCTGATGACAACCATTGACTTATTCCTCTTCCACCTGATGAGCATCCTAGCTGCTTTAATCATCAACGCCATCATCAGTCCGATCTTCCTCGTCTTCACCTTACCCTTCTGTGTCTTCTACTACTTCATCCAGAAAGTCTTCATCACAACCTCCAGGTTAACACACAAATCAGGGAACTCAGCCGTGATGTTTTTTTAAAGATAAAAAATCTACCATATTTTATGCACCAAGTATATTTCAATTCGGATTGAATGAAGTCAATTTCAACTTCTGCGTTTTCGAACAGTCCCAATTTTTGTGCGTGTGTCAAATTATACCATGTATTTAGAGTTCCTCCATTATTAAAAATGTTACTTCATGCTAACTGATTAATGGTAATCTCTATCGTGATTCAGAATCCACACATTTGCTTCTTTTTGAAATATGATTATGAGTGTTTTTTTTTTAACTTTTGACGTGATACAGAGAGCTCAAGAGACTGGAAAGCATCACCAGATCGCCCATTTTTGCCTTCTTTTCTGAAACCCTTGGCGGATTGTCTTCTATAAGAGCATACCGGTGAGTCTGGAATGAGTGTTCACCCTTGCGTTACTCAATCCTTGCCCCCCCCCCCCCCCCCGACACCTCCACTTAACCCTATTCACCACCCACACCCCCCAAACAACAACGATCCAGAACCATTGTGTACACCCCACAGTAGAGCATATGAGTTTATTGCGTCAGCAGCTTTTGCCAAACTTCTGTCAAAACAACTTCTGTCAAAACAACTTCTGTCAAAACAACTTCTGTCAAAACAACTTCTGTCAAAACAACTTCTGTCAAAACAACTTCTGTCAAAACAACTTCTGTCAAAAATGTCAAAACTGACTTAATGTCAAATAAATCATATCCAAAAGGCTTCATGTCATTTTGTTTCATTTATTATTTCTCAGGTAAGAACACATGCAGACACAAAGTACAACACAACCATTTTGGGTAACGGGCCAGGATTACAAAGACTAAATAAAAACAAAAACAATATTGATAACCTTCCTGGAAGATTGCCCAAAGGGAACTAAATCACTATCTAGCTGCTCTCTTTATGTCAAAATAACTCAAGCAAGTGTATAGTTGGAATGTTTCATGTATTTTTGTAAAGATCTTTCCCCGTAGAGCCGTGACTGTCGGTTTTTGGTTTTGTTTTCCTGACAGCAAGCACCAGGCATTTTTTGACGACATCGTGGAGCGAGTGGCCACCAACAACATAGCAAACATGTACCTGCAGACAAGTATAAAATGGCTGGCAGTCAGATTGGTGAGTCAGTGTTGCCATGGCGATGTGATGTGTGCTGTACATCACCTGCGAGGGCGCTGTTTTTTCAAAGTTCTCACAAGTCAACACAATTATTTGATTACAATGATTCAGTCTCGCGTAACAAATTATTCAAATGAATCATAACAGACGCTTTCCTTTAATTGTCGTTCCCACCCTGAGGTCTTACTTAACTTGACTTTTGATTTACTGAAGTTCTGCTAAACGTTCTCCCATAAATTTTAACTGTTGGGTTTCTGTTGAGCTCTAATTTTGTATTTAAAAAACCCTAATCTAGACAAACACAGAAGTTTAAATCATACTTTCTCTAAATGTTCTTGTCTTTTTCATGAGGGTTTGTCAAGGATATGAAATTCAGGTTTGTTGGACTTGTACTCGTTTTTTTTGTTGTTCTTTGTTAGGATTTAGTGGGTGCATTTGTTGTACTGATATCGGGCCTAACAACTGTACTGGGCGCCCTTCACGGCACTGTGGACTTAAGTCTTGTAGGCCTGGGCATCAGCTATGCACTCACGGTAAGTACTCGAATAAATATTTTCAACTGTGTCTTTCTCCTCCTTGCTAACTTTTGGGTCACCCTTTAATAATAATAACAGGTTCTTATATAGCGCTTTTAACTAAGATCAAAGCGCTTTACATTATTATTACCCCTAATCATTGGGCCAATTAAACATTCCATATACCATCTCAGCTCCCTGGGGAGTATACAGCTCGATGCAGCCTGTTAGGCGCAAGGAAGCTAATTCAATCACAATAACCAACACTGCCCTCATGAGGTACCCATTTACTCCTGGGTGGAGAGAAGCAATGAGTGACAAAGTGCCTTGCCCAAGGGCACATGCACCATGACCCCGCCAGGACTCGAACCCACGACATGCAGCTTTACCCACAGACCACGAATCAGTGCCCTTAACCACGAGGCCACAGCACTCCACCTTTGGTATTGTTTCAAGTAATTTGGTTTCATTAAATTTTTAGTCAATCTTAGTCCATTTCCATTTAACTTTACTTCGGTCTTGGTACAGTTTTACTTTTGCAACTACTCTTTTTGGTCAACCTTAATTCATGTACGGTCAACTGCCATAATGTCTGGTCGACCTTAATTTATTTTGGTCAATTTGTTTTCGCCAAGCCAACCTGAATTAATGTTCAGGTCAATGTTAGATGCCATTTTTATTTTAAGGTCGAACAAGGAAATTGACTGGAGCGGGGTTTGAACCTCGTTCCAGTGCTCTACCAACTAAGCTATCCAGCCCTATGTTGGCGGCCCCCCATTGTTGTTTGTTTGTCTCAGGTTTCAATGTTACTGCAACACTTGGTGAAGCACATGGCTGAGCTTGAAATGGAGATGAACGCTGTGGAGAGAGTCAAGCACTACGCCACACTAACAACCGAATCCTACCAAGGTATGCGCAACTCTAGGGGGCGCTGTACGGCCCACAGACAAGCACCAATGAAATAAGAGCTGGAAATTTGAGGACATCCCAGTCAAGTTGAGTGGGGGGGGGGAACTTAGTATGTGGAGGTTCAAAGCTGTAGGCCTACTACATGTGAGCATGACTTATATCTATGGGTGACTCCAAGGTTTTTTTTTTGGGGGGGGGGAGGGGAGGGGGTTCAACGGCAGATCCAGAGAAGTTACTGGGGGGGGGGGGGGGGCTGAGGGTGTGGCAGAAGGGCTCTCACAAGTGAAAAATGGCCTTATTTGAGACAATTTCTGTCACTGCCAGATTCACCACTGAGGACATAATTTGATGCAAGTACCGAATTTGAGGCCATGTATGCATTATAATCTTGCAGACTGTGATGCCCATGTGGCTCCAATGCGATGCTCATGTGATGTCCATGCTATATATGCTCATGTAATGTCCGTACCACGCCGTTCATTTGGTCTGACTGTGGACATTGGTTTCGTCTATCAAGTGACCACAAAATCACTCAGTGTAACGTGTGATTTTGTCATATTGCTTTGTCTCCCTTAGATTTTAGTCTTGGTTTCCACTTGTTTTTGACAGGTATGGAGCCTCCCTCTGATTGGCCATCTAAAGGAGCCATCTCTATTGAAGACATCTCGGTGAGATATGCCGAGGAGCTAGATCCAGTACTGAAGGATGTGACCGTCCATATACAGGCCGGAGAAAAGGTAATCAAACATCTCTAAATTTCTTAACATTGTTGTCCTTTTTTTCAAATGATCAATTGCATTTGCAGATCCAGCAGGGGCTCAGTTGTCCGGTTTCATAGCACTAACAGTCCTAAATCCTCCAAATTCAATACGATTTTGCACATCCCCTAGGGAGTTAGGGTTATAAGCACCCTCTCCACCCTCATGATTTCACTCGGTCGATAATTGACCCCTCTGTGAAAATCGTGACGCATGGAATAGCTGACCTGCTAATGCCGGGGGCTGTTTCGTTGAGCCGATTGTCTTGAGACGCTTGTAAGAGCCTTGTTTTTTCCCTTCCTCCTATCTGATTTCTGGCTCCGCCCTGATTTTAGGTAACTTTTTGAATTCCTGTCTGGAACAAGTCTCTCATCAGCTGATACGTGCTCCATACCAAGTTTCACCACTCTGCTAATAAGTGAAGAGTCTTGGTATGTTACGGTTTCTATCTTTTGCTTTGGCTCAGGTTGGGATCTGTGGTCGCACTGGTAGCGGCAAATCCTCCCTCACGTTAGCTCTCCTTCGCATAGTCGACACGTACAGAGGTAAACTACATGTAGTTGCATTTTGGTAGAGGAATCTGCTTAAAAGTACCGATGATTAGTGTAATTATTTAAACAAAAGGTAAATGCTGAAAGGGATTAGCTGAAGTTTTAAAGTCCAGATTTACATTTGTCAACCCTAGATAGTTTAGCTGATGTATTCCGCTTTGACTATTCATGGTACAGGTCGCATATTAATTGACGACATCGACATTGCCAGCGTGCCGCTGACGACTCTCAGGCGAAGCCTGGCCATGATACCTCAGGACCCGGTTCTCTTTGAGGGAACCATCAGGTGAGGTCAAAGGTCACCAGATCATGTCAAAGGTCAAGTTGTTTTTTTATGTATTTAAGACATAAACAAATTAAATATTCCCTTCCCTAAAAGTAATGCTTCTGAATCATCTTTGATGAACTAATCCATAGAAATTCCTGGAAACACATGGATGCAAAAATGAATGATAATGGAACTTATAAGGGGCTGTTTATATTTTTTTAAGTTTTTGCCTGAATATTCTTTTTGAATACACACAAATGGAAAGTTTATAGAAATCACAGTTTATTGTTTGTGAATCACGCAGAAACCTGTAACGATAGTTTTCTGTAATGGCTTTCAACTTTTTGTGCATTCAATTTTGTCCATTTCCACAAAGGATGAATCTTGATCCCGAGTATCGAAAGAAGGAGAAGGAATTATGGGATGCCCTGGAGACAGCCCAGCTCAAAGAACTTGTCATGTCCATGGAAGAGAGATTAGGTTTGTTTTTTTGACGAGACTTTTGCAGACACACTTGTAAAACTTTGACTCTAAAATTCATTTAGATACTTTTAATACCTTGTAGAGTTCAACCATTCCAAGGGTTTTTTTTACACAACGATATTATTTCACAACTAGTTATGATTTTATTACACAAACATGTAGTTCTTGTCAGAGGGGCTGGTGTTTGGCTAGGATTTTCAGGGTCAATAGTTCAGCCCAGGCTAAAAAGGTCAATAGTTCAGCCCAGGCTAAAAAGGTCAATAGTTCAGCCCAAGTGAAAGGGCTCTCAACACTTCATCTGGCTATGTTTGAATGAGGAACTTGTGACTGTGAAAGCATAAAGGTAAAGGGGTCGAACCTGTGTTAACAGGAACGGAGTGCCCATCTCTCTTTCATTAGTGATTGGGCCAGACTCATATGCTGCTGTGGGGGGATCGCCACACCTCCTCCACAGCGAGTCTGTTACCTTCACAGCATTGAATAATGCCGGTACCCATTTTACACCTAGGTTGAGAGGAGTAATTGAGGTAAAGCGCCTTACTCAAGGGCACAACACGCATGGCCACGGTGGGGCTTGAACCCACAACCTCTCGATCACGAATCCTGTGCTCCACCGCTAGACCACACGTGTGAAAGTATTTGACCGAAGAAAGTGTTGGTGTAATGAAATAATTAAGCAAAACGGACTTTACTTTTCAGTACAGTCCTTCAGCAGAAAGTTTAGTGATGAACAGAATAAGGCAGACAAATTTCTGCCATTTTATATTTAATGAATGCAACTTAATCAGTTCTCCAAGTTTTTAAGCTGGGAATCGGATTACGATAAAGAAAATTAGTTTAGATCATCTCTGGTTAGCTATCTCTTGCTTATATCTGATTATCCAGACAACATCCTGGGAAAGAATGCAGTATCCAGACCCCACTTCTTTGGTTGTGTACAAAGTCTATGGAGAGTCCAGTGAATTTTAACAAAAATCATATTTTTTATCAAAATCGAAAATGTTTCCCAGTCCCAGATTCATGTCTTTTAACATTTTTGCAATAACTAAGGTTCATTGAAATAATACATATATAAGGATGCAGAATTCTTTCCACATCTTGTAATGATTTTCAGATACCTGGTGTCTGAAGGATCCGTAAATGCACATCCTTAACATCCACAACTTTCTTCGTGTGATTAGAAATCCAGCGCATTGTACTTGTCTGTCTGCAGATTCACAGGTGTTGGAGGGCGGGGAGAACTTCAGCATCGGGCAGCGACAGCTCTTCTGCTTGGCTCGCGCCTTCCTGCGCAACACCCCCGTGCTGATAATGGATGAGGCCACTGCGTCGATCGACGTGGAAACTGTATGTAGATAAGCTGTGTTGTTTGTTGGTTGGTTGTTTTGTTTCTTAGTCTGTGTCTTATATTAGGTAATACGTGGTTTGTGATTTGTTGGTACATGTAATTAACTTCTTCTTTGTTTTGTTGGTTTGTATAGTTCATTTATGGACAGACAAATGTGTTTAATGGGTTGATACATTTTGTTGGTCAACTATTTTATTTAAGTTTTATTTAAATTATAATTTTATTTAAATTGTCATGCACTGTAAGTGAATTTTGTTCTATTTTACGTGATTTAATTCTGCAGGACAGAATTCTTCAGCAAGTCGTCGCCACAGCTTTTGCCTCCAAAACTGTACTGACAATCGCAGTAAGTACATAACATTACCCTGACAAATCTCAAAGATATTTTTTTAAATTTTCATCAAAATAAAGATGTGGTTGTAATATTTTTCTTAAGTTTCATTTTTTTTCTGAAAAAAAAAGGTTGAAAAAAGAAACTAATGTTAAATTGCGTAATGCTTTATATATATTATTTGGAAATTCGTAATGCTTTATATATATTATTTGGAAATTCAAAGACAAGAAAAGATTTTAAATCCAAACTGAAGGGGAAATAATTAAAATCTGAGTCTGTACTTTTGTTGTTTTACCACAGCACCGTGTGGCCACCATCTTGGACTCTGACACCATTTTGACCTTGAGCCAGGGCGAGGTCATAGAGCACGACACGCCTGCAAACCTTCTAGCCAATCCGGACAGCGTGTTTGCCTCTCTCGTCAATGCCAACCAATAGGGTAACAGGCAGCAGATGTGGATGGGATACCTGACCCAATCCTAGGGGGCGGGGAGTCTAGAGGGGCCGCCCCCTTTCCGGGCAAGCAATCCCCCCCCCCCCCCCAGGCAAGCAATTGCCCCCCCCCCCCCCCCCATTAGCAAAAACCATAAACATACACATTGTCTAGAATAGTGTTTTTCTTGGGGTGTGCCTCCCTAGCTGGCACTGTGGTCCCTTCCCCCTCCTCCCTACCCCCCCCCTACCCCCCCCTCCTCCCTCCTCTTAATTGAAACTTACCCAGATTGATGGTAAGATGATTTATTTCAGTTTGGATTGATGGAGGAGATTGCCCAGATTGCCCAATTTGACTGCGAAGTGAAGGTTTCGAAAATATCTTTTTGGATGGAATGTATTCCTTGAAAGAAAAGTATGAGTTTCTTTCAAGGTATCTCTTATGGGTAGCACGGAGTAGGGTGCAAATTTCCAATTGCAATATGTCTGTATATGCAATCTTTGACCATGAAATAATGGATATATGAATTAAGTTTACAAATAAAATAAAAATAGTTTTATCTACTCGCGGGTAAGTTGGTAAGATTTAAAGCAAGTCGACACCGGTGTGCTTTATGGAAGTTGCATTCATGTACTTAAAAATTACCATTTATGCATTTGTTTTTTAAATGATAAACAATCATTGAAGACACATTTACTTTCAATTACTTAGAATTTTAGTACAGGCTTAACAGTAAAATGAAGCCACCCCGAAAGGAATATTATATACATTTTAAGATTTAAAATATTCTTTTGAAATGTGTTGTTTTTTTTTATTTAAATATTGGGTAAAACAAACTTTGACCAAAGAAATTTTATAACATTTTGTAATCTTTCAGTAAATTTTGGATTTTTGTGTTTTTATTACTGTGGTTTGTATAAATTTGCATAATTATTGCATACGTTTATTGTGCGATATCACTGTGAACTATCAGCATTAAATCAGAGGACCTTGCTTTGATTTGTTTGTGTTTTTTTTCAAATGGTGTTAATTAGTCAAACCATTTCTTATAATTTTTCTTCAAATTTATTTTGACAGGCTCTCCCGCCTGTTCTGAATGAAATTGATAATAATATATCGAGTCCTGGGGGGGTCATGGTGCGTGTGCCCTTGAGCAAGGCACTTTGTCACTCCTTGCTTCTCTCCACCCAGGAGTAAATGGGTACCTATGAGGGCAGTGATGGTTATTGTGATTGAATTAGCTTCCTTGCGCCTAACAGGCAGCATCGAGCTGTATACTCCCCAGGGAGCTGAGATGGTATTTGGAATGTTTAATTGGCCCAGTGATTAGGGGTAATAATAATGTAAAGCGCTTTGATCTTAGTTAAAAGCGCTATATAAGAACCTGTTATTATTATTATTATTACATATCACAAATCCTGCACAAAATTCTATCACCTGCTGCACGCTTAGCACCACCCATTATAGAGATCGCTTGAAGGCCCACCGGTTTAAAAGATTCAGCCCCACCCACCGGGTGCTCTAACTAATCAAATTAGTAAAAATGCAGTCAAAATTGCACAAATGATTTTTTTTTTTCAGATTTAAATTTATGCACGAAACGGTTTTATATGCTGTGCTGAAAAAGCTGAAAAAGACATGTTTTGCGCTTGTTCAAGACAAGCAGGCGTTTCCATGCGGTGTACACAATTTTTCGTCTGCTCAGTGTTTTCACCCGCTCTTTCGTCCAATCAAATTGGCTAGATTGACGGGTGACGTCACCCTACATACTTCTGACCAATGAGAGACAGGCCACGCGAGCCACGCGTGCAACGTCACGAATACCGCCTCAATTAAATGCCTTCCCGTCTTGCCAAAAAATAGGGCGCTTTATTACATGTATATTAAATTGATGCTACTCCATCTGGAAATGAAGACTATTCCTTCAAATTCATTTTCCCCTTCATTTATAATTTCCATTCATGATGAAAACGTTGTTTTAAATACGTCTCAGCATATATGCTCATATCATCGGGGGCAAACTGTGCAGCGGTTTTGTGGCAGCGTTTTGATGTATTGTACTTAGTTCTTGTTTCGTATATAAGCCGGCCGTTAATTGCATGCAGTGATTCTACTACGTACGTGTAGCACATAGTTCTAGGTGTAAGAAACTCAAAAAGGCGGGCCCCGAGAACCCACGCCGTAAGGGCTCCGCGCCCCCTGGCAAAAGTTTGTTCCAGCGGGCCTGAAGTGACCGCCATACATATATAACTCGCACTATGTACATATGCTGCTATTATGTGATAAATAATAGCCTAAAATAGGTATTACTTCATAAGAAGACATATACTGAAGTCCCGAATCCGGGACTCACGACATTAAAATATCAACAACGTGATTTTTTTTTATATTTAATCTTATGCCGGAAAATACAAACACTTTAAATTCTTTATCAACTGTCTGTGACATACATTGAGAATTTCCGACACCAGGACATCAAAAAACCACTGTATGAAAACGGCAAACAGGAGAATACTGAAAACAGAACAGGTTTTATAAAAACAAATTTCATTAACACTAAATATCTCTGTCAAATTCAGTCAAATTTACCGTGTAGCACAAACGAAGTGCATTAAACTTGTTGTTTGATATACAGGAACATATGCATTTCACTAAATGTAAACTATAGCACTTCACAGTATTTGTGTGAATTTTAAACATTTAGCGACTGGTCAAAAAACTAATAATATACATGCCATCCTAGCTAATTCTGGTGCTACGTAGCTCTGGAGGTGCAACACTCAGATCCTGACATGGTCACTATCTCGGGATGACGACATATTACAGGCAAGATGATACGGAAGACGAATAGTGCCACTCAATGAGTGTGAATATATTTTTTGGTGCGTGTGAAAATATTTTTTTGTACAGCGGCCGCCACTTATTATGTGGAGGCCGCCAGATAATATGTGGCGACCGCCACATAAGTCGTCATAATAAGTGGCGGCCGCTGTACAAAAAAAATATTTTCACACGTATAAAAAAAAATATATTCACACTTTTTTATGTGGCGGCCGCCACTTATTATCTGGCGGCCGCCACATAAAAAAGTGTGAATATATTTTTTTTGTACAGCGGCCGCCACTTATTATGACGACTTATGTGGCGGCCGCCACTTATTATCTGGCGGCCGCCACATAATAAGTGGCGGCCGCTGTACAAATTATTTTTTTCACACGCACCAAACAAATATATTCACACTCATTGAGTGGCACTATCTATCCGTCTTCCGTAAGATGACGACATCCTGAGATAATTTATCACGGGATGTCGACATCCTATACTTTCAGGATGTCGTCATCCCGAGATAACTTATCTTAGAATATCGTCATGCATCTTGCCTATAAACTGTCGTCACCCTGAGATAACATAAATTAAGAAGATTTGTGCCCTCTTCTGCAGACTGCTTGTTCATACGCAGGTTGGAAAGTCGCGCACTTTTTTTGAATGTGTTTTTTACAAGCACCTGCGACGGTGACGTGACCACACGTTTTGGGTGCATTTAAAGGCCACTTGAAAAAGGACCAATAGAGGGCGGTATGCAGGCTTGGAATTGGAAAATGGACATTCATGAAGAAACGACGAGATGAACACGAACGCGGGGCGCACTGTCCAAATTCAGGCGAAAAAGGCATGGATTTCGTGCTTGTAAACTGTGCTACCCATTTAGCCAACGACTCCTACAGAATAAGTAAATCATAACCGGTGACGGTGTGGTCTCCAAATCGGTGAGTCAAATGCTGTTGCTCGGCATATTATGAATATGATATAGGCCCTAATATTTATAATAATAATATTGAATATTATTGTTGATGCATATGTACCCTAACGTGGCGCGCCCCAACGTGGCGAACTTTGATTTTTCGCCTGTCAATCATGCCATGGAGGAAGGATATCATGCCATAATGCTAGCCCCAGTACTAGTGTGGCCGCGGTATGCTGCGCTGGGCTAGCCATATGCCTGTAGTCAGGTAGTAGCGCCTATCTAAATGACCTACACTTTCATACCCATATTCCATAGAGCAAAAGTTTTAACTGAAATTTCACAGAAAGTGAAATTTCATCAAGTTCTAAATCTAAACACTGTGTAGGCTAAGTGTGTTCATAAACATGATAAATTGCGAGTTTATTTACCCGTAACAAAGTTAGAAGAAAAATTTATTTTGGCGTGGTTTTCCGATTTTATTTTCAAGCATGTCAAGTGCACCTTTGAAAATGCCCCGAAAAATAAGAAACTAATTTTCTGACATTAACATCTGGCTGGGTATGTAAGTAGATATAATAATTATTTATCAAAATTTATCAAGTTTACAGAAATTCTTAAATATTAATTTGGAATTTTCCAAGATTTGTTCAAGGGCGCCACATTAGGGGAACACTCCGCCAATTTGTGCCCAATTTCCGGACGCCACCGTTTTTGAATTTTGGATTAAATTTTATGAAACTGAAATTGTTCACAGAGGATAAATAGCAAGCATTAACATGATTAATTTAAAGTACTAGCATTTCACTGCATGAATTGGAGGTTTGTCAACAAAGAGGTTTGGCAACACTACACAAGGAAAGTCGGGTAAGCTTCGAAGTGCGCCACGTTAGGGAACACCACTATAGAGATAATAATTATTTATGATAATTTATCAAGTTTAGGGAAATTCTTAAATGTTAATTTGGAATTTTCTGAGATTTATTCAAGTGCGCCATGTTAGGGAACACTCCGCCAATTAGTGCCCACCGGACGCCACCGTTTTGAATTTCGGATTAAATATTATTATGAAACCGAAATTGTTCACAGAGGTTAAATGGCATGCTACTAGCCCCATAAATGTGGCCAATTTACTGGACTGCATGTACCTCTGTAAATAAAGGCCACACTTCCAACATGTACAAAAACATGTCGAACTTTGTCAAATTTTGATTTTCACATCCAGGCTTATTAGTTTGCAGTTTATTTTTGCTTTAGAAGCATACTCACCCTCTTTATATAGGCTAATCAGAAAGTGCTGTCTTTTTCAGATGTCTATTTTTCGTGAAATTTGTTCAGCTTTACCAGTAACTAGTATGGACGTTTCGGCATCGATGACGGCGATTTTTCTCACTTACATGAAGTTTAGAATTTCTTCTTCCGTTATAATTTATATTTTAACATTTCAATCATATTTTTTGAGAAACACAACGTTCCAAATGCCATGTTTTTTGGGGGGCATGAATTTCACTGCTCTGTTATAGCGTCTAAGTATGTAATCGGATTAGCTTTGCCTAACAACAGGCATGGCGTTTTGTGTTCGCAACCATATGGCTGCAAATGCTGGAATTGCTACTACAGTAACTGGCCTCTCAGTAACCCTAAGTGTGTTAATCATAGCCAATGAAACATGTGGAAACCCCTTAACCACATCCACTGCCCTCTGATAATACTTTCCTATAAATGACTTCCTTTGGTTGTAATCTGGAAATCTGTGCCAATTATGATTAATGACTGAGTACCAAGAATTCACCTTGACAGTTTCAGGTCAACGAACCCAAGTTCGGCAGATAATTTCCATGTAAACACTCAAACATGTACAATGTACATTGTACAGCACACACATGTGTACATTTGCATGCATTTTGTACATTAATTTTGTGATTGCCCAACTACATGCAGAGGAAAAACTACATTGCCAAACGTCTTGTATCATGTAATTTAAAAGGAAATGTATACCGTATGTGACCTTTGTGCACGTACATGAGATGTACGTAGATGCACATGTTCTACCAGTACGTGTACGATACAAGGAAGCTAATTGTAAGTTTGTATTCTGTATGTTCAGAAACTGCTTTTTGATGTTTTACATGTACTTTAGTTTCATTATGAACAGAATCTCGTTGGCATGAATATACATGTAGTAATTTATGCTTGGACCATGTGTTTATAGCTCCATGCTTGGACTATGTCCTGAATGCATCAATATCATCAGGATAAAGTGTGCTAACATGACAAATGAACTTATTATAGTCAAAGCATGGAACCATATTATAATTGCTCATGACGGTACACGTAAAAGCATGGAGGAAGGAAAATTGTCAAAGTGATGTTCCACATAGCACAACACAGGAACAGCAGCCCAATTTGTTCCTTGAAGTTGACGTGTCCGATAATTAAATGGACCATGATTTTTCTGTCTCCTACTTTCACAGCAGGAATTGGATGCAACTGAAGTGCGTGGGTACCAGTACATGGGCATCAAGGCCAGATGCCTCTAGATAACATCCAGAAGGATCTACGTGTACATGTACACACACTCAGTAGGCCCTACAGTTTGCTGAACTCTACTTGTGACCATGAAACAGGGTTAAAAACAGCACTCCCACTGATGGGCTGCTTACAGTTGTAAACGGAGGTCATACATTTTGTAGAGTGCTACGTCTACAACTCCATTCATATTGGAATACCAAGACAACAGGTGAGACTTACATTGTTCAATCTGAATGTAGAAATACATTGAATTGCACTTGAAAACAAACACATTGATGTTAATTTACAAACAAAAGCATGTGTGTTTGTTTGTATACCATGGTTAGATAATCTGGAAAATTCATTGGTGGTTGACACGGTGACATTTCATACAACGTTGTACTACAATGTACTCTAGTTCACGCACGACCACCTGCACCAAAACTTCATGTATGTACCTGCAGTGGCTACGTACATCATGTTAGGCTCGGCACATTATCCAATATATCTCTGTGTTGGACCCCTGTCGAAAAACCTGAGACTTCAGCAACCCCTTTCACAGCAAGAATCTAACATGCCCTTCTACATGTACATGGGCCCAGGGCTCTACCATAGTAAATCCTGATTCCTTCCAGGGTGGAAAAAATATCCAAAAACCACACCTGGCTCTTGTAGTAACCATAAAATGTTAACACACATTTAAATTTTATTTACTTGTCCCCCCCCCCCCACTGTGGTTAAATGTACAGGTACCGATATGTACAATTCATACTCATAGTGTTCAGTATCTATTATTGATACAGATAAAACTTAAGGAGCGTATGGTAGGCCTACTTGGCTATTTTTAATGAAAGCCATAAGGCTATAGTTATGGAATTGCAACAGAATTTATGCGAGGTTTTAAATTCTCAAATTGAGTTTTAGCGTTTTGGTTGTGCAGTGAATGTTCGTTTTAGTACTGTATTTAGTACTGTGTTTTTCAAATACATATTTTCTTAGTGTTTTAAGCCATTTTCCAGTCCAAATGCAGAAACAAATACTGCTAATATTAATCATACTTTGGGTTCAGAAATAAGGACAATTCCGTGCAGACATTTCAAGTTCATTGTTCTTCATTTACATGTAGGTCAAAAGTGACATTGATACATAATTTGCCATATGGTGGCATTTCCACCATTCCACATTCCCCAGCAGAAACCAACTAAAGAATCATATATGACATCTTCCCTCCAACCAGAAGTGGACTAATCCAGTCAGTTAAGTGATGGTCCAGTTGTTCCATATGTTGAAGAGCTTTGGAAATTGTAGGTTTTTTTCGTTTTTAACCAGACAAGTAATGGTGCATGCTGCTAAATGGTCTGCCATGATCACTTTTTCATATTGCTTTTTGCGCTGTACATACATGACGTACATTGTACACCCTGTACGATAAGGTAGAATCCTATTGCTGATACATGTAGATGAATTTTCTGTATACGGCCCGAGAATCTGGAAAAAACTTCCAGAATACATTAGAGATACCACCTCACTGCATACATTCAAGACACTCCTGAAAGCTCACCTATTTCAGGAGGTGTACCATCAATAATTTTTCTTCTTCTTCATTTGTTCTTGGTGCCCCATCAGCGCCTTAGAGCACACTTTTTGATTTTGACGCTTTGTAAATTTCTTTTGATTGATTGATTGATTGCATCACTTGTTGTGATAAACTTATATAAGATTCGAGGCTTTGCATGGTGGAGTATTGGTATCGTTTCGGTTTGCGGTAACACCATGTGATAATAACTACTGCTTAAAAAGATATTTAGTTCTGAAAAAACCTTGTCCTGCTTATTATCAACTTTGCTAAGTAGTTTTTGTTCTGATAAGAACAGTGCTGCTGTAAGTTCTAAAAGAACTTGTCTTTGGTCTCAACGTTTCGACTAGCCTGCTCTAGTCATTGTCAGGATGTGATGAACTTGTTCATTCCATTTGCCGAGTGGCCTGCTTAATAATTTATGTATACTACCCGGTACGTACTTGTCCAGCATGTCCAGTGTATACTATGTAACTTCAAGATGTACCTGTTGGATATTTTGGACTGTTTGTGGCTGTCTTAAATTCTAAGAAAATGAAAGCAGTAATGAACCCACCATTTGATTGGCAACATCCTATGGACTGACGGGGGTTGTTTGTCGTCCTCCTCTCATCAGCACCTAGACCGCTGTGCTCAGTGTTTCCTTCCACGCAGGAACAAACAGGGGTCAGTGGGATGCCACCTCAAACCAAAATGCCCGAGTTTGGGTGTGTACATTTGTTGTGTGTGACGCAGACAGATGGTATGGAGGAGGCTAGTATAATGATAGCCCTTCCTTGGTACTGATCAATAACAGGGCTTTACCTAGAAAAAAGTTGGTGGTGATGTCATGGATGTTGGACTATTACGGTAGGTGTATGTGGTACAGTGTAGTTTGGTGTATACATGTGCACGTTTATGGTGTAAATTGAGGAAACACACGTGCAACATCATCGATGAATTGAGGACAGAAACCAAATCAAGAATGACCTCGATTAGAAAACGTGTACAAAACCAATGAGAGCTGTTGCAAAACAGTTTTAGTATAAACAAAGGAAAAGGGAAGAGGAACAATAGGAAATCCACGATTTACACTATAAACAAACGTGTGTACACATGTGGATGTTTTCAATCAGTGTTTATGTACAATGTACATACATGTATTTTTATAGCACTTGTACACACCGGTAAATAAATGTAGCATGTCAGCAGTTTTTCTTCTTGTTGCTTGATGTACATGTACATGTACATGTACATGTAGGAGACCTTATAACAGTGTTTAGAGGCTGGGTTTCAAATAAATCGTATTGTGGATTGGAAGCTACCCAACAATTTCCTGATAATCAACGCAGGTACTGTCGGAAGGTACCGATATGGATTATGATTGTACACACGTGTGCATTGGACATAGGAATTGATTGTGTACTGTACAGTATCAGTACATTACATGTGTATGCACTCAGAAAATTTGTACATATGTAAGCCATCATTTTGTTCAGTACAAAATGTACACGTAGATGTATGGTTGGTTATGTATGTACATTGTACATGTATTTTGTAATCATAATACAGACATTGTACCATCGTTGTCGGGTCCTTACCAACGGTGGCCAGAGACTGAGCAGGTGGCCTCTTTATCAAGGTGGCCAGAGTGGCAGCAGTCTTTCTGTTTTGAGGCGTGCGATCACACCCCCACGCCATCACACGCCTAAAAGCTTCCTGAGAAGTGCAAATAATCGCACGCCTGAATCCCTCAGTACCGCACACCTCGGCATACATTTACAGCATAATTTGTGAAAAATAAAGTACGTCAGTGAAGAGAAAATGGCTTTATTGTAAACCAAGATGAATGTTATGAAATATATTCCAGCTTGGACCATAGAATCACACACCTAGAAAAATCACTCACCTAGAAAATCACACGCCTAGAAAAATCACACGCCTAGAAAAATCACACGCCTTAAAAAAATCCAGGTGTGCTTTTTTCCACACACCTGTGATTTTCAAATCAGAAGGACTGTGGCAGGTTTCACTGCATTGGGCTTGCTTCCAAATCTTGCTTCAAAACACCACTGATGGTTGAAAGGACTTGTTATAGTATGTATGACATAGGACCATCTACCCATCTGAAGAACTTTTCCGACCAGTCTAGTTTTGTTTCTAGAATTACAATCGTTGTACGTACTGAACAGTGTGTGTGTGTGTTAATGCAGTTAGCCTTATTCCATTTTGAACGTGTTACCAGACTACCAGTGAAAGTTTACATTTGCATACATGTACATGTATACGTTCATATGTACAATGTATCAGATCCCTGTCAAGTTCAGGAAATCATTGGTGACAGTGCGGGTATATTGCATCCGTAATAACAGAAACATCTGTTGATCTGACCACGATCTGGCGGGTCTGTCTTGTTATTTTTCATGTTGTGTCATTCTGCGCAGGCTGTATTCTTGAAGGGAGTATGCACTCCATCCCCCCCCCCCCCAAACCAACCAGTGCGACGCACGCGCATATCTCCATAAAAGGAGTTGTTTACGTCTTACTCGCCCGCTGGACACTTTGTTACATACATGTAGCTAGAGAGGTGTTTTGAAAAACAGAAAGTGAAACTATGACTGTTGAACAAAATTGTTGGAAAGTTTTAATTTTTGACTTGTGTTGACTTTTGGACCAGAAAGTTCTGATTTTTTGAAAGAAAAGGTAAATGAGTGGGAATATGTGTGCTTGGTCGGTATTAAATACTTTGTTTAAGACTGGTTGGAGTGTGGAATGCCGATTATTATGCGAGCCGAGGCCGAGGGTAAGACTCCAAGCAGTCTTAAACATACATGTAGTGTTTAACACCTGCCAAGCACACATTTATTCCATTATCAGTGCCCAAGGCCATGATCATATTTTCCATTGCCGATCCAAACTTGATCAAGTTGACATGCTACAGCCTACAGCTGATTTCAAGTAAAAATTTGCGCGAAGGAAATGGTGTGAATCTGATCCACTTTAAAAATGACTTTTTATCAAGTTAAGGAAACTGTTTCTGAAACGCTGGGGATTGAACTGAAGAAAATGACGCTGAAAGGAAGTGCGTTACTGAAAGGAAATACATGCATACATACAGTGTATAACTCAAAGGAAATGCTGTTTCTATTTTTTATCTGTTTGATTTTGATCTTCCTACAGAGGAATAGTGGTCCGGGGCCCCGACAGCTTTATCAACTTCTTGCCAGCTGTTGAGTCATCGGTGATCTGGGAGGGTTCACCCCTACGAAGGCCCCCCAGAGCCTAGGGACAACCATCGATGACCGTCCTCTGCTATTAACAATCTCATCTGGGCATGCTCATTAAAGCAGTACTACATAACTGACGCACATAATCTGCCACAACACCCACAAAATCCGAAGGCACCAGACAGGGCCCAAAAAATAACAATCGTAGGTCCTGCTTTCTAAAAGTGCGCCTTGCCGGGGGCAAAGTGTACCCTTGGGGTTACGTCGGTGAAGAGAGTGCTGGACTCACGGATGAGCTAATAGCCTAGACTTCCAGGTGCAGCAGCTATTCTTGGCCCGGACAGCACGAGTTGTTCCGGCGTTGACATTTACCCGTTGTGGGCTGGAAGTGGAAGCGGACTGGAACCACATGTGGTTGCTTCAGATGTCACTGAGGCCGTATAAATAGGCCGGTTAAAGTAATCGGGGGCACTCTTCGCTGAGGAGAGCTAGCTGACGGCATTCTACGTTGTTACACTCCCCATTGTGTTTATGCCCTCGGGGGGGAATTGTCCTCCAATTCTTGGAGTAACTTTGCATAACGAGGACGTAACCAGCGCTGATGAACTGGGAGAATGTAACTTGTGAGGGAAAACTAACGTTGGTGCCAAATCTTGCCAAATATATTTTTTTACATATTTATGTACAGTAGGTTTGACAGTATTGTAAGTAAGAATAAGTTCGGTATCAGAGAAGATGCAAGGTTTTTTTTATGGAATATTTCATGAAAGTTGCACTGATTCTTGCCACCTTATAAACCTGAAAAGTGCATGTGTTTCACCCTTTTTTTATTGAATGCAGTTCCTCTTTATTTTACCTGACCTTTTCCAATAAAATTGTATTGGTTGTGGGTTCAGGGAGTCTTGCATGTACACATTGCAGCGTCTGCAATCAGTATTTCGCCCACACTTGCCCGTTTAATATTGAACCGTTTACTTTGCCATCCACATTCTGTCTGTTGCTGCTTGAAACACGTTTATTTGCGAAACATCTCAGCTCGAAGTGCCACGTCAATAAAAGCCTCATTAAATTTGGCCGCATGCAACTCTATCTTGGGGATTTTCCAGTATACAGGACCAAGCCATGTACAATGTAGTTTCTTTGTAATTTAAATAGCCAATGAAAATTCTGGACCTTTCTCTTTGATCAATTCTTTGTTCCGGCCTAGTGTTTATCTTGTTTCAATGGCGACAAGATTGTGAAATCTCCCTAGCCTGTGATCCCTCAGTACTTGCTTTAATAAATGTACGTCTACACGGGCGTTTTGTAACGTCTTGCATGCCACATTGATGATTATGCGAGTGAACGGACGGCTGTGTGAATAGAGATCAAGGATCATCCGGTTTGCAGCCAAGTTTTGACGCTGGATGCGTGGATCTCATGTTCCATCGGCTTCAATCAAATGAACTTGAGTCTGAGAGAGTCGGACAGACTGTGGAGATCTCAAGTCGTGATCTTCATTGATTTTATCCAGTAACTCTAACAAGTTTACTGGCGTTGGAATCTAAAGGTCCATGTAAACAGTGACTGTGTTGACTGCTTTTATTTTTCCTCCAGACCTTTAAGCATTGCCAAGTGCATGTTTACTCCCTGAATGCAGTTTGTCATAAGCAGGAAGTAAGCATTTATGTTGTGGCAAGTGATGCAAATTATGCGAGCTGTGCCACTCTACGAACTTTCTTGATGTGCTTGAAACGGACACACTTAAACTCCGTACTTACCCTGATCCCAACCACATGTTGTCAGTACTCCAAACTTCTAGAAGCTGTATTTTTGAAACGGTGACGGGCACAATATGCATACCATAAGTCGCGGTATTATCTTCATTGTCATAGGCTCTATTTTTGTACTACTGTCTCTTTTAATGTATACCGAAGTTCTTTCAAGACGCTCAAAGTGGTTTGAGCATGCCTACCCAACTGGAATGATCTCATACAGAAACCGGCTAAAGAGCCGTCCATACCTTGAATTTTCACAGGGAGAGTCGATGACCAATTCCGTGCTAGATGTTAGCCGGAGAAAGAAACAACGCCAATACCACACAATGAATATAACAAGATTGAGCTTTAACGGCTCCGAGAAAGTTGGCCCCGCGCACCCTGTAGGACTGAAGATCATGATCATGGGTAGGATGCGAACAGGCTCCACATTGCTCGGGGAAGTCCTGAACCAGAACCCTAACCTGTTCTACCTCTTTGAACCTCTCCACGCCACGGATGCCTTGGTAAATCTGAGGCTTATGGACTCCAGCAAGATGGAAGCATCGATGGCCACACTTCTCCGCAAACTCTCCCAGTGCACCTTCCCCAGTGAGTTCATGTACGACATTTACAACTGGCGCATTGCCAGGGGAAAGAGCCGGACTATCCAAGAAATGTGCGAGGGCAAATTCAGATGCACTAAGGCCAACCCTACGCTCTTCAATGCACGGTGCGTCCGTCGCAGAGGAAACATGGCCATGAAAATGATCCGTGCTGATCTCGAAACCATTAAGCCCCTCGTACTTGAAGACCACCTGAACGTGAAAATACTCCATCTTGTTCGCGATCCTCGTGGCACCGCCAACTCCCGTAAACGTTTTTACTGCCCAAGGAGACATGTCCCGCCGGAACAGTGCTCTCTGTACACAATGGGTTTACTGGAAAATGAACCCCAACTGATCAAGTACAAAACAATCCACAGGTACTGCCAGTGGATGAGAGAGACTGTGCAGGTTGCATTAGCAAGGCCGGATTGGCTCCAAGGGCGTTATAAGCTCATTCGGTATGAAGACATGGCCTTAGAGCCACTGCGCTTTGCCAAAGACATCTACAATTTTCTAAAGCTCCCGCTGCACCCACAGGTGACAGATTGGGTCAAATCAAACACGCAGGAGAACACCCAGAAGAGTTCCAAAGTCTTCAATACCAAGAAGAACTCGACTGAAGCGGCCCAGAGCTGGAGGAACACGCTCAGTTTCAAGGAGGCCAAAGATGTGGAAAAGAAATGCGGTGATGTGATGGAGCTGCTGGGCTATCGGCTAGTCGAATCCGAGGAGGATTTGACAAACTACGAAGTGCCAGTCACTTCTCCACTTAATATTGGCTCGGACATCAGTTTTACTTAAAGTCAGGGTGGTCAACAAACTCAATTCCCAAGTCCAGCACAAATATAGGCTGATCCACACGTGGCGCGAAAGCGATCACACAACTGTAAATTTGTGACACTGCATAAAATTTATTTGTGCTGCAAATTTGCAAAAGTTTAACACATCTCAGTTCCGGCGAATGTCAAGTGTTTCATGGCGTCATGCTCACTTCGCATTCGTATTTGAGTGAAGTGTGAACTTGCCGTAAGGACACAGATACCAGGGACTAACAGTGACAAATAATGTAAGCCTTGTGATTTGTGATAAATTTGTGAGGACTTGAGTAGAACTATAAGTTTAGTACCCGGTATGTACGTACTAGTAGCCATCATAAAAAGGGACGGGAGTATTGGAGACTTTAAGTTGGAATATTTTGCCAATTACATTCATGTACATTTACAGTGTACCGGAATGTGCAATTGTTTACGATGCCTGCATACATATACAATGTACATACATTGAATGCATGTGCATGAGATGCACAGTGACAAAATTATGTAAGTTATCCCACGAGCGTTGGTGGAACACGGAATAATGTAGTGCGTCTGTGTCTTACATATTCGGCCTCGTGGTATGTGGGGCACAGACGCACTACATTTTCCGTGTTCCGCAAGCGTGATAACGAATTTATCTGCAAGCAAACTTGACGCACTAAAAAGAAGGAACACGCACGCTGTACACAAACCTTTCAGTGGTAATCCTATTACACGTGCGTGTTTTTACGGAATGGCGCGCACATCTTGGAATAGCACAATACGCGGAGTGCGGTATGGACCGTAGCCGTGCTACATGGTTATATGTAGCACAGCTTGTTGCCATGAATCGACCAATCAGGATCGAGTATTCAAGTTTACTTGAAGATAAATGTTGATATTGTGTCTAAATAACTAGTTTAATGTTGCAATTAACATCATTATTTTGAGTAGTTACTACTCAAAATAATGTTACTCAAAATAATGATGTTAATTGCAACATTTTCCTGACTGCATAAGTCTCCAACACTCACATAATGTCTGTGTAAATGTACGTATGTATGCATTTTGTTTGGGGGGGGGGGGGGAATTTACTGTTAGCTGTTTCATGTATCAAGTGGTGCTTTTGGCTACCTGTCTATTTCAGCCACTGTTGACTGTCCATTTTGGAAAAAAAACCAAGCAGTACAAAGTATTTATATATTTTTCTATTATTGGTCCAGTCCAACCTGTGCTTGAACCTTTGACAGAAGAAAGTAACAACGTTATGTCAACATCCTCCTTGTCTTTTGCTGTCAATTATGTAAGCACAAAGCTATTTATATACACCTAAATAAGGCAAAAAAAAAAAGTCTCCAGTTTCTGGTATGCATGGAGCTTGCCCAAATAGTGGTGCGGCGACACGGCTTTTTTTTTTTTTTTACCTGATTTTTTTGCTTCAAATGTCGGCTGATGACTGCAAATGGTGCCCGACTATACTTAGTGCAAATATATGGGAGTCCAGAGAGGCCACATAAAGCTTATTCTCGACCATAACCCAATCTAAAAACACGTTAAAATTGTGCAGCAGCAGGATTCCAGTCAAACCAGTGAGTTTGGCAGTTTTGAGACATCATCTTTCATTGAAAAAAAAACTTTTTCATGTTTTGCCGACACGCATGGCTACGGTGACGCGCGCGCATACCAGAAACCGGAGACTTTTTTTTTTGGCCTAAAGGTGACATAAAGTCAATGGGACTAGTTCAGCAGCCTCAAACTACCTTCGAAGGCATTGCCGATGACACCTGATGCCCACGCAAAGATACTTCAAATTCGTGCACATTCAGAATGAATAAAACGTACGTATACTGTACTTCACACCATTAGCATACAAACCAGAATGCAAAAGCGATGTGTCCCTCCCAAAGCGTCATCTACATGTATATTTCTGCGTGCATGGAGCCCATTTTGACTGTCCATTATTTAGGGCTAGCCAGCAAAATGCATTTCTGTTGTGACCCACTTAAAGAGGTTGTGGAAAGCTCGAAGACATTTCCGTCATTTTTCGGGTATATGTAGCCTAAGGTGTGATGAAATAAAAACGACTATTGTGTCTGTCATGAAATGAGTACAAAAGGTACTTTTGAGAGCTGTTTTTCAGGTCCTGTTTCGACCCGAACGTGCAATTTGTGTAAAAGTCGTCGCTGGGGGGCAGCGTTAGTCGTTTTTATTTCATCACACCTTAGGCTACCCGAAAAATGACGGAAATGTCTTCGAGCATTCCACAACCTCTTTAATGTACATGTTCAGTGTTCTGTTGCCAGCACCCTGATAAATTGTGATCATCTGCGATAATTGGGTGACCCTTTTTCGAAATTGATAACAATTTTGCTTGTTTTATTGTGTAAGTGTTAATTGTGTAGACATTTGCATAGTATACATGTACATGTTTTGAAGTTTAAAAAGTTTGGGGAAAAGACTTAACGATTGATTTATGCTTAAGACCAGTGCTATGCATGGGAGCAGTCCACAAAAGTAAACAGTGTTACTGATCAGTGGACTAAAAGAGAATGTTAAATGAACTACATGTGTACATAGCAAAGACAAAGTCTTAGACTTTGACATTTATTTTGTGGTAATTGTTGCTTGTGTGTGTAATTGTGTTAAATATGCAAAATGAAGTATTTGCTATTGTGTTTTTTTTCATTTTGTAGCTTAGTTTGCTTGCTTTTATATACAGTAGTATTGCATTTGTAACTGTACCATTCGTAAAACATGTTAAAAAATTATGCAGTAATTTTTGATTTATGTTTTTTAGTAAATTAAGTTACGGCCCAGAAGACTCAATGGGAAGAATTGATTAATTTTATTTTATACATCATCTTAACACTACCCTTTGTATGCCCCTCTGCATTTTACTTTTAATAAGAGCATTTATTATAACTCTATTATTACAGATCCTGACTAAAATGTTGCCAATTATTGTACATTTTTTTTAACCAGAATAAGGTATTATTTTGATATGATGTTCATCATCTGAAAGGACAACTAATTTCATAAAATCTTGCCAGTTATTAAATGTCATACAATTTTCAAATCAGCTGGTTTTTTTTCGTTGGTGTTTAAAATGATTGGACATAAAATGAAGTTTGGCATTCCATACTTTACGAAACAAAATTGACAATGTAGGCCAATAGATGTATTGTTTGGGGAAACATCCCATTTTAAGCTGATGTACGTACATGTACATGTATGTAACTTTGCAAGTAGTGGTCTCAACAAGATGTGACTTTATGCCCATTTCCCAGTGTATGTGTTTTAGGAAACATTGTGTTTATATTTGTGTTAAATTGAAACACTTAGACTAGTTTATCATCACCCATTTGTATCATTTATCGTTCATGTCTATCAATAAATATTCAAATACATGTACATGTATATATATATTCAAAAAACATTTTGTAAGTTAATTTGGTGAAGTATACATGTGTGTATTTGCCATTGCTTAATTAATGCATTGTTGTATTTTATTTTTCTATTGTTTTACATGGAAATTCCATATGAGCGTTTTAATATGCAACATTACAACACTCTTTGTTTGTGCGAGAGGTAGTTTAATATGCCAATCCAAAAATCAACTCTTCAGAAATCAGCCAAACGTCTCAGTTAATTAAATGACAGATCGATCCAAAGTTTGATTTTATTTAGTTTTGAAAAAATTATTTGTTGTATGTAATTTTTCTATTGTTTACATGGACATTTCATGTGAGAGTTATGTAACATTACAACACTCTTTTGTGTGTGCGAGAGGTAGTTTAAAATGCCGATCCAAAAAATCAACTCGTCATCAGCCAAACGTCTCAGTAAATTTAATGACTCATCGATCCAAAGTTTGATTTATTTATTTTTGAAAAATTATTATTGAAAAAAAAAAAGTATTTCGAGATTAATCTTGTAACGTTTGTTGATTGATGGAGATGATAATGATCAGTGATTATAGTTCTGATACATAATGGCATCACACTTTGCTTACATGTGCACTTTCTGATGGGAGCTTGCTGGCCCTCATCCCCAACAGACCTCCATAGGAAAGCACACGCGAAGACAAAGCGTGACGTCATTATGTCTTAGGTCTATAAAGTTACCAGAAGTTTTCATTTTTTGTAAAGTCCTCAGATTATATCCTTCACTGTGTAACAGGGTAAACAGACAAAACAACTCATTAAATTAATATATGTACTTTGACAACTTTTGGATATTTTGGCATTTCTGTGACAATATGTGAGTTTGTGCTGCAAATAAACTTGTGTACTGTGTACATTGGGATAAATTGTTGTTTGTCGTAGAATATAAACTCCTTTTTGTCAAACTTCACACACTCACCACTCATTTACATATCCATGTCATTAATCCTGCAAATTAAAAAATGTGGAAGCCAGTCACAGCTTAACTCTTCTCTTGTTCTTCCAATAAAAAAAATGAAACCCTCACGTGTTCAGACAAGCAAACCACCAGTGGATTCTGAACAATGCTTTCCTTGTAATTTTTTTTAATTTTGGGGGGAAGATGAAGATTTCTTTTCAAAAAAGTACCTGTTGGTGCCAATTCAGATAAAATGCACACTACAGCAAGGTATCAATGAAAAGCTAATGATGATGAACTACCACTTTCCGATGGGATCGTTTTGATAGAGTTCAATTTCATCACCTTCACATATACAAACCCGTTAGTTTTGAGTAACTTTTCTTTATATACACCCTGTATAAACAGATCATTCTCCACATTAGATTATTTTGGCCACACCATCCAGTGTTTGTTTACTGAAATTGTCCACTTCTATCAGAACCTATTTTTATAGCTGTCCATGTAATGCCTTTAAGCTACTGAGCTGAGTGAGAATTACGGATTGCACACAGGCATTCAAATACAAATGAGATTTTAATTATTTTGGGTCGTCTGAAATATTATTTTTCAACAATCAAATGATATGTTTAGAAACATTAATAATTATTTTTTATTTTTTTCACGACATAACGACCTTCCATATTTTGCTAAATAGTTGGAAAAAAGTGCGGGTATGCAAATATTAATGACACGCCATTACATGTAAGGTTTAATAAAAAAGCCTTTAAAAAAAAACCAAACAAACAAACAAACAAACACCGAAAAAAGATCAATTTTAATCAGTGACATACTTTTGGCCTCTTTGTCTGTTGCATCAAGCCCATATAAGCTGGTATGTCATTTCCTGAGTCCAAGTGGTGGTCATACAAAAAAAGCTGCCGGACATCTTGAAAATAGCCCGGCCGGTCGTTTTTTGGGGGGAAAGGCCTCCCTTTTTTTTTTTAAAGGCAGGACGCTAAACATTTTTAAAAATATATTTGGCATAGTCCAGTCATTCAATAGAAACACTTGTTCATGCTTTATTCCTTCAGGACTTTTGCACTAAGATTTAGGGTCCCCGCCCCTGCAGAAAGTCAGAAAAAAAACAAAGAAGTGTCAAGTAGGTTTTTTTTTATCTTTGGAATAATCAGTGAATTTAAAAACGAGATATTTTTTTTTACTCCGAGTTCAGTTTCCGCCTCGATCATTTCAACTTTTTCGGGCCACGCCCACACGTCATGTTGGGTACGGATATGTGACTGTTCTATGTTTCAAAGATCAGTATAGACAATTGCGTTTACATAATTTACGTGCAAAATATAAATAGTATTGACTATTAGTAGTTCTACATCAATGCTACGAGTGCAAATCATAAACAGTCGTCGCGTGTTCGTGAAGTGAAATAGTCGGGTTCCAAGCCTGATCGCTGGGTCTTCATTGGATGAGCTAGTAAAAGTTGGACGTTAGACCTCGACAAATGAGGCATGGCGCGCTGTTTTTCGCGCGGGTTTGACGTTTGATTTTTAAAGTTAAGTCAAAACCTCAACAGAAATTAGTAAATTGTGATGTTGGTAGCCTGAACAACCTCTTTTGTCATAATTGCTGCATTTTACAGACTTGGTAAGTATAAAAGTGCATCTGTTTCCATGTCATTCATTGTCACTGTCAGTTTGCTATAACGTCGGACCTAGCTTAGCCCCATAAATGTGGCCTATTTACTGGACTGCCTCCGTAAACATAGGCCACACATCCACATGTACAAAAATCGTGTCGACGGAGCCAAATTTTGATTTTCACATTTAGGCTTAGTTTGTAGGGTTTTTTTGCTTTAGAAGCATACTCACCCTCTTTATGGGCTAATCAGAAAGTGCTGCCTTTTTCAGATGTATATTTTTCGTGAAATTTCCAGATTCATTTTTACACGTTTGCGTATCAAAATTTCAACATGAAATTTCACAAAAATTAGACATCTGAAAAAGGCAGCACTTTCTGATTAGCCTGTAAAGAGGGTGAGTATGCTTCTAAAGCAAAAAAAACCTACAAACTAAGCCTAAATGTGAAGATCAAAATTTGGCTCCGTCGACACGATTTTTGTACATGTGGATGTGTGGCCTATGTTTACGGAGGCAGTCCAGTAAATAGGCCACATTTATGGGGCTAGACCTAGCTCTGTCATGTCTGTCTAAAGCGACGCGCTTCTATTTCTGCGCACTCGCCTTTTAATAAGTTTTACATTTACAAGGTATGCATCCTGAAAATGATACTTTCACTTGGATCGTATCCTTTGATGCACAAACTTTAGTTTAACCCAGCAGCCGAAAAAATGTGGAAATTGAAGGCTTTACCGGGAATTCAGGCAAAAAAAGAAAGAAAAACAATGGCATTTTACAGCTAATTTACAATACTTCCTGGCTAGTCCCATAAATGTGACGATAATACTAGACTGCACATAAAAACGTAGTGGCTATTGTAGCGGCAGCTGTAACTCGATTTTCATCTGCTATCGTCGCGGCATTGCAAAACATAGTCCTACTCCTACCATTACCAACCAGAATGCTTTTGGTATATCGATTGGTTAAATGTTTGACTACCAAAGTATTTTATGGGATTATTTTAGTGTATAAAATTTCAATTTTTCCCTTAGAAAAGGCAAAAGAATGCAAAATCAAGATCATCAACTTGTTCAGGGAAATCCACATCAGGTTCGTGGGGATGCTGCATTCTTGGTGAATGGAGCCGTGGGAATGATGGGCGGTCAGTTTCCGTCATCCGTTGGCATGAATGCTTTAGCAGGAGGTGGTCCAGGGATGCAAGATGCAATGCTGAGTCAAATGGGAATCGCTGGTCCGTCCGGATCTTCTAGGAATGACCAGATGATGGGCGGAGTAACGACTGGAGGGGGAGGCAGCAACAGGAGGGTGGGGAGAGGGGACAGCAGTGAGATGGCACAGGATATATCGGACGAAGGAGTGCAGGAGACTCTAAGGTGAGTTTGATCAAGTTGTAATGTGCCTTTTACTAGTTTTAGTGTGTCATTAGTACAATCCATGTTATAAATATTAACATGCTGTGACAATGAAAGTACAAAACGTCAGCTCATTCAGTCGTTCTCTGGTTTTACCTCCTAACCGTACCTTTGGGCGCACTAGATGCCTCTCCATACATCCATATACTGTCATTGTTCCCGAAGCAAATTCTAAGACGTATTCATCCACTTTTTTCCCACACACTGCCTCACTATGGAACTCCTTACCTGCATCTTGACTTCCAGTTGAGTTTGGTCTGTCCTAGTTCAAGTGTAACATTTATACTTATCTTTCTACTTGCAGTAATTTTTTCTTTTTCTTAGATTGACTTTTCTATCCCGTCTTTATGTAGCCCTCGTCTTGAGTGGCCCTTAAGGACCTTTTGACGGGCGACTCGTAAAGCTGAAGGACCAGTTTGTAATGTTGAATTCAAAAGCATGTTTTCTTGAGAAAGAGTTAATTGTTTCTGACTGGTCATTTTTTTTCTTCATTTGTGTTTGCAGCAAGGAGGTTTTCGCTACCTACAAGAGCACAGATCTCATTCCTGGGGCCATAGTTCACCCAGGAGATATCGTAGAGGCTGCCTCCCTGGCTGTAAGTTCAAACAATTCAAAACTCTCTGAAATTGATGAAAGGTCAAGGGTCAAGGTCACAGTGGCTAAAACAAAATAAACTTTGTCAGCGCGATGACGTGAGAAATACTTTACATGTGAACTTCGAATTTGGTTTGTGGATTGTTCTTGGTAATCTACAGAAGCCTATTGTATTTGGGGCCGAAAAGTCAAGGGTCAAGGTCACAGTGGCTAAAACAATAAAAACAATAGATCATAGGGATTAATTCATATAAAACCTACAGAAAACACTAATGATGTCAATGAACGTTCCATGCGACCCAAGTACATGTACATGTAAGTTGATGTTAAAAGAGTGGTGTTAAGTCATGGGAACAGTCACGGAACAGACTCATATCGACAGTAGTTTCCACACATAGTCAATACTTTGCTAGTCCATGTGTTGTGTAATGCTGGGTTTTACATTCCCTTAATCAGTGACTAAATTGTCCCTCCCTCCATTTACACAAAGGAAATTTTTAAGAGTTCTCATTACTTTTTTTTCATTTGTGAAGGCTGTTCCGCTACCAAAGGCGACCTATGACCTCGCAGCTTCTATCCCACGTGAACTCATCACAGGAGGTAAACTTAGTCGCCTCCAACTGGAAGGAATCTTGTATGCAGTAAGTGTTCGCTTTCTTTCTTTTTATCGATAAAAATGTCTTGGGATAGGATAAACCCTAACCCTGCCAGACACAAGTGCATCATCAGATGCATATGGATTCCTTTGGGGAACTAACCCATCGGGCAGGTTTTCATGTGCAACCTCTATGAGATGATTAGATCAGTCACTGAATTATGCATTGAAATCGGTCAACACCAGGGTTTAGTTTGATTTTTGTTCCGTGGGTGACCATGTCTGTTATTCATGCTTGTGGGGACATTGTTTTTATTACTCAGTGCCAGCGTCATCAGAAGATCTTGCCCAATGGTAACCGTGCTGGATGCTTCATTGGGGATGCAGCAGGGGTCGGCAAAGGGAGACAGGTAAGGCCAACAAAAAAAAGTAGTCGGTCTCTGGTCAGACCGACTAAAGTTCCGGAATTGATGGGGCGATGAGGTTAAAATCATCATTTGCCTTGGTGCCCTCCATCACTTGCCTTTGTGCAATTTCCCCATTTCTTTGTGCTCCTTGGTACACAAATTTGAGGTGGTGCGGCAATAGAGATCGCTGTTGTAGCTAACGCGGAAAATTTGGAAGAAAAAAAAGATTGACCGTGAGCAAGTCACATGATATTTTCTATTTTTGCTATCTTTCTGTGCACGACCAAAAGTACTATACCAGTAGCAACCAAAGTACTATACCATTAGCAACCAAAGTACTATTTCCACAGCGCAGTATTTGTGTGCAAATGCATGCTGGTGTGCGCGTAGCGCGTTTTGTTCCAAAGAGAGCGCGCCACAGAGTTGGGTTAAATCATTTCGCGAAGGGGTAGTTTGGAAGAGAGAAATACATTTTCCACCAATTTTGTATTGAAATTGAAGTTTATTTCAACTGTGTTCAGATTTAAATAATTAAAAAAATTAAAACCAAGCAGAATCTGGGGGTGAAGTGTTATAAAACAAATATTGAATGCTTTATCTCGTGGTGAAGTAAAACTAGCCTCCCTCGGTGTTCCATGGAGCATTTTTATATTCAATATTTGTATACTATACAATTTTCAGATGCTGATGTTGGACTTATTGCAAAATTTGCAGTGTGATATAAGTGTGGATTACACATTTCTCCCTGTGATTTAGATTGCTGGTATCATCTTAGACAACTATTGCCGCAGTCGTACCAAGCACATTTGGTTCAGCATATCAGCAGACTTGAAAGTCGATGCACAAAGGTAGGAGATCTTCAACAGAGCCTTTTAAAATCCTCAATTTGGATGAATAGTACACCTCTTACTTAAAGTGCAGACCAAATTCAGTCCTTCAATATTCATGCAACAGCGAAACTAAAGAATTGGCTAAAATAAAAATGGCGTTCTGAGCTTTAACCTTTAGCGACCGCCCAAGAAATGTTATAATCTATGTATCTAACGGTAAGCCAAATAATCTGTGCACTAAAGGGTTAATAATGGTCTCAAATATACAACTTACACAATGGATGGTTTAATTTTATATAAGAATTTCTTTATTTAGTGCTGTCCCATTAAACTTTGTTGTACAGTACATATATCAGGATTTTATTTTTTTCAATGTTAACAAATACTCCTAAATGTTCATTTTTCTCAGGGACTTTCATGACATTGGATGCCACATCAAAGTCATTGAAGGATGTCAACAACTAGACAAAGAAACAAGGTGGGAATCATTACATTGTGATATTAATTGTTATTGTCTGTGAATTGGTTTCGTCCGATCAGGTTGGCGTAGCGGTACTTTCCTCGCCTTCCACCGCTGTGACCCAGGTTCGAATCGTGCCTGGGCCAATCAAGAGGTGGATTTGGTTTTCAGTCCCTACCTGATTCCGTGGGTTTTCCTTAGGATATCATTCTGGGGTTTTCCTCCCACCACCAAAACTGTCATGTCTTTCAACATCTACTACCAAGGGACCCCACTGGAAATTAATTGAAAGACTTCAGGCCAATGAGCTTGGTGCGCCAACGAAAGAGGGCGCCCTTTTACCTAGCAACTACGTCCCATGGGCAGGACATTTAGCTGGTTGACGCGCACCGTTCCTTGTGTGTGACGCACGTACACCAGGGGATTTGTACTATGTACACGCAGTGGTACGGCTGCGCGTCGTGGCAAAATTGCAGTCAGGCAAGATAGCTGGGTCGGTCACTCCCAACTGTACTTTCTTTGCTGGTGAGGGGGTACTTGTGAACGGAGCGGATTGGCGAATGATCATAAATAACTAACTAAATAAATAAACAAATAATAAATGACCTGCCCATTTCTCATCAGCTCACCCGCCAATTGAACCGACTTTTGAACCGTTGTGTGTGTGAATTTTAGATTTTGATATCTGTACAAATTCACTCATCTTTTTTTTCTCCAGAGTTCTTGGTTTACCCAAGGATTTTCAACAGGGTGTTATCTTCAGTACCTATGCAACTTTGGTTTCATCAACACAGAAAGGAGGTAAATATTTAGTGTTATTTTTTGTCCTCTCTTTCCAGGCGTAATATTTTTTTAGACTTCTGTTTACAATCAGTCCTTTTGAATCCGAGGGAAAGACATTAGAGAAAGGATTACATCTTTCGGACCTTTCATCAAAGTTTCAGACCTATTTTCGGACTTGTGTTAACACCAAAGATAGAAAATGATTATTTTATTTTTAGAATAAAACATGAGATGAAAACTCATTACGAGAAACATTTAAATTTGTTGAAAAGCACAGGAGGTGTGTGACAAAAACGAAATCAATTTTTTTTTAATTATAAAGTTGAACAAAAAAATTGACTGGAGCAGGGCTTGAACCAGCAACCTTTGTATTGCGACTTCCATAGTGAGTTAAAGGTAAATTGTTTCCGGATGATAACTTGAGTTAGAAATGAGATTTTGGTGTCTTACTTTGGTAGAGGGTTGCCCTTGGGAGTAGGCAAGTTGGGATTGGTTTTGTGGTCAAAAGGTCAAAGGTTAAGGTCACCATGGTGAGTTAAAGGTAAATGCTTTCCGGATGATAACTTGAGTTTGAAATGAAATTTTGGTGTCTAACTTCGGTAGGGGGTTGCCTATTGGTACAGGCATGTTGGGATTGGTTCTTGGGTCAAAGGTCAAGGTCACCATATTGAGTTAAGGGTTAATGGTTTCCGGATGGTAACTTGACTCTGGCCGAGGGGTTTCAACAGCAACGCTGTTATTTTATTATTACTCTTTAATTTTGTTTGTTACTTGAAGGATCCTGGGGCTCAGCACGTCAGAGTCGCTTGGAGCAGTTAATCCGATGGTGTGGCGGGACGGACTTCAATGGTTGCCTGGTCTTTGATGAGTGTCATAAAGCCAAGCATTTTATACCAGTAAGTTCAAACAGTTCTGTTTATATTTTATCCTCTTTGGAAAAACTTCGTATTTTTTGTGGGAAAGTTTATTATTTGGTTTCCTTTTAGGCGAAGTAAAAAGAAAAACATGTTTCTCGTCCCCGCCCGTTTCCATTTTGGAGGCTGCTTGGATTTTTTTATAATTTTTTATTTTTGAAAAGTGAAGTAAAAAACACTTAAAAAGTCCACAAATTTATTGGAAAATAAATACTTGCGAAATATGTGACCAATACAACTCTAAATGACACTGTAAATATGTTCAGTTCTCTTGTCCAACTTGTCTTTCATTTTAAAAGTGTCTTTGAACAGTGGAAACACCAACGGTTGCAGGAAATTTGAAAATGGCGGCCATCTTGAAACAAATAAAAAATAAAAAGCCCCTCTTCCTCCTTTTTTTTTCTTCAAAAACCCGGACGAGAAACATGGGTTTTTTATTCGGCCTTAAATGCAAAATTGTTTGTTTGTTTGTTTTTTTTCAGGGCAAGGAAGATAGGAGTACTAAGGTTGCAGTTGCCGTGACTACCATCCAGAGGTAATCATTTGGGCATTTTGTTTATGGATACAAATATTTCACTTCACTTGAAAATTACAGCACACCAGGTGCCATGATTTCACAAGAGGCGTGAGACTATCATTCACTTTACTGCAAAATAAGGTATTTCAAAATAATTTTCTAGGTTTTTTTGTTTTTTGATGTTTGCAAATGTTGTGTATTACTTGTAAGTATCGTAATTTTAAAATAATTTGTAGTACAGTCATCAAAATTTAAACTGAAATTAAAACATTTTTGTACTTTTGTTGCAGAATGCTCCCACAAGCTAGAGTCCTATATTGCAGTGCAACAGGAGTAACCGATGTCAAAAACATGGTAAGCGTCTCAGTCAAATTTGTATTGTATTTTTTATGAAAATCCATTTCTAGTTATTCTTTTTGTGGTAGCTTTAATTCTCAAAGATAGAAGACACATTTTAAGAATGAACATGTGGTAGACCAAATACGTGTACTGCGTACATGTATGGTCACAGACTATTTAACATCATAGATACAAGCAGGTTGCACAATTCGTCACCGTTTTGACGAAGTGACGCATCCGTCCAAAACCGAGATTTTCTGAAATCTGACATTTTTGGATATTCTAACATTTTATGATGTCCTCTACATGATTACCAAATTTCGAGACACAACATTCCATCGTTTGTTGATTACGCTAATTGATTACGCTAAAAGTGTGGAAAGTGCTACACACTAAGTTTTTCGTTTTGACGAAGTGACGAATCTCTCTGTGTCACTTAGTCTCATTGATTTTACACGTGTGCTATATTTAGATGATATGCAGCCTCCACGATTTGCGTTTTGACAAAGTGATCGCATCTGCGTTCTAAAATGTATACATTTTATATTCGCGCACGCGCTGTGTTCAAACATATACCTCATTTTTGTGAAGAAGTAGATTTTCCGTTTTGACGAAGTGACGGATATCTTTAGTAATTAATATCTTCTAATTAAACACGATTTTATGAACAGAGAGAAGTATTTTTGGCTATTTAACTCCTGGGCTATTGTCTCAGTTATATATTTTTCAATTCTGGTGGAGAAGTGTACACAAAAATGCAAACTGAAAAATCCACTAACTTCAAACGCAATTTCATCAAAACTCGGTTTTGCATCTGTGTGCACAGATGCTCCACTTCGTCAAAACAGGGGCGAATTCTTAGACTGCAGATGAGGGCTTCCTTTCTTTCGTGCCTTGTATTGTTGGACTGATATTTCTTCATTTTTGTTGCAGGCTTTCATGGAGCGTCTTGGGATGTGGGGTGATGGCGCATCCTTTGAATCATTTGAGAAATTTCTGGAGGCCATCACCAAACGAGGATTAGGTGAGAAATAAAGAGTCAATATTTTTGTGCAAGAGAGGCCATTTTCTAGTCTGACAATCAGACATGCACGTGTGCAGAGCCACAGTACGAACGTCTGATATATCATAGCATGCAAATTTATGTGACCCCAATTGGAGTCGACATTAGAAACTGTGACGTCATTTGGATCAGAAATGTGGACTAAGCTGTTGATTGGTCAATTTGGATGCCGTGTTTTTGTAATACAACAACGGGTTACGGAAGACCCGATAGAAGGCGCCCGCTGAATGGTCAGAATCTGGAGATCAAGACGCAGTCTTGTTTTGCAAAAGTAATCGCCGAATCTGCGTGAATATCACAGACGCTTGTGTGCAAGCGGTTATTCCATAAACGAGCCATTTTCTGGGTATCAGTAGTAAAAATGTAATTTTTTTTGAAAAGCAATTTAGCAACTGAACCTCAGTCTAAACAGTCACAATTTTTTTTTTAAAAGTTAAAGTTACAGAATTGAATCACTTGACATTGATTCTGTGTGTTGCTAGGTGTTGCCGAGATGCTGGCCATGGAGATGAAGGCATCCGGGATGTACTTGTCTAGAGGGCTAAGCTTCAAACAGGCAGAGTTTGTTACCGTGGAGATGGATCTGACAGAGGAGCAGGTAAAGATGTACGACACTGCAGCTCATGTCTGGTGAGTCTTCAAAGCATTGGGACATGTCTAACACCAAAATGTTAAACACCTAATTATAATGCTACATTGACTTCAAGCTGAGTCCAAGTTTCCCAGAGTTCTGTTATCGTTTTCCTGCTTTGTTTCCCGTCCAGGAATGAGTTGAAGAATTCCCTGGAAGCAGCCCTCGGACGCACCAACTCGGGCTCCCCTCGCATCTGGTCCTTCTTCTGGTCCTGCCATCAACGATTCTTCAAACAGCTGTGGTAAAGCAAACAGTTTGTATCCTACAAATGTTTTTTCTGAAAGCTCCAGCGTTTTTAACCCTAACCTAGGCTGCGAGTAAAACTTAGAAGTTTTTCTGTCAACAGTCTTGGAGTGAAGGTACCGCGGATTGTCGGAGAAGCCAAGAAGGCTCTGGAGGAAGGATACTGTGTCGTGATTGGCCTGCAGAGCACTGGCGAGGTAAGATCAAATACTGCTGCCTCTTTTTGTTAAATAGGAGGGGACAGCATTTCAGTTAACAGAAGGGTAACCTGGTGTCTTTTAGAACGCCTGTAGGCTATGTTGGCCTCCTCAAGTTGGGCTCCCCGTTCACGCAAAAGCACATTACTGATTTGATTTTTGTTTACATTTTTGATGTTTGTTTTGAATTCATTTCAGGCCAGCCTGGACAGTGAGATGACCAAGACAGGTAGCGGTCAGTCAGGCTTCGTCTCAGTAGCGCGAGAAATTCTTGTCCGCTTCATCAATCAACACTTCCCAACCCTCGTCATCTCGGTGAGAAACACTGAAGGGCAACCTGATTCTCAACACAAAGAAATTGTTCTCTGCCATAGTTTTCATTATGAAAATTATTAAGCTGTCCTAAAGTTTTGTCACCTGCGGTAATTGTTACTGTTCGCTATTTTTGTATCACACACTGCACTGATTATGTTAGCCAGAAGCATACCGACTATACATGTATGGCTTCATGGACAACATTTGCTTTTGCTGTAATTTTCAGAAATGGATGGATTTCGGGGTTAGCATTTTATAGCAAATATTGTTACCCTGACGTGTTTAGGTTTTATGTTCATAGCTGCTGGAAAAACCAAGAAAAACAAAATGCTATTATAGTCTGGTTTCCTGACACCACTTCAGATGAAACAGAGCAAGTTATAGACATTGGGGAAGTTGTAAAGTCAGGGAAGGAGTCTAGCTGACTTTCACTTGTTCACAGATGTGTAATCGATTGCAAACAAAATGTGGAGCCACTAAATTTGGTAAATTGGGGGCAGTATTTCAAAAATGCCAGTTTATTTCCAATGATTTTCAGCTCACCATCCTTGGAAATTTTTACAAAAATTCCCCTTTTCTTGAAAATGACAGCACACCACGTGCCACGATTTTACAGGGTGCTTGAGACTGTTATTTACTAACATGCAAGTAAGGTATTTCATAATAATTAGGTATTTTTTTTTTTTTTGATGTTTGCAGATGTTGAATACTGCCTTTAAACACCATGATACAATGTGCCTCAGGTGGATTATCCAAAGTCCAGATCACAAACTGGCATCAAGTATAAACATTGTTCTCCCTGTGTTTCTTACTAGGACACAGAGGCAGCTCGTGATGACGACTGGAGCAAGACTGCCAAGACTATGCTCCTGGAGTTTGCCAAGGAAATGCCGCTTCCTAATAGGTCAGTACTTAATGAGAAACTGTTGGGGGAGTCATCACTTATGAACAAGTCCAGCTGAGAACCGTAGCATACAAATATTGACTGCTTTGAATGGTGTTGTGAAACTAGCCTCCTGAGGTGATCCATTATATTGCCCTTTTTGAGACAAGGACAACACAATAGGAGTTCTCTTATTGGAGTGGGTAAACTTGTGTACGTACTAAAAAAAAGTTTACCCACTACAAGTAGCAGCCTCCTAATTTGGTTAAATTCTCCTCGTGTTCTGCCCCTCCCCTTTTATCCTCAGTCCCCTTGATGACATCATAGATCAGCTGGGCGGGGCCTCGGCTGTTGCTGAAATGACGGGGCGTAAAGGTCGCATGGTGCGGGACGGTCCCAACGCCCAGGCCCGATATCAGCCACGTACCCCGGCTGACTCCTTTGATGTGAACAGTCTGAATGTGCAGGAGGTCAGTTTGCAGGGTTCAGGAGTGAAGGTCCAACGTCTCGAAAAGTTCAACAGTTCTCAAAATGTTATTCAGTCCACAAAATAAAGCTCAAGTTCCCAGAGCTACTTTTGCCTAAAATACCTCACAAATCTAGCACAGTCATTCGATATTGGGTTTTGCTCTTCACCGACGTATAAACACTGTATACACAAATTCCAAGACATCTGCACTAGAAAGCAGAAAGGTTGTGGGTTCGAGTCCAACCAGACTCTGAGTGATTTTTTCCAACTTTCACTCGGGAGGTAACAGTGGAGTGCTGTGGCCTAGTGGTTCAGGGCACTGATTCGTGGTCTGTGGGTAAAGCTGCAGGTTGTGGGTTCGAGTCCTGGCGGGGTCATGGTGCGTGTGCCCTTGGGCAAGGCACTTAGTCACTCATTGCTTCTCTCCACCCAGGAGTAAATGTCATACTAATCTGGCACTATGGGAATCAGAAATTGTCAATGCTTTGACCTACATAATGTCTGCATTTATCGCCGCAGTGTTGTAGCTGAGTGCTTTCTTAGACTAGGATACTAAAATAAATAAGCTGATCATACAACAAATTAAACAGACTGAGAAAGTGGTATTTGAACTTTGCATCATGGGGAGGAATCCAGGCTTTTGTACGAAGGGATATGCTGAAAATTTGTGGGACTTTGCGAAGGAACTTGTACTGTGACTGAAGTCAGAAATGTATATCTGATGTAAGATGAATGTTTTTTTTGGTTTATATGTAATAGTAGTTGGTTTTAATTGTTTTACAGCGGAATAGCTTCATGTCGGGCAAGAAGTTAGTTGCCATAATTTCAGATGCGGCCAGTACGGGTAAGAAACTGGAATATTCCACAAAGCGAAACAGACTTTTTAATTTTTAAGTAACATTGGTTTGAACTAAGAAATTAAACCTGTGAGTTCAGAATGTAGTTTTCACACTCAACCAAGATTGTGTGTTTACAGTAACGCCCTAATTTAATTGATCTTTTTAATTAACTAATAACTTCCCAAAAACTCACATAGAGAAGACTTTCAATTTCAATCTTTCCTTTACCGGTATATTAAAAAAAAAGCCACACAAATTTCCCTCCAATCAGCTATTTCCTCTTATTTTTTTTGACTTCCCAGTTGTATGTCTGAAAAACCAAACATCATTTGTTATTGGTTATGAGCAAACTTATCTGACGCTTTGGTAAATAAGACTTCTGAATTTGTTATTTTGTGCAGGTATTTCTCTGCATGCAGACACCAGAGTTAAGAATCAGCGTAGGCGATTACATCTGACTATTGAGCTCCCATGGTCAGCTGACAAAGCTGTGCAACAAATGGGACGATCTCACAGATCCAACCAGACCAGGTATTATCAGAGTTGTAGTCATGCCAATCACAAATCAAATCACAGGTCAAATCACAAATTAGTTGTAAGTCAAATCACAAGTCGGTCACAAGTCAAATCGCAAGTCAAATCACAAGTCAGTCACAAGTCATATCACAAGTCAAATTACCAGTCAGTCACAAGTCAAATCACAAAATCATAAGTCAAATCGCAAGTCAAATCACAAGTCAGTCACAAGTCATATGACTAGTCAAATCACAAGTCAGTCACAAGTCAAATCATAAGTCAAATCGCATGTCAAATCACAAGTCATATGGCAAGTCAAATTACCAGTCAGTTTCCCAAAACAATTGTATTATTGTTTTGTTGCCAGTGGCCCACTTTACAAACTTCTCACGACAAATCTTGGCGGTGAGAGGCGGTTTGCAGCATCCGTAGCACGCAGGCTTCAGACTTTAGGTGAGTTTGATATAGCTCTTGCAGATTAACAAATTTGGCTACTACGCATAATAAAAATGACAAATTCTTTAATAGCTAATTTTCAACACACTCTAGCAGTGTGTAATGAGTCAATGAATTTTGTGACTGGAGTGGAGTTAGCTCATGAATATTCAAATCGTGAGTGGAGTTAGCTCATGAATATTCAAATCATCTGGTTTCCCTTCAATGTGATTGGCTCATGAATATTCAAATCATCTGGTTTCCCTTCAATGTGACTCGCTCATGAATATTCAAATCATCTGGTTTCCCTTCAAGGTGCATTGACCCAGGGTGATAGAAGAGCAGCCACAGGAGCTGACCTGACACAGTTCAACTTTGACACGCCCTACGGACGCTCCGCGCTGCGCACCATGTATACGTCCATATGTAACGTAAGTGGCTCAAAACAAAAAGAAATACTTCCTTGGGGAAACATGGGATGCTTTTTCCAAAATTTGTCCAGCGGTTTAGCACGAAGCATGCTTCACTGTGGCGTCTTGATCTAATGCACTAGGCTCAAGGACTCAGTGATACTTTGGTATCGATGACGGCAGATATGGGTTATTGTGTTTGAATTGGCTACCTGCATGTCAAAATGGCACCGTCAAGCTCTACAGGGCGAGTCAAAAAAAGCGAAACCCAAATGTCGGGACTATTGTTTTAGTGAAATTTTGCACGTAGCACTTTCAATATCTCGGATATGAAAGCACAATTCATAAGCTTTCTTGTAGTATAAAAATCATTCCAATCACTCATGTACTTTTCAAATTACGGAATGTTAAACACGACCACTGTTTTAAAGTTCTGTCGACGGATCACATGAAGTAAGTGTTCTTGCAGCTAAATGAAACCAAATCACATAGTGATGTGTGTGAATTGTTTTCGTTTTGCTGAAAGAATGCACACCTTGTTTTGTTATCCGTGGACAGAACTTTAAAATGGTGGTTGTGTTTAAAATTCTGTAACTTGAAAAGTACACTGAATATGAGTGATCTGAATGATTCTTGTACTAAAGAAAGCTTATGAATTGGGCTTTCATATTCTAAATTTTAAAAGTGCTACATGCAGAACTTCACTGAAACAATGGTCCCGACATTTGGGTCTCGGTATTTTTGACTCACCCTTTATATTCCCAAAGGGGATGAGGTAGAAACAAGACTAGGCAAGGCCAGAAAAGCTGTTTCCAGACTAGTCTGTGTCAGAGCGCACACATTATAGCGCTTCGTGAAATCGGGTGCCGTAAAGTCTACCAGTTATTCTTGTTTGTTAAGAAATTGTGGGTTCATTAACTTCCTGAAGAGTTGTTCTGATGACTGCGCTTTAGTGTCATGAGGAGTGCAACACTAAGATCACCTCCTATACTTATCTTGTATTTGGTTTCTTACATCTATTTTTACTTGTTTTTTCCAGAATGAGTTGGCTGCAGGCGTGGCACTATCGTCCATCTCACCAGAAAAACCAGACGCGGACTTCAGCGAGCTGAATGCTGAGCTACAGGAGTGTACCTCTATCATGGCTGTCATGGAGACCTATGCCTCCATCGGCCGCAAAGTGAACGACAAAGACAGTACAGATGTAAGCCGGTTCCTGAATCGAATTCTGGGCCTCCGTGTGGAAAGACAGAACTTGGTAGGTGGCAGGGAAGTCTAGTAGAGTTTGTCAGGTCCATCACAGTCACAAGTCAGAGGGAGACATTGAAATGTTTGACATTTGACATTCTGCTTGGTTTCAGATTTTCAACTATTTTTATGAGTGCCTTCAAGCTGCTATCGCCAGGGCGAAAAAGGAGGGAAAGTAAGTCAATTTCTTTTAAAAATCTTTTTTAATTAATTTGTTGTGTGTGGCACTGAGAAATTTGCTCCTAGTAATAAAATGTCATTAAACAGCTCATAACGCTTTGAGATATCATAAATAAATTTACTGAAAAATGATGAAACCATTTTGTATTAGGTGTAAAGATAGTTGTGTTACCAAATAAGTTAACGTGGTCCGTTCGGTAAGCTGCTACATTGAAATTTATACGGGGTGGATAAAAAAAAACCCGAAACCGAGATATTATTGCTAATTGTAACAGAAGTAGGGCACATGTGAATCAAAGGGAGATATCCTCTGTTAGGGTTGAATCTCCTCTTTAAAATGACACCCTGATCATGTCATTACATTCACGGTTGACTGAGCAGTGACCAATTTTATGAAAGGGTCTATTTAGAGGCTTGCGCCACTTTTCATGGTGAAATCTCTTTTTCCCCTACCTGCCTTGATTGGCAACCATAGCCTTTCACTCTGTGACAAATGACAACACAAAAACCACAATTGAAAAGTGAATACTACTTTGAACACTTGTTAAAAAGATGCAGTTGCGTATCTTAAATGATGTCTGTGATTGTAGGTACAGTGAAGGTCTTGTAGATATCAATGCATCCTCTGTTGAGATGGTTTGCCCACCCAAGACAGTATTCAAGGAAGCGAATACAAGCACACCAACACAGTAAGTGAGAATGTTTGGACTCTCCCAGATGGCACCTTGAAAGAAAAGTGTGAAGGCTAAGCGGCAAAAAAAAATTTTTTTAAAGAGAGAAGGAGGTCGTGGGTTCGAGTCCCACATGAGTTGTTTGAAAATTACTCGGGACAACAGAGTATACAGTGTTCATAAAAATATGTTGGTGAAGGGCAAAACCCAATTTGTATTTACAACATTTCAACGCAAAAGTTCCATCTTAGGAATAGCTTTCGTCAAAGTTCATGTGCTTGTCACTTGACATTGAGATTGAATGACTTGCGATTGACTTTAGTCTCTGTACCGCTCCCCCCAACCACCCTGCAACCACCCTGCCTGTTATTCCCTGCACTGTCCAAATAATGTGGTTTTATGGAGGGATATGTACTGTGTAATATCATGCTGCTATTGGCTGTTAAAATTAAATGAGAAAGTTTGATGCAATTCCCTGTCCAGGCTTCTGTCCCTGTCTGTTGACCGGGGCCTGAGCTGGGAGGCAGCTTTGGAGAGAGCGGAGCGATTCACCGGTAAGCGTGACGGCTTCTACTGCTCCAAACGAGAACAGTTTGGGAAGAAGCTGTACGTCCTAGCAACACAAAAGGAAGACTCCACACATCACTTCAAAATAGCAAGGTGGATATTTTGTTTGTCACTCAGAAATCTGTTTAAATATTGCTGCATTAACCATAAACGTCTCCATAAAGCATGTTATATAACTGACATACAGATCCTTGTCATTTGATTGAGAGGATATTTTTGAGAGTTTTAAGGGGATCGAAGCATCATCTGCAATATCAGCCGACATTTGAAGAAAAAAAAAGTAGGGCCAAAAAAAAAACACATCGCCCCACCACTTTTGGGGCAAGCTCCATACCAGAAACCAAAGACTTTTTTTTGGCCTTAGTTGTGTTTTTTCTTTTGAGATGCTTTCAAGCACTAACAAAATACTAAAAAAAAAAAAAAAACAACATAATTGACATCGATTTTCATAGACTTTGTCATGAAGAACAGAGTAATCATCTTTTGTGTTGTAATTTTAGCCTCTTATTTTTCTGATCTCTGACAGGCCCAATACTGGCGTTTCCCCCTACGATGAGGACTATGCTGACCTGACAATGAGATACAAACCAATCAGCAAAGACGAAGCAGGTATGATGTATAGTTCTCTTTATAACACCTCACCCACAGATTCTGTATCTTGATTGGCCGAGAGCAAGTCACATGGCATTCGCTATTTTTGTTATCTTGCTGTGCACGACGAAAAGTACTCTACCCGTAGCAACCAAAGTACTATACCCATAGCAACCAAAGTACTATACGATGAGAACTGGTATTGTGTGCAAAAGCATTATTGGTGTGCGCGTTGCGCGTATTAGTCCCAAGCGCGCTGGCGCCACAGAGCTGGGTCCAAACATTTCTAGAAGGGATATTAATCAGTTATCGCTTAAAACAAGCAGAATCTGTGGGAGAAGTGTTATAAAACAAATATTGACTGCTTTATCTCGTGGTGTAGTAAAACTAGCCTCCCTTAGCGATCCACGGAGCATTATATTTTTCCTCGGCCTTGGGAAAATAGAATGCTTCATGGATCACCTGGGGAGGCCAGTTTTACTAAAGCACTCGTGACTTTTTTTTTTATTAAAGAGGATGGTTGGAAGGAACAGTATGAAGCCACCAAAGATAAATGCATGCATGGATCTCACTGCAAGAACCCTGCCACCTGCATGAGTAAGTAGAAATGCAACAATCTGTCCAACATTAGTAGTCTTATCCCCCTTGAGTGTGTGAGCAAAGAAGTCAAAATTGAAAGATTCAGGTACTGTCAGGGTTGAAGATGTACTATTTTTTGTGCTATTTCTGAGTTTTCATCTGTGGCCATGCGTGTTGTGCCCTTGAGTAAGGCGCTTTACCACAATTACTCCTCTCAACCCAGGTGTTAAATGGGTACCGGCATTATTCAATGCTGGGAAGGTAACAGACTCGCTGTGGAGGAGGTGTGGCGATCCCCCCACAGCAGCATATGAGTCTGGCCCAATCGCTAATGAATGAGAGATGGGCACTCCGTTCCTGTGAACACAGGTTCGACCCCCTTTACTTCATCTAAAAATATGTATCTTTTTCAATTGCTAGTTTTAGCGTAGCAGAATTTAATCGCTTTTGAATGAGACGCGTGAAATGGGAATGTCCAGATTTTACCTTGCGATAATATTCCTCCCATTCCACGCTGAGCCACTCAATATTTGTATACTATTCATCTCTTGTAGTTGGTTCTCGGCTGCATCGCATGGATCTGTTGTGTGGAGGCATTGTGACTCTGTTGTCTACACTTGAAGCCACTGTTGCTAAACATGCGCAGAAACTAGACCTGAGGTAAGTGGCAACATGCATGTATAATATAACATCTTTGCACAAAATATAAAATGACATTGTGTAACCTGTTTCCACAACACTGCTGAATCCAACAGGATCCAACTATGTCACATACCCGATGGAGCCTGTTGGATTGAGCAGTTAACCCCTTGTGTACATTCCTCATGCAAAATGTTGGATTCAGCAGGCAACTGAACCGCATTATAACGCATTGTTTGACTCCGTTGGATTCAGCAGACAGCTGAAAATAGGGCACAGTGGATTGAGCAGGAAAGTCCGGTTGGACTCTGTTGGATTTAGCAGGGTCTTCCTGAGGAAGTACTAAGGGGTTAGGGTTAGGTAAATAGGATCATTTGCTGTTCGTGCATTTTGTTCGTTTTGAATAAAAATCAACACAACTCAAAACCTACAGAGGAATGTTCAAAGCCTAACCCATTGAAGTTTCAAATCAGTTGATATTGTACTTCCTGTGTAAACAGTGTCAAACCATCCACAACCTTTTGATCACGAAACACGATTTTGTCCACAGCTCATTTTGGGTCGACAGCGATTCTTTGTCAGGATTATTCATAAGTGGAAACTAAAAACACATGTGGGGTGAAGATTCCTGTTACATAATATTATTTTGATGTAAGGGCTTGGTTTTGTCCTGTTGCAGTAAGGCCAGCTACAGCATGCGAGTGGTGCGAGTGGCTTTGAGCGACGAGAAACGAGTCATCGGGATACGTTACCCAGAGTGCTTAGTGGATATTGCGGAGGAAGAGTTACGCGAAAAGAAAGTCATTGAAGCATTGCAGGCGGTAAGGACAAAGGAACACATTCAATACGGGCCAGTCTCAATTCATATTGTTTATACCTCTGGTTCTTTTCAGAACCATTCTCTTAGTTGAGAAATTATTCGCACATGGTGTTTCCGCAAACCTTTCATTATTTAGTATCTCCACCCCGCAAAGCCTCAAATCTTAATTACTGTCATTACTGATTTGCTCACCCATTTTCTTCTTAGTATTTATATATTTTTTTGTTATAGAAGCTACGACAGAATGCTGCAAATGGAGCTGTGATGACCTCGGTCGGCCTTTCCCATACACCCAAGCTTGCCGTGGTTGAACCCGAATCACCGGTTAATCCAAAACTTGTCAAAAAAGCCATGACTGCTCCAGTCACCCTGAACACCTTCTTCAAAACCACCCCTCGATTTGACAATGGAGAGTCCAAGAGCTCATCTCCCTCACCTTCAGATGACAAGAAAAAAGACAATACCACTAGTGCTGCAGGGAAGGTGAAACAGAGAGGCGCCAAACGAGGTAGGCCCAAAAGTACAAGGTATTCCCTCAGGGGCCAGGATAAGGAAACATTGGAATGTTCCAAAAATGAAGGCAGTGATGATGACTGCTGTATTGTGACTGAAGATCATACAAGTACAACCCCTCAGACTCCAAATGGTACGGACCAACTCAAAGATTGTACACTGAAGCAGGATGGTACTGGAAGCATCATGGACCATTCCACTGGAAAAGTGGGGGAGCAACCTGAAGATGTCAAAATGGGAGTTCCTGAGGATCTGGCTATTCCATCACCACACAGCACTGTGGGTGAACTACCCACTGTTGATGGCAGTGGATCAGTCCAGCAAGTCTCCAACTCGTCAACCGTCCAATCAAACTGTCCCGGGACCAAGCGCCCCTTGCAAGACGCCAATGGTCGCCCAGCCGACACAGCGAGTCAACCGGCCACCAAGAAACAGAAGTCAGCAAACAGGCTGTTGGAAACCACCACCAAGCAGGGCTTTCTGGGGAAACTAACGTGCCCAGTCTGTAACAAGGAGTTCCCTACCGGGACATGGATAGCGCAGTTGAATAAGCACATAGATGCCTGCCTGACGGCGTGATTTGGAAACTTTTGTAGTAGTCGTTCTGTCACTTTATATCCCAAACTCTGCACAGTTTCTTCACTTTGTTGAGTGCTTTACACTTTCTTTTATACCATATTTATTAGAAGTCCAACATCTGGATTTTCTTTCATTCAGAGTGGTGGACAATCAAAATGGTGGATTTTTAGACAAAGTTAATGGAGAAAAGATTGGGGAAGTTAAAGGTAATTTTGTGACACAAGATTAAATTTTGAGGAGAACTTGGCCCCAGCTATGCATACTTTCTTTAACTTTACGTGATAAATTTGCATAATTTTCACATTTTTTGGGGGGGAAACAACTTGAGTCAAGTTGCACGTGTAAAATTGCAATATCTTTGTGGATAAACCCTAAAATTTGCCAAGATCCGTAAATTGTAATTCTGGGTATTTCTCCCCTGGATCGTTCGGATTTTAGAAGTGAGAAAAACATGTCTTGAATTCTTTTGGACTTCTTTCTGTGCCAAGAGAGTTCGAAAGCAGTAAGGGTTTTTCCACAGTTTTCAAAGGTGCTTGCTTAACAGAATAAGACCAAAAAGACATCTTTTTATATTTTTTGCAAAGTATTTAATGATAGATAGATGATTAATTAGTAATATAAATAACTACAAAGTAATACTTAATTTCAGTATAAATAACTACAAACTATTGAAGACATTTATAATCTGCATTTTATTTTCAGAACTTCTTGCTTGTTTTTTTTTCAGCATTTGATAGCACTATGCATCTATTTCTTCAATTATTTTGAGCGGAATGCAAAAGACTTTTTGAGACATTTTTTCTGTAATGTGCCTCTCATTCTGCATATTCCATGACCTTAAAATGGCTTATATAGAGAGATGCTTCAAACTTTGAAGATATCTAAAATTAAAGAGTCACTAAAAAACATTTAGTGAAAATCTCCCTTAGTATATAAGTTATGAGAAAAGGCACACAGAATCCAATTAATTAATAAATTGCTAAGCACTCGTATTAAAAGCAGCTTTTTGTGCTGATAACTACATACAGCAACCTTCACATTTTGAGACAATGAAACATACATTGACACAGTTGTGAAACACCTGTCCCTTTTATGAAAACTTAACAAATGCTACTACAGCCCGGTTCATACTTCACGCGAAAGCGAAAGCGAAGCGAAATTCGTCCACCATTGTTGACGACATGGATTTCGCTTTGCACTTGCTTTCGCGTAAAGTATGAACCGGGCTTTATGATCTCAATGTTAACTTGTAATGTAAACCTTTCTTTTGGAATGAGCTGAATTTTTTAAGGGTTATCAGAATAAAGCATTACTTATCGAACAATAATTTATTTGGTATTTGCAGTTTGGGTTTCCAAGTAATTGTGTTTCGCCGATGTCCAGTCGCACACACCCCCTGTAAGGGTAAGACTTACATTTTTTGCAAATTTGGGTCAAAAATTGACTCGGAAACACTCTAGGAGGCATAATAAACACACTTTCATACTCAAAAAGTGATTATTGAAGAGATTTGGGCAAGTATAAAGGATTTATGGAGAAATATTTATCAAAAATGTATTCAATTTATATTTTTTTTGCACGCCATATTTCCTTTGAGTGGCACATTTGGCAACAGGAATTTTGGGAACGTGTTCTAAGGGCCCTCAGGCATCTTTCTAGCAAGTTTCAAGCAATTTCATTTTTGGCCAAAATTGAAAAAAATGCAAGGGGTTAGCCAATTTTTAGCAAATTTGGGTCAAAAATCGACTTTTCGGGAAACAACTCAGAAACACTCTAGGAGGCATAATAAACATACTTTCCTACTCAAAAAGTGATTATTGAAGAGATTTGGGCAAGAATAAAGGATTTATGTCGAAATATTTTTCAAAACAATTAATTTAATTTACAATTTTTTGCACGCCATATTTTCTTTGAGCGGCATATTTGTCAACAGAAACTTTGGGAACGTGTTCTAAGGGCCCTCGGGCATCTTTCTAGCAAGTTTCGAGCAATTTCATTTTTTGGCCAAAATTGAAAAAAATGCAAGGGGTTAGCCTTGCATTTTTAGCAAATTTGGGTCAAAAATCAACTTTTCGGGAAACAACTCAGAAACACTCTAGGAGGCATAATAAACATACTTTCATACTCAAAAAGTGGTTATTGAAGAGATTTGGGCAAATATAAAGGATTTACGGAGAAATATTTTTCAAAAAAATTAATATAATTTTCAATTTTTTGCACGCCATATTTCCTTTGAGCGGCACATTTGGCAACAGAAATTTTGGGAAAGTGTTCTAAGGGCCCTTAGGCATCTTTCTAGCAAGTTTCAAGCAATTTCATTTTTTGGCCAAAATTGAAAAAAATGCAAGGGGTTAGCCTTGCATTTTTAGCAAATTTGGGTCAAAAATCAACTTTTCGGGAAACAACTCAGAAACACTCTAGGATGCATAATCAACATACTTTCATACTCAAAAAGTGATTATTGAAGAGATTTGGGCAAATATAAAGGATTTATGGAGAAATAATTTTTTTTTTTAAATCAATATAATTTTCATTTTTTGCACGCCATATTTCCTTTGAGTGGCACATTTGGCAACAGAAATTTTGGAAACGTGTTCTAAGGGCCCTCAGGCATCTTTCTAGCAAGTTTCAAGCAATTTCATTTTTTGGCCAAAATTGAAAAAAATGCAAGGGGTTAGTTAGCCTTGCATTTTTATCAAATTTGGGTCAAAAATCGACTTTTCGGGAAACAACTCAGAAACACTCTAGGAGGCATAATAAACATACTTTCCTACTCAAAAAGTGATTATTGAAGAGATTTGGGCAAGAATAAAGGATTTATGTCGAAATATTTTTCAAAACAATTAATTTAATTTACACTTTGTTGCACGCCATATTTTCTTTGAGCGGCATATTTGTCAACAGAAACTTTGGGAACGTGTTCTAAGGGCCCTCAGGCATCTTTCTAGCAAGTTTCGAGCAATTTCATTTTTTGGCCAAAATTGAAAAAAATGCAAGGGGTTAGCCTTACATTTTTATCAAATTTGGGTCAAAAATCGACTTTTCGGGAAACAACTCAGAAACACTCTAGGAGGCATAATAAACATACTTTCATACTCAAAAAGTGGTTATTGAAGAGATTTGGGCTAATATAAAGGATTTATGGAGAAATATATTTTTTTTTTAAATCAATATAATTTTCATTTTTTGCACGCCATATTTCTTTTGAGTGGCACATTTGTCAACAGAAATTTTGGGAACGTGTTCTAAGGGCCCTCAGGCATCTTTCTAGCAAGTTTCAAGCAATTTCATTTTTTGACCAAAATTGAAAAAAATGCAAGGGGTTAGCCTTACATTTTTAGCAAATTTGGGTCAGAAATCGACTTTTCAGGAAAAACCTCAGAAACACTCTAGAAGGCACGATAAACATACTTTCATACTCAAAAAGTGATTCTTGAAGAGATTTGGGCAAGTATAAAGGATTTATGTCGAAATATCTTTCAAAAAAAAAAATTAATTTACAATTTTTGGCACGCCATATTTCCTTTGAGCGGCACATTTGTAAACAGAAATTTTGGGAAAGTGTTCTAAGGGCCCTTAGGCATCTTTCTAGCAAGTTTCAAGCAATTTCATTTTTTGGCCAAAATTGAAAAAAATGCAAGGGGTTAGCCTTGCATTTTTAGCAAATTTGGGTCAAAAATCGACTTTTTGGGAAACAACTCAGAAACACTCTAGGATGCATAATCAACATACTTTCATACTCAAAAAGTGATTATTGAAGAGATTTGGGCAAATATAAAGGATTTATGGAGAAATATATTTTTTTTAAATTAATATAATTTTCAATTTTTTGCACGCCATATTTCCTTTGAGTGGCACATTTGGCAACAGAAATTTTGGGAACGTGTTCTAAGGGCCCTCAGGCATCTTTCTAGCAAGTTTCAAGCAATTTCATTTTTTGGCCAAAATTGAAAAAAATGCAAGGGGTTAGCCTTGCATTTTTAGCAAATTTGGGTCAAAAATCGACTTTTCGGAAAACAACTCAGAAACACTCTAGGATGCATAATCAACATACTTTCATACTCAAAAAGTGATTATTGAAGAGATTTGGGCAAATATAAAGGATTTACGGAGAAATATTTTTCAAAAAAATTAATATAATTTTCAATTTTTTGCACGCCATATTTCCTTTGAGAGGCACATTTGGAAACAGAAATTTTGGGAACGTGTTTTAAGGACCCTCAGGCATCTTTCTAGCAAGTTTCAAGCAATTTCATTTTTTGGCCAAAATTGAAAAAAATGCAAGGGGTTAGCCTTACATTTTTAGCAAATTTGGGTCAAAAATCGATTTTTCGGGAAACAACTCAGAAACACTCTAGGATGCATAATCAACATACTTTCATACTCAAAAAGTGATTATTGAAGAGATTTTGGCAAATATAAAGGATTTACGGAGAAATATTTTTCAAAAAAATTAATATAATTTTCAATTTTTTGCACGCCATATTTCCTTTGAGCGGCACATTTGGCAACAGAAATTTTGGGAAAGTGTTCTAAGGGCCCTTAGGCATCTTTCTAGCAAGTTTCAAGCAATTTCATTTTTTGGCCAAAATTGAAAAAAATGCAAGGGGTTAGCCTTACATTTTTAGCAAATTTGGGTCAAAAATCAACTTTTCAGGAAAAACCTCAGAAACACTCTAGAAGGCACGATAAACATACTTTCATACTCAAAAAGTGATTCTTGAAGAGATTTGGGCAAGTATAAAGGATTTATAACGAAATATCTTTCAAAAAAAAAAAAATTAATTTACAATTTTTGGCACGCCATATTTCCTTTGAGCGGCACATTTGTAAACAGAAATTTTGGGAAAGTGTTCTAAGGGCCCTTAGGCATCTTTCTAGCAAGTTTCAAGCAATTTCATTTTTTGGCCAAAATTGAAAAAAATGCAAGGGGTTAGCCTTACATTTTTAGCAAATTTGGGTCAAAAATCGACTTTTTGGGAAACAACTCAGAAACACTCTAGAAGGCACGATAAACATACTTTCATACTCAAAAAGTGATTATTGAAGAGATTTGGGCAAATATAAAGGATTTATGGAGAAATATATTTTTTTTAAATTAATATAATTTTCAATTTTTTGCACGCCATATTTCCTTTGAGTGGCACATTTGGCAACAGAAATTTTGGGAACGTGTTCTAAGGGCCCTCAGGCATCTTTCTAGCAAGTTTCAAGCAATTTCATTTTTTGGCCAAAATTGAAAAAAATGCAAGGGGTTAGCCTTGCATTTTTAGCAAATTTGGGTCAAAAATCGACTTTTCGGAAAACAACTCAGAAACACTCTAGGATGCATAATCAACATACTTTCATACTCAAAAAGTGATTATTGAAGAGATTTGGGCAAATATAAAGGATTTACGGAGAAATATTTTTCAAAAAAATTAATATAATTTTCAATTTTTTGCACGCCATATTTCCTTTGAGCGGCACATTTGGCAACAGAAATTTTGGGAACGTGTTCTAAGGGCCCTCAGGCATCTTTCTAGCAAGTTTTAAGCAATTTCATTTTTTGGCCAAAATTGAAAAAAATGCAAGGGGTTAGCCTTACATTTTTAGCAAATTTGGGTCAAAAATCGACTTTTTGGGAAACAACTCAGAAACACTCTAGAAGGCACGATAAACATACTTTCATACTCAAAAAGTGATTATTGAAGAGATTTGGGCAAATATAAAGGATTTATGGAGAAATATATTTTTTTTAAATTAATATAATTTTCAATTTTTTGCACGCCATATTTCCTTTGAGTGGCACATTTGGCAACAGAAATTTTGGGAACGTGTTCTAAGGGCCCTCAGGCATCTTTCTAGCAAGTTTCAAGCAATTTCATTTTTTGGCCAAAATTGAAAAAAATGCAAGGGGTTAGCCTTGCATTTTTAGCAAATTTGGGTCAAAAATCGACTTTTCGGAAAACAACTCAGAAACACTCTAGGATGCATAATCAACATACTTTCATACTCAAAAAGTGATTATTGAAGAGATTTGGGCAAATATAAAGGATTTACGGAGAAATATTTTTCAAAAAAATTAATATAATTTTCAATTTTTTGCACGCCATATTTCTTTTGAGCGGCACATTTGGCAACAGAAATTTTGGGAACGTGTTCTAAGGGCCCTCAGGCATCTTTCTAGCAAGTTTTAAGCAATTTCATTTTTTGGCCAAAATTGAAAAAAATGCAAGGGGTTAGCCTTACATTTTTAGCAAATTTGGGTCAAAAATCGACTTTTCAGGAAAAACCTCAGAAACACTCTAGAAGGCACGATAAACATACTTTCATACTCAAAAAGTGATTCTTGAAGAGATTTGGGCAAGTATAAAGGAATTATTTCGAAATATTTTCAAAAAAAAAATTAATTTACAATTTTTGGCACGCCATATTTCCTTTGAGCGGCACATTTGTAAACAGAAATTTTGGAAACGTGTTCTAAGGGCCCTCAGGCATCTTTCTAGCAAGTTTCAAGCAATTTCATTTTTTGGCCAAAATTGAAAAAAATGCAAGGGGTTAGCCTTGCATTTTTAGCAAATTTGGGTCAAAAATCGATTTTTCGGGAAACAACTCAGAAACACTCTAGGATGCATAATCAACATACTTTCATACTCAAAAAGTGATTATTGAAGAGATTTGGGCAAATATAAAGGATTTACGGAGAAATATTTTTCAAAAAAATTAATATAATTTTCAATTTTTTGCACGCCATATTTCCTTTGAGCGGCACATTTGGCAACAGAAATTTTGGGAAAGTGTTCTAAGGGCCCTTAGGCATCTTTCTAGCAAGTTTCAAGCAATTTCATTTTTTGGCCAAAATTGAAAAAAATGCAAGGGGTTAGCCTTGCATTTTTAGCAAATTTGGGTCAAAAATCGACTTTTCGGGAAACAACTCAGAAACACTCTAGGATGCATAATCAACATACTTTCATACTCAAAAAGTGATTATTGAAGAGATTTGGGCAAATATAAAGGATTTATGGAGAAATATATTTTTTTTAAATTAATATAATTTTCAATTTTTTGCACGCCATATTTCCTTTGAGTGGCACATTTGGCAACAGAAATTTTGGGAACGTGTTCTTAGGGCCCTCAGGCATCTTTCTAGCAAGTTTTAAGCAATTTCATTTTTTGGCCAAAATTGAAAAAAATGCAAGGGGTTAGCCTTACATTTTTAGCAAATTTGGGTCAGAAATCAACTTTTCAGGAAAAACCTCAGAAACACTCTAGAAGGCACGATAAACATACTTTCATACTCAAAAAGTGATTCTTGAAGAGATTTGGGCAAGTATAAAGGATTTATGTCGAAATATTTTCAAAAAAAAAATTAATTTACAATTTTTGGCACGCCATATTTCCTTTGAGCGGCACATTTGTAAACAGAAATTTTGGAAACGTGTTCTAAGGGCCCTCAGGCATCTTTGTAGCAAGTTTCAAGCAATTTCATTTTTTGGCCAAAATTGAAAAAAATGCCTTACATTTTTAGCAAATTTGGGTCAGAAATCAACTTTTCAGGAAAAACCTCAGAAACACTCTAGAAGGCACGATAAACATACTTTCATACTCAAAAAGTGATTCTTGAAGAGATTTGGGCAAGTATAAAGGATTTATGTCGAAATATTTTCAAAAAAAAAATTAATTTACAATTTTTGGCACGCCATATTTCCTTTGAGCGGCACATTTGTAAACAGAAATTTTGGAAACGTGTTCTAAGGGCCCTCAGGCATCTTTGTAGCAAGTTTCAAGCAATTTCATTTTTTGGCCAAAATTGAAAAAAATGCAAGGGGTTAGCCTTGCATTTTTAGCAAATTTGGGTCAAAAATCGATTTTTCGGGAAACAACTCAGAAACACTCTAGGATGCATAATCAACATACTTTCATACTCAAAAAGTGATTATTGAAGAGATTTGGGCAAATATAAAGGATTTACGGAGAAATATTTTTCAAAAAAATTAATATAATTTTCAATTTTTTGCACGCCATATTTCCTTTGAGCGGCACATTTGGCAACAGAAATTTTGGGAAAGTGTTCTAAGGGCCCTTAGGCATCTTTCTAGCAAGTTTCAAGCAATTTCATTTTTTGGCCAAAATTGAAAAAAATGCAAGGGGTTAGCCTTGCATTTTTAGCAAATTTGGGTCAAAAATCAACTTTTCGGGAAACAACTCAGAAACACTCTAGGATGCATAATCAACATACTTTCATACTCAAAAGTGATTATTGAAGAGATTTGGGGAAATATAAAGGATTTATGGAGAAATATTTTTTACAAAAATTAACATAATTTACAATTTTTTGCACGCCATATTTCCTTTGAGTGGCACATTTGGCAACAGAAATTTTGGGAACGTGTTCTTAGGGCCCTCAGGCATCTTCCTAGCAAGTTTCAAACACTTTCATTTTTTTGGCCAAAATTGAAAAAAAATGCAAGGGTTTTAGCTCAGAAACGCATATTGAGGAGGCATAATGAACATACTTAAAGCGCTTTGTTTACAATGTGCAATTTCTTATGGGAGCTTAATTGGTGGCCCTCATCCTCACCTGACTTCCATAGGAAAGTGCACGAGAAAACAAAGCATGACAGTATTATGAGTCGGGTTCGGCCTATTTGCCCATTTAGAATACAATCTATTGCCCCACATTTCCATCTATGGAGTTTTTAAAACCCCAGCTCCATCTCCAGCTTTGGCTTAAAGCAACATTTCAGAGTATTTAATTTGGTTTGAAGTGTTACTGCAGGAAGAGAAGAATTCGAACCTGCAGTTGAACCCAAGTTTAAAAAACCTTGATGCAGAAGAGTACAACTTACAAACAAAATATGAATTACAAATCAAACGATTATGAATTTTTACAAGTAACTTGTACTTTTCTGACTGTGGAGCATTGAGAATGAGATACATGTACACGTTTACACAAATCAAACTAGGATTTTCGTCTGAATGTTTATGTTAAAAAAATCTGAATACATCAAAATCATGATTGATAGTTGGCTTAAAAAAAAACCTAAAAAACCTTTGAACCTTGATTAGAGATTTTAAAAGAGACTATATTCTGTTAGATTGAAACCTTAGTTTCCACACTAAAATATTAAACATGATACATGAGATTCATCTTTTGCACAATGCCAACTTCTCACAGGATTTTACAATGATTCCACATGTATACATACAAAACTGCACTAACGCAATGCTATGTGTAAAAACGTTCTATATTTCTATGCTTTTAGTAACAGACGGCCAAATATCTTAACGGCATTTATCTTTTAACTTTATCTAAAACTGGTCCTAAGATTATATTTGTAAATTTTGCTTACCTGAAATAGAATGAATGAATTAATAACATAAAGGGAAGATTTGTTTTTACACATGTAGGGATTTAAGTTCCCTTAATTTTTTTCTGCCCATGATCGGCTTTTGACTGGGCGAATAGTTTTCCCACTGTGCCTCTTCTACCCCAGTACTGGGAAGTAAATGTATTTGCACGACATATTAGTCATACTTATGGAATATGGTTTTACCGTGAGCTGCAAGCAAATATACAGATAGCATAATATACAAACACCTGAAATGTACAAAACTTTATATATATTGAAATTATATTAATTTATATTTCATGCTAAATACTCCACGACCGGGGAGGTATTTCTATGTCAAATTTAGAATTTGGTTTCAATACAAGTTAATGACAACTACTAGTCTATCATGTCTATGTAATAGACCACGGCGAATGCTGTGGTCTTTTATGCGTGAACAGATTGATTAATTAGGCAAGACCCTGCCTCTTGACCTCCTAGATTTTGACCAATCAGTGAGTGCTTTCTATATCGGGTCTTCGGTCATTCACCCGTTGCGCGTCATAGACAATGGATAAAAAAAAATGTGTCACTGGCTCTGTATCATGTTACGCGCTATGCGCCCGGCTGTTGTTGTATTACAAAACACTGCATTCGAATTGACCAATCAAACCATTTAGTCCTGATTCAGGAATGAAATGATGTCACGATTCAGTAAAGTCGACTTCGATTGGCTGGCGCGCGGCTTGCATAAATCTGCATGTCTAGACATATCAGACGTTATACAGGAGACTTGCTCCGTGGATAACGGGTGATACTCAGACTAGACAACTACATAACATACATGAAATATAGTGAAACTGATATACAAATTATATCACACTTAGAAGTTCTACATACATGAAATATAGTGAAATTGATACAAAATTTATATCAAACTTATATATAAGGCTGAATATTTTTGATACCCATACATGTAACTACAAAGTCCTAACAAATACTATAAACACTCAAATGAAAGACAAATTTATATACACTTTTGAATGATTGCAAATTGGAATGTAAAGTGTCAATTTTGCATATTTTTTTCATGTGTTACTAACCTACTGCAATGAAGTACTGCTTATTAGCTCAAAGAATGATAGTTAAACAACAACCGCCTATAAAATAAGGATATTCTAGACAATGTGGTCATGTGGAAAGTAGACAATGAAATACCCAAACGAAAGACCACATGTTACTTAAAATCCTGTTTCAACAAAATGTTGTTTTTGTGGTCGAGTTATATTCATGTAGGTGAACTGACAATGGTGGGTTTAATCGTCAGAATGGTGGGTTTTTATATCATCAGAACACCTTTGGGTTGTCCCAACATTTTGAGAGCACTGCTGGGGTTTTCCGAAGTAACTTCCATTACAATTTTTTATCAGCATTGATGCTGAATCACATCTACATTTTTAGAGCATCTTTGGAGTTTTCCCAAGGAAATTCCATTACACATTTGTATCGGCATCATCGTTGCCGATGATCTCTGGCTCGATTTTGACGATCGGTTCCTTGGACTTCCCCTCATCCTCCAGGAACACAATGTCCTCCTCTCCCTGTTCTCTGTCTCCCTTCCGCTCGTTCTCTTCCGCGATCGTCGCCGGAACGTTCCCCCCGGACTTGGAACTCCGGACGGCCCGCCTCCACTTGTTTGCCGCCCTCATGGCCGTGATGCGCTCCTGTGCCAGGACGTGCTCGGTGGAGCGTTGACGCATCAACAACGGCAGATCCTGACAGTCGTCGTTCAGTAGGTTCTTGTCGTACTTCTCGTGCAGCTAGAGATTTGTAATTTTTGGAAGTGACAAAAGAGTAATATAAAAACAGACAGTGCACCACTATGTGACTAAAGAGGTTTTGAATGAGAACAGTCACAGTAAGCGCACCAAGCTGGTCACCAGTTAGTGTGGTCTTGTGAGGTCATTATGCAACTGACTAAACACTATGTGTGTACAAGGCATTGGATGCATGGCTCACTACATGTCAGTGTGAAACGCATAGTAAATTGTTTTGTTTTTTTGTGGGGGGGGGTCGGTTTGGTTTTGAGTCAGTTCGGGTCAGTTTTTGCTTGATTGTTTGTTGGGCTTGTTCGGGTCAGATTAGGGGAGTTCAGATCGATTTTGGTTCGCATTTATTTCGGGTGTATTTCAGGTCAAAAATGGACTTTTCAGGAAACAACTCAGAAACACTCTAGGAGGCATAATAAACATACTTTCCTACTCAAAAAGTGATTATTGAAGAGATTTGGGCAAATATAAAGGATTGATGGAGAAATATTTTTCAACAAAATTAATTTAATTTATAATTTTTTGCACGCCATATTTCCTTTGAGTGGCACATTTGGCAACAGAAATGTTGGGAACGTGTTCTAAGGGCCCTCGGGCATCTTTCTACCAAGTTTCAAGCAATTTCATTTTTTGGCCAAAATTGAAAAAAATGCAAGGGGTTAGCCTTACATTTTTAGCAAATTTGGGTCAAAAATCGACTTTTCAGGAAACAACTCAGAAACTTCGGGTCGGTTTTGGCCTGGTCAACCCGACCCGATGCACAACATTACTGCACAGTGAGCAGATTGCACAAGATTCCTATGGTCTCTGGCGATGACTGTGTGCACGGTTATTTCCTAATGTTGCCTTGGTTCAGATATTTACCGCATTGCGTGGGTTCTTTTTCATGATTCCCGCCACGTCGGCCGGCGTTGCCTTGTCACTGATGGCCATGTATTCCCCTCCTGGTGTCTTCTTGAATGTATGCCGACGTCGGATGGAGTCAAAATAGGAGTCCCCTGTTGTGGAGAATAACAGAAAATAGACCTCTGATGAGAATAATGCCTGAATCTCTGTAATTTATTAGCCAACTACCCTTAAAAAAATCTCATCAAAGTTTACTCTTTGTTATTATGTTTTAATTGGCTTATTTTTTAAATTTTGTAGATCGTCTTGAGCGTCTTTTTTTGGCAGATTTTGGGGCTATACAAATATCCTTTATTATTTATTATAATTTATTATATAAATTTGTCATGCCTTGTTTACATGATCTGAAATTTTCGTTTAATTCCATTGGTAAGTAACAGAGTTACAAATTCTCATTCTTTGCACAACACCAGTATTTTTCCCCCCTTTTCTTTTGATTTTCAAAAGTTTTTGCGCAAAGCTTTTCCTACCTCGTGTCAGCATGGGTTTGAATTTCTCAATTTCTGTCTCGCTGTTTTTGCGACACTCTTCTCCCCGCGACAGCTTGAAGATGTGGTTGTGATGATCGCTGGCCGACAAAAAACACAGGGAATGTTGTTTAGCATAATGAGGGCAATCAAATTGGATCTCCAAAGACGATATGACAGGTGGGGACGTGGGTGGGGACGTGAGGTTTGGGGAGGGGGGTTGGGGGTGGTGGGGTGGGGAGGAAGCACTTCTACTCACTGGTTGGTGACCTTTTCAAATGTTTTCATGACTTCATCTTCCCAGGATGTGGGGTTGCGCTGCAGATACTTCTTTATGTAATGAGTATTCATCTTCTCAATCCACATCTGAAGGAGTGAAGAAAAGAAGATATCACGTACGTGATATCCCACAGGGAGTGTGCTATGACTTTGTACGTACGGTTTGAAACGCTTGTATCGTTGGTACCCTCGCTATTTTCACCATGCTTTCACGCACGAGTGGGAGCAGTGAACTAGCAGACGATCAGCTGTTTCGAGCACGCGACATGCATGTGAGTTGATGTTCGATTGTCATGATTCTTGTGTTTACTGCTGTTTGTTTTCATGATTTTTACATTAAAATCCAAAGAGTCCAAGACAGAGGTATAACAAAACAAATTGTTGACTGCTGTGATGTGGGACATGAAGTTCTGAACACCTCGGGTCCCATAGCATATGTGCCCTTGGGTGTTCAAAACATCATATCCCACATCACAGCAGTCAACAATTGTTAAATGTGTACCAGAGCCGAAGGTCCATATATCTGTTTTGAATTACAATTCCCTACAACAAGCTGACATCACGAGAGAAGCTAGCGATCCAAACTGACTCTTAGCATAGCTGGGTATAGTTAAAGGTACAGTCCATCATTTGTAATTTGTGCATTTTGTCTGTTTGAAACAACAAAAGTGCTCAAAATCTAAAGAAGGGTGCTGAACAGCTAACCTGATGAAGTTTCAGCTCAGCTTCAGCTGTATATTTCGAGAAAAACAACATTCTAAGAATTCTATTCAAATCAAAAGTTGCTGAATCATGTTTTGAATTGGGCCTGATTTCACCGTTTGCAGCTACGCGATGTCGCGCACCCATCCGCGTGCGTCGTGCCAACGCTTGCGCGCGCTTCGCCGATTGAAAAAAACAAACTACTAACAAAAATTTCCAACAGTGCTTCTTAAGACGCACCGTAGGAAAGGCCTTCTTTCGTTGATTTCTTCAAAATGACAGCTTGCCAGAAAGAATAATTTCACAGGGAGTTTAGTCCCCTTACTATCTTTCAACCAAGTATATTTTTTAACAATAAATACGCCAGTTACTTTTTGGATAGCTGCAAATGATGGACTCGGGCTTTAAGAAAGATAGTCACACTTTCCAGGCAATGATAATTACCCTGACGTAATTATGACCTTTGTGACCTATGACCTCCTCAATGCCTGCCATCACGTAGTCAATCACCTACAAATAAGAAAAAATCCAAGAAGAAAGACGAAAAAGTCATCGTCACTCAAGATATATATAACATGTTGTTCCAGTTTAATATCATTACATGTTCACAAGATGAAGACATTTATAGACGTACCGGTACTATTAAAAAAAATACAATTTTTTTCACCTGACAAAATTTCAAATGGTATGTTTGTAATCTGTGGCATAAAGCACTTAACCCTTTCCTTACCATGGGCGACTTTTGTCGACAAGAAGTAGCCCCCTGCTGGTTCCCATAGGCAAATTTAGTCGACCAGGAAACCACAAACAAAACACCCTCAACACAGATATATTCACTACTTTTCAGAAAGGCGGCATGTTGATATGTTTGGCCGCCCATACATCAACTATATACCAGCTGAAAGAGTGTTTTTGGATCTTTCTATTGGTGTGGTTTATTCATAGTGTTACCATACAAAAAAAAGTGCTTCAGAAGTATCCACGCACAATTTGAGGTATGGAGTGCCATTTGGTCATGTGGTGAAATGGCTTGCAGTTTGATAATTGGGACCAGATGAACAAAAAGGCATAACTTTCTTATATTTGCACGTATGGACTTCATTTTTACATCACATAAAAGAGTAAGGTTCAAGGAACAAACTTTACACACAACATTTATGATTTTAATCACTCCTTGGCAGTGAAAATCTGGGTTGAAAAAAGTTAGTTTTTGACTCGTGCTCATTTTTTCACGCTCTAGTGATTTCCGCATGACTGAGCAAACAATTTGGTCCTGGGGAGAGCCTAGTCAATAAACAATGTGGGCATGAAAGGGTTAACACATGCTAAATAAGCACCACAATATTAGTATGAATGGAAGCACGACCTACTGTTTGATGGATGGCCAAGGCAACGGTAGGATCTTCCTGGCCTGACCGCTTGATCCTAAACAGCTTGACCAGTGGCTTGATGGTAGTACCCTGGGTGAAAAAAGGTCAAGTTTTGAGGAGAAGTTTTTGAATTGTGCAACTGCCTGGTTGTAGAAAACACAGGCCCCAAACACTGCCAAAGGGGCACGTTAAATCTCCTAGTGCTCAGCTGAAATCAGCTGTTACAAAGACCTGTAAAATGCATTTTTTATAAATGCAATCCTTTAAAACGAACCCCATTTTCAACCTTTATATTGCCATATTCAAGTGTCTAATTTGGTGGAGAAAAGGGCAAAGGGTAATTTTAAAGGTAAACTTGACTGAGATATCAGAATCAATAAAAGTTTGCACAAAACCAACCTGAACTATGTATATCAGGGACCTGGTTTGTTTAAGAAAAGCTGCCATGATACGCGTACCTGCACAAAGACAGTAACAAGGATCACCACCAGCGTCGTGGTGACAAAGACGTTACGGGCGGGGACATCCTCCGGTAAGAGGGTTGCAACAAGAGAGAAGGCTACAGCTCCACGCAGACCTCCATAGCTCTGAGAAAGGGTGGAACAGGCATCAGGTTAAAGCCAGAGTCCATCATTTGCAGCTATCCAAAAAGTAACTGCCGTAATTATTGTTGAAAAACATACTTGGTTGAAAGATAGTAAGGGGACTAAACTCCCTGTGAAATTATTCTTTCTGGGAAGCTGTCATTTTGAAGTAATGAACGAAAGAAGGCCTTTCCAACGGTGCTTCTTAAGACGCACCATAAAAAATTTAAATTAGTAGTTCGTTTTGTTATTCGGTGAAGCGCGCGCAAGCATTGGCACGACGCACATGCACGTGCATTTGCTATAATTCGTCGGATCAGTGCGCGACATCGCGTAGCTGCAATAAGCTCAGTGAGAATGTGTCTCAGACGCTGAATTCAGGCCCAATTCAAAACATGATTCAGCAACTTTTGATTTGAAATTGAGATCCTAGAATGCTGTTTTTCTTGAAATATACAGCTGAAGCTGAGCTGAAACTTCATCAGGTTAGTTGTTCAGTACCCTTCTTTAGATTTTGAGCACTTTTGTTGCTTCAAACTATTCCCTTTGCAGAGTGGAGTGTCATGGCCTAGCAGTTAAGAGCACCAGACTCATGCTCTGGTGTTTCAGAGGCAACAGTGGCGTGGGTTCGAGCCCAGGTGGACACCTGTGCCCTTAAGCAAGGAACTTTACCATTATTGCTTCGTCCTTCGGATGGGACCTAAAGCCATAGGTGTGTTGTGTAAGGCAATGCACGTAAAAGAACCCAGTAATCTTATTGCCTGATCGTTATTTTCATTGTATGAAGACCCATGACATGTAGACTTCAACCGCAGGATTAGATATTTACCATGATGAACTGTTCTTCTTTGTTGATCTTCCCAATGCGGAATTTGTTGACAACGAATGTGATCACTACCACTCCTGTAAAGAAAAATTTCAGAAGTAGACAGCGATGACTATGATTTAAAAAAACAAAAATTGATTTCTAAAGAAATCATGATTGGGTTCGACATCATCAGCTGAAACAAAATGTCCCAGTTCACTGGTTCAGGGAACACGACCAAAATGGCTTTCTCGTGAATAAGGTCCATTGGGTATGTAGTTAGGTTGGTTTTTTTTGCAATTGTGCCATTTTTTGCAGGACACCCGGATTATAAAAACTTGGGAACATGCATTTACCAAAGACTCGGTAGACAAAGATGAAGAGAAGTGTGCAGAGGACAAAGCCGGTGTTCCATTGATGCTTCTCAGCCCAGAGAGTCTGGCCCAACAGAAGGAAGATGATGGACTCAGTGGTCGTCCTGAAAAGAAATATAATTGTGCTTGAGACAAATGAGAGTATCGCAACGTGACTAGATCTGAAATGAATCGTTATATCTGTAGGAACATAGTCTATGGAAAACTCCCTTGCACAGCAAGGATCTATAATATACCATAGAGCAAGCAATTTTGGCGATTAATTATGCAAAACAAGACTGTGTCTTGACTAAAGTCCGAAGTCCTCCGGGATACGGAAAACAGACTGAATTTCACCAAAGGACAACACGGAATTCTCGGAATTCCATATTAACTGCCAAAAACATAGATGAAAACTTGAAAAGAACCTAATAAACAGTTTTCGTAGTATCAGTCTTCAATCCTGCAAAATCCGCCATTATTTTCTTGACTGTGGTCCGTGGAGGGGTGACCACTGCCTCAATCCTGCAAAATCCTCCAGCAATCACTGTCAATACGTAGAGGCAGAGCCAGTGACATCCTGAAGCAGTGGGGAGGATTTCATTTTCAAGTATAATCTAGGCCTATAAATTCATGCCTGCCTGGCTGAGCATAAACAACACAAGGTCCGGCCCAAGACCTTGATACAGTGCATCCTCCAAAATCAGCCACGCAGCCTCAATCCTGTGAAATCCTCCATTTTTGCAAAGACGATTTTGCAGGATTTTGGGAAGGTCATGGTTAAAGAGAAACTACGGGTCAACAGAGTCCACTGTCATTGTAAAGGAACAGGACTGAGCATATACTCACGACAGCATCTTGGTGAAGTAGGTCACCGTGGTACTAGACTTCCTGGAGATGTTGTCGAAGGCATACTCGGCTTGAGCAAGGCCGCAACAGATGATACTGACATAGAAATTAAAAACAAGTTTCTTTGTTAAAACAAGAAAAATCAGCGAACACTATGGCAAACAAATTCCAATGGATCTTGTTGAATTCTGTTCCATTTGTACAGCTTCAAATATAATGGATTCTGTTGGATGCATAGCCTTGTTTTTGGTTTACTCCTGAAAAATTATCTTGCACTTTTTCACATTTCTTCTGGGAAGAAGTGTGAATGCTTGGGTGATAAACTATATTGTGAAAGTACTGGTATGTCCACAGCCAGTTCACAATATAGTACAGATTTTTCAATTTTTTTCTTACCTGATAATTCCAGAAAAGTGGAACAGTTCTGCGAGAAGATAGGACAAATAGGCCATGCCCAGTATGGCCAGAGGCTCTACCACTGTAGGCAAAGGGAACATTGAAAGTTGATAATTGGTCCACATTTGTTGGAAAACATGAAATATTTTTTTTTACTATTTTTTGTCCTGAGGGATTTCTTGGTGTACGCTGGTACTATATCAGAGCATTAAAACAGACAATGACTAGAAGATCTTTTTAGCATTGTTAGGACTTCTAAGCTCGTATCTACATGTAGACTTCCAAGTTTTCAAAAATCTAGAAGATGTGGAGAATATTTGCAGGAATGAGGAAGGTACAGGCCTGCCACTATTAATTGACAGGCAGGCTCAAGCCTTACGCTTTAGTTACATTTGCCAGAAACTTTCTGGGAAAGCCTGGAAAAAATCGGAGAAAAAAAATCGAACCGCAACCGAACTGAACCGAACTTTCAGGATCAGTTGCAGCACTATTTCCAGTACCTGTACTTACCCCTGACGTGTTTGGTAAATTTTGTCAGGAATGCTGTCAGGATGCCTACCAGGAAGCCGATGACAGCACCCCCTAGACTGACCGTGAAGAAGGACACGAAGCCAAGCACGATCTATGAAAGCAAGCAATAAAATAGCAAAATAAGGGTGGTCTGTAACAACGCATATTGAAGAGATAGGTACCACGCATAAGCTAGAATATGGCCACTGAACATGAACACAAAAAAGTCTGGAAACATGGCCGAAAGAAAAGTCACAAAATTGGAGCATTTTTACTATTTACTTCGTTAGAAAGGTATTTATTAATGGGAATCACAGTGTGAGGATCCGGTCTTCACTGCGTGATAATGACCGGGTTTGTGGGATGGCTGCTGTTAATGGACCTCGACTATAACACTAGTGCTGGACTTAGTGATTGATTACCTGGCTAGCTGGAATAGTTTCCAGGCTTAAAAAGCTGTTCATCATATTGTAAAGCACAACAGTCACAGCATCTACAAACAATCCACAAACATCAAGCAAAAGGGAGAAAGGGAATCATGCGTTACAAGTTAGGCAAGCTTTCAAGATTTCTGGAAACAGGGAATAATGCACAAATGGCTCTAGGATGAAAACACAAGAAGTAAAGATATTCATTTTTAGAATTTCAGTAATTTGTTGATACTTGAGCGAGATGGAAAAAAACATTTCCTTCATCCTTGCCATTCTGGCCGACTGTGAAGTCACTGGCAGAATACGACATAGACTGCCATTTGATACATTGCCAACAAAATGACTCATTTTTTTCCCCACAAAATTTGTTATGTTTGTCTTGTAGGAGTGAATGAGCTTTGTAGATCTTTTCCTATTCCTTCATCTGTAAAACTTTACAGCACATTCATACTTAACACAAGTCAGTGACTGTGACATGATGAAACATTGGCAGTCAACTAAACATTCATCGGAGTTGAAGTGTGCTCAGCTAGGTCTTGATTTATTTTGAATGGTATCTACAATCCTGGCCAAATCTCGATGTGCCCCCAACCCCCCGGCCCCCTGTCAATGTTGTCTCTCATTGCGCGGTGTGTGCTCCATCCGCTGGAGAGAACAACATTGACCAGGGGAGCGGGGGAGTTGGTGACCGTGGAAGGCTAAGGTTATTTCCAAGTGTCCCAACCATTTTGGCCGGGATTGTAGCCCCTTCAGTATCAAGCACCACTGACTATCAAGCTTGCATGCAACGATACATGCATTCTTAAATTTGAGTAGCACATTTTTTTTGGGAAGGGGGGGGGGGCGGGCGTTATAAACAAGCTACTTGTTTTGCTCCTAGGATCGAATGTGTACATACTCTCATGCTTGCATGCAACGATACATGCATTCTCAAATTTGAGTAGCACGACACTTTGGGGGGGGGGGGGCAGGGCGTTGTTAACAAGGATGATCGAGTGTGCACATACAGCCTGCATGCCTTAATTATACCCTCATCCTATGCAAACATGCATTCTGTGCGAAGTTGTCCTTTTCAGTCAAAATCAGTCAAGTGACTGTTTTTAACGGTTGAGTTGTCCCTGCCTATACATAAAGCAGGATTGACTGGCTGTGTTTTGTAACTTGACAAAGCTATGCTTTGACTGTAGGTGATTGATAAGACAGCCGTGCCTACCAGTTGCCTATTTTTGTCTGTTGACTGAATTTGACTAGTCACAGTGCTTGCTGGAAATATGATCTGACTGTTGGTGACTAGCCTGTGTAAAAGGCATGGCAGGGGAAGAGGAGTGATTTTTTTTGACTGTCTGTGACTGTTCAGACAGCAGGAGGGTTAATGGTTAGCAAACGTTCTTGCTGACAGAAGACAAAAGAATAGAACAAACTACATGTTGGTGATTATAGAAAAATCAGCCCATTCTTCATAATTATCATATTACAGCTTAAGAAACACTTTACTTTTTCATGAATAATTCTTTTTCATGCCTAAACCAAAATATCGCCTTGCAGCTCATATGGCTATTTTGCCGACAACAATACTTCCATGGAATTTGTTCAGGATAATTTTGGCAACTTCTGTCCTCCCCCATAGCCAACCCCCCTACCCCTCCCCCGACAAGCCTAGTAGTCCCCTTGACTCACCGTTCAGTAAGGACTCGCCGAACACCAAGAAGTATAGGACTTGATTGACGTGGATCTCTTGGAAGATTGCCAAGACGGCCACGGGATCGACGGCCGAGATGAGGGAGCTGAAGATGAGGCACTCAATCAGGCCGACGGTGAAGCTGTTGCCATAGGCACCGGTCAAGGAGATGCCGTACAGCGTCAGACCTGCCAAGACGAGACATCACGAGACAACTTTAATTCTCCTATACAAACACACATTCTGTGAAGCATTGTCCTGTCAGACAAAATCAATCAAGTCAGTGTGTTTACCAGTTAAAAGCTCCCCGCCTACATGTACATAAAGTAGGATTGACCGACTGTGACTGTTTATGCAACTTGACACACTATCCTTTGACTGTTTGTGATTGATAAGACAGCTGTGCCTCATGCTTACCACTTGCCTGATTTTTTTTCTGTTGACTGAATTTGACTAGTCACAGTGCTTGCTAAAAATACGATCTGACTGTTGGTGACTAGCCTGTGTAAAAGGCATGGCAGGGGAAGAGGATTGATTTTTTTGACTGTCTGTGACTGTTCAGACAGCAGGAGGGTTAATGGTTAGCAAACTGGCTGTGAGTGTTTATGTATGTTTTGTAAATTGACAAAGCTATACTTTGAATGTAGGTGATTAGCCAGCTGTGCCTACCACGTGCCTGCTTTTGTTTGTTGACTGAATTTGACTAGTCACAGTGCTTGCTAAAAATACGATCTGACTGTTAGTGACTAGCCTGTGTAAAAGGCATGACAGGGGAAGAGGATCGATTTTTGCCCGACTGTGACTGTTCAGACAGTAGCAGGATTGGAATTCAGTGCCACTTTAATTTGATACAAGTTTATGAAATACTGTCTGTACATGTACACCCTTAAAATGTTTCCCCTTGTAACTTCTTGCCTTTAACCCTAACTCCCCAGCCTAATTTACTAGGAACCATACCCATTCTGGCAAATGCCAACACCCACATGGGAAATTGTACACACACACTGTTGGACTTAGTTTCTGGTGGTATGCCAACCCCAGTGTAAAAGACCATCAGTTTAGGGGTACTGTACCTATCCCAACAGATTTAAACAAAAACCTGCTGTTGAACTTTGATGGGTTGAGTTCGGTTAAGGTTAATACATAAAAAACAATTATATTTTTGGCCTCAGCAACCTTGCAAAAGCTATTTTAAATATTGCTCCCTTTTCGAGTGCAAACATATCCACTCAGATCCTGATATAACATGTAAAAAGACATCTGCCTACCGAACAAACACTCTATTGTTGGTGCCATGATTTTGGAAACGATTTTAAAGCACTAAGATAAATTAATTGGATGGCACAAAATGTCACAGAAGAAATTTGTTTTAGTCGGGTCAATGTTTAGACTTACCGATGAGGAATGTATTCAGTAATGTCCCCTATAGAAATGAGAAAATAGAGTGACATGCATCAACGATTCATAAATAAGTGAGGCAGTTGAACATTTCTATTGGTCGAGAGCCTGTCACATGGGTGGTTTTAAACGATTGATAAAACACACAGCGGTGTTCTGCGCCACATAGCGCAGTTTTAAGTCTGACTCTGTCTTAAAACTAGTTAACTCAGTACCAAAAAAAAAATGTTTAGCGTCCTGCCTTTTTGAAAAAAAGGAGGTGAGAAGCCCTTTTTTCTTTCCCTCAAAAATGGCCACCCGACCGGGCTATTTTTCAAGATGGCCGCCAGTTTTTTGGTTTTTTTTAATGGCCGCCACTTGAACTCAGGAAATGACATACCAGCTTTATATGGACAAGATGCAACAGACAAAGAGGTCAAAATGATGTCACTGTTTAAAATGTATAATTTTCTCGGTTTAAAAAAAAAAGGAAAAAAAAGATAAAAAAGGTGGCCTCCAATAACCAAGCGGGCGGGGACGCTAAACATGTTTTTTTTTTACTTGGCCTAATGCAAATTTACAAAAACTAGTAGTATGATTTCTTAAAATTCGGGTTGAATTCCACAATTTCCACTATCGGATAACCGTTATTAGGTTTGAAAAAATAATGTGATAACCAGATTTTGAAATCTCTGATTTCTCCCTCCACTAGTGCTAATTCACAAAACATTGAACACATTTCAACTCTCGCGTATGTCACTGTGAATGTTTTTTTTCTGATGTCAAAATCACTTTGAGTTTACATTTACTTGCAGTGTGAAGCAGCCTTAAGTTAAATATTGGAGTTAAATTTTGGGAAGTTTAAACTTGGCATTTTTTCAACATACCACAACGGCATATATCAGGATGGACGCCAGGTTGTCGGCGAATGTACGATCATGAAGAGAGTAGGCTGCCTCCAAAATGATCCTAAACAGACCAACAAGTTATTGGTGAGTACACAATTACTATAGTTTGATTAAAACAATAGTCTGTAGAGGATATCACCAACAAAAAGAAAATAAATTAAAATATCAATCCAACGATTGTCGGCTGACCATCGCTGGAAATTGATACAAAAATTCCACTTTCTTGCACGTGTTGAAAATGACAGCACGCCAGGTGTACTGATTTCACAGGATGCTTGAGACTATTATTCACTTACGGTCAAGTAAAGTATGTCATAATAAATTGGTAGTTTTGTTTTTAATGTTTGCAAATTGTGTATATTACCTTTTAATTACATTTTACACAAAGTGCTACCAATTGATTTTTGTTTTAATCATTACAAAATGCCTTTGTGAAATGTTGAGCCGATACTTCAGCTATAACGTCACTGCCCATTTTTTAAATTCTACACATTAAAGGCAATTTATTCTTTCTAAACTCAAAACAGTTAAATGACGACTTACGGAGGAAGAAGATACAAGAAGAAGGTTTGCGAATCAAAGCTTCCGGTTTGTTTGGTGGCACTGTGGATTAGTTTTTTAAAAAGGGGGAAAAAGGATTAATTCAAAAGAGGGGAACTGAAATGTGTATCTGAGTGACTCTCCTGGTACCTGTTTCTGTATTGATTTTGAAAATTTGATTTTGAAAGTCAATCACAAGTCAAACGCAAGTCAATCGCGAGTCAAACACAAGTCAATCACAAGTCAATCACAAGTCAATCACAAGTCGATCACAAGTCACACACAAGTCAATCACAAGTCAATCACAAGTCACACACAAGTCAATCACAAGTCAATCACATGTCAATCACAAGTCAATCACAAGTCAATCACAAGTCAATCACAAGCCAAACACAAGTCAAACACATGTCAATCACAATTCAATCACAAGTCACACACAAGGCAAACACAAGTCACACACAAGTCAACCACAAGTCATCACAAGTCACACACAAGTCAATCACAAGTCAATCACAAGTCAATCACAAGCCAAACACAAGTCAAACACATGTCAATCACAATTCAATCACAAGTCAATTACAAGTCACACACAACTCAAACACAAGTCAATCACAAGTCAATCACGAGTCAATCACAAGTCGATCACAAGTCGATCACAAGTCAATCACAAGTCAATCACAAGTCAATCACAAGTCAATCACAAGTTAAACACAAGTCAATCACAAGTCAATCACAAGTCAATCACAAGTCAATCACAAGTCAAACACAAGTCAAACACAAGTCAAACACAAGTCAATCACAATTTAATCACAAGTCACACACAAGTCAAACACAAATCTATCACAAATCAATCACAAGTCAATCACGAGTCAATCACAAGTCGATCACAAGTCGATCACAAGTCAATCACAAGTCAATCACAAGTCAATCGCAAGTCAATCACAAGTTAAACACAAGTCAATCACAAGTCAATCACAAGTCAATCACAAGTCAATCACAAGTCAAACACAAGTCAAACACAAGTCAAACACAAGTCAATCACAATTTGATCACAAGTCACACACAAGTCAAACACAAATCTATCACAAGTCAATCACAAGTCAATCACGAGTCAATCACAAGTCGATCACAAGTCGATCACAAGTCAATCACAAGTCAATCTCAAGTCGATCACAAGCCAATCCCAAGTCAATCCCAAGTCAATCACAAGTCAATCACAAATCATTCACAAGTCAAACACAAGTCAATCCCAAAGGCCAACGCACAAGCTATTTAAACTCTTTTTTTTTGGACAAATAAAGACATTCCTTTGTCATTGTTTGTTCTCTATGTACTTGCGACCTGGCTTGTGATTGACTTATGATTTGACTTGTGAATGCTGACTACAACTATGCCAGTTATCCACTGAATACTCACTAAGCAATGCCTCCAAACACGACACCTAGGACAATGAGAAGTACGGACTCTGGAAATATGGCTGACAGGAAATCTGCATGATGGAAACCTGCAAGAGAATTTTTGAAGATTATTAGATAAGTTTGCGGTAGCATCATGTGAATAAATCTCTTTTGTGAGTATGTGTGGTTCTGAAAAGAACTGGAGGGACTCAACGTTTCGAACAGTATGCTCTGCCCGTCGTCAGGAGAAAAGAGGTTAGGGTCTCCTGCTTTGGGCAGAGCATACTGTTCGAAACGTTGAGTCCCTCCTGTTCTGAAATCAGCAACACGCTTTTGCCATGTAACCTCAATCCTGCGAAATCCTCCATTTTGCAAAGAGGACTTTGAAGGATTTGGGAAGGTTAGGGTTAAAGAAGAAGTGTAAAACATTTACTGGTCCCTCGGAGTACCGGTATGTTGATTTTTAACGACCTCCCTCAGTTCCACACCCAGAGGTAATCAAGTCAGCCAACACCTCAAGACATGTTCTACATACATTACCACTGTCCAACTCATGTGAAGGACACCTACCTATTTTGGCCACGCCCACAAACAAGGCAAAGAACGTCACTGTCAGTGGTAGCTGCACATACTTCAGGTTCCAGGAAGCGACATGAACGCCCCCGTGTCCTCTATGAGGCTCCGCATCCCCACCCTCGTGTTCGTCACTGCTATTATCACCGTGTGTATCATCCACAGCCTCGTGCGTGATTACCGGCGATGTAGTGTTCTCATTGGCCGTTGCAGTCAACACGAGCTGGCTGACAAGCAGTATCGCCAACACGGGCAGGAACAGAGAAGTGACTCTAAAAGGATGTTGCCTGGATGTTGCCATGGTAACTCGCATACTATAATGAGAAAAAAAATAGGAACAAAAACAAAAACATTAACGCCCAATCTAAATTTTCACTCCACGTGCCCCCAAAACTAAACACAATGTTAAGAGGCGACCACAACAGCTCGGACATTTAAAAAAAAAAAAAAATTAAAAGTAAGACTTTTCTTCCTTAATTGTTTTAAATTGAATCCTACATTCATTTCATCTTTTTTTTCTGATTCATTGCTCTGGAGGATTTTTTTAAATGCCCCAAATCCGAAAACCGCAATGAGGCTGATTCCTTTTTTTCCTGAAAACAAAGTCACAATGAATGGTAAGCGCAAAACCAGACCAAAATTCATCATGGTATAACTTTCTAAAGTCCCAGAAATATTCACTGCGCATGTTCATTTACAACACCCAAAGGATAATAGCATGTTAAATGTTTTAAAGTCATGTAGGAAGAAATAAACTAATCACGCTATTCCTATCATCATTAACCTTTAGGCAATGTATACTCAATGGTTTAGTAAACGTTACGTTGCCGGAGGTTAATAAAATAATCCATGGGTAAACTAGCACTTTTACTCGTAAAACTAGTAAAAGAAAGGCGGCACAAAGATGAGTAAGTAAAAAGTAACAAGTAGCCTAGTCCGAGTAACTAGGACTCTACGGATCACTTTTTTAACATTTGGACATGACCCGACCATGGCCAAATGTTAAAAAAGCGATCCATAGAGTTACTCGGACTAGTGGTAGTACAAGAAGTAGCCTAACGTACATGACTATCAAAAAAAAAAAAAATAAGGAAACAGGCCACTGCCAAATTAATACATGTAGTGATGTACCCGAGGCTGAAACCTGCTTCTACTTCTACTTGCAGCTACTCATTTACAGCCTTTTCACTGTTCAGCAACATGCAAGGACTTACCCCACTCACTTGTGTGGCCTACTGTACCGGAGGGCAAAAGATGAGACCGTATAATGCAGTGGTGACTGACTGTGACAGTGTGAGCGTGCGTGTGGGTGGGCGCGGCAGGCACAGAGAAAAAACTGGATCATGCGTATTCAAATTATTACAATACCAGTCGGCCTACCAATATTTGCAGTTAGCACTTGTACAAGTTAATCATTGTTGGCTCTTACTCGAAATGCAATATTGCACTTGGATTTGGTTGAATGGTTTTATTGGCAGGAATACCTGAATACAGACTGGTGAATACAGCAGCTAGCTCAGCGGAGCGGCAGGCCAAAAACATGTATAAATTATAGCGCCCTCAATTGGCGAGGCGTGGCTAAACCGAGATCGAGACGAGATCTGTGAGTGCATGGAGTGTGATGAGCTCCCAATTAATTTCATGAACTTTGCAGAAAATTTCAGGCCGCGGCTCATCATCAGGAGAGGTATAAATGACGAATGATTTTGTTTGTATCGCTTGATTGTTATTTATCAAATAAACAAACAACAGAACAGGGAAATAGTGTCCAGAATCCACTTCACTCTACTGTGCACAAAGTCTATGTGTTGCAGCGGAACTAGGAATCAAAGGATTTGTAAATTAAAATTCGGTGCGGCGAAACTAGGAAATTCAATTTCGGTATCGCAATTGTAAACCCGGTGCGGTACTGTCTCGATGACGAACATAACATGGCACGGCCGGTAAAACAAGGATTATTTTCATAACTGTTTATTAATGGAAGGCCCCAAAAATTAACTTAAAGTATTGGGTGTTAAGAAAATCTGGGATGTTCGTACTCCTAGAACTAATTATGAATGGTGCTCCGCTCACAATAGGAGTATTAAACTTCCGTTGTGATAATTAAGTGTAGGCCTATTGTAAATAATTTGTAATAAAATTGTATCAACACATTTCAGGTTGAGTTAGAGTGTGCCGTCCACCAATAATGTCGAAATCACAGAAGAAGAATCAAAAGCGATCCAACAAGAAGCATGGGCCTGAAGGATTTGTGGTAGAGGAAACCATCGGTGCAGGTGCATCAGTGACGAAAAAGCAAGACCCCATACAAGAGCTGAGAGAACAACTGGCACAGGCTAAGGCAGACAAGGTGGGTGCAAATAAAGGCCCTCGCATGTGGTTGAACCACGAGATTTCAGGAAACCAAGTTACAAGATGGCAAGAATCCAATATGGTTCCTACACAAGCGACAAGCGCCCCCTTGCCCCCCCCCCCCCCCTCCCTCACGATGCCCATGATCAACACGATGAATCAAAGCCGTTCTTGGCAATATTGGCAGCGCTTCCCAGGAAAGTTTGGGCATACCACATACGCATGCATTAGCTTGAATTCAGCAAATTTCAAAAAGTTTGTGGAAACAAAAGTTTCAGTCATCTTTTCGATGGCATGAAAAATTGCAGAACACAGATTCAGCTACCACCTCCCCCATAGAGTTGTGTGCATTTATTTGCCACGTTTACCCAAAAGTAAAAATTGTCACCTCTTTGTTATATGCCCATGCCCAATTGGAATATTGGCTTATTCTTAATTCAGTCAAAGTAAGGAAATTATTTGCAAACTGTTCGAAAACAATTAAGAAGTGAATTGTATTGACAAATTTGCGATGACACCAAAGTACCTTAAGAAATACATAAATGTACCTCTCTGTTTTTTGCCTGTGAATCGTGAATGATTGAACTTTTGGATGTGTTTTCTTAGAATCACGACCTAGCCAACAAGTTGAGACAACAGCTCTGGATAGCTCAGGACCTTGCAGCAGGCTACAAGTAAGATTGATTCACTGTGATTGCAGCTTTTGGAACTTTGGCACTCAAACCCTAGAAATTCCAAGTATACATGCACTCAGCCTGGGACCTTTATTGCTCAAAACGATGCAAAAGAAGATCAGACCAATTTTACTCACTCTTTAGCCGGCAAATTTCTCCAAAACTTTCATTGGGCAAAGAAAAGGTCCTCAGTATTTCACCAACCAAGTTTGAAGACTCAATTCAATTTTTAAAGGAGACTTTTCTTCAATATTATTTTCTTGTTTTTTTTTTCCAGCATCTATGAACACTAATCTTTCATAATGTCGGCGTAACAAAATTTGCTATAAAATACTGACCCCTAAATTCATCGGCAAAAGCAGATGTCGTACAAGTGTATATTAGCAATATCGAGTCCACATTTCCAATCCATGTCGTGTATGCACATTTTGATTTTCCTAAGTTGCGGCATTGATTGTACATTGTTTAAAGGTTGGCTTCTATTAAAAAAGTCCGCCTTTTTTGTGAACAGACTAAACCCTCACCAGGCTGGCTACAGCCTGAATCTGAGATAACAGGTGGCGAATTGTGGTGATATGTGACTTTAATTATTATTATTATTAATCATTTCTGGTAATGAAACCAAGGATTCCTCAAAAGCGCCCTAGGCACTGTAGCTCGCAAGCCTGAAGAAACCTGTGGAGAGAAGACAGAGAGAAGAATTTACAGTTATAGAGGTGGGAGGAAAAGCCCAGAAGAATTTTCTGGGGAAAACCCACGGAATCAGGCAGGGACTGAAAACCCAATCCACATATTGGCCCAGGCGGGATTCGAACCCGGGTCACAGCGGTGGAAGGCGAGGAAAGTACTGCTACGCCAACCTGACTCGGCAAGTCTCATTGAGGTATCGTTAACAATACTTGCAGGCCAAATATATCCACCGAAGACGCAGACAGTCAAGAGGCCCTAGCTAAGGCAGTAGAGACATTCTCCTCTCCGTCTAGTACTGCTGCAGCCAGGCTAGCTGCAGCTGGGCCTGCTGCTACGGTGCCATCGACCTCCACTCTCGGAGCCGATGAGAGGAAACTCAAGACGATGCGCAAGAAGCTTGAGCAGATTCAGGGCCTGAAGAAAAAACTGGAGCAGGGAGAGAAGCTGGAAGCCAATCAGGTCAGACTTCAAAATATGCATCTTTTTAGATGCATCTTTGAAAATGACCTTCATTTTATTGTTTCCTTCAAAATGACAGCACGTCAGAAAGAAGAATTTCACAGACAGTTCAGTGCCATTACTATCTTTAAACCAAGTATGCTTTTCAACCAAAAAATTGTCAGCTACTTTTTGGATAGCTCCAAATGAAATTTTCTGCCTTTAAGAAGTGTTAAATGCTGTGGAACATATTATTTATTGCCTCTAAGGTTTTCTGAAATGCAAAGTTTGTATTGTGATTTTTTTCTTTTTCAGTTGGCAAAAATCAAGACAGAGGAATCAGTACTAGAGGAAATTGAGCATCTGCAGACCTTACTAAGCATTCCGGTCAAGAGGTAACAGGAGAGGTTATCGTCATGGCGACTTACTGACATCGCAGTTCTTACCAAATATTTGTGTCGATTGGAATCATACATGTAGATATGTACATTGTACCCAAGGGTGCTATGAAAGTTTCCTGGATTTCCACTAAGAACAATTTTTTTTACCCAAGAAATCCTGTCGTTTGAGATAATACAATTAATAGCCGGTATTTATAGATATGTATTTATGGTGTTTAACTACTACCACAGCATGGGGCAAGTTTGATCAAGGACCATAATTAATTATAGTTAGGCTAATTCTGATCGAACACACTTTCTAGTCGATGCTAGTCGACGTTGGCAGGCTAGTCGACAATGGCATGCAAGTTGACGTTAGTCGCACTACAGTGAGTAATACAAATAGGCAGGGCGATTTGGGGTGCTACAGTGACTTAAGGATTAACAAACAATAACTTGCAGAAGGACATTGGCCGTAATAATACATTTATTCAGCAACTAGCCAGAACCTTTTCCAAAGTATGAAATATTCCATAATTCCTATTTATTTGCTTGATATTTTCCCCTGTAATATACGAGGTTAGTCAAAGAAAGCAAAACCCAAATGTCGGGAGCATTGTTTTAGTGAAATCACATAGGGATGTGTGTGAATTTTGTTTGTTTTGCTGATAGAACGCACACCTTTATTGTGATTCGTGGACGGAACTTTAAAATGGTGGTTGTGTTTAAAATTCCGTAACTTTAAAAGTACATGAGTGATTTGAATGATTCTTGTACTAAAAGAAAGCTGATGAATTGGGCTTTCATATCCTAGATTTAGAAAGTGCTACATGCAGAAATTCACTAAAACAATGCTCCTGGCATTTGGGTTTTGCATTTTTTACTCACCCTGTATGCACGCCTTTGGTCCGCGTGAACAGGAGTACAGTAAAACTACTTTTGTTACATAAATACAGATATTAAACTTCACAATAATGAAACTTTTTGAAAGGCTAAAACTTTGTTCTTGTTATGAGCAAAAGTCAAATTAAAAAAATTGTGAAATTATGACAACAATTATGACGAAAAAGTCTGTTCAATGCATTTAACATTGAAAACTGTTGACAAAAATAATTTTAAAAATGTGACCTCAATTTCCAATAAATTGTATGTATTTTTATTGGCTGAACTTTAGTAACAAGACCTTCACTCAAAATGTGAAATTTCAAAGACTTGCAAGTCCAAATAGTCTTTTGTAAAGAGCACATACATGTTGCAACCAAGCTAAATGAGTGATTTGTCTGGAACTTTCATTTGGAGATTCAGGCCAAAATAGGGCCACGTCATCACATCACATCTCTTGGTGTTCCGACTTCTATAATTTTTGAACTAAAGATGATATCAGCATGCGGTTTTTACATCAGTAATGCTGAGATTGTGCTCATTTTAAAAAAACAAAACAAATTGACCAGGGTTGACAAGTGACTCATTTAGCTTAATTGAATTACATCAATCGCATCACATACAAAATTGGTGTCAATGTTATCTCAGCAGAAAATATGCAAAAATCTGCTAACAACCGGTAAAAAGCTACGTGTATAGTCGAATCCAGGCATGTATTAACTACACTAATGAGGCCCTCTTCAATGGATAAACCTTCGAGCATGATGTTGTACAGAGCAACTTTCCCATGACAGATCATACGGACAATGGCCAACACAACACTTTGGCCATTGAAGGGGGGCTTCGTCATAGAGTTGACAGTGACCACTCGTCAACCCAAACCCCAAAGAATCTAACAGTAACTAATAGGTAATTGGGAAAGATTTCCATATACGAAGTTCACTCAACACCCCGTGTACAAACCCTATGAGATTGGACTGAAAAATTCTAAGTGTTTTCTAAGAAAATGCTTGTATTTTCTCACTGCTCAAATTGACTTTGATGACATGAAATTGCTATCTGGGGGCTTGTTAGTCAATACAGAGGAACATTAGTGAACTTCGTATATGAAAATCTTTCCGGTAATTGCTTTAAAATTCTTCTTTTCCAATAGTAAATAAACCCCTTTGTGACAACCATTTGATTCTAAATGAGACGACTGCAAATTTATCATAAATACACATCCGGGCACGGCTGACTATGGGGTTTAACATAAAGTGCCTTTTTTCACATTTGTAAGTTATCTTTTTTCGCGATTTGCTGGTTATTTTAACGTCCCGTGGAATGCGTATATCGATACCTATTGTCTGACAGTGACCATGAATTTGGTTTTGTAAAGTGACAAGAGATAAACAATCCAGAATGCTTTCAGCCGCGATATCCAATTGGGCTTTTTTTCAGTCTCCTCCTAAAACCAAGTGCCCGTATTGACTGGCTGTCCCACTTGGTTTCCCCTCCTGCTGGCGGCAAGAACCTCCCCCTCCGCCTGCGATGGTCGAGCTTCTCGCCAGGGGGTGGGAAAACATTAAACGTGTCTTGTGTAGCGCGTCCGCTGGTCTTGGTCATCTGTTGTGCCACACAGTGTCTGTGACTGGCGTGATTAACCGCTGTCTGAAGAGATGAATCCGATGTGGAGTACAGTACAAGAAAGAAGTAGAAAGAAGCGGGACAAAAGAAGAAACAATAAGTAATAAAACATTCCATTAAATATGGGTCTTCCAGATGTTCGCCAATACCTATGTTGCCCAATACTGATTATCCCCGAAATCCATAGGATTAGGGTTAGGATTGGGGAACATCGGTATTGAGGTCTACCTGGTGTCCCCAATACCTATAGATGTTCCCAAATACCGACGTTCCCCGAAATCCTTGGGATTAGGGTTAGGGTTAGGATTGGGGAACAGAGATGCACCCCACACATACACATACAGTAATCCAAAAAATAGAAGAAATGATTTATTTACCAGAAAGTGTGCCGACTCCAATTTCTTTTTGGGAGGTAGTCTAGCTGCATTGCCAGCATCTGAACAGACTACCAGCAGACTGGCAACTAGGAGGAAAGTGAACATAACTTTCAAGCAGGGCCGTTGCATCTTGACTGTTGCTTTATCTGCTCGATTCTACAAACGTTGTCTAGATTTGCACAGTAAGAAACCTTTTACAGTGAGCTTCCTGAAATTCAGTCACCAACTGAATGATGAAAACTTCTGCCTTTAGCCTTTCAATATATTTAAACAAAGACAATGGTAATAAAATTAATTGTTCCTGCTATAATCACTGCAGGGTCATCTGAATATTTATTGATTGGCCTCGGGGGGTTCAATCCAGTCTTAATATGAAGCTGATAATAACAACAAAGACTGTACAAGTTATCACTTCGGGTGAATGAAATGCATGGGTTTGGGGCTACCTTGAAAATATAATTTTAGCACGTAATTCTGAGCAAAAATTACTGCATTTATTAATGTTAATCACGATTAATTAATATTAACAAAGTTCATAAAGTACAAATAATACCACACTTCATATGAATGGACTGGCATTTGCATTAGACTCGCATCTGTGAGGATCAAAATTAAGCAAACGCTTAAAATTACTGAAAACCATTTGCTCTTGAGCATGTTGAGTAAATGGCCTAGACAACGTAAGGGTTTACAGGTTTATAAGTCTGCAAAAAATACAATTATCGTAACTGAAACGGAAAACGGCTCGTACATACTCGGTGCGCATTTCTAGCTTGCCATGCGTTGAGCTAGATCATTAAGGGCTGGAGGACAGATAAATTTAGCTGTATGACTTTATGTAAATTTTTTTGTGCGTCCATGACAAGAGACCACAAAAATGGCGCAAAGTGAATAGGATCGTATGCACGGGCTGCCGATCTAGTCAGTCTATTCTATATCTATAGTCCGTCACAAAAATTGACCAAAAGTATGGTGTACTCCACAAAGTGTGGTGCTCACAATTTCGCCAGAAGTTATTGTGCACTCGCACCTTTTTAGTCAAATTTTTACCACAAAAAAACATTCCAATTTCTAAAGGAAGGTTTAAATTGTCATAGAACTTGAGATCACTTATTTGATAATAGTTTGAATATTTGATAATAAGATTTATATAACTAGCCTGATAATTTTAAATTAACTAGCCCAAAAAATAGCATGTACCATGCTGTCGAGTTTCATTGCAAGAATACTGGTATGTACTACTTGAGTCAACAGTCATCTTCAGGTACATGTAAAACATATTTTAATGATTCCATATTTCTCTAAGACTGGGATCCATTCTCCCACTGAATATATAATCAGAGTCCTGCTGTCAGATAACACGTTCATTGTATTACAAAGAAACTGTTTTATACGTTCAAAGTATTGCAAGTGGTTTCTCATTTAAGTTATACTTGCATAAACATCTACAGTATGAGAAGTCTCTACATCTCACCCACAAACTGCTAATTTTTTTTTATAAAGATCAGTATTTAACCTCTAATTGAAAAAAAAAAATCCACCTCGCAATATTTCTTCCAAAGTGTACGTGCATAAAATTAATTTCCATATTGAACCTGATTCTGGCATTATAAACAAGACTTTCATTTGTACGATCGAAATGGCAAGATCGGCATTACATGATTTACCTTTGGTGAAAGTCTGAAAACAAGCCAGAAATACTGATTAAAATACCCTGCAATTAAAACATTTTTATTGTAAGGAAAAGTAACTGATCATGAGTTGTTTACATGCAATTACATTCCTGGTAAACTGACACAACGACAAACAAACAAATTGTTATAACTTTTATAATTTTACGTATCAATAAAATAAAAAAATAATCTCTGAATGCAAAATGTACATGTTCACATGTGACCTCTGCGGATAAACAGTACTTAGTACCCCCATACAGGGTGAGTCAGAAAAAGAGGAACACAAACCCCCAAAATATTATTTCATATTTTAAAAAAATATGCAGCACCAATAATAATAATGACTGCAAAGCCAATATCAAAAGCTCTTTTTTGATAAAAAAATTACTTAAATTGCCAAACCGTTAAAAGCATATCACCAGTTAAACATAATGACCCTAAAACCTCTTTCGTCCAAAAATGTGATTTCAAGAATCATCGTCACAATTGTCTTCAAACATCACCAGCGATAAAACCTCACTTTAAAAGTTAAAAATATTCAACAAAGTCCTTTTGAAGGCCCATCTTTAAACAGAAAATGTGGATTTTATAAATCCTATTGTTTGCCTAAGCAGGGTTGTTAATAAAGATAATGTGTACTACAGTTGTTGACAGCTGTTGAAACAAGTATTCTGTGTCATTTTCTTTGTTGTTCCAAACAGTCAGAACACACAAGAAATTGCTTTTTTTTTTGGACGAAATAGGTTTTAGGGTCATTGCGTTTAAATGGTGATATTGTTTGAACGGATTGATTAATTTCAGTATTTTTTTCATCTAAGAGTAGTTTATGAAATTGGCTTTCCAGTCATTATTACTTTTGGTGCTACAAATATTTCTTTAAATATCAAATACATTTTAGGGGTTTTGGTTTTGCTTTTTTGACTCTTTTTTTTTTGTATAACAGAAAAAAACATTTGTTCAATTTTTAAATTCACTTTTAGTCTGATTCCCAATTATGAAGATCTGTTCTTTCAAAAAAGGGTTGTCATCTCATAGGAAATGGTAACAATTACAACTCTGGTACCCAGACTTCTCCCCATTGTTACAAACCATCAACAGACTTTATCACATTCCTACCACATAGTTTTATGGCAGGCCATATAAGCACAATAGTCTGGAGCTTATTATCAAAATGATCATGTTGAAAGCTAAAAATGGTAATAATCTGTTGACTGTATTCCAGTCATTATTATATTAAACAAAATCCTTGTCTTCGTTGGGTATTGTGTGGCTAGGTTTTGGTTTTTGCCACAGACAAATTGTGGCCATGGCCATTTTAAGACAAAGCATAACAATACAATGTATTAGAAAACCATACAAAGCAAAAAAAAATCTGCAAAAACATTCTTTCCCAGTTGAAAAGACTTCATTTTTCACTTAAAACGAAACTCCAACATGCACATAATGTGAGATAACAAAACAAGCTTTAGTAAATCTACCACTACACGTATACCAATCTAACCTTCACAATTAAATCTTAACATGATGTTTTTACATATTAATACTTTTCATTGTACGTGTATAAATATATGCCGTTAATACAAACATTACTGGTGCAAGTTTTAAGCTGCGGTGATTTATCATTACTTTTCCGTACTAAATGTAAACATTGCTGTGATACTTATTGCTTTGACATGAACACACTTCCACCATTACATTTGCATAGCACAGTCAGATTGTTACAGAGCCAACAACAAATATATACAGATACCATTTTGTACAACCTTGCTAAAAATTATCCCTACCACCTACCTGATACAAATACATTTACATGCGTATTGTCCATTAAAACAGGCTATAAAGATTAATCAATTTAGCTATTTGTCTAATTGACATGTACTATACCCTTACAGAAAATTTAGCTTGTGGCAAGCTAGTCGCAAGCTTGCAGGGAGCTTGCCAAAATCTTATCTAGCTCTCGACAAGCTAAAATAAGTTTGCGACTAATTCTGCAAGCAAAGTACAAGCTCGTTGCAAGCTTGTGTGATAGCCGGCAAGCTTGCTACTTAGGTTCAAGCTTGCCGTAAGCTTGCGGTAAGCTTGCATGATAGCCTGCAAGCTTGCGTAATAGCCTGCAAGCTTGCGTGATAGCCTGCAAGCTTGTGTAATAGCCTGCAAACTTGCTTGATAGCCTGCAAGCTTGCGTGATAGCCTGCAAGCTTGCGTGATAGCCTGCAAGCTTGCGTGATAGCCTGCAAGCTTGCAGCAGGCTTGCCACATGATGGCTTACTTTTATAGCTGCATAGTATCCTACATACATTTTGTACAAGTGCCTAATAAAGCTATAGTCCTGGAATGCACAAATTGCTATTCGATTGATTTAAAATGTCTATCCATTGTCATGATTGGAAGTCTTATCATGCATCTGGTCAACACAATGGGCTGGATTTAGCCCGTTCATTGGCGTTAAAGGGTCATCCTATATGATAGCACTGCCCGGCTCACAAGCGACAGTGAGATACATGTAGGTACATAGGACAGTGGACACTAGGCTGGCATTCTGGAACCAGAAATGTAGTCGAGTCCCGATCACAAGTCAATCGCAAGTTCAGTCACAAGAAACAGTGTATGAACAATAACAACGGAATGCCTTTGTTGAAGCTCATTTGAATAGCTTGTGAGTTGAATTGGGACTGGAGGACTTGTGACGGACTTGCAGGGACTTGTGACTTCTTCCCTGTCTGGAACTAGCAGAAACCTCAAGCATGCCATTTGTCCCACACACCAAAGATATCAAAGATTTGACAAACACGCTGTAGTTAGTGCAAAATACATCCATGAAAAATCCGACAGTAACACCGACATAAAATTCTTGAGCACCATACGACTTCAAATAACTGCTCCGTATTGCTATTTGATTTCAACAAGAAACATCTGAGATAATCATACAAATAACATGCACCACCGTGCCGCAAACCCAATGGGCTCCGTGCGCAAGTACCCCTTCAACGGCCAGAAAAGGAGAGTTGGGGGTGACCTAGACTGGTTCCCGGTCCATCCACTGCGTATTTCGAAAGATCCAAAGTTGTTGTGGGCGGGGATTAGTTTGGGAGACCACCGCAAGTTTAATTTGAATGTATTCGCGACCCGACTTTGCCTGACACTCACGCGCGAAGATGCTTTGGCTTAGCTTTGCGAACCTTCAGGATAAATAAGTCGTACGTACTATGCGCGGGAACCAGTGCATTTTACACACTTGGTGTCCCGTCCAAGGGGCTCTATCGAAGAGGTAAAAAGGCGCCCTCTGTTGTTGGCGCACGCAGCTCTTAATCACTTGTTATTCTACCTACAGAGTACAAACTCATTTTGAAATTGCTACATGTACGACAGTCCTGATTTAACTAGTTTTGGTTTTGATCTTGACCAATAAATCACACACCTGAATTTCATTTGGATGAGTTTATGAACATTACATAAATAATACTTCAGTTGCAGCAGAAACTTTGAAATATACAGTTGTAATATTGATAGTCATTAATACTGTACTTACAAATGACAACTACATGTACATGTACAAGTAAGTCTGATGAACAGACTTGTTAAATACTCACAAGTCATCACAAATCATCAACATCTGAACATAGGCATTCCTTTGTCAATGTAACAACTTGTCTATATATATTTATCTTCAAGTAAACTTGAATCCTCGATCCTGATTGGTCGATCCATGCCAACAACGGTGTAGTACCCACCTTGTCTGTACAATGCGAGCTTGAAAAAAAAAAAGCACCAAAAAAAAAAAAAAAAAGCCCGTCGCCGCATCAATTCTGGAACTTCGGTCTGACCAGAGACCGACTATTTATTTTTTTGGCCTGATATATGTAGCTTCAAAAACTTCTACGCCTTCACCAATTTTTTTTTTTAATTTAAATTCCTTTATGCCTCAACTTACAAACACATACAAGTTTCATGTCGTGTCCACAAAACATGAATAAAATGTACATGTAACTCCACGCAACAGTCACATAAATATTATATACAGATTTCAGACCCCATCATTTTCAGCCATCACTTACACATGCAATATAAAATGTACTTTTCGTTAATATGAACCACGCACAAAGTGAGAACAAACACACCAACCCCTAAATTGACATTAAGCCTGCACTAAGTGCCATCTGAATGTACTTGCTTGGATTAATCCATCAAATATTTCAGGGAGCAGACCTAAATCTTTTCGGGTACGCAGTGACCTGTTAGGTCCTTATGAGGATTGTCCCCCAATATTCACCTTCAATACTGCACCAGTGTTTAACTGGCCAAATGTTCACGGCTAAGAAACCTCAATTTGCAATGGCAGGCGGTAACTAACGTCACTCCCCACTCTCACCAGAGGGTGACTGGTCGTCAGCTAATTCCGTCGCCGGTTGCTGTGCTGAGTCCTCTGCCTGGGTTTCTCCCTGGGGTTCCCCCACCGTTTCTGTCACCGGTTCCGCTTCTGGGTCTGCTGTTGTCTCCCCTTCTGGCTCTGGTGTTGTCACCGGTTTTGTCGCGGTGTCTGCCTGGGTATCTGCTCTCTCCTCTGGCTCTTTGTTGCTCGCTTCGTGGAACGCTAGCACCTCGATGAATTCACTCTGGAAGTTACGCTTAGCAGAAAGCGGCTGGTTGCCATACGTCCGGCAAGCTTCACTCCAGCCGTTGGATATATCGCTCTCTAAATGCAGTCCCTCGCCATCACTACAATTCATAAAAATAAAAATAAACCAGACGAGCGTATCAAAAAGTTACAAGGAACAGGTCGGTGCAGTGGTCCTTTCCTCAGCTTCCGCCTTGGGCATTTTTGGAGGATGCACTGTGTCAAGGTCTCGGGCATATTTGCTACGATGCAACCTCACTCCTGCAAAATCCTCCAACTGCCTCCATGTGAAAATTGCATACAGCATCATTCCTCCAAATCATCCATTATTTCTTGAATGTGGTCCTTGGAGGGGTGGCCACTGCCTCAATCCTGCAAAAATCCTTTGACAATCACTGTTAATATGTTGAGGCAGAGCCAGTGACATCCTGGAGCAGTGCGGAGAATTTCAAGTATAAGCTAGGCCTACATTTATGCACGGCTGAGTATTAACAACACAAGGTCCGGCCCAAGACCTTGACACAGTGCATCCTCCAAAATCAGCCGCACATTTTTTGCCATTATTGCCTCATTCCTGCAATATCCTTCATTGAAGGATTTGGGAAGGTTAAGATTAAGGCTCCTTTGTGTTTCTGAATTCAGAGATAAGGCAAAGTTGAAAACGAAGCCACGTTTTGAAAAAAAATCCTCTTGGACTCACCCTCCGCCAATGGACAGCAACTCTCTCGTCCCCCGCATGAACAACTGGCTGGCTGTGTCCACCGGTCCCTTGTCCGGTCTGTCGCTCAGCCCCACCCAGGGGAATTTCTGCTCCCAGGGCGTGATGGAGAAGAGAAAGCTCTCACCGTTGCCAAAGTAAGATGTCTTCAGTTCGGCGCTGTTACGAGTGCTCCATGGACAAGACAGGTATGCCCCAAAGATCTGAAGAAAAAAGGGTTTCATTTTAACAAAATGTGTGGATTATAGTAAAGGAATAAATATGTGCTTGGTCGGTTTGAAACAAGTGCATTTAAAACCAGCTAGGGGCCTGGTCGCAGATAATGGCCCTAGCAAGCAGAAGGTGAGGGCCTCCGCGACCAGGCTCTTGACCAATAGGAATGGGTAACCTCTTAGGTATTTATGAATGGGTTATAAAGGTTAGCCCTAACCGAGGCGAAGCCGAGAGTGCTATGCGCCCCGAGGGGGTTAAAAACGGCAAATACCACATCACAGCAGTCAACAATTGTTTTGTTCTATCGTGCCAATAACTCAAAAAAGATAAATGGTTGTAAAAAACTGTGTGAGATAACTGAAGGTTCTGATGTCCTGCCAGACATGAGACTGAGCGTTTGACATGCAGTTCTCATTGCGCAAAGCTAGCGCACTGGCAGGTTCCACACGCGTACGCAATGAACGCAGTGCAATATCGCCCTCAGTGTGTGACATGCGTTTTGATTATCTAGACACATGGCTGTCCTAGACCAATGAAATTACAATATCCAAGCACACGATATAACAAAGCTCTTTGTCAGGACCTGGGCCCAATTTCACGGCGCTGCTAAGCGCAAAAATGTGCTTAGCACAAACAAATCTGGCTTATCAAAGCAGGTTACCAGCCAAAACTCCATGTGATTTTTATGCTAAGCAAACAACAGCTAAGCAAACAACAGCTGAAGACTAATCATGAGCAATATACATGTACATCACATGGAGTTTTGGCTGGTAACCTGCTTTTATAAGCCAGATTTTTTTGTGCTAAGCAAATTTTTGTGCTTAGCAGCGCCATGAAATTAGCCCCAGGCTGCTGTTAGTCTTTTTGGCTATGCTTGGCAAAATAGTAAAAAATGGTGAATACCATGTGACAACTTTTCAAACAGTTCATATTTTGTCTGCAGGAATGCCAGGAACTGCGAAATATTTTGCTCACCTCATTATCCAATGTTTTGACAAGAAGAATGGTCGGTTCTTCGTCCTCACACCTGGGAAAATTCACAGATATAAATGGTTTACCTTTTCATTTGAAAGAATATATCGGGACGATATATTTTTGGGTAGTTCGAAAATATATTTCTTTACTCAACATGTTGAAAGAGTTACAAGGAACAGAGTTCCTAAACTAAAAGGCTATTTCTGATGAGTCTTAGGTCAGGTACCCGCCCCGGCACGTGACCACAGTGGGAAGAATGCCTCCCATTTCCGAAAATGTCAGAAGTTTGCATTTTGTCGACACTCTTGGATAGCGCCTAAGGTATTACCAGGCATAAAATAGGTCTGATTTACCCTCCATGCTTATTAAAAAATTTAAGAATGAGTTGATAATTAATATTCATTGCCTGCATTTAAAAAACCTGAAATTCAATGACGATTTTGTGCATCAAGTATGCACTCGGATTGTACGAGGGGTGAGCTTTGCTGGATCACGTCCTATTTTGAATCTGACGACGGTTACCTAGTGCCTAGGGGTATTCCAAAACTCTGATTCATCTCCATTTCGCTTCGCCATCTATTTGCGATCCTTAACTTTAAAGATTCCAGCTCAACATCAGTCATTGTTATCGTACAGAAATATCAAACCGATGAAGCAAGTGGCTTTTTAAATTTTTTTCATTTGATCGGAAGTTCGGAACATTAAAAGCTTTTAATGATAAAACCAAGCCTGAAACAAAACCGAGCTTTGAGAAAGGCGCATCATGGTTTATTTTTAGCCACGGGGATTGCCTGACCTAAAATTTGTCAGAAATAATAGTTAGAATCTTTTGGTGGGCAACCAGATTACAAGGAATACAAAGATTTTAATTTGAACTTGTGTGATCACCTATTTTTTACACAAGTAACCACAACAATGGAGTGTCATCGCCTAGCGGTTAAGAGCACCGGACTCATGTTCTGGTGTTTCAGAGGCAACAGTGGCGTGGGTTCGAGCCCTGGCCCGGACACTTGTGCTCTTAAGCAAGACACTTAACCATTATTGCTTCATCCTTCGGATGGGACGTAAAGTTGTAGGCCCCGTGTGTTGTATAATGCACGTAAAAGAACCCAGTAAACACTTATCGCTAAGAGAAGGGGTTTGCCCCGCTGTTTCTGGCCTCCTGTATAAACTCCCACGCGGAGTATTTAGGACAAGAAGCAACCAAGAACCAAGAAAAAAATTTGTAAGAACACTGACGAATGTTGAATTTCCAAATGGGGAACACACGATGTGCACAACTCATTCAATGACAGTCCGAGGGTATGTTTTTTAATTTAGTTGCCAGTACATCGGCAAGAAGGTAACTCACATGTTGTAGAAAGTGCTGAGACTGATGCCATTTTCGGCCGTGGTGAAGACGATATGAGGTTGTTTGAGCGCCATTCTGTCCGGAAGCCACCTCCAAAGAGATTGAAGCTGGAGATAAAGAATACAGACAGAATCATCTACATGCACTAAGAACGAATCAGAAGTTTCTGGTGTTAAAGGGAATATACATCATTTGCTTTTGCTGTAATTTTCAGAAATGGATGGAATTGGGGGGTTGGAAATATATAGCAAATATAGTTACACTGACTTTTTGAGGTTTTGGGTTCGAAAATGCTATAAAAACCAAGAAAAACAATCATTTTCCTGTAGTCTGGTTCCCTGACCCATTTAAGAAGAAACAGAGCAGTTGACATATATTGGAGAATTGTAAGGTCAGGGAACCAGTCTTGCTGGCTTGTACCCGTTTATAGGTGTGTAATCGATTGCAAACAAGTGCGATGGCCAATGGGGGCCAGTATTTGAAAAAAAAGCCAGTTTTTTCCAACGCTGATCGGCCGATCAGCGTTGGAAATTGATACAAAAATACCACTTTTCTTGAAAATGACAGTATACCAGGTGCCATGATTTTACAGGATGCTTTACACTGTCATTCACTAACAGTCCAGCAAGGTATTTCAAAATGATTTGGTAGTTTTATTTTTTGATGTTTGCAAATGTTGTAATTTCCCTTTAATACGCATATCATAACTGAGTTGAGAAGCTATAACTGACATCACCGGATTATGCCATCTGGAATACTGGAAATTTCAAAAAGGTATTTGGATGCAATCAATACCTTTCTGATAAATTTTTGAGTCCCTGAATTTGTTCACTTAACCATGTTAACCCCGGGCTAATTTTTGGGATTTAACAGTATGGTCATCCCCCCATCCCCACTTGCCAACACGGATTTACGCCACTGTGAATGTTTTTTTTCTCCGCTGATTTTGCTGAAGGAATAGTTTTGCTAAACAATACTTCTTTGCACAGAACTTCCTTGGAGTTAGATCCTGTACCTGCTTGGGATTGATAATGGAAGAATTAATCTCATTTAGCACCACCGCCATTCCTTTATTGGTGTTCTTGACCGGTGGCACCATGCCCGAGTCTCGGATGTTCTGCTTGAATTTGGTGTGGTACGTGTCGATGACAGTACGGGACAGCCCTCGGAACTGGAAACCCATCTGGACAAAGATTAGTTCAAAATAAAAATGATTGCTGCAAATCAAGGAAAAGATTACTAGTTATAATTGCCTGCAGTAAACACGCATGTGCATTAGATTCCCCATTTTGTTGGGGGGAAGGGAGATTTTGGGATGTGGCCTCGATGTTGTTACTGACGGTTCGTGGATGATATTGGTTGGTCGTGATAATGCCCTCTCGCAGCAACGGGCTACTGCGGCAGCGGGTTATAACAACATCTAGCTCCTTGACTACCTGACGAACAGCAGAGCATTCTGTCGATAACGTTGACTTTAGTTCGGTTCTTTTCAGAACCATAAACTTACTCTTTATCATTTCTTTAGTAGAAATAACATAGGTGGGAAACTACCCAGTGAGCACAAGAGGGTTGGCCCAGGGCTGGCCCAGGGCTGGCCCAGTCCCGGCAGAACCCGGCAGGCAGGGCTGGTCCAGGCCTGGCATGCCACAGCTGGCCCACCCCTGGCAAGCCCTGGGCCAACCCTTGCCACCCTTGGTCCGGGCCTGTTATTGCTCACCCGGGCCAGACTTGGGCCAAGGCTGGCTAGCCAGTGGCAGCCAGAACTGGCCCAGACCTGGCAACTGGTCAGCCCAAGGCTGGTGCACACCCGACTGGGCCCGACCTGGGAACAGGACTGGCTAGCCAATGGCAGCCAGAACTGGCCCAGACCTGGCAGCTGGTTGGTCCAGGGCTGGCTGTTATAACACTACACTGACAATTGGAGCAGTTGATCCTTTGAACTTACTGTCAGCAAGACGTCTGCGCTGACCGGGATGTGCTGAGCAAAGTGCCGAACGCCGGATGCGAAATCACGGGATTGTGCAGCCTTGTTACCTGACGGGGGAAAAAAAAAACAATGAAATATTTGTAGCTTCAAAGTTTGAATGTCTGAAGTTTGAACTTCCATTTTACATTTTAATGCTTAATTTTGTAACAAACTGACATGTGATTGATGATGTAACGAAAGAGAAATGTTAACTAATGTTTCACTTATTCATATTTTTGTTTCAGATCAGATTTAGCATGGCATCTGACTGACTGCACTCAAACAAGTACAAAAGATGTTGCGAGGTCATATTATTACAGAATTCATGCTTATCAATCTGTCAACATTGTTTTTTATCTGCGGGATTGCAGCCCAACAAATCATCATGTCTCCCTGAATAGTCCGTAATTAGTCTGTAGTTTGTAACAAAAGTTAACATCGTCTATTGCTCCTACCGGGTACATATTTTGACCGAATTCAATCAAACTTTGTCAAAAGTATCATTAGCCCAGCCCAAACATGTCACGTGACCAAACTGGGGTCAAAGGTCATCAGGAGGTCAATGGGGTCAAAAAGCTAAAAAAAAAAATTTTTAAACCAAAACACTACTCCTTCCCCAGAAATTGCATGGCACAATCACATGACTCGTGCATTAACACAAATTTGTGATTATAAACACATGTTATCGTGATTATAAACACACATTGGAAGGGGCGAGTGTTGTAAAGCACCTTGCTCCAAAATTTACCATAATTTTACCGTAAAAAAAAAATAGATCAGTCAAATTCTTTGTGCAACAGGTTTAAATTGTTCTGAGAAAACAGTGATATGATAAATCACTTTTCTAAAACAAAAATCATTGCTACATATAGGTCGTAATGATGTACATGTACATGTAAAAAAAAATTGTAATAATCTGGTTAATGGTAGGTAAGATCATTGCATTTTGTGCACTATTTTACTTTAAAGCAACAAAATTGCTCATAATCTTAACAACTACATTTGTACCTTGTTAATATATTAGCTCAATTTACAAAAATCTGAGAAAATGTATTGTTTTTTTGTCTTGTAAGTAAGTGGATTCTGATTCAAAACATGCTTTGACTAATTTTTAATTGCACCCCCTCATGTATATGCACATTGTAAATTCCCTAATTATGGGTACACTTTTTAAAATCACCTTCAAGGAAACTTTTCTTCCAACACCACCATTTCATAGGAAATAATTTTACAGCACATTTGGTGCCAGTTTCTTCTTTCACTTTGTGCAAGCTTTTCCTCTTAAAGTCAGTAGGTTCTGTTCCAGGTAATTACCAATATTCATCATTGCCGATAGAATTAACTCATGAAACTAAAACTAAAATGGCCGTCTGTTTCATTTCTATTTTAGTTTCGTTTAATTACGTACAACAAAACGTAAGCTTCTCTAAGCAGTGATGCAATCTTGGATGCATAAAATAACTTTCACTTCAAAATCACAACTACATTTGACTTCATTACTTTCCTAGGTTACAAAAATAAAACAAACTGAAAAAAGAGGCAAGAAAGGGGAAACTTTTGCTGTCAATTCCGGAAAGAGAATTTTGTTTTTGGTTTTGTTTCTTATTTCCATAATCTACTTTCCTGGTTATGGTACACGATGTACAAGAGTAATCCAAAGTGTACATCAAAATCCAGTCCTATGTACAAATTACCAATTAAGCTGTGAGTTCATATAGGCATGCAACTGGGAATTTAGAAAAACAAGTGGTCTACGTACTGCACGTGTTGCCCCTTTTATACTTTATGTTCTTAACCAAAGTAAAAATGTGCGTATTTTTAAACGACCTCAAACGACCCCTTGATGACCTTTGACCTCCAATTTTGGAAGACTTGTGATTAACCCCAACCAAAGGATCACTCCTTCCAAGTTACATTAAAGGGAATGTACATCATTGGCTTATGCTTTAATTTTCAGAAATGAACTATTTGAGGGGTTAATATAATATAGCAAATTATTGTTACACTGACATGTTTGAAGTTTTGTTTTCGAAAATGCTGGAAAAACTAAGAAAACCAAAAATGTTCAAGTAGTCTGGTTCCCTGACTCCACTGAAGATGAAATGGATCAATTTATAGATGCCGGAAAATTGTACGCTAAGGGAACCAGTCTATCTGACCTGCACCCATTCATGAACATAAAACCAATTAGCAAACAAAATTGGACTGAAAAAATTGTAAATTTGGAGCAGTAGTGAAAAATAGTTCGGTTTTTCCTACGGTGGTGGGCCTACCACCGTTGGAAATGTAAACAAAAATACAATTTTCTTGAAAATGACTTCACACCAGGTGCCATAATTTTACAGGATGCTTTAGACTGTCATTTACCAACATCCTGTAACGTATTTCGTAAAAACTTGGTCATTTTATTTTTCGATGTTTGCAAATGTTGTATTTTCCCTTTAAAATCCATCAAATTCTGTAGACAAAGAAAAATTTGAAGCATATTTAAAGTATATGACCTCTAATGACCCCTACATGACATCAGTAATCCAATAAAGAATTGTGTACTGTGTTTCCACACAAGGGTCATTGCATCCAAGTTTCATCAAAATCCATGAAAATCTTTCACATCTTAGATTTTGAAAGTGCTACAGGCAAAACTTCATTCAAAAATTGGTCCTGCCATTTGGGGCTTTTGTTTTTTATTACTCACCCTGTATACTCTTGTCCTTTTCAATTCCACATGATTTTCTCATTTCTTTCAAAAGGCTTTAAATTGTATAAAGCAAATATTAATTGTCAAATCAGGTTTTGTTCGTACCTTTCCTCTTCTTGTTGAAAAGCTGGAGTATTGCCAGAGAAACACGATAGAAGATCTTCAAACCTTCCATGAGATAAGCGTCAATCACCCGGACCTAACACGCACCAAAAATATGGTCATGTACAAGTTGATGAATCTGTATAAAAACTATATCTCTTGATTCTTTCATAAACAATGACAGTTGGTAGCATAGTTATTTGACATATTTTGTCTCTGAAAAATTGAAGTAATTGATAAAAATGAGTGAGGTCTCAAAAGGTCTTGAAAAGGTTTCAACTACATGTGTACAACACTGCTGTCTGACTGATCTCACCAGGTGTGTGAAGGGAAGATCCTCCAGGATCCACCAGATCCAGTCCTTGTAGACAAGCCCTGGCTCCATGCCCTGTTTAGCAATCAAAGAATGGGCCTGATTCTGGAATGACACAGACGGTGGGGGAGACAAACAAACAAACACACACGTGCAAATCAAACAAGTCGTGCAGGTGATTTCAACAACGAAAAACATAAAACAGTGACACAAACAGTGAAATACCATGAACCCGATGTCAACTAGTTCATTAAGTGCAACCAGTGCTGATTATAATGGAAACTCAAAGCTATACGAAAAGTAACTGGTGTAATTATAGTTGAAAAACATACTTGGTTGAAAGATAGTAGTGGGACTAAATTTCCTGTGAAATTATTCTTTCTGGCAAGCTGTCATTTTAAAGTGGTCAACGAAAGAAGGCCTTTCCCATCGGTGCTTTTTAAGACGCACCGTAGGAATTTCTAATTAGTAGTTTGTTTTGTTATTCGGCAAAGCGTGCGCAAGCATTGGCACGATGCACACACGCGTGCGATTGCTATAATTTGCCGGGTCAGTGCGCCACATCGCGTGGCTGCAATCAGCTCATGAATGTCTCAGACACTGAATTCAGGCCCAATTCAAAACATGATTCAGCAACTTTTGATTTGAAATTGAGATCCTAGAATGTTGTTTTTCTCGGAATATACAGCTGATGCTGAGCTGAAACTTCATCAGATTAGGTGTTCAGTACCTTTCTTTAGATTTTGAGCACTTTTATTGCTTCAAACGAACAAAATGCACAAATTACAAATGATGGACAATATCTTTAAGACTCAACTTGCTATCATCATCAGTATTAATTTTAGCATGCCATGCAAAGTGCAGTGTTCAATACAGAGGTGAAACACGACCAACAAAACACCCCAAACAATTAGTACACTGGCCACCACCATTTACATGATTTATGTTAAGTTTACATATACAGTGTATGAACTCCATGCATAAATGTGATACGTTCAAGCTACGTGAGTCATTTGTCGGGAATTTTCATTTGGAGATACAGGCCAAAATAGGACCACTTCATCACATCACTTCATCACACCTCTTGGTGTTCCGACTTCCATAATTTTTTAACTAAAGTTGGTACCAGCATGCAGTTTTCACAGCAGTAATGCTGAGATTGTGCTCTTTTCAAATCTGTAATAAAAATTGTTTTGACCGGGTGGACAAACGACTCATTTGGCTTGATCGCATCACAAATATGGCGCTTTGTTACCACTTGGTGAAACATACCACAAAACCCCAAACAATCAGTAGACAACCAAAGTGTACGAACTCCTTGCATGCATGAATGGCGCTTCATGACTGCTCAGAAAAGCTCCATGGACATGGCCCTTACAGAAATTCTGGCAAGCTTGTCACAAGCTTGCTCATGATAAGCTTGCTCATGTCAAGCTTGTGGACAAGCTTGCGGACAAGCTTGCGGACAAGCTTGCGGACAAGCTAGCGAACAAGCTTGTCTGCAAACATATACATGTTAGTGCATGTTGACAATTAACTGGCACAGGCGGAGACACATTGTGCATGCGCTTTTGATCATGCGCCCTATTCACTGGCCTGAAAAATATTGCAAAATGTAATTTGTTAGCATTTTTGTTTGATCAATTTGATCTGGCGATGCCCATGTGTACATGGTCGGTAAAGAAACTCCTTAGGTTAACATTTCCCAGACAGCTTACGGCAAATTTCTTGGCCAGTTTGGTGAAGCTGCCCCGGAAGGCTTCGTACTCCACCCAGCTCTGGTCCAGGTATTTGTACCGCTTGCTCCCCAGCAGGGCCGCGAGACAATCGAACGCCCGCTCCGCGTCCATGTAGTGCAGCAAGAGTGCGGCCACGGGATGCAGGAGAGGGCAGTAGTTGATGTCCGGTCGGGTGTGGGCCAGGACGCACAGGAGACGTCTCAGCTGGTCTTGACCGGTTGCTGTCAGACGGTAAGTGGTCAGGTGGTCCTCGTTGCCAAAGGTCTGGTAGTCAGGGTTGGCATTCTCATCTGGGGAGAAAACAATGAGGAAAACAAATTTTGAAAAATGGCAAACTCTATTATTTTTTGCCTGTTCATGTACATTACATTTGAAGCTTTAGTCAGAAGCTTTATTTTTGTTTGTTAATTTTACTTGTAGTGTCATGTCAAATAATGAGATGTTCATCATTTATCATGTTTGATGCCACATGTTCAAAACCGCCTTCTTTGTGAGGAGTGCTGTGGCCTCGTGGTTAAGGGCACTGATTCCTGGTCTGTGGGTAAAGCTGCAGGTTGTGAGTTCGAGTCCTGGCGGGGTCATGCTGCGTGTGCCCTTGGGCAAGGCACTTTGTCACTCATTGCTTCTCTCCACCCAGGAGTAAATGGGTACCTGTGAGGGCAGAGATGGTTATTGTGATTGAATTAGCTGCCTTGCGCCTAACAGGCTGCATCGAGCTGTATACTCCCCAGGGAGCTGAGATGGTATTTGGAATGTTTCATGGGCCCAATGAGCAGGGGTAATAATGACGTAACGCCGTGAGCACCAGTACCTGGTGGATATGTGCGCTTTATACATTTTGTAAATATCCACTATTATTATTATTATTATTATTATGTATACACGTACAAATATCACTATACAAGTAGTACAGACTAGTGCATATTGACAATCAACTGGCACAGAGATTTTTTTATTGACAAATGACATTAAGAATATTATAATGCCATATTGTGTCTGGGATACTGTACAATTTTGTATCAATTGACCTTCTACAAAAAAAAAAACAGCTGTAAAAATGACTACCAGTATCAATACACTGGGTTGCATGTAATAAATTTCCCATTGGATTAAATTGCCAAATTAAGGAGACTAGGGATATGAATAATTGACAATAACCGTAGCCGGTTCTGGTAGAGTGGATGTTGTATCTGCTAATTATCGATATAGTTTGCCTGAAATTTGTAATTCCCTACCTCAGGATGTTAGAAATTATGTTGATTCTTCTAGAATTGTTTTTGTTAAACATGTCAAGGAATTTTATTTGTCAAAATATGCAAATTTGTGTGTGTACGAAACCCAATTGCTATTCAGGTCTTCAATTAGCGCAGAGGCAGTAAGGAATTTAAGGTTTATAACAAATACATGAAACACCTTGGTCTATTTTTATTTTTTTTTAAATTTTGCCCATATTTTTCCTTATGTTTAAAAACCTTGCAAAGTTTGTCCATGTCCACTGTGTGTTACATGTACATGTATCTACACAATGTAGAACTTCCTATTCACACTGTCATGACTGTAAATATGTACACATACATGTACCACAAAGTGTTAAACAATGTGTGAGAATGTTCTTGGATATTAGTTTCAGTTTTGAATGTCGGTTTTTTTCCCCCTGCAAGGCGTGCTTGGTAAAGAAACATGGTAGTTACATGTACTTCAGTTTGGGTAGTCCCTCAGTCATGCCAGTGATGTATGTATTGTGAATATTCTGAATTTTCTACTTAATATTCCGGTCTGTCCTTTGTATGAGGTATGAAATAGCTATAACATTTTATGCACCGCCATCTGTTTGTAAATTAAACTCCATCATGGAAGAAGGAACAAACAATAGGGCCTACTGCTTGACCATGTTGACACATGTACATTTATCTAACAATTAAAGCTCAACAGCAATCTGTAAACAGAGAATCTGAAGCCCCCTTTCCTAAAAAAAAAGTCCCAAAACCAGAGAGATAGTCCCATACATGTACATATTTTTGACCAGTGCCATTTTAAAGGGAATGTACAACAAATTTGCTTTTGCTGCAATTTTCAGAAATGAATGGATTTGGAGGATTAGAATGTTATATAAAAAATTGTTAAACTGACTTGTTTCACCGTTTGGGCTTGTAGATGCTGGAAAAACCAAGAAAACCAACCATGTTCTTGTATTCTGGTTCCCTGACCTCACTTAAGACCAAACGGAGCAATTTATAGACTTTGAGGAATTGTAAGGTCAGAGAATCAGTCTAGCCGGCTTGTACATGTACCCCTTCACAGGTTTGGAATCAATTGCAAAGAAAATGCGGAATAACTAAATATGACAAATTAGGGGCAGTTTTCGAAAAAAAAAGACAGTTTTCTCCAACGCTGGTTGGCTGACCAGGGTTGGAAAAATACAATTTTTCTTGAAAAGGTCAGGACACCAGGAGCCACAATTGTACAGGATGCTTTAAACAGACTGTCGTTCCCTAACAATCCAGTAAGGTATTTCGTGATAATTTGATCAATTCGTTTTTGGATGTTTGCAAATGTTGTACATGTTTCTTCCCTATAAAACATGAACAGGCCAACATGGTCTTATCATAAAAATACCATTTTGTCAACAACCTGTGGCCTTGAGGCCAACTTTAGGTTCAGATTTTGTAGTCTGATGAATCAAACTTGCTTCCTATGTGAGTTTATAACTTCCTCCTGTGGTGGTCGTCAAAAGCAATTAAACAGACCAGCCGCTAGTGGGACAGGGGAAACCTAGTCAAAAAATTGTCCAAATATTACCGAGACATAAAGTAAAAGTTTGTAGACCTTAGCATGTGACAAACAGAACGTGACTCTGGCAAGTGAAAAGTCGTTGCTGGTAGCAAGTGAAACTCCGGCGTTGTTGGCAATTTAACCAAATTTCAAGGTTTCTGTGAGTACTCCTAGAAAGAAACAGACATCTCTTATTTTTTAATAATCCGGATTTACCAGATTACACGTACGATACATATCCAGATCTGTTCAATTCACTGCCAATGAAAGCTCTGGATACAAGTTATAGGCCAACACGTACATTTAAAATGAACTTTAGGAATTCAAAGCATGCATGGTTAATGTGGATGGGTCATGCTATTAAGCATCAAAAAGCGAATGAAACTGAACACTGTATGCTTGTGATGAAATTGTACTGTCTGAACTTCTATCAAAATAAGAGGTACTCACAGGTACACTCTGATAATTAAAAAAGTTATCAAAATTGTAAAGTTTCCCTTAAGCGGGATCCACAGCAATTGTTTGTAATAGCGATCGGATAAAAATTAAGCAAATTTATACAAAATTAGACCTTAAAAAAAACTTACCTGAACTTTGGCCTTCGTCCCCAAATAAAGCTTTGGCCGTTTCTTTGTACACACTGCCCGCAGCCACAACGTTCCGCATGCAGATGTGATGCCACAGTTCTTTCCGCAAAATGTGCTCCTCTGGCCACTGGCCCTTGCGCACCAATTTCTTCAGTCGGACGGGGTCCTTGGGCAATGGTGGGCTCGGTGGGGAACCGTTTTCATGGGGACCGGCTGGGTCGTACAGGTCTTTTGGGGCATCCACCCACGGCATGAGGACTGCGGTGGTTGTGACAGACATGATGCCGTGGCTTCTTGAAAGAAAGTCTCCAAATGTGTTGAGAGGGCTGACTTTTTATCTGCAATCAACAAAAATGACAATTCAATAAATCGTGTTCGTTAAGACCTTTTGCAATGGAAAACAACATGGATTTTATACAAAGCATCCTCAAAATTTCCACAGAAATTACATGGAGTCCAGACATCTTGAAGTTATACCCAACTTTGTGATGTCATTTTTAATACCAGGTACCGGCAGGCATGCTTTGAGAAACAAAATAAAGTTGCATACTACCTGTACTTTGAAATCCAAAAAAGGCACAAAATATGTTTGTCCAAAGGCCGGTGGCACATGGGCCCACGGAACCTACAGATAAACGAATGTTCTGAGCTCCAGTACAAAATGCACTGAGCGGACTTGCCTTAATTGGTTAGACGCGTGATAACGGGCATTAATACCCACTGGCTTGCAATCGCAAATTTGTCCAGGTCAGCCATTGTGTTGGTTTTTTGCATGACATTTTAAACGTAAATATTCATAAAACTGTACCTACGCAAAACTACTCCTTACCTACATAATGTATGTAGGACAAAATTCGGAAAGATTTCCATATACGAAGTTCACTCAACACCCTGTGTACAAACCCTATGAGATTGGACTGAAAAATTCTAAGTGTTTTCTAAGAAAATGCTTGTATTTTCTCACTGCTCAAATTGACTTTGATGACATGAAATTGCTATCTGGGGGCTTGTTAGTCAATACAGAGGAAAATTAGTGAACTTCGTATATGGGAAATCTTTCCAAAAATTCTTCCCAAATTGTTTTAAAAAAAAATAGTTTAGGATATAACAGATGGTATTGTGCAGTTTTTGTCGTCATGGATGAAGTGTTTACCCGGAAAATAAACGTCAAATTTCGAGAACAGTTTACCCAAATTTCGTTTTTCATTAGGCTTTCATTAAAAAGTTTTAGACAGATGTGATTCCGAACCAATGAAACAAAAGCGACATTTCATTGTTCATTTTAAAGCTTACGATATTGTGCTCGGTGTTAACATGGTTATACAGTTATCACTTATCAGATTTCAATACTAAAGACCAGAAACGTAGACTCATGAATATTCAAAAATATAATTAGCTGGCTTGACAGACTTCAACAGACTTCGACACCAGATCCTGAGGGTAAATCGGATGTTTTTGTTGGGCAATGTTGGGTTTTTGGGTCAAAGACAAAATTGTGTCAACCGACTGATGCCGTTTAGCTTGAACCTTACTAAAGTACTATCGCCAGACTATGTATGTCCGAATGTTAAAAAGGCAATAAGTTGGGTCCAAGTTACTCGGACTAGCAATGACCTATCATTATCAACCAGCATCAGCATGATCAGAAAGCGGTAACATGTCCTAAAAAATGTAAATTTAGCACTCAGTAGCAGGGAAAATATTGAAGCATTTTATGATTTAGGCCTACTGACATGACTGAGAAAACACTTAGAATTTTTCTGATGTCCACGCATGGAATTCTTTCCATCGTGTATAGCCCCACTTGTGTGGCCTCGGTATTGCTGCGCTGTACGTTAGGCCACACGTCTGGTTTCCCAACTTACTGAGGAGTTTAGTTCGAAACTGGCGCACATGGCATGCATGGACTCCAGAAAGATGTCAAATTTCTCGAAAAATTTGAGGAAAGATTACCTAATCTACCTAGCCCGACTGCGTCTGGCCGTACAGTACTATCGCAAGCTCTGTAGTACGGCCAGACGCCCGATGCTTCCAAAAAGACTGAATTTTGTTGGCCGCCGATGTAGCGATTTTGCTACATCTTTCGATCGCGATTATCTTTTCATCCAGGACACAAATTTCGAAAGTTAAGGTTCGTAGTCGTAGAGCAACTCATACCTTTTCGAAAAAACGTTCTTTGGTCTCAATATTTTCATCCATCTGGCCACAAGACGAATTTCAGTCATCAGATTCCACAAATATCGTCCCCCATGCGATCCCCCATGCGATTTCAAAATGGCGGCCGCGCTGTAATGTATGCAATATGCAGGCGCGCCCGCGCAAACTCATGAATATGCATAAACAGTCTGTGACGTATGACCTCGTGTTTTTGGACGAGCGTGCGGCCCCGTGCGGGGCCATACGTCACGAGGTCATACGTCACAGACTGTTTATGCATATTCATGAGTTTGCGCGGGCGCGCCTGCATATTGCATACATTACAGTGCGGCCGCCATTTTGAAATCGTATGGGGGATCGCATGGGGGACGATATTTGTGGAATCTGATGACTGAAATTCGTCTTGTGGCCAGATGGATGAAAATATTGAGACCAAAGAACGTTTTTTCAAAAAGGTATGAGTTGCTCTACGACTACGAACCTTAACTTTGGAAATTTGTGTCCTGGATGAAAAGATAATCGCGATCGAAAGATGTAGCAAAATCGCTACATCGGCGGCCAACAAAATTCAGTCTTTTTGGAAGCATCGGGCGTCTGGCCGTACTACAGAGCTTGCGATAGTACTGTACGGCCAGACGCAGTCGGGCTACTAATCTACCCAGAGCGGAAAAGATGAGAAATCATAGAATACAACCATAAACAGTGGTATGTAAAACAAAATGCCAAAAAAGGGTGCGCCAGTGTTTGGACTAAACTCCTCAGTAGGTTGGAAAACCAGACGTGTGGCCGAACGTACAACGCAGCAATACGGAGGCCACACAAACAAGTGGGGGCTACATCGTGTGAATTTCGCATCGTGGGCCCCTGGCCCTGTTTTGTTTTAAAGTGGATTTTGTTCCCTTTTTGAACCAGGCCCCACAATACACGATCGCCTCTTTTTCCACCAGTACCATTACGCATACAATACTAACGTTATTACTCACATGACAGGAAGAGAAAGTGGTTCAACCTTGGAACTAGCATCAAAATCCAAAACACATTGTGAGAAGGGGGCGGGTTGTCAACAAGCTAACTTCGCAATCGCAGTTTTTCGGTAATAAATAACCGCAGTATCTGGGTCCGTCTGGTCCGATTCCGTTTTTAAACACTGTGGAAAGGGAGTAACAGCAGGTACCAGATCAAAGATGAGTGCATTAAATGCACAACAGAGGGCGCTACACACAAAAACTGGTCAAGATTTCAAGATTTTGCCGCTGATTTGAAGCATGCCGTGGTGTAGTTCAGGTAATGGAGAGATGTCACGGACGCTAGCGCTACCGTTTGAGAAACAACTAAAGGGTCTAAACCAGGGAAATATCCTTCAGCGGAAAAGCAAGTCTCATTTACAAATGATAATGGTGGGATCACCCATATATTTTTTATTCGTCCGATGCAATCGAGCTTATAATATGGTCCATGCGCACCCCTATAGACCTAGCCTACACACCCACGGCCCCCCCAACCCACTGTTCAGCGTTTATTCAACCCCCCCCCCCCCCCGTCAGATGGCGTTCAGTTTCTCCTAGTGGGGGGGGGGGGGGGGGGGGGCATGAGGGCGAGCACCTTTGAGTTTCTGCCAGCCGCACATCTACGTCAATTTCTTACCTATGGCTCCAAGAATGATACTTGGTTGTGCACACCAACTTGGCCATATAATAAGGCCCAGTGAGGGCCCCGGCTTGCTGGTGTTGCTGCTGTTGGGGGCGTCACCCAGTGCACGAGGACTAGGACAGCAGACAGTCGGAGGATGCCATTAAAGACAGAGCACAACAGTATGAAAGACAGAATTGCAAGTGTGTGGTACACCTGGGGGCAAATATGTCATATATGGCCGGCCGAAAAGGCAGGGTCCGCACCATGAATTTTCCCACAGTGAGTAGAGTTGTGCGTTGGTTCTCTCCTGTGCCACGATATTTTTTTGAGGCCCTCCGGTTTTCCTTCCTCCGGAAAAATCAGGCTGATCTCAGGCTGTACTCCGTGGTATATATGGGTCGATGTGGCTGGCTGCCAGAGGCGCCTTTATTACATGCCACTGCCAGCGGCTCGATCACGCCGCGTCCTTTGCAATTCAGCTTCTCAGCTGCGAGCAAGGATGATTTAAAAGCCTCCCAAATTATTATTACAATTATTATTAGGCTAAATGATAATGATAGGGCAACACTTTTTTCCCTAGTGGGGCCACACTAAATAATAGGGCCACACATAAAACTGTCGCCCTATTCTTAAGATCCCCTAGTCTCCTGATTTACTTGGTCAAGGCCGATTTGGAGTTGTCTGCTTGAAACCTTGGGTACTGTAGTCTTTAAAACTACACGGAATTGAAGACTGCAGCATGTCTGCTGGGTGTACGTGTACGAGCAGCTTGGAAGTTGTTGCGATTATGTTTGTCATTCGGGATATTTGCCCAATGGATCGACAGTTACATTTTGCATGAAATCTCCTGTGGACGGGAATTTTGTTTCCAACTATAAACCAAGTTAACAAGGAAGCAAAATGTCAAAACATGAAATCACCGGCTATTTGAAGAAAAAAAAATAGGTAACTCCCATCCCTGCGAAAATAAATGCCTAATTCCTGGTACTCATACACTCATCAGTGCGTAGGCATTAATTATCAAATTGAGGAAGTTTGCGAGAAGAAATATGAACTGAATAAAAAGACCGATACAAATAAATTGGACTTTGAAATAATTATAGAAATACACTCATCAGTGCGTAGGCATTAATTATCAAATTGAGGAAGTTTGCGAGAAGAAATATGAACTGAATAAAAAGACTGATACAAATAAATTGGACTTTGAAATAATTATAGAAATGAGTTTAACTCAAGTCAGCGCGACCGAAAGTAATAAAAGATATTCATAAATACCTCAGACAGTTTAGCTATTCCTATTGGTCGAGAGCCCGTCACGTGGCCGGTATTAAACGGATGATAAAGACATGGCTAGCTGGTCTTAAACACTTTTCCAGTGTCACAATAAAATGTGGACTCCTAAAAATCCAGTGCCTCTTACCGTTTCATTGGTTGAACGTTCACAATCCTCACGTAGGCATGCGCAACACTACAAGCGAGTCAGAATTTTATAGTTCTAAATTCAAAACGCAACGCCCCAGGTGCGTTCTGCGTGACATCGCGCAGAACATGTTACGCGCGCGTCAATCTCCATAAAAGGGTTGTTTACATCTTACTCGTCAGCTGAACACTCCATTATTTAGCTAGAGGGATGTTTCAAAAAGCATGAAGTGAACTTGTTGAACAAAATCGGGATTTTTTGAACGAATTATTTGAAAAATTTTTTACGGATAAGGTATTTATGAATAGGAATAAATATGTGCTCGGTCGGTATTTATCACTCGTTTAATACCGCTTAGAGTCTGGGTGCTGATAATTACCCTCGCCTCCGGCTCGGGTAATCATTATCAGCACCCAAACTCTAAGCGGTATTAAACGAGTGATAAAAACCTCCGGATCGCGGAGCACACATTTATTCCCTTATTAAACCTATAATAGAAATTACGGAAGCCCGTTAATGCCAAATTTAAAAATTGAAAAATATATTTATATTTGATTATTGTGTGATTCTTGATGTATAGTAAGGCACTATCATTGTAGTTACAAATAAAATTAAAATGGACCGGCCATGAATGTCCTTTTTTTTTGGTGGGGGGTGAAACTGGCGGGAAAAAACCTTATAAAAGCTAGGAAATGTAGTACGAAATTATGATTTGTTTAAAATTAGTAGTTTAGTAGAGTATCGATCGTATAATTGATGCACACAAAAATCTAGTGAGACCTAAACACATTATACAACTTCCCCTGCATTGTTACTGTGAGATGCAACATGAAGTCACGTGATTTATATTTGCCCATTTTCTGTCTGTTGTGTTAAAATAAACAAGCTCAATGGGATCTCGGAGGCCGCGGGCCAACGAATGCGTGTTCACCTTATTTTGAACTTTGACCCATAGCTGTAGGTCAGATGAAGAGGTCACCGTAAACATTTGTTAATGTTTGACGAAGGCCAACATGTTGACAACACTTTTGTCATTAAGGTTTTTTTTTTAATTTGCCCTATTTTGACCTTTGACCTCATAACTGTAGGTCAAACGAAGAGGTCACCACGGACATTTGTTTATGTTTGACTAACATGTTGACAACTCTACTTCTGTCATATGGGCTTATTTGAGCTTATTTGAGCTCCTTTGAAATTGGACATTATTTTGACCTTGACTTCATGATAACCTTTGACCCCAGTTTGTCATGTGAACCGTTGGGGCTGGGCTACTGATACTTTTGACCAAGTTTGGCTGAAATCGATCAAAATATGTAGGAGCAATTGACAATATACACGTTTATCTTATGGACTATAACTATAACTGACTAACTGACTGTAACTAACCAACCTACGGACTAACGGAGAAACGTTTGGTACTTGTAGAGCTGCTATATCCGCATCTAAAAAAAAAAACCAGGACACACATCATTCAATACTGGGAGCTATGAAACAAAAATCAATCACTTAAAATCCGTCAGCAAATCCCCCCCCCCCGGCAAAAATGCTACAGAAGTTTCCTCTCAATGTCAGCGTTTTCTGAAGATCAGATCCATAAAAATGGGCAAGATCAAACACACTTGTTTCAGTCCCCCTCCTCTTCCAATCAAAAGCACGCCAACATGACCTGAGCACAATGGACACAAAAGGACGCAATGACGGACGGGCACATTAAGAATGATTCAACCAACAATAACTGCATTTAACTGGGGGCACTGAATACCCGGTGTGAAGTTGGTACACGGAACCATTGCATTATTTCGCAAAAGTATTGCGTCATTTCGCAAAATAACCATAATGTTTACTTTTCTGGCACGAACGGGCTTCCGTCAGAAACTGTTATACATGTTGTATATTTATTTACATTACTTCCTGAATTTGGGGACAACACTGTTTTTCTACGAACAGTGTAAACCTGCTTTGACATGTATAGCCTACAGGGCCAGGCGGGATGAGCGGGTGTTTACAGAAAAAGCAACCCGGTATGATTGAGTCATTCATTGTGTGTGTTCACAACTGCATGTGCGTTTCTCAACAAAGCTGAAAAGGGTCAGAGAAACGAAAAATCAGGCATAACATTTTTGATACGTGACTTTTTAGTCTGACTGTAGTGTTACCTGTGAACACTGTCGTATATTGAAACGTTGGTATTAGTGAGTTGTAAAGCCTTCCAGAGTGAAATTTTATAAGTTATCTTATTGTTACTGTTAGCGATTCTTCATTGTTTGCTCAATGCGGCCCGACACTTTGTGAGGAGAACTTCGTAATCGTATACGCGAACATTGGGTAACAAACTGTAGGAAATCAAGACGAGAAAAAGCTACCTGCGCGCCCCGGCAACATGGACCCAGACTCTCCGCCAAACATAATTGTTCACGACTACGGGACTTTACCGAGAATCGCTCACGAGGCAGGCCGTCCAAAGCTCCCTCCCCTCGGTGAGATTCTGAAGACGATCCCGCTGGAAGAGTTCCTACAGAAGGACAAGACCGACGCCGAACAGAACGAACAGAAAGTGCGGTGGTTCCACGGGAAGATCAACCGGGAGACGGCCGTCCGTGTCTTGCGAGAGAACGGTAACAGGCAGGGATTGTTCCTGGTCCGGGAGAGCGGCGCGGACGCCCCCGGTGAATTTGTCGTGTCGGTTCTTCACGCTGGCCAACCCTACCACTTTCAGATTCACAGCCACGGGGATATGTACTACCAGGTAAACAAAAAGCCGCCTCCTGTTATTAATGTTTGGCTTCGTAGATTATCATGATATCTGCAAAGAATAAGAAACCAGCGGTGGTTTCCTATGAACGGTCTACCAGCGATATTGTATAAGGTGACTATATGCCTTTAAGTAATGCAATTATTTCATTAAAACGGCAAAATGATTGTTGGGGTAATTGACACCTGTGCAAATTTTTATTCATTTCATTGTAGCCCCCATCCATTCCATTGTAGCCCCGCCCCTCAACGATAGGCGAGCATAAAATAGAAAACAATCAGTCGCTCGTTGTTCACCTCTTCTTTAGAGTAAAGAAAAAAGCTTTGCGATGAAGCCTTCATAATAATAATACAGGGAAATAGTATCCTCTCCGTAAAATTTGATTGTTACCTTATTAATTTGTCTCCCACTGGTGTTGTCGTTAGCTTGTGGAAGGTCCACTCTTCCATGGCTTGGTTGCCTTGATTGATTTCTACATGGATGGAGCCCACGGACTGAAATCCAAACTAGGGGCATTCTGTAAGGGAGAAGCCCCACCTGCCAAAACCAGAAAAAGCGGCTGGACCACACCTCTACACAGGTAATGAATGATCCGAAGTAAATAACAATTTTGTTTTGTTTTGAGTCATATATGTTCCTAGATTTGGTACGTCTTTAACAATGGAACAACTTACTTGTTGTCATGACAGCAACAAATTCTTTCAAACTGATTTTGTCAGGCACTCTAAACGTTCTCTTTATATTTAAAGGGGGGGGGGGAGTGGTGCCACCAACGTCAAAATAGTCCGCCCCGCCCCACCCCCCCACACCACCCCAAAAAACACTTCAAACAAATTTGGAAACAAAATGTGAGCCCCCCCCCCCAAAAAAAATCAAATCCTGGGTGCGCCACTGAAATGTCCCACGCTGCGAATTTGTCGACAATCTCTCACAATGCAGTGCGGAAAATGAACCCTCCGTGGCAAACTCTTGGAGGCGCACTACATTGTGAATCGCCCGAATTGTTTTTGCATCGAGAAATATTCCATGAGTTAAATATCCAGATAATTTTTACAAGGATATCTGTGGTAATTCCCTGATAAAAAGGGCTGTCTTGGAGGGCGACCTAGACATAGTTCATCGGATTCTGAAGAGTTCGTTGTGCTCTCCGCTGGATGCTCGCGACGCTGATGGGCGGACGGCTCTCCACTGTGCCGCCTGGCAAGGACTCGCCGAGATCGCCGAGGCGCTCATTGATGCTGGTGCCTGTGTGGATTGCAAAGATGGAGACTCTGTCACGTCGCTCTACGTAAGTGTTAATACAAAACAAAAAAATAGGTCTATCTCTGTCCACCGTAAATCTGAAGACATGACAGTAATACTAAATCCTCTTTTCTTGAGAATGACACCATACAGGCTCAACGATTTATAAGGACGTTCCGTGTTATTTTTTCTTACAACTTAATGTTTTTTTTCATAATATTTTTAACAATTTCTTTTTTTGAGTGTTTGCAAATGATTCTATGTGCCTTTGGGGACAGCATCGAACTCATGGGCGTCGCTAGAGGGCGTGTACTGTGGTGGTGCACATCACCTCCCACAGCTAGGGCCAAGTTCGCGCAAGGACTATAGTTGACCAATGGTTAACTAACGTTTGCCCGAACTCTGTCTAGTCGACGGTGGTTGACTACGCTAGTCGACTATTTGGAACCAGCCTACTGGGGTCGGTTGCTTCGCTGGTAACCAATAGCCGCGCGCATTCATAACGCTAGCAGAGAGCCAGGATCCAGAAGTTTTGCGATGACACTTTGACCGGCGTTTGACTAGAGACGTTCGCACGTTGCTACCAGTGCGCAGGCGTAAGGTACGTCACAAATCAACCACTAGTCGACTAATGGTCCTTGCCCGAACTTGGCCCTAGTTGGAGCTGACTGTTATTGCGCATGCGCGTTGGTAAGAACACACTACGGACGAACTGATTCCTCTTTCATTCCGACTCCTTGACAGTCCGCATGTCTCCATAACCAACCTCGTGTGTGTAAGCTACTCCTTTACCGAGGTGCTGACCCTACCATCCGCCAGCCCACTACCGCATTCGTACCGCTCCACGAGGCGGCCAAAAGCGGCCACACCGAGTGCGTGCAGGAGTTACTGAAGGCTGGTGCGCCCTGTCACCCTCGGAGTCTTGACAATGACACGCCGCTTGATCTGGCCAGGCGATTCAATCGCCAGAAAACTATCAAGGCTCTAGGTGAGATGACGAAATAAAGTTTTAGTTAAAACATAAACTAAGCAACAAACAAGAAAGCCAGGGAACGAGACTTGCTGGTATGGATCTGATATGGATCCGAAGCATGTAGCCGTACCTTAAGATGCTTAAATACTCTGTGAATCAGTCAGTCAGTCTGTAGGCTAGTAACTCAGTCTGTCCAGGACAGAAGGTTGGCTCCGAGGGTCCATCAAAATGGAGAAGGGAAAAAACTCAGGCCAATATTATTACTTGAATATAACGTATACTTTGGAATGGCTAAATTGGTACAACACGTACATGTCATGAACGGTGTCCTTTTCTTTGGAATATTTTCCATCACTGGCAGTTACTGTACGTTTTACTTTTACGTTGTGCTGGCAGAAAAACAACCATTTCACCCAAGTATGGGTATCTCCGAGTTGTGGTCCCTATACAGGGTGGTTAAAACAAGAGGAACTTCTGTCATCCACTACCGTGAGACTCAAACCTCCTGCACCAACTGATGCAGAATCCTCTGAGAAGAATTACAATACCAAAGTATCCCGATTCGGTGCGAGGAAGTTTTTTAAGCAGAACCTATTTTGTGAAGCACGCTTCTTTCGTGTGGGTATTATTACATAACAATCCATCTATCAATTACAATGTAAATCAAATTCCCGGGCACGGTTTGGTAATTCATCGGGACCAAAATCTCCCCACCTAGCTTCACAAAATAGGCTCTAGAAAGAACTACTTGACTGAATCGGGCGATCTTGGTTTCATTTGTCTTCTAAAAATGCATTTTCCATGCATTGGTATAATGGTTTGAGTCTCAGTGTAGTGGAAGTATGAGGTTCCGTACGGTTTTTTTTGGACCACCCGTATATTAACACATCTGTGCATTACTAAAAAAGAAAAACGTTTGTCACTAGCCAATGTGATACATCAGGCCGGCGTTTATCTCCGGTTTCAGTAGCATGAAACGACTGAGAATATTTCTACTCCCTTGGATGGGATGCCAGTCCATCGCAGGTTACTCCCCAACTAATGCCGGTACCTATTTATACTCCTGGGTGGAGAGGGGAAAGTGTGGATGAAGTGGCTTGCCCAATGGTAAAATACATCAAAGAGTTTCTCCTATGAAAAAAAAAAGTCCTCCAGCAAGAAAGGATTTTGTTAAATGGGGGAAGCCACAACCATCAAAGGATCGTGGCATATTATCCCTTTAACGGAACAGATTGGTAAATTCCTTTTTTTTTTTATCTTGCTGGATCGTACTATCCCTGTACCACCTTACAGAGAGTTACCGGCCTCCCTGTCCACCTACCATCAGAAGTTACTGGGATCACGGGAGTCTATCCCATAGCATGGCCATGGACGTCATTGATAAGCAAGGAGCTCAAGACGGACAGTTTCTAGTCCGTAGCTTCTTCTCGCTGACTATGGCAGCCAATGGCAACATTTATAACTTTGACATCAACCAAAGGGTAAGAGGAAACACAACACTGCTTATTGTCAAGTAAGCTCATCTTTTTTTTAAAGGTGCTCTGACTATTTTCTGTATTTTATCTAAAAGTAGGCTTGTACGGATCATACTGAGAACAGGTGATGCATATTTTTTCCCGGAAATATCTTTAAAATTATTAAATTTCAACTTCTGGTCCGAAATCGTACGAGGGGTACTGCTGTATACATTTGAGAAAATGACCAACTTTAGTGAAACTTTTAATGATCCAATGGTCACTGCAGCGACATTATGCTGTTACTGAATGGCTAAAATAATTAGCGAATGATGCTAGGCTAATACAACCTATCATGCCATACCATCATCACAACAATGGACTGATCCAGTAAGCACCGCCCCATGGTGTTCTGACCAATCACAGCCGTGATTTATGTCCGACGTGCGTGCACTAAAGTCCGACATGCGTGCACGCGCGTATGATGCGCGCGGAAGGAAAAGTGCAGCGTGGCATTGGAGAGGAACACTGTTAATTTGCCCACGTGCGCACTGGGCGGAGCTTACTGGATCGGTCCATCGGATCATCACAACAATCTGACATTCAGTCTGACCTTTCATTTAGTTCCTGGTGTGCTGTATATGTGATTTAGAAAACTAATTGTATCACCCAAATAGAACGGTCGCTTCTTCATCGACGACGGTCCATATTTCGACTCCATCGAGCACCTTGTCGACTACTACATGCGCTATGATGACGGCTTCCATGTGCGTCTCACACTCCCTATCAGCCCAAACACCTGCACACCAAACCATTATGAAGCACCAAGCCAATATCTCCCCATGGCACCGGTAAAGATGGAGGAGCACCCACCGGTGCCTACAAGACCCTTGCCCGGCTCATTACCGGCTTGCCAGGAAGGGTCTCGGCCCTCTAGCCCGCCACCACCCCCCACCAAGCAGTCTACATCCCGGAGACTCTCCTACGTGACGGTAAGATACTTGAATGTCGACGAAGAAGTTCCCTGTCCAGCCTCTCCATCCACGCCTAGTCTTCCGAAGGACGTGCAAGCAGAGAGCCCAGCACCTACTAGCGAGTGCCATGAGGTACGTTTCCCCATTTTCAAATCCATGTACCAGGGTTTGCTCTTCTTCGCCGTTAATTTAGCTCTAAATCAAGTGCCATCCTAAAGACCATTATTATGTTGCGGCCGTCTTGATTGTTCGTTTTGTTTCAATCGATACGTTACAGTTGGTATGTGCAGGTATCAACGTTGCTTGGGCAAATTCAAACTCATATATTATTAATTTGTGGCCAACTGGGAGACATTATTTATTATTTCTGGTAATGAAACCAAGGATTCCTCAAAGGGCTCTATGCACTTAGCTCGGCGCAAACCTGACGAAACCTGTAGAGAGGAGACAATGAGAAAAAAATACAGAAGGATATTCTTAGGAAAACCCACGGAATCGGGCATAGACTGAAAACCCCATCAGCATACTGGCCCAGGCGGGAATCGAACCCGGGTCACAGCGATGGAAGGCGAGTAAAGTACCGCTACGCCAACCTGACTAAGTATCATAACATTAGTCAGCGTCTCAACGGGGTGAGGGGTGGGGGGGGGGGAGGACGGGGTTGCAACCCACCCCTTCCCCAGATCCGCCATTGTTTTAGTGTACATGTGTTTGTTTTTAACAGCTCCATGAAGAGTTTTCTCCCATCCGAAGGATCCGCCGTTGTGGTCGGCTCTTCGCTGTCACCAAGGATGGAGAAAAACGTCGGGCCTTGCTAGCAGCTGCGCTGTGTGCTGAACAAGAAACGGGGCCAGCACCATAAACGCCAGCAAACACAACCATGGTATCCAGGGAGGTGGAGCATCAGCAGCAGGAGGATGAGTAAACAGATCAGCAGCCGTGAACTGCATGTTGCGAACCAGTAACTCCCTCTTGAAAGTTCCCTCTTGAAAGTTTCTACCTGAATCTAGGTTTAGATTTGACATGGTACTTTCCGGGTCAAATTGGCACTTCTCCGAGTCACTTTTCCAGGACATTAATCGGCAGGGGGAGGGGTAAACGGGAATAGGGCACTCGCGTGACACCATCTTCCTACTGGGGTACTGGTCAAAACTGACGATCATGGACATGCACTATTGGACAATAGGTGGCGCTAAGGTCTATATCACATTATATATTAGAATTATTTGCAATTATCAGAAAAAATACTGGTAATTGACACAAGTAAATAAATTTTTTTAAAACATTTTAGCAACGCCAGCTGCACCGGTATTTTATTCGTTGCAGTTTACACAGTTTTACAATATACATGTGCATGTTTATTGGACACCTATTTTAATTACGTGCATTTTTCAAATTTAAGATCAATAAGTCACGTATAGGCTTATATTCATTAAAAAAAATTTCTCTTAATTGATTGGTTGATACTCCACATCCAAAGAATAGCCAGGGCCCTGCCGTCCGTGAAATCTAAAATATACCATTAATCACTACTTATAAGGGTTTCACTCTCCGGGTGCCCCATAAGTCGCTATCTGCGGTGTACACTCCTACAGGTGCACAAAACACGTTTCAAGCAAAACAAGTGATCAGATACTTGCATTAATTACGCAAGTTCAAAGGGTCCAGCCAGGACCATGTGGGGAGCGTACGTATTATGATAAAGGATTCCTTAACTGCACGATACGCCCTCACTGAGGACAGGTTAATAACGCTTCTACGTGCATTAGTACAAAACAAATACCACTCATGGGATGTGACGTCACGTGCAAGGGCTTTATAGTAACCAAGAATGTGTACAAATGTATGTCCTTCGAACTTGTGTTTTCGATTAAATTAAAAGCGTCATTTAGAATTCAATTAAGAATCTAATAACTATATGCACGTATATGAGGAGATTGAAGGTGGTAGTTAATGTACTTTACTTCAGAGGGAAGATTAAGGCATTTCTATTTTCTTCGACGACTCAACTCATGTCAATAAGTACTGATTAAAAGACTGAGGAGGTCTTTATTTAAATCATGCAAGATACTATTTTGGACAGAGGCCCTTTTGTGAGATATTTTGAAGGAAAAAAAGTCAGCTATAAAAAGTAAGCATTCACAAGTACTGTTCTAATAATGACATTTACATTTATTTGTATTTACATCAATAAAAAGCTTTTAAAACTGTGCAGCCTACATTATTTACTGGTTACAGCAGTGTGCATCATGCAAAATTGAAGGAATATTTTGTAACAATAAATAGTACCTATAGTGGGCAGAATCCGCCTGTACCCTTACGTCATCGTTTTTAACAAAAAAAATCACAGTCCGTACATTTATACACTAGTTTTCTGTGGTTACCTGAAGCTATATATGTTGGCAGATATACATGGGACTTTAATTAATTAACATAAAGAACAGGACCCCGAATTTACGGCTATGCTTCCATTAGGCCAAAAAAAAAAGTTTCCGGTTTCTGGTATGGAGCTTGCCCCAAAAGTGGTGCGGCGACGCGGCTTTTTTTTTTTTTTTTTTTTACCTGTTTTTTTTTTTTTTGGGGGGGGGGGGCTTCAAATGTCGGCTGATGACTGCAAATGGTGCCCGACTAAACTTAGTGCAAATATATGGGAGTCCAGAGAGGCCACATAAAGCTTTTTCTCGATCATAACCCCATCTAAAAACACGTTAAAATTGTGCAGCAGCAGGATTCCAGTCAAACCAGTGAGTTTGGCGGTTTTGAGACATCATCTTGTATTGAAAAAAAAACTGTTTCATTTTGCCGACGCGCATGGCTGCGGCGACGCGCGCGCATACCAGAAACCGGAGACTTTTTTTTTGGCCTTAGCGACAAATCTCCGCTTACTGGGGCAGAACATGCCCTGCTTTATGATTAGCTGTTTCATGGGTAAGCGAGGAATTGAGGCTTCTGCCCATGCCTAGACCTACATACGGATTATGTACATGTACTTACATGATAAGCATAACGCTTTTGCTACCGCGGTTAGCACAGAATGGTGATCGTAAGCGCGGAATTCTGTGTTAAGCAGAGCCATGAAATTGGGTCCAGATCTTTTGCGGTTAGAGCGCATGGTACAGCGGCAAACAACAAGGCGGCGCCCGTGGGTTTAGGACTACACGCTCAACTTTGAGTGGGTCTGGGGTATTGTTACATTCGGTCCTCCTGCTTGCCGCCCTCGCTACTAGCCGTGGTCATTATGGTCTTCTTGGAACCAGACTGAGACTGCGTGTGCTCGGATGACGATGTCCCCAGGCTGGAGACCTTGTTAGCTCGCCGTCGCTTCATTGCCTTCTGGACCTGGCACAAGATCAAGAAATGAAACTGTTGAACACAGAAAATGCTATAATCAAGTCTAGTCTGTGCAAAATAATATGGCTTGTTAGTTTCTAAGATGACTTGTGCTTATAGCAATAGCTACTGCATCTAGTCTAAGCAAACTGCTTATTAACAGGTGAATCCCATGTACTTTTTGTTAACCATAATTCGACAGTTTTTCATGGAATGCGTGCTTATTGGAACTGCAAGATATAGTAGAATCTGCTTACCTCTATATTCAACACTCCGTGGCAAATGAATACGAATATGCCCTGCAATTAAACGAAAGAATTCAAGCTGGTGTTACAGCAAAAAAAATGACGCAGCAGTAAACACATCATGCATTTCAAAGGGCGGGGTAATAAACTTTAGATTGAAATCAAAACTAGACAGAAAATTCACGTGATGCGTTCCACGCATGCGGGTCAAGGTAAATGACTTAACTATCATGCAGAAGAAGAAAATCGTCGTGTCTGCGTTTTTGACCAGCACTTACCTGAGAGGAGTTCAAGATGACAAAGAGGTACTTAAACACCAGCGATGTTTCAGCGAGAAGACCAAAGATCCAAGACAGGCCCAAGATTGGGACCAAGACGACTACGGCACGGAAACTAGCCCTGAGGCAGGGGGTATAATTATTTCACCAAGTAGTCAACAAAAGGTTATTTGACGACAATTTTATATTTGTTGTTTGTTTTTAAGGAAACAGTGAGGAGGTAACAATATATGTTTTTTTGGCTCGATCTACATTCATATTGGCAAAGAAATCAAAAATTAAAAAAAACCAACAACTTTTTTTTGGTTTTATTAAAAGTTTAATTTATGGCAGAATTTGACTTGAAATCATTAAGAAAGTAAATCAATCATTTTCAAAATGTTAAACCTAAATCAACTACATGTAATATGAATTCCTGTCAAAAATTTGGAAACTATGGATGTACTGTTATTTCTATGAGGATTCAAAAAATGTTGTACTGATTTAAATTTTAAAAAAATATCATTTTTTTCATTGAGCAGAGTAAAGTGGAGAAGTCTGACAACGGAAGGAGTTTTGGAACACTTGAGGGCGGGAGACACAAAGCAAGTGTAACGCCACCAAAGACTTCAAAAATCCCTCATACTATGATTATAAAAATACATTTATTTATCAATGATAATAAATGAACATGAAGTCCATTGACTGATCGACAGGATATCTTTACCTGATTCTGTCGGCGTTGTCTTTGTCCTTGTTCATCTTCAATGACAGGAATGTCTTCATGACAACAATCATCACGATAACGTTCACCTGTGGTTTCGAAGCCATTGTAATGTCATGTTATGTTGTGAATACATTCGACAATGTATGAACAGTGAGTTTATTCATTACATCCTCTGTTCAATGTAAGTGTATCGGCCTAACCTCACAGATCACATAACGTGCCTAAAGACATCACTTCAAGTTTTCGGGCTGTGAATTAGCAAAAGTTGAATACATTCCAACTCCGTCAAAATTGCTTCGTATTCGCATTCCCTTGAAGCAGTATATGTACAGGCCTTAAGTGTCCGATTCGAAACCTCAATCAAGCGATAATTGATAGTAAAATGGAGCATGGGCTTTAGAATCAGAATCATTTGTTAGACTCTTATTCGATACGGGCAAAGAAGATACATGTTGATCGTGAATGGTCAAACATTCTGTTAAAATGTTGGGCTTGTTCAACTCCACAGTGAAATCATGTAATCCTTCTTGCAGTCCATTTTTTTTCCAAGCTTAAAGTTTATTTTACGGCACAAAGTAAGGTTCACTTACCAGAATAACAACAATGACTAGCGTTAGGAATGCCCAGATCTGACCACGATGAGCAGACAACCAGCAGAGTCTGCCATTCCAAAAACAAACAAAAAACTAGACTTAACGGAGACACTTTTAAAGATGTCGTCAAACAATACTGTTTGCCAACAAATTGTTAATGACGGGTTTCAACGAGTTTAACATAAATCATTTCTGCTTGCATCTTATTGTTTTTGGTAGGCATAACTGTGTGGGATAAAAACAATACATTTCAATTAAACTGTATAAAAAATGTGATTATACTTCCGATTCCATTTTCACTGTCAGTAAATTCCAGTAGCTTAGCTGGCACATGATGACAATTGCCAGTTTCCAAATACAATTCTTAAATTTCTGTTCCCTTCTAACTGCACTCAGTTTTCTTGGATCAACCAAGAAATTGAGATTTAACTATTTTTTTTCTTTGTAGTTATATGGGATCTTGCAAATACAATTCGATTGGTTTCTACTTTGGTTTTTCCTTTGCTCCCGAAATCTAATCTACCAGTCAATCCGGTCAGAAAGCAGTTTGCAGCCTTCATTTTCATGTTTCTATACCAGTGATTTTACTTAGTTCTCCCAACAAATTAACGCACCCTGTCTGAACCTCTTTGATCGTATACTTTGTTCAAGCACTGAATTCGGTTGACCCATATAAATCAAACGCGGTAATAAAAAAACACATACATACCCATGTATTCCATATTGATGATAACCAACAGAGAATGATATTAATGTGAGAAGAAATGGGCCACCTACAGGAAAGTGGAAACAATAGAAACGCACTAATAATTAAGTCTTACCAACAAATTGTGTACTTACTCTATGTATGTCTTCTTTGTTTTAGAAAACAAATACACAATAAATTAATAAAACTACTCCCCTCAACGAACTTACCCCATCCAACCAGCATCAAGTAGAGCATCTTAGGTGGTTGCCTGGATACCATCGTGGCCCTCTGGAACAGAAGCCCGCCCTCAATCAGCATCCAGCTGAAAGCCGCGCTGAAAAACAGCTGCAGCAGGACCGTGATGATCCGGCAGACAACCTGATAATTTTAAGAAGATATGCTTTATTTCAAAAAAGAAAAAAAAAACCCGACAGGATTGTCGCTACGTGATCTGATGTGGACATAATTGTGCCACACCTGCGCCGTAGTGTACGTGAATCCTATTAAGGTAAGTAACAATAGGATTAGCCATTTTTTTCCTAGATGGAACTTGCCCGTAATTTATCGTAAAGGGAAGAAGGAAAATTTGGGTTAAACTAACCAGATTCTCAGTGGCATTGATCCCGGTAAGAAACAGGAGCTGCGCCACGAGTAGAGCTGCAGTCAGATTGGCGTGGACCTTGACCTGAAGAAACTTAAACAGTCTGTCCGAGATAATTGGGAAAAAAAGTCTGAGTTTATCTGTCATTTTCTCATGCTAAAAGTTGGTACATATAATACAGAGTGTTCCAAAAAAAGTGCTACATTCAGAAAACAAATAATTTAAACTGTTTTATGTTTTTTCTCCAATGAAATTATATATTACATTAAAGCCTGACTATTTCTCAATCCACTCCTTTTTACCTCATTTCATTTGGGTCCCTAGATCCAGAAATGTTATCAATTATCTGAAAGGGTGTCAATTTTTACTTGGGCCACTATGACCTGGACATGCTGAATCTGGGGAATTGATACAAAAATACCACTCTTCTTGAAAATGTCAGCATACCAGAGGCAATGATTTTACAGGATGCTTCAGACCGTCATTCACGAATTACAGTCTAGTAAGGTATTTATTAATAATTTCAATTGGCAGTTTGTTTTTTGATGTTTACAAAAATCACAAAGTCACCTGAGGTAAGCGTAGAGTATCAATGTCAGTGCGAGGCAGATTACAGAAAGAGTTCCCAAGACGATGCTGAGCACTTCCAAGGCGTGCTCATTGCCCGAGTTCTGGCCATGAGAGGAAAATACAAAATCCGGTTAAAAAGGTCATACAAGTATTGGTATAAACTAGGCAACAAAAATAGACACAACTCAGTTGCGTATCTATTTTATGTATGTATAGTTTTTAATGGGGTGTAACCCTCCCTTGGGCACAAAAGAGAAATCATGCAGGAAAAAGTGCACATTTCGCCACCCTTCGGCAGACAACCCATGACCATGACCAGAAAAGCGTTGATCTGAAATAAACCATGTTTGTTCAATTATATCGCATGCATATACTTGCCCTTATTTTGTAATGTCAGTTACGGTGAAGAAAAATATGCGGTTTCCATAACGCACGGTTACGATAATGGGATCGAGCACGCACAATGCCGCGTTCGTGCGCAAAATGACTGTCGTACGGGCTGTTATCCGTGCTACAGTCGTATGCGCATTTGTTGAACGTATAGTCATTCCTCACCTGTGTTGTCTCAATGGGACGCTCAGTGACTCGCAGCAGTACGGCAAAGCTGGTATTGTGGCCACAGAAACAATTCGTCTTCGTGGCTGCGGCAGCGTTACCAGCATCCACAGTACGACATCCCTTTGTTGACCATTTCCTACGAAAAGAATAGGCATCTTGTAGTTAAAATCAAGTCAATAGTTTTCACCAAGTACGATGTACATAGATCCATTACTTTTTAATGTGGTAGTGAATCAGGATAAGCAATCAGCAAGTTTGGTATTCCAAATGCGCATGTGCTCATCAAGATTTGCCGATTTTTCTTTCGGGATAAACATTTCATCGTATGCGTGCAACGTATGCAAGCGCATAGCGGGATACCAGCAAAATTGAAGAGGTATCAAATTAACATTTAAAAGACCGATCTATTAAATTAAAGCCCCGCCCCATGTTATTTTGACCAATCACAGCTGTGATTTTAATCAGTCCGACATGCGTATGAAGCGCGCTGCTTGAACATGCAATGTCACATTAAAGAGGCGCATGTGCTATTAACCACATGCACAGTGGGCGGAGCCTAATGGGTTTTTCTCAAATAAATGTAATGACCAGAAAAAATACACTTATAATAAATGACAGCTTACTTAAGTGTTGTATTCCAGAAGCTACAATGGCGTGTCACAATCTTATCTTCAAATCCAACCACAGTATCCTGCAGGGAATGATAGCATTTCAACTTATTAATGAGTTTTTTATCGAGGCTAAAAAAATAAGCCTGCATTTTCTGCATAAATAAACATTAAAATCAATATTATCTAGCAGCCATAGTGCCCAACAAAAGGCACATTATTCAATCCCTCAGACACCATTGTTGCATATTTGATGATCAAAATATAAAAACAATCAATAACAAAATCATCAATTCGCCAAGGTGGTTAAGAGTTAAAATGGTTGATAATGGTCCGGACAGTTGTGGAAAATGGATCCTTTAGCCTTGCTGGCAGGTTATTCCAGGCTTGGGCACCCCGATATTGGAAAGTTTTGCCGCCAGATTTGGTTTTGTGATGTGGCAGAAGAACATTCCCCATTATAGGGCGTGCCAAGCCTCTGTTGTTACCACGTGGATCCGAAGACCTGAGAGTATTGATTTACCATTTTCTGTTGCAGAGAGAACTCTAATCCTACGTCCAGCGACTGGCCACCGGACAGCACGCTACATGACAAGATACCACTGTTGACTTTGGAAACAACATCGGACCCGGAGCTGAAAAGGATAAGAAAACGTCATGTTAACTAGAAGATAGCGACCCAAGTGAAGACTACAGATAATCAGCGTCATTCACAAGTAATAGTGGGACAGATAGAGGAAACCTTTTCGTGGGAATTGTGCCTTTGATGATACAAGCATGGTATTTTGCATACAGTCAGAGTATGTCTTAAGAAAGATATTTAGCAATAGGGCCATCGCAGGTTAGTCCTTTAAAAAAAATGGGTAGAATAACAAGCAATAATTGTCAACATTTTCGAAATGGCTGCCATTGCTTGATTATTATTATTATTATTTTTCAATTAGCATGAATCCAGCAATGGAGCGACAAGTTGTGCGGGACTTCCCCTACATTAGGGCGACACACCGCAATAGGGCGACAATTTTGGTGTCGCCCTATTGAGGTCACTACCCTTTATGCTTTCGATGCTTTTTCCTGCATTATAATGCAAATTGTGAAAAAAAAATTAGGAACTTTAGCTTTCCATTTCCAATTTTGGCCTCATTTGACATTAGTATAATAACGGTAGTCAGCAGCTTGGGGGGGGGGGGGGGGGGGGGTTGCAAGCCCCCAACCACCCTGTAGATCCGTTGCTGTAACTGAGTCTCCCTGCTTTGTCGTTTTACCACGGCTTACCCTGTGCTGGCCTCCACTCCAGCCGTCCCCTCCTCCGTCCCATTCGCAAGCCCCTGATACACAACCAACACCTTCACTGGCCCTTGAAACATAATAGGAATTGAAGTCAATCCATAAAAGAAATACAAGACCCCGCTGTTCAGCCTTGAGCTTTGCTAGATTAAAATCGCCCACGCGCTTAACTCGCGGGTGTTGTAGTCGCAAAAACGCGACAGGCAATTTCGCAAATTCGTGTCCCCCATATTCGCCAAAGCAATTGCAATATTCTAGGTCTATTAAGGCAGCAATCTAGGTCAAATTAATTACACGCTCTGATGTTGAAGGCGGCCAATGAAAGGAACCTTGTGTCCTTCCGTGCGGTAAATTGTAATTTCCTGTTGCTCAGTTTTATGGGAATAATTCGTCTTGCTTTATCTGTAGGCCTACACAGTTTGCAGTTTGCAAACTGTTTTATTTTAACAGTCATTACAAATTGATACAGATAAAACGCTTATAGATTGAAACATTAAATTGTACAAATGTACTTCTGAGTAACACAAACATGTTAATTAAGATGGGTTACATACAATGAAGTGACTTTCTGATTTTCTGAAAAAAAGTAGCCAAACAATGTCAGTATTGTTCCTACTTTCATCCATTTGTTTATTTATTTGCAAAGTGGAGGTTATGTCCACCATGAGTTTTCCTAGTATATAAATAAACGAGGGGGCTTTCAGTGTTCGGATTTTGCTATTCATTATAAGTATTATTATTATTTTACAGCTATAATAGGGCGACAGATTTTGCTAACTCCGTCCACAATAGGGCGACACGTCACCTTATTAAGGCGACATAAAACTGTCGCCCCTTTGTAAAAACGACCCTTAGGACAATGAATTTTGTTGTCACAAACCATCTAGATCGATTCCTCGTGGTCCAATTAGTAAAAGTACCGAATTTTGTGGAAAATGATAAGGTAAAGTTGGGTTTTTATTTATTCGGCCAACAAAATTAATGAAACAAGTACAATGAAAAAGCAAATGTATAACATAAAGTGAAAAAGTATGACTAGGCAAGACTGATGGGACTGAAGGATGCGAGAAGGAATGGGTCGGGGAGGGGGAAGGGGGAATATGGGAGGGGGAGGGAGGGTGCCTGGACAGTTTGACAGGGGAGAGGAGATAGAGGGACAGAGTACAAGGACAATAAAACATTCCAAACCGGCCAGGGTAAGCAAAGTGTACTTAAACACTGTCTACCCAAAGGCCTGCCTACCCATTAGACAGACACCCTGTAGTATAAAGGAAAAAACGTATCGATTTGTGTTGATCTTAGCCGTTCATTGTTTCTCTACTTATTTTTGGTTAAGCATGAATAGTCCACGCAACCACGCGTGTTCTTCTTTAATGCGATATCAAAAACATTGCTCAGCTTGTTTGCGTAACCTTTTCGTTTTTGCTTCGAAACGGATCATGTTAATGGAGACCCACATCAGAATCACGCTTGATTAAAGGCCTAAGGCCGAGTAGCACAAGCACAGTATGTGCCATCGCGCTTTGAACTACCGATAAATGAATCACTCTGTATCCACGGGGAATCAAAATAGCACTTCGCATACTTCACCTGTGCCGAATCCGGTACGAGAACTCACTTTCCGCTGTGCTGCCTACGTAAATAAAGCATGCATGGCTTATCTCAAACATTTAAGTGCCAGCATTAAATGGTGTTACTTTTACGTCTTTTCGCTGATTGCTTAGGCTTCGACCAAGGTCTGTTATTACTGAGAAACCCTCCCACTTAGTAAACGCGGCGTGAATGTACCGAAGTGGCAAGACTTTTTTTGTGGCTAAGATCACATAGGCCTAGTAAACCGGCGAATCCAGACGTACGATCCGAATTCGACAAGGGGGCGGCAGCTTGGTGTGTAGGCCTATACCAACCCAAGGTGAAGTGATTCGTCCATCTTTGTGACCTTCTTGGGGAAATGTGAAGTGATTCGTCCATCTTTGCGACCTTCTTGGGGAAATTTTCCGCGAATACTATCAGAGCCCGAAGAAATGCAACTCTTAGCTGCGACAATATCGGCCATCTGCTTTATTTTTCAACAGCTACGTTACAAGGGGACCCCCCCCCATGTCCTCCCTCGGTTGCCCCCAGTTTAAAATATCGAATTGAGAAAGAAAGACATTTGTAATTTGCGTTCAGAGCCCCTTGCATAATGTATGCACACCAGGTGCCCCCCCCCCTCCCCCCCAGACGTTTAACCCTAGTTACGCCCGAAGCGCCACCATGTTCTCAATACGTTGGGTACCCTGTTCAGAAAGTCTGGCACAATGACACATTTCGTTCAGTAACTTCTTGGAAGGACGCTTTGTCATCGATCAAGTGAGACGATTTATCCCCGGTCTCTCGTGGCAGAAAGAGTGATTCAAAAAGGTACAGTCCAAATTTGTTATGGGAAGAGGATTGTCAGCACAAGCATGAACAAGCCCAGTAAATGCTTAAATGTTACACGGTGCTTCAATCTGTAAAATGAACCAAGCAACCTGTCATACTTCAATTTAACAAAGTAACACAGCCTTTCATTCTAATTGGACCTTGGGCTCCAACTAGATGAATGTCAGCTTTTCATGATTAATGCCTTCCGTGCCTCTTACCATTTTCCAAATTATGTGAAAGCTTTTAGCGAGGTACGGCCCTGATTGCTTTTAAGTACCATCCCATGAGAATGATGGCAGAGTATTGCGAATGGCTGCATGGATGATTGATATTCAGCTTAATTTATTTTGAAGGTTGTCTACGACAATCTACTTCATCGTCTATACTCGACCCAATTTTTAAAAGAAATATCAATAACACAATCTTACAATGGGACAATTAAGACGATTAAGCTAAGAGCAATACCGACTTCCTTTCCTGTAAAAAATTAATGTCATGGGTACTCTTGGATTTTATGAAGGTTTGAAGATGAAAAAAAAAACCGCCGCGTGGTGTAAAAGAAAAACTGTTTTTATTGTAAACTAATGCTAAAAACTATCGCTGTCAACAGTAACAATACCTGCCTCAAAGGTAAATTTGTAAACATAACTGCCTTTTTCGAGAATTTCGTCATCTTAAAGCCACGTGGGATCTTTAGCAGTTACCCGGAAAAATGCCTACCGATAAAAGGACAGAAACTTCAAACTATATACCTGCGTACGTATCGTAAAAGTAGTGTTAGAGGGCGCTAAACGACCATGTATAATGGATGTAGTTTGGGAAAAGAAAATTCGCGCCCGGGCCGGCTTGCGAGTTTGAATTTGATTGAGCAGTGGTATTATACCGCAAAAGAATGATCGTTTACCTTCGACATGACCAAACGATCCGGTGGAAATGGCCAGTGTGACTTCTTCCTCTCCAGGAGCAGTGTCCTTGCTCTCCTGGCCATCAACTTTGGGTGAGTCAGATCCTGCTGCGCTGAAGACGTAGCCCTGCAGGGACTCCGCGGATGAAAAAGATGTCACCTCCACCTCTGAAACATCCAATCAAAGATTCCCATTATTAAAAACAGGAGCAAGGCCATTGGCTTGGGTGTACGGCAACATTGCCATTTGTATAAATTCGACACATATTATCACACTGGTAAGTCATCCAAGTCAAGTGTCAAGTCAAGTATTAACAGCACCGAAGGTCAATATTTGGCATTAGTGTTCCCCTGTAACTTGTGGCCGGATGGGAACCTGACTTGTGGCTTTTTACCCACACTGAAAAAAATTTACCAAAGAAAGGGTGAAAACTGGAACTACTCAAACTTGGGTTGTTCTATAACCAATTGTTTGGGTTCTAATTCATGTTAAATTCAACCAAAAGTTGTAGTCATACAAGACCAAATTAAATTTGGTCTTGAATGACCACAAGTTTTGGTTGAATTTAGCAGAACTTCTAACCCAAACAATTGGTTATAGAACAACCCAAGTTGGGGTAGTTCCAGTTTTCACCCTTTCTTTGGTAAAATTGACCCAGGCAATTTTTCAGTGCAGTAATTAGCTGGATTTCAAATATATTTCGAGCTAAGTTCGAGATGCGAATTACCCAAATGTGTTTGATTTTCCTCCCACAAAGTTTGTGAATGTCACTAGGCCTATAGCACAATCTTTCACTCTTCCTCCACAGGTCATGTCCATAGTATCAGCGGTGTCACTAGTGTGCATCAAGACTATCAAATTAATACATTTTGTAGAAAATAAATGCCCAAATCAATATTAAATTCGAGTGCATCATTGTTATGGACATTATATAGGAAAGAATAATGTGTTCATAAAATAATAAGAAGCTTATTGCCATGTGAAAAATCCACTTTTTATTACCAAGCTGATTGTTACAAGGTAAAAGTAACCCTTGAACGTCGTCTTTTTACACGAAAACAGAAGATTTCACATACAATTTTAGTGATATTTATTTAACGAAGCACGCACACCGGCCGCTACAGATCAATGATACCCAGTTCATCCGGCAATTAGACTTATCTCAAGACAACCTCAGCACCCTACTGATCCATTTGGACACTCACTTGTATCATCGAGACTCAGCTGCAGTTTTTCACCGTCACGCAGACCGAGAGCGACCTGCGACAAGGAGGACTCAACCAGAGACACCACCGACATCTTGGTCGACACATCCTACGGGATTGGATGAAGGAGACACCAAAAGAACAACGTGCCTAAACTCACAGCATACACTCCAAAAAAGAAGAAACCCTGATCAGATATGAGGCTAAATCTGGGGTTTATTTGGTTTGTACTTTTCAGGGTCAACAAATGACACTTTTGGTAAATTGTTCAAGGTAAATTGACCCGGAAAAAGATCCATTGTCACTTTCACCTGGAAAAGTGTCATTTTTTTCTGACCCGGGTTCCGGATCAATCTGACCAGTGACTTTTAGGGTATTAAGTAGTAATTTAGAATTTCCACAAATTGTGTAAAAGTATTTTGGGCATGCTGTAATTTCTTGATAATCTCTTCCTTTGATAGGGACGGTTATCTTTTCCTCTTCTAGATTCTCTGTGCACCAATATACAGGTTAGTGCAAAAAGAAGGAAACCCACTTTTGACAGGAATTTTAACCTACTTACCTAACTTTTTTGAACTTTTTTTTATAATGTAGTGAAGTACAGCTCTTCAACCATACATGGTGAAAAAAACTTTTGAAAAAATCGCAAGGATAGTGTTATTATGCTAATTTGAATACAAGTCACCAAAATCACTTCTGTCCACGAATAAGTCTAATGTAGTGTTTTTTGTTTTGTTTTTTGGTCTCCAAATCAAGCTCCGGAGCTCGATCAGTCAAGCGAATGGAATAAAGCCGTCTGTGGACAAAAAGGTTTGGCACATGAACTTTTTAAACTACTATATAATCACAGACAAAACAAGCATTTGCAATATTTTTTCGTCGCTTAGGCTTAAAAGATTGATATTTAAATACCTTTACTTTAAATTTTTGAAAAACGCTCAACAAGTATAGGTGCAAATTGCTGTCAAAAGTGGATTTCTTTTGCACCACCCTGTATACGTTTGTACCCGCAGTGTCTGAGCAATATTTCCTTGCTACTTAATGAAGAAGCTAAGCGATCACTCATTACTGTCCAGATCAATTTCAATCTGGGGAAATATTGCTTCCTCGTGGGTTGATTTGTCCTGTCAATTTGCACGTAAGCCGCTTCTATAGATAACTATGATGTCGTCTATCTGGAACAGATCACGATCAACGTTCCACGGACATCCGAACGGTTTGTTATTGAAATGCGATATACATGTATACGCAGCACTATGATTGATGATAAATAAATGCCTGGCGTGTCTCTTTAAATCAGAGGCGTGCGGTTGTCCTGGAGTGGTTGGTTTTATTTCCCGCACCAATATGCCCGTCGCCCGCTGCAAGATAAAACTGGCCTGTAAGCTTACCACGCTGTCTTGAACCGAAAGAAATGCTGATGTCTTCCCCAGAATGTTCTAGCAAAAGAAGAGCATAATATTTCAGATGTTGAGCCACATGTGGGCTTACATTGAATACTGTTCCGTTTCCTTACCCTAAATACTTGTATCTTCTACATACACTCAACCAAAAAAGAAAGTCCCCCCTTCCAATACTTTTTTGTCTAACTCAAAAACTACCGGGCACATCTTACTCAAATTACAACTGATCAGTACAGACATTCCTTAGCAATTCAGCCATACTCTTTATTTGGCCCAAAACAGTAAAAATGTGTACGAATTTATGCAATTTATGACAAATGATACCGATGTACGTGATATACGTGCATGTTGCGGTTCACACTCACCTTGCATTTGTACAAAAGTGCAACTTTTTTTCGGTACCACTTGTCAGAAATTGCATCATTTTGTACACATAATCACTGTTTTCGGCCAAACAAAGAGTATGTCTGGATTGCTAAGGAATGTCTGCACTGATCAGTCGTAATTTGAGCAAGATGTGTTCAGAATTTTTTTGAGTTAGACAAAATAGTATTGAGGGGGACTGTTTTTTTGGTTGAGTCTATTATCCTTGCACCTACTTCTCACTTAAAAAACCTAACAACTAAAGAACGTCCTGCATTCCGAAGCTGTTAAAAGCAAAGAGTGTCTTGGTTTATGGAGATATAGAGAGGGGTGAACGTTTTTGTGTTTGTGACATTAGTGTTACGCAATCCTTGCTTTCTAATTTGCGATCAAAAAGATCACAATTTTTACATTTCAATTGTGTTTCAAATGTGTTTTTCTGTGGCTGATGGATTTGGCCGAGTCTGTTTGAAATACAAAATAACAATCATGTTAATATGCCTTAACATAAACTGACTAAACGTACAAGTCTCGCTATTTGTCAATCTAAATCACGATTTAAAACTTCTGCTGGAACAGCGATCACCATAATTAACTCAAACGTATATACCCACCTTTGTAGCATTGATGAGGGTATCGGTAGACGTGTTTCCAGCAGAAATCGCAAGCGCTTTCAGTTGCTTCTGGAGCGAATCTCCTATTTCGTTGACGAGGTTTGCCTTCGTAGTCTCCTGCTCGGGCTGCACTGTGTTTACGTTCAGTGTTGTTCCTGCCAAGATATGGTTTACATTGTATTTGATAAGAAGAGATGTCAGAAAGGATGACTTTGTCAACACTTATCAATGTGCTCCTTCATCAGAATCAAACTTTGAAGGTTTTCCCGAATGTCAAAATCAAGGAGGGCTATCTTATTTTTACATCTTATTGATTGGCACCCGTTGGCGACAAACACAATATTGTTCAATACACCGCGTTTACATTCTCCGCCGAACCGGACAAACAATCAAAATGTTATACGTGAACCGTATGATATCTTTTTGAATGAAAGGAAAGTTGAATATACCATAACTTTTATTCAACTTTCATACCTGACGTCATGATGAGACCATCAGCAGTTGATCTTGGTGCGGTGGCCATGGGGTCTTCTGTGGAGGTGCGTCTGGGGGTAGTCTCGTCACCAGCCGTTGTCTTGTCGCTTTCGGTTATGGCCTCCTCGTTTGTGACATATACGATGGTAGAAGGTGACTCTGTAAATAATAGGCAGAGATTGCCACAATTCAGCGGTGTTTTCACACGGTCAAAAGACTCATAGCTCGGATACTTCAGCCGCTAATAATACCCTTTAGATTATCTCGCAAACTATACATGCCGTTCTCCGTTTTATTTTGGTACCGCGAAGAAGCGTATACATTACTTCAAAACATTTCAATTCGGTGCGATCATGTCTCAATGGAGTTCTCTTAACTTATCTTGTCCAAAAACTATTAATTCAATTGCCACACCCAAAAGGCACGGACATTGGCCTACGAGTTATGATTGTAATGGAGAAGTCCGTGAATAATTCTATACCGACTTTATTAGTATCTTAAATCGTTTTTTTTGTATATAAAAAAATGTAATGTGATCATGACAATTCACCTGTTCTATGATCTAATTTGAGTTTTAGATTTATAAATTAGGCAAAGACTTTAGTATTGTCACTGCAGTAACCGATATTAAAGTATATCTAATATCGTAGTAGGCCCACGTCCAATGAAAATCAGACAGCCATGAATGTAGTAGGAAGACATCGGAAGGTTTTCTGTATTTACCATATAAAGAATCATATATAGCTTTACGACCCTTTGTTTTACTTTTTTTTTCGATAGAGCATTTAATATGTAGTGCCTTCCTTGTCTTCAAAGTGTTTGTATCTTGGTCTAAATGGATGCGATTTACTGTGATTGTGTTCCTTCATCTGCTCGTAGTGTGCAGTAGTGTGAATGTCATACGGGACACAGTCTCCTGCAACATTCTCACCTGACGTGGTCGAGGGATCTTCAGTGGTAGAGCTCCGTTCAGGGGTGGTTTGGGCGTCTGTGGATGTACCGGCAGTCAATCCCTCGACTGTCGTTTCAGGACCAGCAGTACTGGTTTCAACCAGGTCAGTAGTACCGGGGGCTTCAGTGGAGGTCCGTATGGTGCTAGTAGCATCACCAGTCGTTGTCTTGTCACGTTCCGTGGTCGCCTCCTTGCTTGTTGCAGGGGCAACGCTCGAACCCGCCTCCGTTGATTCTGGTGCCATGGAGAAGAAGAAGTAAAAAGAGACAGCTACATACATTTTTTGTGTGTGCCAAATTAAGACTATTGTCTTCTTATGCATGGTTAATTGCTATGTGCCGCATTTGGTCGTATTTAAAATGCACGCTGGTTCTAGCAAAAAAAAGTAAAAAACCTGGGATGTTTTTTTAAAGCTTGGATTCATGCTTGCAATTACATGAAATAAATATAACACTTTTTCACTGAGGACAGTTTTTGGGGGCTATTTTGTATTCTTCCGATCTCGTATTTGCCTTCAGACGGGTTTTCTAGATTGAATTTCAAATTGTCATTTCATTGTCAACCCTGAATCATTTGTAATCGGTTATGACCTCCTCGCTTGTGACATAGACGATGGTAGTAGGTGACTCTGTAAATAAAAGGGAGAGATTGTCACATTTCTACGGTGTTTTCACATGGTCAAAAGACTCATAGCTCGGATACTTCAGCCGCTAATAATACCCTTTAGAATATCTCGCAAACTATACATGCTGTATGTTTTTCGTTATTATTTTGTAGTATACCGCGAAGATTCGTTTACTTTATTTCCAAACATGTTAAATCGGTGCGATGTCTCCCTGCTCAATGGAGTTTTCTTCAAGAGAGTGGCTCAATTTGCAACTGAATTGGTAGTTTTGCTTGTGTAAAAGCTACCAATTCAGTTGCAAATTTAGCCACACCCAAAAGGCACGGACATTGGCCTACGAGTAATATGATTGTATTATGCTGAAGTCCGTGAATAATTCTATATCGACTTTATAAGTATTGTAAATCGTTTTAATTATATATAACAAATTGTGATCATGACACTCCTGTTCTACATGATCTACTTTGACTTTGAGTTCATAAATTCGGCCAGGACTTTAGTATTGTCACTGCAGTAACCGATATTAAAGTATATCCAATATCGCAGTAGGCCCGCGTCCAATGAAAATCAGACAGCTATGGATGTAGTAGGAACTAGACATCGGAAGGTTTTCTGTCTTAATCATAATCATATATACCTTTACGACTCTTTATTTTTATTATTTCAACAGAGCATTTAAATTTCTAGTGCTTTCCTCGTCTTCAAAGTGTTTGTATCTTGGTCTATTATGGATTCGATTTAACACTGGGAGTTTGCTCTTACACCTGCTCGTAGTGTGAAGAAGAGCAGTTAGCATGGATCATGCCATGTCATACGGGACACAGTCCCCTGCAGCATTCTCACCTGACGTGGTCGAGGGATCTTCATCAGTGGTAGAGCTCGGTTCAGGGGTGGTTTGGGCGTCCGTGGATACACCGGCAGTCAATCCCTCGACTGTCGTTTCAGGACCAACAGTACTGGTTTCATCCACGTCAGTAGTACCGGAGGCTTCTGTGGAGGGCTGTATGGTGCTAGTCTCATCTCCAGTCGTTGTCTTGTCACGTTCCGTGGTCGCCTCCTCGGTTTTGGAAGGGGCAACGCTCGAACCCGCCTCCGTTGATTCTGGTGCCATGGAGAAGAAGAAGTAAAAAGAGACAGCTAAATACATATTTTTTGGCCAAATTAAGACTGCTATCTTCTTATGCATGGTTAATTGCTATGTGCCGCATTTGGTCGTATTTAAAATGCACGCCGGTTCTGGCAAAAAAGTGAAACACCTGGGATGTTTTCTAAAGCTTGGATTCATGCTTGCAATACATGAATAATATAACACTTTTTCACTGAGGACAGTTTCTTTTGGCTATTTTGTATTCTTCCGATCTCGTATTTGCCTTCAGACGGGTTTTCTAGATCACATTTCAAATTGTCATTTTGTCATTTCATTGTAAACCCTGAATCATTTGTAATCCGTTTTTCTTTTTCTTTTGTTTGTTCAAGTGATTTAGTGGAGTTGAGCTCACCACCCTCCCTGTCTGAACACTGTTATTTATTGACGCATTAGGCCTACTGACAAAAATATGCAACTTTGTTTTCTGGGATTCTCTTGAGAGTCTTTTGCTATCTTTACTCTAATAAAAAAAACCAACCCGGGTAAAAGTTGTCCCAGAATCCGGATTCTATAGGACCTGATACATTTCAGGGTCAAAATGATTCTTTTCTTGGTCAATATGACATGTTGGTCAAGGCTTCTGTGGCAAAATGACTCGGAAACCTATTTGGAGACGTGTTGTCAGATCAGTTTATGCCTGGATAGTGTCAGGTCAAATAGGAACAATATTCCGGGTCAATCTGACATGTGCTGTTTAGAGTCTAGTTCACATCAACAACAAAGCCACCATCTTCAAAAAATCTGCTGAAGCTATCGGCTCCTTGTGGAAAAAAATGTCCAAAGTGAGGAAGAACTAAAGGTTATATAAAACAAGGTAAACAACTCACTCTTTCCGAAGCACTCCAGGTTGTCTACGGAATAACTTCCGGAGTTAATGGAGGTATTCTTGAATACCAGTCCGGTAACGGGAAGCGTGTCAGTGTCCGTGATGTAACCAGAGTCAGTGCCATGTATCTCCGGGGAGTTGCAGTTGCAGATGCCTCCCCCAAAGCAATCTGCAAGAGTTAACCAAATTTTGGGGCTATATAGCGACTTTACTCTGAATAAAAGAAGGGTGGAAGCCGTGCAGCCGTGTAAAATGTGGATCTGCATCTGGGTCTGGATCCAGGATGTTTTCAAGGGATTCTTCACCATTTATGCGAGTATTTCTTTGGGTGTACTGATAATAGGGAGGGAATTGTGTAGCCTTGGCGGAGGTTTGCGCTCTCTGAGCGCTTTTCAGATGCTTTCGAACTGGACTTTTCGCGTACCTTCAGGAAAATATTCATGATCAAATGGCATGCTTAAGGTAGAAGTAAAGTAAGAACGCACGAAATCCAAGCAGTCTTGTTTGTTAATTTTTTTTCAGGTCTATAGCTGCTACTTACCGTCATGCAAATGACAATCACAGCCTGGGACACCAGTCTGCCCCCCGCCCCAATTAAGCATCTCCATCTCGTTCCAGTCCAGCCAGGCTACATGCTGAATGTCATGCGTCCAGATGGGCAGTCCGTCACACGTGTACGACAGAAATTGGCGGCAACCGGCTGAGACCTCGATAAGTGCCCGGATGGCTCCTATATCAGGTACACTGTTGTATGTCACGGTCACACGGTGGTCATTATCATGTACGTATCCTTCAATGGGATTCGAAGTTCGGATAACGGTGGTACCTTTGTGAGAGAAAATACATAAAACAATTATCAATATTGTTTCTGGTTCCAAAGGCCAGCTTAGTGTACTCTCGCAGAGCCAGTGGGGAGGGGGTGTAAGGGGGAATTACCCCCTCCATAGTTTGTAAGGAGTGCCCTTTTTCACATGTGCCCTCGTGCCCTTTTTCACATGATCCCATGTTTGGAATGTCGCGCGAACGTCGGCAATTGTTTCACCACTAGGATAGTGCTCATGATCGTCCGGTTCGAAAAGGACGATGGTGTTCAGCTACCCAACCCCACCCCCACCCCACCCACAACCCGCGTTTCGATTTTGAGGATGCCGGGTGATTTTGTCAATCCCCTTGCGACAAAATAAAGCAAACGATAAGCCAACCCGACCCGTAGCCTAGAGGCGCTGTTCGAACTAAGAAAAAGAAAATGGCTAGTATTTATCGGTCAGATATTTGATAGGACAGGCAGGATGCACCGATCGAATACCTGCATTTTCAGGGATATATGAAGGACATTTGACTGTTGTATCGTAACTGACTCAGCTCCTTATTACCTGGTGAAGTGTGTCTAGACTCTAGCTTGCAGTATACCAGGAAGCTAGGAAAGCCTCCTGGTCCGTCGGGGTCGATGTCGAAGAAACCATCCTGAGACAGACCAGTGGTATTCATCAGATCCAGACATGTCCTTGGGTGGGCACCAGTTTCTGAAAATGACAGATCAAAAATTCAATTCCAAATAATGAAAATCATAAGGACGTTGAAGACTTCTCATTTTACGTAGCCTTGGTCAAGGCGTTCGACATTATTCGTCCGTGCGCGGTGAACGATCGGCGGCATATCCTCGTTTCGAGTTATGCAGTGCATTAAAAAAACAGCGCGAACAGCGACCTCATGCGGCGACTGTTTTATGCAAATCATCTGGGTTAATCATTTAATTTAATTTAACATTAATCTTCTACCTGAATTTGAAGCATTCGGACAACGTTGACGTTACCGCTGCTTGCTTTCATTAAAGAATAGAAGGAAACAACAAAGACTATAAATTGCCAGTCGCTTGATACTCGCCCTGTCGCCCATTCGTCATTTAAACCAAGTACTTACATAAAGCGCAAGCGTCAGCATTTATCTCAACAATTCTTGGACTTAGAGGAAGAAAAAACTCACAAACTAATCCCGTGCAATAAAGATCAAATGCAAAGTTAGACTTGGTGCCAAATCGGTCAATGATTTGCGTACGGTACCAGTTATTGGCTCCACGCACACATAATGTTGCTGCAATGCGTGTAGTCTGGTTCCCAGACCAAATGATGCTGACTATTGATGATCAATTACATACCGATTTGGCGAATACGTTTTCATTTTTGTATTTGGGAGTATTTTGAATCACTAGCGAATTCTGTGCGAGCACTCTGATTGGTTCAGATTCGAGAGTGTATTCTAGGCCGCCACAGAAGATTGTTCTAATTACTTCGAGCGTTTGTACCAACAGAGTTTACTAATATAAAGATTGAATTCAGTCAACACAAAGAACTTGGATGCCCTTATGACAAAAAAACCACTATATATTCGCTATTATATTTGCCATAGTCGGCTGGACTTATTCGCATGTTGGGGTCTTTTTGATCAGATTCGATCGTGGTCGTTGGAATACAGGAAAACAGTTTTCGATTATAGTTTTTGGCCGTGTTGTCGCGCGGCAGGCGAATTGTTTTCGAAGGCGGGTTGCTCAAATGTCATGCATAAATCAGTTTTCATTTGAACCATTGCCAGACAGGTTCTTGTTCTCTTTTTCCCCTTAAAATAAAATTATCACAATGATAAACTGAGCAACGATGACGTGGATTCCAACCAGGGATGTTTTCATAGCCCATCATGCTATCCACTATGCTACTGTGGAAGCTGGACAGTAACTGGTAACTGGTTGACTAAATAATAATCTTAATATCATTGTTCTGTCATGAATAAACATACTGGCCCATCGGAGCTATTGAATTATTCATGACTTTCGAGCAACGTACCTATGGAAAAGAAATCGCGCGCGGCTGTGTGTGGTCATCCGTTTACAATAAATCTCTGTATGTCCGAGGTTTGTGCGTTGAACCGGATCCGTACGAAAGCGATTCCCACAACAGAGAATAAATGAAAACTACAACATTCCAGCACCATTTTATTTCGGAAGACGGAGAGCTGAGATCGGCAGCGATGGGGAAATACGTGTACATGTACACGTCGAGACCAGTAATCACGGTCAAGTCGAAGGAAACCACACCCAATGTAGGACGAATCTCCGTGCTCTTAGGGATGGTTCTGGTCGTCACTTGCACGACTCTTGCCTTCATCTGTTCTCCCTTTTCACCTGTGAATCAAATGCAAGTACTTCAACATGCACATGTGCCCCGGTCCCATGACAGCGGTGAAGCAGAGTTTGGGCAGATCGCACCCGCCTACGAGCCCAACCCCAAGAACATTCTCTACATTTTCACCGGACGCTGGAGATACCTTCGAATCAATTTTGCTTACATCTATCGCAGCCTGCGACAGAATGGCGGTGTTCTGGACCGGGTCTACTACGTAATGATTCAGTACGACGATCAGACTCTCTCCAAACTGACTGAGTTGACTGACAGTGCCAACAAATACTTAGGCGAGAAGGTGTTCGAGCTTAAGATTCGCAATCCAAACGAAGACACGACGCGTCTACCTAAAGACGTGTTTCCTCAGGTAGCGTACGAAATTTTGGCGGAAATAGTAAAATACCCGGAGAGAAAGTACTTCAAGATGGACGACGACATCGTGTACATCCACCCCGGCGCCTTCAGGCAGCTGATTGAGCAACAGAACACCTCGGAGTGCTTCCTTCATTTCGCAAACATCGGAGGCGCTAACTGGCGAAGTAGCTATATCCACCAAGAGATGGGTGTGTTCGACGACAAGGAAATCAACCCCAACAATCTCAGATTCGAGTTCAATCCCAAAGGCAACCCTAGGTGTGGTTTCAAATCTGCGGAATGTGCGCAGTTGGCATTGAGGGGATTCTTGCATCACTACGAGAACAAATCATTGGACAGATTTCAGTTTGACGGACGTTATCCGACCACTGAGAGAGGGCGTTACAACATTAACCTCCTCCTATTGGATGTGAACATCATCAACTTCAACGCCATGTTGGACAGTACACCAATAGGAAACGATTATGAGTTTTGGTTGACACAGAAATACTCGAGTAAAGTCAAGGGGAAAAGTTCCATACTCGGATGTCAATTTATCTGCTGCCAAACATATTTATTGTCACCTCACCTTGTCATTTGAACCAAAAGAAATCCAGGAAGCTGTGTAAAGGTGAAAAAAATGTACTCAAAATGTGTTTTTAGAGCACATTTTGGATGCATACGTCGTGCAGAACTAACTTGAAGCAGCCGGTCAAAACTGATTGTAGTGGCTGAAAAGACATGGGTACGTTATACACGTGACATCAACAACCATGACGTCGCATGAGCCTGCCAATGATAGTTCAATACGTCATTATGAATATTTATTTTCTCATGAATATTTAGTTTATTTCAATGGATACTTCAAATACGTCCAAAGATTGATGATTGCAACAGCGATCGTGCGCGGCCTAGCGGTTAAGAGTCTCGTGTATCAAGCAAGCGCCAGAGGTTCGAATCCCGATGAAGTAACTGACTGATTAATAAATAGAAATTAAGGAAAGGAGAGGGTGAGAGTAGAGGAGGGAAAGTGGAGGAATAACCATAAAAGATGTAACTTTTGGCGCTAGAAAATTAATTGAAAAAAGTGACGTCCGAGTATGGAATTTTTTCCAAGTCAAGAACCCAAACTGCATCGTTGGGGGAGCCTTTGTCGTGCATTTCGCCTACTCCGTAAATGAGAAGGAAATTCGAAAACAAAACTTTGCGGAAAAATTCGAGACCATCGCATTTAATGATCTTGTCAAATTCCTACCGGGAGAATTTCAAAATATTCTTGCTCTCAATGCAACCAGTACGGCTTGACCATATCATGTTATTCAATGTTATTTTTGTTGTATTTTTTTTAACAGAGGGTTGATATATTCTGTTAATTGTTATTTTTTAATTACAATTATTCCTTTTTTTTAATGGGTAGGGTCACCTTGTTTTAGACAACGGCGCGAAAAGGCTTCTCTTTGCTTATATAAAATACAGAATTGTGTAAATTGGAAGTGTGAGCAAATAATTATGTACACATGTATTAACAGAATCACATTGAATTGAAACTTTTTTTTCACCACAAGTCATGATGCCGAGTCGTGAAGTTTGGTGAAGATTTTATAAAAGTGCGAGGAAATGAAGTAATCGAAAAATGTTAATGTTTGCATTCTTGGTAAATTTAACAATATTTTGCAGGGCTTTCATTGGCAAAGCAAGCAGACTCTACAGCAAATTATGTAAACATATGTAATTACAGTTTCTTCAGTCACAGTGATAAGTGTTTGTGCATTATCAGTTTTCAGCTAATTCATTTATTTAGGTTTTAGGAGGGAATTTATAGTTTTAACAATAAACTTGTGATGTCGTGTTGATACCTAAATTATTATTAAGAATTATAGCGCCTTGAGCGCCTTCTTTGAAACGGATGCGTGAGCTTATATTGTTCAGTTATGATTTAAACACTGTTGAACTTCATTATTGTTAATGAAAATGTTCTTTCAAAATTGAAGATGACACCCTTTACCTTGTCCAATGCGAGACTGTTCACACGTCTCGACGTACATCTACAATGCATAAGCGTACCGCCTAAACTATTCCAATACAGAGATCACTATATGGCTTACACTGGCAGTTTTACGGAAATATCCTTTTTTTAACCCTAACTCCCTGCTGTCTTTTACTAAGTATACACAGTGTACTGGACCAAGTCCACCAAAAGCCATCAATCGCACTGCTTCCAGTGCATGCTTTGCTTTAGGCCTCCAGGCCCAAGTCCATCACATTCCATCAACCAGACCTGCATGACCAAGTCTCCAAAAATCCCCCAAATAGGGGATGGATTTTGATGGAGTTAGGGCTAAGACACGTACAACTTGTTCACATCGGATGCATTAATTGAATCGACAATTGGCACACTAATCGAGATACTATTTTGAGTCTTTTTTTCAACGAATGAAATACTCCACTGAAGAGCCCACATTTAGACAAGTATGATGCTGGTTAATTACAAAGCTAGTTTCATATGCGTAATCAATAATGACGAAAAACAGAGCTAAATAAACGAAGCATGCAATCATGGCCTGCAATCCGGCGCTGAAAGAGGTTTTATGAGTTAGGTTGTAATGTTTGTACAACTTGTATTTTTCCGCATTATGAACAACACCGAATTAAAGTCTTTTCTGCAGGAGTAACATGTCAGGTTCATGTACATGTATCAACACTTTGACATGTATCAACACCTCGACATGTCTTCACGAACCCATTATGAAGAACAGGGTGCAGCATGCATGGTGCATCTCACAACACATGTACCTATAGCAAGGTTTTCGGTATGGTAATTGGGAGGGGGATGGGCAGCAGGCGAATATAAAGCTAGCTTTTTACCAAACAAGAACGTATTGTGTGGACTGGGCCTCGTTATACAGCGAAAACGCCGGGTGCAACAAACGATTGCGTAAGTTGGCTTTTTAGCGTACAAGTCGTGAAGGAAATATCAGTTCGCTTCATTGCTTTTGAATAGTGATCACCAGCATGGTTTCTAATGCAGCTTCAATTCAAGCGATATCATACAACGGCCTACCACCTTTCTTCACTTTGCTTTTCCGCGTGGAAAAAACAACATATTGAACAACCACAATAAAAAAAGAAAGCGCAATTGTTTTCGTATGATGATTTATTAGAGCATGAGGTGTGGCCAGAATCAGATCCCCCAACAAGACTGCGAGCAGTATTCAAGCCAACACATGATCCACTAAACAAGATAAAGTTGAGATGACATATCCAGATTCCAAAAGGGGCTGCAATAATAAGATAAAAACTTGAACATTATGCCCAAGAAACCGAGCATTGCATGGGCCCAATACGCTGTACTTGTTTACATGTGCGCTTTCCTATGAGAGCCAGGTTGGACGCGTGTTCCCTGTTACCAACTGCCTATTTGAGGCAGGTGAACACATATCAAAGATACCATTCATCAGGCCTGCTTCTATATTTATTCATCGACTAAGCTCACGCAAATTGGGAGAATCACAGCCACCCTTAGATATTCGAGGTGAACACATCAAAGATGTCATTCATCAGACATGAGCTCATTCATCAACTCAGTGAGCTCACGCAGGCTAGGAGTATCAGATCTACAAGCACAGAAAGCTAGCCACCCTTTCATATAAATTCATTTGAAAAGAATATGCGAGACGTAAAAAAAGGTCTTGGAACCATGGTCCTCGCGACGGGCTGGGAGGCAAGGGGGGGGGGGGCGCTTCCCCCGGACAAGGGAAGAAAAAAAGAAAGAGTGAAAAATAGGCGCAAAATCACATTGTTGTTGATAAAAATAGGTGTGGGGGGGGGGGGGCCCTGCTCACCCTTGTAAAAATGATCAATCGAGAAATGCTGGAAAATATAGGCCTACGGATTTTTAGGGGGGAAATGCGCTTTGCTCCCCTCCAGAAAAAAAATCCTTGCGACGCCTATGCCTGGCCGGAAACCAAATTTTTGGGAAGGGGAGATATTTTAGTTGGTTTTCTTTTCAAATTTCCACGGACCAGTAAAATCCTTTTTTGGGGGGCGATTTTGACAGCAGCATGATATCCCAACAAATTTGCCTTCCTTTTCAGTTAAAAATATCTGCTCATATCCTTGAATAATACATTCCAATCGGTATAGCAACCGTAAATGTACAAAGTGCGGACACTGTCATCAGCAAAGGCCTTTCCAAAGGGGATGTCATAGCCTTCCTGGAGTCGGTATGTTTGTTTGTTTTTTTCTTGAGTGAGAGCTGATACATTAGAGTCTTTGACTTTCAACACGTGCAGACTCGAATCGAGGCTTTATAGCCAACGGCTGATGGTATTTTGAAAAAAAAGTTGTATTGCTTAATTATCTCCGTAGCCCGTCTCGTTTCTATGGTTAGTAATGCAATAATCACTCATCGAGCTTTTTACAAGGAAAACAAAAGCCGACGTTTCTGAAGGTTCAGATGACTTTTTTTGTTTTACTTAATTAAGAAGGGTCTTATAATTAGCTAATAACCTCGGTAGGAAACGTTACCTTGGAAACCGCCTTATTTGCATTTTGGACGCGCCAAGCCATGCACGTTCAATTACATCTGTGCTTTAACAAGTGTATGATTAATATCCTTGTATGCTGCACAAAAATTGTAACATCCTCTGCTAATGTTCCCACTATATGTGCTGTACACACAACTCTGTGTTTTAAAGGGAATGTACAACATTTGCTTTTGCTGCCATTTTCAGAAATAAATGGATTTGGAGGATTAGTATGTTATAGCAAATATTGTTAAACTGATTTTGTTTCACGTTTTGGGCTTGTAGATGCTGGAAAAACTAAGAAAACCTATCATGTTCTTGTAGTCTGGTACCCTGACCACTTCAGATGAAACAGAGAAATTAATAGACTTTGTGGAATTGTAAGATCAGAGAATCAGTCTAGCAGACTTGTACCCCTTCACAAATGTGTAATTAATTGCAAAGAAAATGCGGAACACAACGAAAAAATCGGAGCGGTTTTTTGAAAAAAGCCAGTTTTCTCCAACGCAGGTCGGCCGACCAGCGTTGAAAAAATACAAATGTTCTTGAAATTGTCAGCACACCAGGAGACACGATGATTTTACAGGATGCTTTAGACTCATTCCCTAACAGTCCAGTAAGCTATTTCGTGATAATTTGATCATTTCGTTTTTTGATGTTTGCAAGGCTGTATCTTCCCTTTAAGGTACATAAGATCATTGGCTCTGTTTTCGTTTGAAACATCACAATTGCTATTAAGAAGCAGAGTTTCTCAAAATCTTAAGTAGGGTGCATATTAAGAACTCTAACCTGTTGCAGTTTTGTTGGTAAGCTGGAGTGTGGAAGTTTCTAGTTCAGTGGCTACTACACATTTTGAAAAAAACCTACACAATTTTGAGGATCTCGTACTGGATTCCGTTGCTTAAGTACGTAACACAGTTTGCTCGCTGGTACTTTTCTTTTTACCCACCTTAAATAATTGTTTTCTATTTTATCAAAACAATTGTTGGCTGGATGATTTCACATGGCATGTGGGCAATTCGAGAGCTGGCAGGAAGTGCAATGGCCGTGACGGAGACCATTAACCGTTGTATCTAATTAATGATTTAGATAATTATCCACAGCTCCTGGTCTGTAATATCCTTGACCGTTACTACAAGATGGGTGTACGGTTACAACCCGATATTCTGACGGTTCCATAGTCCGAAGGTTCTTTAGCCGAAGGGTCATTAGTCCCAAGGTTTGGTAGTCCGAAGGTTCAATAGTCCGAAGGTTCGATAATTCGAAGGTTCGATAGTCCGAAGGGCCCATTAGTCCGAAAATATATATAAGGTTAACTTATCCGAAGGTTCGTTAGTCCGAATAGACGATAGGGTTCGATAGTCCGAATCGACAATAACGTTCGATAGTCCGAATAGATGATAAGTTTCGATAATCCGAATGACAATAAGGTTCGATAGTCCGAATTGACAATAAGGTTCGATAGTCCGAATTGAGAATAAGGTTCGATATTCCGAATGGGCAATGCGGTTCGTCAGTATGACACTTCGGACTATCGAACCTTACTGTTGATTCGGACTATCGGACCTTATTGTTGATTCAGACCATCGGACCTTATTGTCGATTCGGACTATCGGACCTTATTGTCGATCTGGACTATCGGACCTTATAGTCTTTTCGGAATAATGAACCTTCGGACTACTGAACCTTATTTTTGTTTCGGACTATCGAACCTTCGGAAAAATGAACCTTCGCACTAACCTTCCGGAATAATGAACCTTCGGACTATTGCATCAAATATTCGGATTAACGAACCTTATTTCATTTTCAGACTAACGAACCCCCTCTTATGGAAATTTTGTGCATTCGGACTATCGAACCTTCGGACTAAAGAACCTTTGGACTATCGGACCTCTCGGACTATCGTGCGGCCCCCAGATGTACATGTATACGATAAATACATGTTCAGGTTTATTCACTGATCTCTCGAGAGCTGTGTCACGGACATTATATTACGCTGGAAATGCCCATTGTGAGACCAGGCCTACAACTTCACTGTGAGCAAGGCGTTTTGCTCATTAAATCGGTGGGCTGTCTCCGGGTATTCACCCATATTCCTGCTTTTAATAATAAATGAACACTTAAATGGCCTTGATTGTTTATGGCTGAACTGTGACGTGCTCATCGTTAAGTATTTGCCGTTTGAAACGGGATTACTTATTTGATGGCTATCAAATCCATTGAATAATTTATAACAAGCGTTCCCCCTCCACTGCGGTAAACAAACCAGCAGCAGTAGATCAGGCGCAGTTCTAGAGCCAATATTTTGGGGGAGCTGGCAGGGTGGATCCAGAATTTTTTTAGGGAGGCGTGCTGAAATGTAGACCGGTTACTTTCTCCGGACACTGAGGCCTCCGAAACTATTTTAAAACAATAGTGGGCACCATTGTGGGTTTCCTTTTTTGACTCAGCCTGTACGGATTCATGACGTGCTATGGAAGAGGCTAGACTATTATGCCATTTTGTGGGGTAATTAAGGAATGTACGTGTATAGAAATCGGGAAAACGGCCTCCTCATTCGCTCTCTACGACAACACAAAATAAAGTTGTCGGTAATCAAATTGGGTTAAGTTGACCCCGAGAAACTCATTTACCGAGGAAAATCATTCAAGTGCCCTGCAAAGACATAAATGCCTGTCCATAAGAAAGGCAATTGTATCACTGAATGTCTGTCACGCAAGATTTGGACCCTTTAGGGAACACCTGCTATCTTCAGTTTTCTTGTTATTAATACCCTTAGCGGGGATTAAAAGCAATTATCGAAAAACTTGCTCGCATGCACCTCAGAGGAATAAGTGTATTCTCGTGTCGTTACGATACTGAAGGTTTTTCTTTTCAAATTAATATTGATTTCGTGCGAGGGACTAAAAATGTCCATGCTATATATTTGCTGATTCTGAAAGAGTCATTCAACCGTATATTCAACCTTTATTCGAACTCACTCGTTGTGGTTGCGACCGAAGAGGCGTTCCCGCCATCCGTCGAACTAAAAGCCTGGTTCCAAGCCGCGGTGGCCCATGGCTGCGAAGTGGGCCGTGCGTCCGTCGTTATCTCCCCGGGAGAGGCAGCGGACGAGACACGGTCAGTCCACACCGGGGACTGCTGCGTGGATGTACCGCTAGCGCTATGTCCAGACGAGCGTCGCCCCCGTCGAGTACTCCAGCGCCAATTATTACACGCCACAGGGATAGACAATATCATGGCAAAAACCGTCCACACCATCACAAACTTTACCAATATACCCATTTGTATACATCCGAATATAGTCAAAACACCAAGTTTGAGATCCAGTACTGGTATTTGCAAAGAAATTTGCCGTCCTTTTCACATATCCGCAGAGAACTCTCCCAAATCCTTTCCTATTTGACTCGGTCATCACAATTACGGTTGGCGTATATGAACCAACCGCAAGTTGCAATGCTGTTAGGCTTAAAGGGACATTACGTTCTGGAATGCGCCCAATTGGGCTAGAAAACGCGTTTTCAACGAGATTACTTTAACTAGAAGGAGCATTTAAACGTAGCAAATAAGCGTCTACAGAACCATCCTTTGAAAAGAGGACGTCTTTGTGTTATTCTTGCGAGAACCATGCGAGAACGAATTTCGGGGGTCACAATTATTTTGCCCCCGAAAAAATCGAGCTGTTGGGGCTAGTGAATCCAGCAGCACAGTGCTTCGCATTATGCGGACGTGTAAGAAACAAAATGTTTGTAGTGGTGCTGTGTGTATTATATTGACACACACAAAGTGTACAGTTCATTGAGACGGCTTGAAAATACGTATGCTGATGCCACAAGATGTCTGCCGCGTCCGATGTAAACAACCGGGTGGTTTTTTTTCTCGGGAACGGTAATACATCAGGTCGGTTTCCTTCCAACCAGGCTATTGAGTAAACAGTCCAAAACATGAAGGGGGAATTTCTGGCCGTAATACCCCTTTAATGCAACGTGATGTCTTATTCATTACGGTGCTTTGCGTCCTCCGACGAACCGAACCATTAGGTTATGGTCCCGTGCGTTCATTGATTTTTAATGGTAATGCTTTGCAAATGAAACGTTATCTTCCCAGGATTAACAATATCGCCTGATTTTCAATATTCATAGTGGAGAACAATTCGCATTCAAGCGTGCTGCTCATTGACATTAATACCGTACACGCGCGCATATCGACGGCTGAAAATGGACAGCAATGATTATATGATTAAACAGAGCCCAATTCCGAAGAACTACTTCACACTAAATCAACAAGTTGTACACTGACTGTTGCAGAAAATTTGGTTAACCTCACCACTAGGCACAATTTCATGTCGTGTGCTAACGGTTGCACGCGTATGGGGCTTTTATTGTTTACGTTGCTCATTTAAGCTATCTTTTCCGTAAGCGGTATAGCACACAGGCAACAGGCACGACGATTTTAACATTTTTGCTTACTTGCAGGCGCGGTGGTCTAATGGTTACGGTGTTCGACTTGTGTGCCGTGGTACACGGGTTCGAATCTTCGCTCGTACCCCCTCCACCCCCCCCCCTCCCGGCCCTGCAAACAGGACGCTGGGACACACTGATGAATTCACGCTCTGATTGGATAGATTTTGCGTGACTTGTGACCTGCAAGTCATCAATTCACGGCCACGACTCTGCGAGGAGGGTCCATTAAGACTGAGTCATCACTCTTTTTATTCCCATTCATAAATGCTTTTTTTTTTCGCTGAAAAGCGTAATGTAGGAAAATCTGTAAAACTTATCTGTTTTGTAAATTTTCAGTTCCCGTCACTTGCTCAGGCTCCGTTTCGTATTCACGAAGTGCCATGTGTCCACATGGTCCGCAATGAAAAAGAAATCACATCCGGTATGGAATTTGTTAATTTCTATGAGAAAGTTTTCGGATAGCATTTGCGCGTATTGGCTAACTGCGGTCTTTAACAGCTGCAGCCAGATGTCTTTATACATAGGTCATGATAAGTTACACAGAATGCCATCCCCTCTTCCTTCCAAGATTCTGTGAAGCTCATCAGCCTGTCCCAGCGCCATGTTTGCAGGGCGGCCGGGTCCGAGCGAAGTTAGAATCCTGACGGGGAACATATGGTGTTTGTGCTCTTGAGCAAGGCACTTTACCATTCTTGCTTCGTCCTTTGGGTGTGACGTAAAGCCGTAGGTCCCGTGTGTCGTGCAATGCACGTTAAAGAACCCATAACACTTATCGCTAAGAGAAAGGGTTTGCCCCGCAGTTTCTGGCATGCAACGGCTGCAAAGGGCGTAAACCTTTATTAAGGTGCTGCAAAATGGGTCTCATATTCTCACCACCATTCATTTGCCTGTCTCTAAAAAACAGAAAGCGCTTCCAAACGCCCGAACAAAGCGATATAAATAATGTAACATATTATTATTACTGCTTACGTCTCCATAAAATAAATGAGCCCTGTGACAAGGCAAGACCGAGATTAAAAAAAAATACAACGTAAGTCCGCAGGGTTGTCTACTCACGAACGGCGCACTGTGCATAGCATGAACTAACTGGCGACAGATTAGTCCGCCAGCGCGCAGTTTTTGGCGTAAGTGTTTATGCTGCGGGCGTAAATGCGCAGGGGGGGGGGGGGGGGTTCTGGTGCATCCCTTAATGCCAATGTGTAATCGCTAACTCTAAAATTTAGAGGCTCTAACATTCTTACATTTTACGCAATGTTTGTATTATTCAATTCAATTCAACTTCACATTTATTTCCATGCTTCATGAAGAAAAAAAAATATATAAACTTTAGAGAAAAGGGTTAAACAATAAAGTAGTAAATATCAAATTAGCAGCAAAATAAGAGAAACAAGAAGAAAGTAGAGCATGGGGCTGTTTTAATAAGCAGAAGCTTGTGGAAAACAGCCGACAGAAACAACACAGGACAAACAAACAAATAAAAAAACCCCAAAAACAACAAACTAACGAACAAAGTCTTTACAATGGCAAGCAGACACGAGACAGGGAACATAATTATACTGATGGCAGAGGCAATACGATGAATAGATGGCAAAAGACTGTATGAGCCAATTATAAATTAATAATGGCCGTCGGACTTATGAGGTGTCGGACTTGTGACGCGTCGGACTTATGGGTCGTCGGACTTATGGACAGAAATAAAAGAACATTTAATTGTCAGACCTACGAGGCGTCGGGGCTATGAGGCGTCGGACTTATGGTCCTTTATTTGGTTGAGAGATGCAACTTTGTCGGACTTAATATGAGGCGTCGGACCCATGAGTGGGCCCCGTGTAATCCGCCAGCAACGGAATCCAGTAACGAGAACCTCCAATAGTGCATAATGTTTTCTCTATTTTTTTTCAAACCAAAAACACACTACAGTGTAAGCTACTGAGCTGAGATTTCGCCTAGGTTGGCTATTAGTATATGCACCTCGCTTAAGATTTTGAGTAACAATTATTTGTGTAACTTTAAGTGAAACAAATTGGACTCAAACCTCAATGGTGAAGTGGTAGTATGTAGTCGAATTATTTGGGTTTGGGGCTCTAGAGGCATGTCATTACTCTTTGCACGCTATTCCATATTAGAAGCAAAAATACAACTGAAGTCTCTATAATCTAGTAGGGTGAACAGTTATTTCATAAGAAGTCACCCAATGGCAAACGCACCTTATTGAAAGGGCCGAGGGTTTGACATGGTGCAGTTAGGAAGCCTACCTGTTTGTGTAGTGCTCGTAGTGTTGACATAATATCCTCCTGTAACATCAGTTTGCAATGTCGTGATCTGTTCCGCTGGCAGGTTATTGCTCTGGAGATCGCTAGAGGACGAAGCAAAACCAAGACAAGCCAGCACTGGGAGAACCACTCGAAGGGCTTGAGCGGGACTACATCCGCTGCCCCGGGCCTGTGGGGCAGGAGAGGAACCCCGACCGAAGCCTTTCATCCCGGCTCGCCAGACAGACGCTCCTGCTTGCACGATCTTCATACTTCTCGTCTGATACCTGCTCCGCAATTATCCGACTGCTTGGATGCAATTTTCAATGCATTAGGCTAGCGTCTGTAATGCATCACCTGTCATCCAAACTCATTAGCGCTGAAAGGCCTGGACTTATTGGTGGTTAGGATCAATTTGTCTGATGCACTGTCAAGGATTCCAGTATGAACTTGGCGAAATTAAAACCTAGCTCAACCGAGTGTGGCTGATGCAATCGACAAGTATGTAGCCACGTGCATACGCACGATTATTAACCATTATTTTAAAAAGCATTCATAAATACCTAAGACAGGTTACGCATTCCTATCGGTCGAGAGCCCGTCACGTGGCCGGTCTTTTAACGGATGAGAAAGACATGCCTCTTAAACAGTTTTTTAGTGTCACATGAAATTTGGACTCCCATGAAATCCGGTGCCTCTAACGCTTCATTGGTTGAACGTCCACATTCCTCATATATGCATGCCAGGCCCGTAGGAAGCTAAAATTTATTGGTCAGGCTCATCTCAGGGCAGGGATCTCGGTTGATGCGAGCGCGTAGCGCGAAGCCCTAACGGCGTGGGGACCGGGGCCCGCTTAAGGGTTCCGAAAAATTTTGGATTCCAGACGCTCTGTGGTGCGATCTGAGGCAATTTCTGACCACTTTAACCTTTTTTTGAGCTATCATCATTTAATCATCATTTTCAAGTTTGGAGTCAATCATCTTTTTATATATATATATTTTTGCGTGAGAAATCCCATGTCGGCGTTAAAGCATGAGAATAACCTGAAATGTGTGAGTCTTACGCGCAATGTGTTAGAGTTGGCAGGCCTGCAGAGGCAGATCCAGGATTTGACCCAATCCCTCTCAAATGTAACCAAAAGCCACTCCCCCCCCCCCACACTATGCATGTATACAGGGAATTTTATTCTTCGTAATTTGTACAAGACACATTTTGGAGCACTGCACATCTGCAAGTTTAACCAGTATATATCACTTGATGAACTTTACATAAATCGTCAAAATTAATTCGTCACAATTTAGCCTATCGTAGTGAAAAGTTTTGGACATTTGCTCATCGCAAAACTTTTTTGGATCTAGATGCTCTGTAGTGCAATCTGAGGCATTTCCTGGCCACTTTCCCCTGACTTTTTGAATGAAATGTATTAAAGTTTTATTGGGTGGGTCATCAAAGATGATAAATTACATCACAAGCATCACATCAAAACTGTAGCTTGACTCTCTTTCTAGATTTGTGCTCTTTAGCTTGATCCATGATTGTGTTTACAGGGAAAGGGCGTAATCATACATGTCGCCATGCACTACACGTTAAGTTAAATGGAATTTAACCATGAATTTTAGATTTCCTCAGACTTGTACTTGTGTTTTCTTTAAAAGAAGTGGTTTTAAATAGCAAGGAAGAACCGGTATTGTGCAAGCAAAATTCAGGGAATAATCCGTTGATACTAATATCTTGTTGGAAAATTCCAAAATCATTTCAAGAAAATTGCCGCCGTGAATCAGAGTTTATGAAGGGACGGAAAGTGGGATTTGCTATCAGCATCAACAGGGCCGTTCCTCATTATTTACCTTTTATGGGATGTGAATCAAATTGGAGGACGAGAGGCTTTGCGGGCTGATGTATTTTTTAGAAATTTAATTCACCGGTATGGATACCAGTGTACGTACATGATTGAACTGCCGAGCATATTTGTTAAGTATTTTTTTTTTCTAAAAAAAATACATCAGCTCGCAGCGTCTCTCATCCTCCAATTGATTCACATCCCATCAGGTAAAGAATGACGAACGGTCTTGTTGATAGCAAATCCCACTTTCCGTCCCTTCATAAACTCTGATTCACAGCGGTAATTACTTTCTTTGAATGATTTTGGAATTTTCCAACAAGATATTAACTTCAACGGATTATTCCCTGAATTTTGCTTGCACAAAACCGGTTCTTCCTTGCTATTTTCTCATTTAGAAAACCACTTCTTTTTAGGAAAACACAAGTACTAGTCTGAGGACAACTAAAATTCATGGTGGCGGCCAATCGCCATTCCGTTTAACTTAACATGTAGGCCTAGTGGCGACATGTATGATTACGCCCTTTCCCTTTAAACACAAACACAAAAACAAAACACAAAAACAACACAAGAAAAATTTGGGGGAGGGCAACGGGGGCCATGCCCCCCCCCCCCAAAAAAATGGAACCCAATTTTTTTTTCAGTGTCGTCGCAATCGAGGCAGGTACTGCATACACCACCATCTTTTCCTTTAAAAAAAATATGGTTAAAGTGGTCATAAATTGCCTCAGATCGCACCACAGAGCATCTAGAAACCAAAAAAAAAAAAAATCCACCCTTGGGGCCATGCAAGGCCTTGCATACATTAAAAACAAAGATATGCCTGTTATTATTGGTACGGCCATAGCCGTACCTGCCGTACCGCTTCCTACGGCCTTGATGCATGCGCAATACTACCAGTGAAACAGTATTTCATGGTCCGAAATTCACACTACACCAGCCCAGCTGTGTTTTGCGCGACATCGCGCAGTACGCGCGACGCGCACGCCTATGTCCTTATAAGGTAACAAGTTGTGGAGGGCATTCCATATTATAGTCAGAGGGGTGTTTCGTAAAACATGAAGTAAAATTGTTGAACAGAATGGTTGGCAACGTGTAGTTTTTGACTTGTTTTGATTTTTGGACCGAAAAGATTTGGGTTTTTGACCTAAATTGTGTTTATGAATTACCTTCGCTTCGCCTCCGGTAATTATCACCCATCCAGACTCCCACCGGTCTTAAACAGAGTGTTATAATACCTCCCGAATACACATTTATTCCCTTAGTAATGTCTATAATAACTTAAACATTGTACGAATATCATTTCTTCTTAACTGTGTATGTTTTGGTTTGATTTTTATGCTATTTTCTGACAATGGAGGCACTCAGTTACAGTTTAGCGTCTGTACCGACTTTGAGGCCAAAATGCAGCTGATTTTAAACAGTTTGTATTATGCTTTGGCATTGACCAATGACCAGCTGTCTTGAGGTTAACCATCAAAGAAGCACCACATAGAGAGAAAATATCGCAGCGCAGAAAAAGAGAAGCCGATGTCTTGATGCAGATTCTATCTGAAGAATAACATCTTTGATTTGCTTTAATACTATGTTCTTTTAACCCACATGCAAACGTGATTACGACGAAAACGAATTGTTTTAGCTCCTTCGTGCACAATTCTATGTGGTGTAACTTTTCCGAGGGTGATTTTCTTAAGAAATCACTGTACCAAAAATGATTTTAGAAACTCCGACTTTTAAATGCTAATTAGTCTTTTCGAGGGTCCAGAAGCGCGCCACCAGGGGTAAACTTTCAGACTCTATATTACCCACCAACAAAAATAAATCAAGAACAAACGAATCCCACCTTTTGGTCCGGTAGTTTTCGTCCCAGTTGCGTCTAACGGATCACATGATGCGGGGTTATCTTGTAGCGACACACGCACGATAACACAACCCGTCAGAACCGTAAGCAGATGCACCGTGTTGGCTGTGTACCCACCGTTGGGCAGCTGCCTATCCCACCCCAACATCTTCGGAGTTAGGACGCTTTCTTGATCAAGCCCCTCGTCCTGGTATGTTTGAATTTCCGACGTCAATCTTATATACGACGAGCAAGAAAACTCATTAGTTCATTAAAATCTCCATGCACAGTCGCAAACTTCGTGTTACAAACACGTTTATGTAACTTTGATGCAGATCATTTTCTCGATGCCCTGAGCAGGGCGTGGCTACCTTTTTGACAAGTAAATGCAGAAGTTGATTGGCCACATTCCAAGCAGGCATTTCGCTCTCTGCCCATTGGTGCTTTCTTGTGAATTTGCATATTCATCTGTACAACAGCTGTTGGTGGTATTCACCACGATTTAATCAGTCGGTAATCATGCTGATTTTGTTAACCATTCGACAAGCAGGACCGTTTTAACCCTTTCCGAGATTTTTGTTTTGTTTTTCTTTGTCAAATTTAGCCCACAATGACAGGTGGGATGCAATTTGACAAGAAAAAAACCCGATATGATTCGTCTCCGATCCACTCAAACCGCTCGGTCTCCAGATCACACACTACTCACACATATTTCATCACCGTCATTTGATTCTCCTACGTATTGAAGTGGAAATCACAAACAGCCATATTATTGTCGAACAGGTTGTGCAATATTCAGGTTTGCAAGTAACAAAGGAGTAGGCATGCAATCAGTGCATGCAATCAGGCGGAAGACTGAAATTGTACACAGGGACTTTTTGTGGAATTGGTTTCGAGCCATGGAGAAATACTGCAATTTCTTCCGATGTATTGAAATGACAATGATATGTGTTCGAGCGATCGAGCGGAGTTTGGGGCTGCCCTTTTTTTTTTGCTGCCCGTGGATCATTCTGGTTATTAAGGTTTAAGAACCTTGCATTGTGTTGCATGTATTATGTTGCATGTTGCATGTATTGACATTAATTTATTTCAGTCTCTTGGCTGGAACTCGGTTTCCATGATTTCCCAAGTTGCTTGAATGCAGTCCCCAATCACCAGACAACACTTAGCAGTATTAAACTGTAAAATGCGTGTTCACGTGTTCAAATTCCAATTTGACATCCCTCACTAGGGAGGAGATTATGAGAAAAGAGGAAGGGGACCCAAAGTTAATGCGTACTTTTAATCCAAAGGAGTATTTAAAAAAAAAGAAAAGCTGAGTATCCCTATCAAGAGGCATGAAACACGGCCATGAACATTAAAAATAAATGCGCAGCAGGCTACCTTGAAGTTGAACCATAAATAACGCCCTCTATAGTGTCAGATAGGCCTATGTCACCGCCTATACCCGAACTTTCGTTCGTACCCACCGTACCGCCCAATACAGTGTAAAAAAAGTTGGGCAAAATCGGTTGATAATTCGACCAACGCTGATGGAATTATCAACTGCCTACACTCTTGGGCAAATTCTTCCCAACAGTTTGACGGTTTTTACCCAATTCAATCCAATATGAGGTAATTTCATACCAATGCTGGGTAAATTACATTGCCCAACAGTGTTTTATCCAATTTTTTTTAACAGTGTACAGGACGCTGGGAATTGGAAGAGTTAAGGGAGCAACTAAATAAACCAAAAAGCCGTCCGCCGAGCTCATTAATCAAAATTATACACTTAAACTAGTCTATATTAGAGAATGCTGAGAGAGTCATAATTGAAGACTGAGTCGTATCTTTCTATAATGGTAAAATATAGGTCACAGGTGGTGTTTTTCAAGAACGCACTTTAGCCGTGTTGCCAACGTCAAAACACCAAATGCCCAATTGAATTGTGCACTTAAACAAAATAATATTAAGCTAGATAATTGCGTTTTGAGTTAGTTTGAAACTAATCAGTGTCATATCCAGCAGGGGAGTGGGGGGGGGGGGGGGGGGTCGGGGGCACCTCACAATCCCTACTCATTAATACCCCTCCCCTCATAGGGGTAGCCAGCGGGGTGGGGGAGTAAGGAGGTATTAACCCCCCCCCCCCCCAAAAAAAAAAAAAAAAAAACTACACAAAAAACAAAAAACAAAAAACAAATATATATTTTGTAAAGACCCTTTTTACCAGCGCTTACAGCCCCCCCCCCATTTGTAAAGAGTGCCCTTCATTTGTTAAGGAGCCTTTTTTTCTGAAAAGTACCTTTAAACAAAAAAAGGCGTGCCCTTTTTTGCCATCGCATCGGCCGTTACGGGTGCCTTTTGGGAATTTCGGGCATGTATCTTCTTGAAAAGCACAATATATATTCCGTTAGTGTGGCATCATCGTCCGTTTGAACAACGCACCCATCGACAGATGGTACCAGCCCCCAGCCCCCCCCCCCCCCCCCCACCCCATTCCCCCGCCCCAGCCCCCCCCCCACCCCATTCCCCCGCCACTTTTTGATTTACGAATTCCAAGCCTCCGGAAAAAGTGTGTACATTTCAGAACGGATGTGTTTAACCCCCCCATAAAATAATGGTACCTTGCAGTTATTGTTTCGTAGAAACGACTTATCCAAACGTGGTCAGTCAACCGTCTCGCAAATTTTAATTGTTAATTGCCGAGGACGTGAAGGTTACGCGGTAAAAATTCTAACAGACTTTCCGACGACGTTTTCGTTTGGATCATCTCAATTCCCCCTAAAAGAGGGGTGGTAAGGTCAAACGAACCATGATCCTCTTGCAAACGTTTCAGACTTAAGGATGTGCCTTTGGAACTTTAGCACCCCCCCCCCCCCCCAAGAAAAAGGTACTACTTCTGATAACATGGCTTTCGAAAATAGGGTAGGTAAGTAGGGATTTTTTTTGGGCCAATTATTTTGTGTACGATCATAATTATGGGGGAGTCTAGCTGTCTTTTCCCCTAAACAAATTAGGGTAGGGGCTGTCAGAATAGGGTAGGTAGGGAAACCGGAAGCTGCAGACATATTATTTTGGCCTTACCATGGAATAAAATGCAACAAATAGATGAACAATACACGGGAACACTTTAGAATCATACATCGTCGTCGTTTGTTATTGTTGTTGTTGTCGATTTTTTGTTTTGTTTGTCGTTTGTCGTTTGTCGTTTGTCGTTGTTTTTGTTTTTACTTAAACAAACCTACCTGTTGATGTTCCTGTTCGACTGCCGTGCAGTGTTGTTTCCGTATATGGCACGGTTACAGGCTCAGCTTCGGGGAGTACAACTAACTCCTCTACGGGTGCAGGGGGCAATAAAACTGCACTCTAAAAAAGAAGTGTAAATTTATGTTGTGTAAAACTGTTGTGTAAACAAATTGCGTCATTTCTGCCCAATATTGAGCAAAATGAAAATTTCGCTTGTACCTTCTACTTGTGTCAAATGTGCTACACATGAAAACGGTAAAAAAGTACCCAACATTGACTACAAGTCCCTGCAGCACAGGCAAAGAGTTCAAATCATGGTGTTATTACCCAAGTGATGGGTTAAAGAAACTGGAATTACCCCACCGCTGTGTAACAATTATTTCATTGTTCACGTTGAAGAGTAGAATTTACCACGACATTAGTTAAATGTTACCACTGTGAGGGGTAAACTGACGCACGTGACAACGTTTACCCAATATTGTGCACTCGTCATCACTCATGTACAAAATGGCCGCCGCTTGTGAGACCTTCAACAATTTGGGGATTTTGATGACGTGATTTCTTTGTTCCAGGTAAGTCAGTGAAATGAATTTCAGTGTTGTTTCCTCCAAATGGGATGCTGATGTATGAGGATTAATATCGGGGAGCTCAGAGAAGTAACATGCTTATTTTTTGGACATTTATGTGCAACTTGGACGTCACGGCTCTGCCAACCACGATTCCATGCACATGATGCATGCGTTTCATGTACCGTATAGTGAGTGTTCCCAGATCTAGAAACACGGAGCAAACTGACCGACATTTGGGAAATTGTTTTTGAATGAGTTGATTGAGGGAAATTCTAGCACCACTGCCCATCATTTAGCCCACGTTCCTTGTAATAGTCCTCATGCATCAGCACCATATTTGAGGAAATATCATCTTATTCAGTTTACTGACTTTCCAACCCAGGACTCAGTTATTGAAATCCCTCGCGATTGCTGTCTCTAGCATGCAATTCACATTGCAGAGTTACAAGTTGAATAAAACCGCAAGGGTCAATAACAAAGGTATACACAACAACTAATTCAAAAACAACCCAAGTGATGGGTAAATTTAGAACCCAATAGTGCAGGGTAAAAATTAGAACCCAATATCTGGGTAAGAAACTGACACAACACTTGGTTAAAAGGAGGGTTGGGTAAAGTTTACCCAATAATTGAGTAAAAAGGGAACATGGTCGTCACATGGGTAAACTTTTTTACCCAACTTTGTTGTGCAAACACGTAACACAATTATGGGTAAAAGTTACACTGAAATGGGTACTTTTCTGCACTTTAGCTGTTGTGTAAAAAAAAGTACACAAGTTGACGACCATGTTCCCTTTTTACTCTCGAAAAGGTAGTAATTTTACCCAATATTGAGCAACTATTTTTTAGAGTGTGGAAATATTAAGGGCTCATCTTCGAGGGGCTCTTCTGCGGGCAATAAGGGCTCCTCCGTCGCGGGCGATATAACAGGCTCTTCAGTTGGGTCCACTGCGGGCAAAGACGTCTGGATCATAAGCAGCTCCGTGGTAGGTTCAGTTGATAGCTGGGCCTTGCTGCTGAAAGTGAAGCACCCAAAGCAGACAATCCAAGCAAACGCGCTGATGTTTCGTGAAAGCCTCCCTCGCAATAGAGGAGAGTACCGACTGCGACCCGCCATTTTTCCAACAGGTAATGACGAAACAATTTAATGTTGCTGCTCGTAGATTGTCTACTGGTTCTTCATTTTTGATCTCAACTATCTGGTGTGCCCGATGGCATTATTGGTAGAGCTCCCAAAAAGGGCAATGCGGTTTTGTTAGAGCCACTGGTTGGCTGTTAAAAGCACTCAAGGCTAATGATTATTCATAATGTACTCCCACTATGCATGATATATAAGTGTACAGTGGATCAATTACGGCATCAAGGGAAAACACATGACCTCCTCCAATTTTAATGAGAATAGTTAGAAGTCGGTACTAATCCCGTGTGGGGGTCGTACAACGTCAAGGCATGATGAGCAAGTTAAACTTTGAATGAAGTTGGCAAAGGAAAGGGAGAAAATAAAGGATCGGGTCACGTGTGAGATACGTGAGTTGATCAAGGTCTGACTGTCAATTTCATATATAGACCGATTTGTTTCATCTTGGTGATAAGCGTTTGTCTGCATTCGGGGCCAAAATCCATATTGCCGAAGCCCGCGTGGCAAGGGGGGGGGGGGGGGCTACGGGTCTCTACTCCAATGTGTATTTCCATGCGTTTACTCAACTATATTTATTACAAATGAAAACATCCACTTTAAAAACGACACTCGACCACGGCCTGATCGGCCCTGTTTAGGATGAGGTTCGATCCCGCCTCCAATACTATTTGCTTATATATATCATCGAGATATCACTAAATAAATATCGAATCCGCAATGTAGATTAGGGCGGTGGTCGAGTTCCAGTGTAAGTTTGACCACTAAAAAGGTTAAACACCTGGGAAAAAGTTGTCGACGTTTGTTTGCCTAGTATATCAGACGTAATTAATATGTTTTTTTGGCAACTTGATGGTTGTCAAAACTTATCAAGCTTGCGGGATACTTACAGCGAACAAAACTTTCTCTTGACCGATGTTATAACGATGCACGCCAATAAGACTTCTTTTACTAACCTGTACGTTTGCTAGTGTAAACCGCTCAATGCCCAGCGCGCGTCAAGTAGTCCGGTGTGTATAAGTGCGCAATTATATGCAATTACCGATTCGTGTAAACACTTTAACTGAACAATTCAATCTGGGACGCATCACAAAGAACCGATGTCGGTCACAAATTCCGCAAAAAAATATGGATTTTATTGGTCGGGTAAAAACTAGGTCATATACAAAGATATTGGTCTATACTTGATCTTGGCACAACATACCCAAAACATAATGCATATTAAAGCTTGATCCAACAATTTTGGAAGTAAATCCAATACATGAAATGTCGCGGATAATATGGATTAAATTGAGCTAATTATAGTAGCCAGGCTCTATTTTTGTTGTATACGCGTGTGATGGTCCATGTCTAAACTTTCCAGTGACACTTGAATAATTTTGGTCTGCACAAACATTTCGTTCTCCCATCCCACCCAAATAGTGTGTATGAGTAGGACTTTTGTCAGAAATCGTTTTTAAAACTCGCCCCCCCCCCCCCAAAAAAACCCCAAGTTCGATCCGGTGACTGGCATGCGGTATGGGTATAGTCACACCGTGCCCACGTACGGCCGCGGACGTACGTACGAACGCCAATCGTGTACTATCCGAGTCGTACGCATTTCAAAAAAAATCTTGGCAAGAGGGCGCTCTACCAGTTCCTGCTGTACAAAACAACGGCGGTTTGATCTCCCAATCAAGTAAGTATAAACTAAGATAATGTTCATATTTTTGGTTATTTTGGCTGTCATTTTGTACTTTGGTAGTAGTGGTTATATCCTGAGGGTCAATCAGAGTAAACTGTCTTCTCTAAAATATGCTTTAAAGTTCTGATTCGGCCTTTTCAAAACTGGTTCCGTATGAATGGGTTGGGCAGTTCGGTACGCTGTGTACGTACTGTCTCATCGTAGTCCATTGTGCATGCATGATACCCCTCCGTTCATTGATCACACACGCACTCGGTCAGTGACAGCCATAGTACATTCCTAACATACCATACGTGAAACTCACCAATTCCGGCCGCCGTTCACATTACATGCAATAGAAACGGGCCGTTTCCTATGTCTATGCATTCACTGCACTGATGTGTATGCATTCACTGATTCTGTTCATGGCGGATGATTTTAGTTGATTTTCATGCTTATGGGGATGTTCAATGTTAATTACTTAGAGGAAGAATTCCATACAGGGACATCACTATACTAATTTTTCCCTGCACAGCGAATAGGCCTACCTCCAAGGTGTAAGATCAAACCTTATAGGAAGACGAATTGAAGTTGCTATAGGCCTAGCACTAGCAGAAAATTGTCAATTTTTTCAAACTTCCAAACTCTCCTGTCACTGTTTGGCCTCAATATTTCAGAAGTATTATCTTGATGTGGATTGGTACCTCTAGGGTGGGTTGAAATCCCTCAAATGTCAAACGAAAATGTGAAATTTACCAGAATTTTGTTCACCAGGATCATTGGAGTCTCGCACTCGGCCGTCTCTCATTGTTTGTCGTCGACTGAGGGCGCTTGAATTCTCTTGACTATTTACAGCGCGGTTTTCATTCCAAGAGTGTCTCCGTGCCTCGCGCGATGTCTGGTGGGGTGGCTATTTGCACTCGTTGCAACGATGGTTTCCGTGAAGATGAGAAGATTGTCAACTCCAGTGGGGAGATGTGGCATGAAGAATGCTTCGTGTAAGTTCATGCATTGATCAAGATCACTGCTTCTTCTTTTTTATATCCCGATACATCCGATTTGAACGTTTGTCATACACAGTATACAATGTACATGTACATTGGTACATGCACCGGTATATATTAGAATTTGATGATGTCTTATTCATCTTAAAATCGGTCATTTCTAAGAAACAGTTGGTGAATTTTGAGAATTGTGTTTCCACAATATTTGTCATGTCCTGATAATTGGACCAAAGTGGGCAATGGGACTGTTCACTCAAACCAAAAATTTGGATTTGAAAAAAAAAAAGTACATCTAATACTGATAAATTTTGAAAATAGAAAATAGATTCTGTACATGTAGGAGTCTCAACGTGCTTACTTCAAGTAACATTTCAATGACAAGTCAATTATCATAAAGTGACTTACATGTACACATGTACATGGCCATTAACAATAACATGGAATGTAGTTTGGGGGTTAACAATTATGTGGTTTTTATTAGGAGAATGGGAAACTGATAATTTGCATACATTTTTATTTGCAGATGTGCTCAGTGCTTCCGACCGTTTCCTGAGGGAACGTTTTTTGAGGTAAAAAAACAACTTTACCTGACATATTTTTCGACCCCAATTTCATTTCATCATATTTACGCATATGCACGTACTGTTAGAGATTCACTGAATTATGTAGAAGTAGGAAATGCTTTTACAACTTGTCCCAAAACAATTGTGAATACATTATGGGGTCCCTGCACAAGTACAAATGCTTTTTAAAACTGTTTTCTTCATTACGCTGTCAGAGTGTTTGTAGGCTATATTTATTCTTTACCGATGCACGAAGTTAATATCTACATGTATGGATATAGACAATTCCACGGTTACTCACGTTACATTTTTGATGTACTTTTGAGTTTCCTTGGGCTGTAATTACCTTACTGAAAAGGTTTAATAACTGTTATCCCCATGGTAGATAGAGTAGACCTAGACCTACCTAAGCACCAAAGATGACATCCAGAAAAATGTGTTATGTATGATAAACAAGACGCACAAAATCAGTTACCCACGTTACGAAAATGTAACGTGAGTAACCGTGGAATTGCCCATATGACTTTTGTGTGTGATGTTGTTTTCTGCTGTTTCAGTTTGAGGGCAGGAGGTACTGTGAGCATGACTTTCAGGTCCTGTTTGCTCCATGCTGTGGAAAGTGTGGTAAGTTAAAAACAGAACCATAAAGAATTCATCCAGGGAATATTGACGATTGTGATTGCGACACCAGACACTCTTTCTGAGCTGCGTTGCTTTTAGTACCCACGAAAAGCAACTTCCATGATCACATTACCACTATAGCTTATAAATGTGCATACTTGTAAGCTATTCTAAATTGATTGAATAGCATTTTCGTGTGCTGGGATTACATGTAGCTTTAACACGCTGGCCTTTTCTTGATTAACCATACTATCTTTCTCTTTTCACATTGACGAATCTAGGGGAGTTTGTGATCGGCCGCGTGATCAAGGCAATGAACAACAACTGGCATGCTGAGTGTTTCCGCTGCGAGTTATGCAACGCCGTGCTGGCCGACACGGGATTCATCAAGAATAGAGGAAGGTATAGCAATTCTCGGGATGTTTTCCAAATCCTGGCTCTGTCTCCAGCTGTGGCTTCAATACCTGGCTGAAGGTTGATTCAGAAATGTGTTTTTGAATTGAGCCCCAAGTAAACACATTCTTTACTTCTTATTGGATGTTCACTGGACGTGAATGTGTGTCTGAGTCTCCAAATTCAGTGGCTTATTAGATTTGGAGCCGAAGTTTGAAATTCGGCTGAAGTGTGGGAAATCCTCAGCCCTAAAGAAAGTCTGTAGCCATGTGACAGCCAACAGGCTTCCATAGCAGACAGCCCGTAAGCTTTTGTTTTCCAGTGTACTTTAAACTCGATTCCCTCAACTTCCATAATAACTAGCTTCAAAGCCTTTGCTTAGAGTTTGAGAGATCATGCAAAGTTTCTACGCACTTTCACAAACCTTCGACAAATCCTGTATGTCATTAAAAATTGAAAAGACTTTGTTGAAAATTCTTGGAGTGTTTTCATTCTTTGTAACTACCCATTTGCGTACCATATTAATTTAGGCCCTACAGTCTGAAAATGGAATAATTTCCATTGGATGTCTGAACCCGGTTGAAGGTGGGGGCAGTATTTAATTAAGAAGGTATTGGACCTGATTTCTAATGAACAGTTAAAGAACACTATCACCTCAGTGCTCGAATATAATATGATATCTTGTAATATTTGTTGTTTCTTTTTTTTCTGTATACAGAGCTCTTTGTAGACCATGCCATTTGAAGGAAAAGGCTGCAGGTAGGCCAATTATTATTGTGGAAAGATATCTAAGGCTGCCCCCAGGTTGACCTTGTCGGCGACTGACTTTTCAGGATCAAGCTGCACCTGAGCTATGACCGTCAGGAACATATCAGTTGCCAATTTTTTTGTGACGTGATTGTAACTGCGACAATATTAAGACGATCAGCAAAAGTCGGCACTAACAAAAAAATTAGCAGTCCCAAGATGAGAACAATTTCAGCTTCTGTGCCTTGACGAAATGTGTTTCCTACAGGCGGTAATCAAACACAGTCCACCTGTGTGGAGTTACAACGTCGTGCGCCCATACAGATCATCTTATATCACTCATTCATCCATCTGTTTGTAGTATGTCTGTCCCCGAACTAGAGGTTGGGACTCCATGATGATCATGTCATCTTGTTCGGATAGCTTCACTCCACTCGGTTCAATTCCGGACTGGCATAGATCTGCAGACACCTCAGGTCTGATATCGTAGCCAATCAGCGTGCGGCACAAATGGTCGAATGAAATCATTTTGTATTTCGAGCATGAAAGTTTGTTTTTTATTTTTTCCCTCCAGGGAGTGGAAAGTACATTTGCTTCAAGTGCCAGTAAGTGGGTTTATTTCTCATTTTTAGTTTTCAATTTGTCCTATGTGGTTTTCTGAATATTTTGGGTTAAATTGGTAAACAAATAAAACCGCTTGTGAACATTTTGCTCTTCAAAAAGATGATGTATTTTTTCCCCGTGACAACAAATTTTTGTCAGCTTTTCAACCCAATTTCAACCCAATTTTTTTTTGCTGTGCAGTGGCCTGATCCAGGAAGACGAACATTTGAAATGGAAGATGGAACATTATCATCCCTACCACTTCAACTGCTGCAAGTGTGGGTGAGTAACAGGCTTTGAAAACCCAGGAATACCAAGCTTTTGTGTTTGACACTTTTGTTTTCAATTTCAGATGTGGATTTATTTTCACAAAGCCAAATATTTAGAGAGATTTTCAGGACTCCATTTTTTTCTTTCAGTTTGCCACTTGTTGTAAAAAAAATTTGCATTTTACAAATAATAAAGAAATAACTTGGGAATAGAGTACGCAAATTATGTGAAATTTTCACAGTTGCTAATCAATAACATGTAAGTTATCCTTATGTTATTTTTATAAAATGGAGCGAGCCACATAATTATTTTTAAAATATTTTTTCTAGTTCGGTCACTTTCTTTTTGACTCACCCTGTATATCGTACCCAGTTTTGTGGTGATTTCTCCTTTAATATACAGTCTCTCCATGGTATTTAATACTCAAATCTATTGTAGCCGGAATACATTGTCAAGAACATGTATATCAAGTATTGCACATCATCAATACTTGAAAAATATTATTAACATTTTTCATTGAAGAAAAAAACCAAAATCAAACAGGGAATTCAGGAGTATAGATATCGAAACTAAATGACAGGTTTAAGTTTCTTCTGAAAATATTTTCTCTGGAACATGAATAACTGAATTGCTAATACCTTATACAGTTTTAATAATGGATTGTTCCATTGTTTTTGTGTAGGGAGGAATTGACTCCCAGTGCTCGTGAGTTGAGAGGGGAGCTATACTGCCTGCCATGCCATGATAAGCAGGGTATCCCGATCTGTAGTGCCTGCCATCGTCCAATCGAAGAACGTATTGTGACGGCCATGGGCAAACACTGGCACGTCGAGGTAAGTAAGGCTGCATCTAACCTGTTCTAACCTGTCCAAACCCAGCGGCAGATCCAAGGGGGGGGGGGGTCCAACGGGGACCATGGCCCTCCCCAAAAACTAACACATTTTTTTCTTTTAAAGTGACGTTGCAAAAAAGGCAGCCACTGCGTACACTACCATCCTTTGCTAAATCAAATTGGTTAAAGTGGTCAGAAATTGCAAAATTAAAGTGGTCAGATAGAGCATCTAGAATCCACAAAATTTCCGGGGCCCTTATGCGGGCCCCCAACCCCACGCCTTAAATTTTTGAATCAAATTTCTGGGGAACATACCTTTTGAGCCCCGTAAAAATTGTCTTCGTGATCCGCCCTTGTCCAAACCTGACCTTACCTAACCTGACCTGACCTGAACTGACCTGACATGACATGATCTGCTCTGACCTGAACTGACTCGACGGTGCCTTACTTGACTTGACCCAAACTTTAACCTGACCCGACTTGACCTGGAAAGATATGACTTGTCTTGTATTGATGCCAGGTTGGGAAACCTCAGTTTTATTTTCAACATTAGCTTCAGGCTCTAGTTTCATGACTTCAGATGCCACACCTTCATCAAATTATTGACACTGAGAAGTCACCAAGGGCTGAATTTCTTGTTTATAAACCTGCCTTTTGTAAACTGCGGCTGAATTAATAAATTAATTACAATAATGAATTTGTGTTGATTTTTCAGCACTTTGTGTGTGCTCGCTGCGAGAAGCCTTTTCTTGGTCACAAGCACTATGAGCGCAACGGCAAGGCCTACTGTGAGATGCATTACAACCAGGTATGTAAGTGGTACCTTTGTGGACAACTTGAAACTTTTGGTGGCCAGAGTTTTATTCCTGTCTCTACTGAGATCCTATGGTATAAATGGAAGACAGACAGATGAGAACACTGCTTTTCTCATTGGGAGTAACCTCCACTAGAAACGTCAGAGAGAAAACAGTCAATCTAACTGTAAACTGGCCAGCCCTCTAATCTATCTTAATCCTTCGTCCAAACAGTGGCTTTATAATCCCTAACACTTAAGTGTAATAAAGCCACATGTGCTGTCACACAGCTGATATTGACAAGTGCAGGGGATAAGCAGCAGTATCTGATAACAGGGGCCAGTTTGTTGACAAAGGGATTAACAAGATTAGAGTGTACTGTTAGAAGAACTGTATTCTTTTGAAGAACTGTATAAAATTTGTATTTTAACAAAGTTTGTAAAATCTTTGTGCTGACAGCTTTTTGGCAACATGTGCTTCTACTGCAACAAGCCCATTACATCTGAGAGTAAGTTCTGTAGATTTAATTGTCATATTTCTCTTTCAGTTTTTAGTGTATTTTTTTCTACCTTGCAGCGAGTATTAAACGTTTCAAATTCAATCTTGAGGTAATTTGTATTCATCTTTTACTCAAGGCAGGATTACCCCCTTCTCTGTATTATCCATTTACTTCCTTGCTTATCAGTCACACTTTTGAGGGCATTAAGACTTTGAGATTTGTGTGGTTGACCATCAGTGGGTAAAGGGAGTACCATGTATGTGTACTTCTGAGTAGAAATAGCTACAAGTACTTTGTTCGTCTTCAGCTGAAGGTAAAGGTAAAGGTACCCATAGCCATTACTGGCCGTAGGAGCAGTGGGATGTTAGAGGTCCACTGTGTCTTTGGCGTGGCATATGAGTGGCGGGGCCCAGTCCTCTCCTCTCGCCATCTTACCTTCGCTGAACGAATCAGGTACCCATTTTGCTGTTGGGTCGTCTGAGAGAGTTTTCCAGTTTTTGATCCGAATGGGATTGGAACCGCCGACCTTCCACTCCATAGCTCCACGCTCTAACCGCTCGGCTACGAGGCAAACAGAAAACACGGTTTGCAATTCAATTAAGGGGTTGCTCTTCAACGACGTATTTTGTAAACAATCGTATACTCACTATTGTCCCGAGTGATTGTGAGAAAAATTCACAAGTTACTTGGGTGGAAATCAAACCCACGACCTCTTGCCTACTAGTGCAGACGTCTTACCACTCCACCACGGAGCTTGCCAGCATCGGCTTTTGAAATGTTGAGCTAATAAGTTGTTCTCCTCAACACTGGCAACTCTGAAAAAGTGGTGCTGTGTATGTAATGTTGCTTCCTCGCAATCAGTTTCTCTTTTCCGTGTCAGTCAGAAGGAGTAAATCAGTTAGCTTTATAGAGGTTTAATTGTCGTTTCCCTTTTCTGTAGTGATGTGCACCATGAACAAGACGTGGTGTGAGGAGCATTTCTTCTGCAGTTCCTGCGATACCCTCCTAAGTGCCAAGTAAGTCATCACATTTCATTCCTTCAATTTCCCTAAAGCAGGATCGTTCCCTTTGTCCTGAAAACTTGGGAATGGAACCTCCACGCAGGTCCAAGTGATTTTGAATTTGTTTCTTTCGTACAAAATATTAATCCAAACTCTGTTAGGAACTTGGTTTGACTTTTCAACCCGATTTAGAAATCAAGTTTCACCATTTGGTATAAACATTTATTTAATCTGAAATATCAAGAACAATGAAATTTGGCCGTCTAAGATGTATTTTGATTGAGATATTTGCTATTAACAACAGGAGTAAGTTCATCGAGTTTGATCTGAAGCCTGTCTGCAAGAAGTGCTACGACAAGTTCCCCAATGAGCTGAAGAGACGCCAAAAGAAAGTGGAGACTACCAGCAAGAAATACGGCAAGGCTGAGCAGAAGTAGGCCACTAGGAAAGGACGGCGAAATTAAAGATGGAGAAGTTTGGAGGGAAGGGGGAGGGGGTTGCTTGAGGTCGTGGGGTAGGGTAGAAGTAATGGACAATGGAGGAATATTAGCCTAGATGAGGCACAATATTGGGGCACAGGCGGAGGGTGCTATTTGGTTGGGGTATGTTTGGGTAAAGAGAAAAGAGTTTAAAAAGGCTAATGCAGGAAAGGGGTGTAGTTGAAACGTTTGACAATATCACTTGGCTATGCATGTTGAGAATAAAAAGTCATGCATCTAGGCATGAATTTGATACCGCTTACTTACTAATCATCATTTATATATTAAAAAAATTTAAGGTCACAATGTGACATTTTAAAGCAAATTAGGTTAAAGTTTTATATTTTTATTAAGGAAATAAATCTGTGCTTGACCAGTTTTAAACAAATAATTTAAAGCCGTGTAGGGGCCTGAACGCTGATAATGCCCCAGGCAAGGCTGCTAGATTGTTAAAAAATTATGTGTTCGAAACTGGCCAAGTACATATTTATTCACACTCATAAAGACCTTTCAGTCAAAAAGTCAAAACAAATCATAAATTCACAAATTTCCAACGACTTTGTTCAACAATTTACTTCATGTTTTGTGAAACACCCCTCTGGCCATGGCTATAGTATGTGCCTCATGTGCATAGTGCTAAGAAATCTCCTTATATGGAAATTGGCATGTGCGAGGCGCGTACTCAGGAATTGTGTTTAAAACCAGCAGGTGTTTTATCAGCGCCAACCCAGCCAAGTGACGTGCTCTTGACCAATAGGAATGGGTAAATTGTCTCAGATATTTATGAATGCTTATGAATGCATGTTGGTATAGCTATGAATTATTCTCTTTGTAATTATTGAATACACATACATTGTAGGTATAAGATATTAATGCATGCCTCAGTAATGAAATAAGCCGCATGCAATGTTTTGCTTTATAGATGAAAAAATAGTAAAATCAGTCACGCGAAGCTAACACCTTATTACTTGCACATCAGCACACAGGGAGAAGAAACTTTAAGCTTAAATACAATAACATCATTCGCATTTCATTAGTGTTATTATTCAAGGAAGAACAGCACTCGAACTCGCCCCAGCATCTAAAAAAAATTAAGTATGAATCAGTCAAGATCGTGCGTGATAGTCGTTTGCCCTGGTATGGTTACATATGATACAATACAATGCATTGAACTTGTTGAATTAAACAGATGGCATGCCTACTTCATCATTGAATGAGTATAATTATCATATATCACTTCCGTAAGTTGCCTTTTCATGATGTCTGTCTACAACATTAATCCCCGTGGGAATTGTATCGAAGCCCAAGATTTTGACGACCTTCTCGGATTTTTTTTTTTTTTTTTTTAGGATTGAGGAAGGCAGAGCCCAACTAAGCTTGGGGCTGGATAGTACCTTGAAATAAAGTTCAGTTGTGGTTGGTTTGGTTTATGGTTTATTAAAAAAAACATGACATATAGTAGTGAGAAACTGAATTGCATGACATTTACAACATTAAAAAACAGTTAGGCCTAGAAAGCACAAATACATATTAAAAGTTTTTAAACTTTAACTTTAGAGTTAAGGTTCACGTTATACATTGTATAAAGACCAAATACGTAGAATGTGGTTTCACACACAGAACAGTGTTGAATTTTAGCGGGTTATAAGTAAGTTTCCAACTCCAGCAAAAAAAGTCATATTAAAGCTGGTGAACGCGGTTTCAGTTATTGTTACCGGTATTATTATAATGTTTTTAAACTCGGATGCAGGGTTCAAAATGTTTACGATGCATCATGTTGGCCTTCATTATAAGTACATGTATAAACGTGCATGCCTACAATCACCTATTTGCAGCAACAAATATTAGCCACATTTTACTTGTATATACACCGATTCCTAATTTTTCAATTTTTCAACCCAGATTTCAGTTTGACCGATGCGTTGACACATCTTTGTAGCAAAACTGAAATCCGTGTCACAAATTTAAATTCATAAAGTGGAACAAAGAAATTGACTGGAGCTGAAACACATGGGCCTAATGGCGACATTTCTTGTTTAGATTGTGACGGACGGAACAAAAGTAGTTTGAGATTATTTTGTAAGTTTAAAAAACAATTAATTTAATACGATATCTTAACAGTAAATAAAGTTTGCATAAAAATACTCATTGTATAGCTACGTTAAGTTAGACATTGCCGAAAATGTAGTAATTAAAAAAAAACACTTATTTTTTTGCATGATGGTAAAATAAAATTTTACAAGATATTGAAAAAACAAGGAGAATAACTCTTTCCATTTTTTTTGACAACAACGTCGCTACTTTCAGTTGCTGTTTAGTTGTGATGATGACTTGCGCTTTTCAGATTTTTAAATCGATGGGATGTTGATAATTATTTGGTCCCCTTTGGCTGCAGACAGAAGCGTGCATATTTATTAGGGGACGAGGTTGATTTATGACACGGGCAACTTAACTCGATTATTGAAAACCGTCACATCAAAAGTAATGCTGGTGCCAATTTGCTGAAGGATCGAAAGATGCATCAAACTACATGCATTTCCCACGGAGTGCTGTGGCCTCGTGGTCTGGAGCATTGAGTTCGTGGTCTCCGCGGGTAATTCTGCAGGTTGTGGGTTCAAGTCCAGCCTGCGGCTATGGTGCGTGTGCCCTTGGGCAAGGCACTTTGTCACTCATTGCTTCTCTCCACTCGGGAGTAAATGGGTACATGTGAGCACAGGGAGGGTGTGGTTGATTTTAGCTGCTTTGCGCCGAAACGGTAGCATCAAGCTGTTTTCAAATGTACTAGGGGGCTGAGATGGTATTTGAAATGTCCAGTAATGCTGGATACGTGCGCTTTAAAAATACCACTTATTATTATTATTATTATTGTTGTTGTTATTCATTTCTCCGCATTAATACAACTCCACCAAACATCGTTTGTCTGTTTAGGACCCAAAGGTTACACCTTTATCTGTCTACTTGACGGAAGCTTGTAACGTCGCTGATATCACGCCGCATCAGTTGTGTAAAATGGGCACCCTTACTGCCCCAGCAAACAGGACAAATTCTGATAATCACCCATTATCATTATGCGAACGGATTTGTGATGATCTAACAACAAAGTAAACAAAGCCCAACCAAATTTGGAAGCACTTACAAGCCCCACAGGTTCCAAAGTTTTATGACGAACTTTATAGCACGCCATTAACCCGTGTCAGTTTGCTATTAAAAGGGTACACTCTCAATTTGTTTGCGCAGTGCATGTAAGCATATACGTGCAGTTAAAAAGTCGAGGGCAGTGTTTCAAGCCTGCTCCCCAAGTTCACACGGTTCGTTAGCCATCAACGTCTAAGTAACATCTTCCCGTAGATCGTCCATCATGGCGAATAAGGTATTGATCGCCCTTGTCTCAGCAGCGGTCGTGGTGGTGGTGTTTTTGGCCATCTTCCTGCCTGTGTACCTCACCCAGAGAGCCAAGGACGAGCCGTCTACTACAATTAAGGACATAGACAGGTTGGGAGAAATATGTTATACTTTTCAGATCTTGGTGTCCGAATTTTTTGGCTTAAGCTTTGGAATGATTAGGAAGGCTTTAATGAGGAAATACATGTATGTTTGGGAGGCATTAAAAACTCTGTTTAAGACCGGTTGGAGTCTGGATGGTTGATAATTACCCGAGGCGAAGCAGAGGGTAATTATCAGCACTCCAGACTCCAACCGGGCTGAAACGGATTGTTTAATACCGACCAAGCACAATTTATTTCACATTCATAAATACCTTTACGGTAACCCCCCCCCAATCCGAGTTTTCGGTCCAAAATTATATACAAGTCAAAAATTATATACAAGTCAAAAACTATAAAGGGCGTCAACATTAAAGGGCGTCATGTTATCGAGAACCGCAATGTTCTGCCCAAGAAAAAAAGAAGGCCAGTGGATGTGAATTTACCCCCCCCATCATATTCCTACCCGGCTCCACCCACCCTATATAGGTGACCCGTGTATATAAGGACGCGTGATAACGCTGTGGTCTCATTTTGTTATAACAAGCTATATATAAGAAGTTGGCAAAATAGATAAGGGGTGTGCAAATACGAAGCTAAGATGATAACCATCAGCTTTTGGTGACAGCATGTCATAATATAGGCCTAGTCCTTATTCGTATCGTATCAACGGCTACCCTCGTGCACCAGCCAATGTTTCCACAGAATATAATATGCAACATTTGCAAACATCCAAAACAAAACTATTGTATTATAAAAAAAAAACACCTTCCTTGGCTGTAAGTGAATAATAGTCTCAAGCATCATGTGAAATCATGGCGTATGGATGGTGTGCTGTCATTTTCAAGAAAAGTGGAGTTTTGTATCAATTTCCGACGATGGTCGGCTGACCAACGTTGGTGGACGAGTACAATTAAGCCTGATAGTCTGGTTCCCTGACCTGACAATTTCCCAACTTCTATGAATCGCTCCGTTTCGTCTGAAGAAGGGTCACGGGAAACAAGACTACAAGAATAGTATTTTTGCTTGGCTTTCCAGCATCTTTTAACATACAATTCAGTGTAAAAATATTAGCTATAAAATACTAACCCCATTTCTAAAACTTTCTAAAAGCAAACGTTGTTTGTTACCTTTAACTATAGGCCAATGGCGGGAAAAAAGTTGAACTCGCTTTTTTGGCCTTGGGCCAAAGCCTGCAACGTGCAATCTCGCTTTAACTTTTTAGTGGCAACTTGATTTTTCAGTTAGTAGTTTGGAACATGTTAATTGATATTTTGCAATGCTCACACCATATCGTTTGCACAAAATTAATCAGAAATAAAGAGGACTGTTTCCCCAATGTAACTATGCCACATGGGGGCGATTGCGATGCATCATGCATCGCTGCCATTGCGTACCAGCCTCGCCTCAATGGGCGCGTGGGCGTTCCTCCATTAACCCCTGGCCAAGGAGAATACGAAACGGCGACGCTGACTGGATATTCAGAGCGTGGGACGAGACCTTTTTTCGCTCGCCACGCGGTCTGGTTTGCCGATTTTATAAAACTTCACAGACATAAAAACGCCGAAAATTCTACATGAGAAAAAAAACATAAAAAACAGTGAACCCTTTGTGCATGCATTGCTACTATATTAAAGTAACACAGAACAACCTCTGAGACACCTATAGTTTTGCTAGGCGACTGGGAAAAAAGACGAACTTGATTAAATTAAGCTCTCCTTGTTGCAGGGTACCCATCTTCCATCGCTGTTCACGAATATCACGGGGAAGTAAAATGTGGTTATTAATGGGGTACGGTATCAGCCTCGACAAACTAGTTTCGAACACTGCCCTTCTGACCTTTAGCCCTTTGCCTTGTCTATTCTTTGGTTTTTGTAGAAATGTCGGGCATACAAACAAAAACAATACTAATCACTGATTCAACAGATGAATTTGATAAGAAAACAACTGGAGCCACACAACAGTTGAGTAAAGGACAGACGCCATTTTGTAAAAGTACACGCTTGAAAGTCCCGAGTAGATTTTGGGCCGTATCATTTATAAGTCCGACGCCTCATAAGTCCGACGCCTCATAAGTCCGAATATCGGACTTACCAGGCGTTGGACTTATGAGGCATAAATTCCGCCTCATATAGGTCCGACGCCTCATAAGTCCGACAATGGACAAACGCTGTTTCGGACTTATGGCGTCGGAGCTATAAGGTGTCGGACTCATGCGGCGTCGGACCTATGACGTGGAATAAATGCATCGTATGGCGACGCCGCATAGGTCCGAAATTTCGGACTTACGAGGAGTCGGACTTATGAGGCTAAAAGAGCCTACGAATGCACAAAAGAGATAGAACAATCTCTAATGAGGAATATTGCTTATCATTATTTAACTCTGTAAAAAAGAAAGAATTTTAATGGTTTTTCGAAGTGTTGTACAGAAAAGCTGATTGAAATGTCTTTTTCAGTGATGTTTGATTATGTTAATGGTTTTGAAAGAGACACTTAACGTCCACTGCAAGACCACCTCCCATGCTGTAATAAATATTATATAGGCCTATTAACCCAATATCCTGTGTATAATTGAATCCTTGTCTGGTTACTCAAGGGGTAAAACTGCTTTTCATGCGTATGAGCGAAGCGAAGTAGCATCAAAATGATCTTTCATTTCGCTGTCAGGTTCGACTGCTACCCGGATCTGGATCTGAAAGTTAATTCCACCCTCTGCGAGAAACGGGGCTGCTCGTGGAGGTCCGCCAGTCTTGCCGGGGCGCCCCAGTGCTTTTACCCCGATAACTACGGCTATCAGATCTCTGAGCAACCCACGGGTACCAACCTGGGCTGGGAGGCCAGGCTGACTCGTCTGGAGGGGATACCTAGCCGCTACGGGGCCGATATCAATACTCTGAAAGTTGAGGTGGAGTTCCAGACAGATTATCGTCTACACTTCAAGGTATGGGATCTTCCTGTTCGCGTGATTTCAAGATGGCGGCCCCCAACGAAAGTGTCAGTGACGTTGTCAGCACCTATACATTTTAGAAGACAAGCTGGTTGATTTGTGGCCAGATTGTCCTTGTTTGTAATTCGCATGATTTTAAAACTAGCGACAAACGCCAACAGGCTTTAGAAAAAAAAGAAAAACAATACTTGAAATCACGTGAACAGAGCATGTGCTTTTATTGGCTAGTTAATTTTTTTTGGCTCAGCACGTAGCTCCCCATGCTTGCACACGGTGAATTGTTGACTCGCAAGGCGATAGAATCAGACAGGGTGGATATTTGCCTCACGGCCTCGCGAGGCAGAACATGGTGAGCTACGTGCTGACCAAACGGCCTTGAATTACTTTTTGCTCAGCACTTTGCCCTCGCTTGTGCGGCGGGCTCAATATTTCAGCAGTCCTACAACCTTCTGCTGGTCCCAGAGCAAGGGCCAGCCGGATTTGTTTTTTGTCCCACACACTGACTGGCAGTCACTTGTGAGCCGGGCAGTGCTATCGCACAGGATTACCCCGCTACCCCAGTGGATGGCTAAATCCGGCCCATTGTGAAGACCAGATGTATTCAAAAAGGCGACCAGTGAATTGCCGTTCCGAAGCTCTACTAGTTTTGCCTTGGCTTGTTTTCGTTACATGCGCTTGTATTATTTCTCAGTCCATTATTTTCGTCCATCCGTAGATATCAGACGCAGACAACGCCCGATTCGAAGTTCCCAGCGATGCAGTCAACATTCCTAGGCCGACCTCGAAGGCATCTAACCCAATGTACGAGGTCACCTACACGCAGAACCCGTTCAGTATCAAGGTCAAACGGAAAAGCACTGGGGTGACAGTGTAAGTGCAAATCAAAATATAACAAAATGGCTGGATATCTATTGTAGAAATTCTGATGATGCACCAATGATCTGCCGCACAACTAAGTAATCAGTAAGGTGTTAATCACAATGATTTCGTAGATTTTACATGGAGTCTATCGCAAATCTATCTAAATGTTATGTTATGTTATGTTTGTATAAACAACGGCAAAGGAATACCTTTGTAACAATTTATTGAGTTAGCTTCATGTTGTCACACTGAAGTTAGACTGGACGACTTCTAAATAACTTCTGATCTTTTCTGATATCCTGCTTCTAACTCCTGTAAAAAGTCTTTGCCAAGAAGAGCGCTGGCATTTTCGGCGACACTTCTTTTTGTCAGTGTTTTGTGCGTGCTTCCTTTAAAAAAAAATCCACTCTTTTGTTCTAGTTTTGATTCGTCAGTGGGTGGTTTTACATTCGAGGATCAGTTTCTTCAGATATCCACCAAGCTGCCATCCAAGTACGTCTACGGGTTTGGTGAACACAATCACAGGCGCTTCTTGCACGATATGGACTACAAAACATGGACAATGTTTACCAGGGATGTTGCGCCTGTTGTACGTATTTTCTTGTTTGTTTGCGCTTTTGCTTTATACACATGAAAGTTGGAAGACCCAAATAAATAATTTCATTCTCCATTTTTCATTCTCCATTTCTTACTCAGGATGAATGGAATCTCTACGGTCACCACCCATATCACATGTGTGTCGAGGATCGCGAGAACGCCCATAGCATCCTCTTCTTGAACAGCAATGCAATGGGTGAGGGCATGATTTTGTGTGGTATTGCATTGATAAAGACTCCAGATTCAGACGTATGATTTTTGCTCCATTAAGCTTCACTGAATCCCAGCTGGCGAATTTCAATCGATGTTATTGGTTCGGAAGCTCGTTGTTTGATATTTAAACCAGCGACTTTACTTGTAAGGAGACTAAAGGGTAAAAAAACACAGCCAAGTCTGTCATTAGCCAATGTGGCCTATAAGGCTGGCATGTATCTTCGGTTTCAGTAGCATTAAAAGACTGAGAATATTTCTGCTCCCCTGGGATGCTAATACATCGCAGGCTAATCCCCAGCTAAAAGCCGGTGCCCATTTATACTCCTGGGTGGAGAGAGGCAAGTGGTGGTGAAGTGGCTTGCCCAAGGACACAACATTATGACCAGCAGCTGGACTCGAACCCCTGACCCTCTGATCATGAGTCACAAACCCTAACCACAAGGCCACACTCCCCAAGCCAATGGTGCATCAAGAGGGTTACCTTTATTTAACATTGGGTAGAACTATAGTGACTGATTGGAGCAAGTTTTAAACCTGTTATCTTCGCAATCGTCAGAACACGCTTTCCGAAGGTCCCAGATTCAATTGTCAAAATAGCACTATTGCTACAACATTTTGTGGAATCATAATACCTATATACGATCTACAACTATCACACAACGATCTTAAATCGGCAAAACTGTACGATCGCTGATGAAAATTGAATGATTGATTAGTTTGGCTTTATCTGTCTTTTTTTCTCTCTCCAGATGTCACTCTACAGCCAACCCCAGCTCTGACCTACCGCACTATTGGTGGGGTATTCGATTTCTACATGTTCTTCGGCCCGACGCCCGAAAACCTTGTATCGCAGTACACAGAGGTAGGTCTTGGGAATATTGAACCCGACAATCAACTAGATTAAAAAGAAGACTGCAACACAACAGGTGGAAAAGGGGAAGTAAACAAAAAAAAAAGTACGATAAGTCAGCCAGAGAATCTGAGTGATGTTCTATTAAGGAGTAATCTTATTTATGATCGAGGATGAGTTGCGGACGAGTTTGTCCGCAATAAGGTCTATTTTATCGGGTGTAAGCTGCCGGATTCTGAACAACTTCCCCGCAATCTTCATGCAGTGCAGTACAGGTAGCTATTCAGGATTCCGAGACAAGTACTCGAGAAAATGTGCTTAAAGGAATTTTGGGGAAACATTTGTTTTGCCCCACCTTCCCGGGAAAAATCCTGGCGACGCCTATGATGCATGACATCTACAGCCGTCAGGAATCAGCGTCAATACTCTTAGCATATCTTACTCGTGAATCTTTTTATATTCCCTCCAAAGGCAATCGGCCGACCAGTAATGCCGCCATACTGGGCCCTTGGGTTCCAACTCAGCCGATGGAACTACCTGTCACTCGATCGTGTCAAAGAGGTGGTCAAGGAGGTCACCGACGCAGAGATACCATTTGTAAGACTTGTCACCTTTTCCCCGTAATTTATCACCTGTAATTTCTTTCCAGAATATAGGCTCCATTGTTACTTTCAAATTCAAACGTGCACCATTACTTAATTTAATATTTGGAACAGTGCAGTTCATTCATGAATGTAGCATTCTAATTTGTCCAAGTTTCTGAGAAATTGTTCTCGTATGGAGTTTGATCATGTTTATTTGAAAAACCAAATAATGTATTTTTTATTATGCTTTTAAATGCTTCGGTAATTTGAAGAATAAATGTGAGCATCAGTCAAACAGAGAACAACAATAGAAGAAATAGCAGATACGAAGCTGTATTGCGATAATTAACATACCCTACTCAGGGACACATTTCACAAAATAAATATATATATTTTTTTCAGTACATGTGTTGCTGAATCTTAACAACTACTATTATTATCACACGAACAATATAATGTCTTACCACTCTGCTCTCTGCTCATGCTCATACTTGACCAGAATCAGGGTCGTTTTGGCCCGATACTTGTCAGGGTCAAAATAACACTCCAGACTTGATCGGATCAGTTTCCGGGTCATTTTGACCCAGAACTTTTGAAAAAAATTGCCATTTTGACCTAAGTGTCATTTTAACTCTGAAAATAATCATGTCAAATCTGACTCGGATTCCGGGTTAAATTTGACCCGGGACATTGGAGAGCGCAGAGAAACAATTTATATTTCATAACTTAATAAGGGTCGCTGATCCATATCCACAGGATGTCCAATACGGTGACATCGATTACATGGATCGATGGATGGACTTCACGGTGGACGAAACTACCTATGGCACGCAGAATCTGTCTGACTTCGTCGATGATCTGCACAGCAAGGGTATGCGTTACATTATCATTCTGGTGAGTCCCAATAATTTTATTTGCTCATTATTTGATATTATATGGCAGAACTACCGAGAACTACATTTTTGTATTTGTTGTTGTGTTGAAGATAGATCGCTGTAAAGAACGAATATTGTTGGAAGCTAGGTTTTATCGTCTAATCAGTAAGCCCTATGCAGAATGACTTTGATATGCAAAGTAAATAGAATGTGAGTCATGAATAAAATTGGTACATGTACTGAATGCACCTGGCTTTTATATACTCTCAGCTTTTTTATCACGCAACACTTTACACTGAAAAACAATGACACATCAATGCTGAAAGTACCCACGAACCGTCAAAATGTAAATGGTTGAGGTCTTCTGTTCTTGATCGGCAATCCCGATAATTTCATTGTTACGTACAGGATCACTGCATCGGAAAAGAGGTTGGCTACGAACCGTACGACCTAGGTCTCACACAGGATATCTTCGTCAAAACCAAAGCTGGTGCGAATCTGGAAGGCGAGGTGAGTTTGAGTATTCATACATATACCTTAATTCTTGGATCCTTTTGGGTTACTTTACCCCTCCTTTCCCGAACCATTTTTCAAGCCTTGGTTTTGTCTCCGACTACGCCTCTGGGCTTAAGATTCAGTTTTCGAATCCCTGACGTTCTAGATTCGAGCTGAATTTGTCTCCATTTGTCTATTCTGAACCAAATATATTGCCTTCCTGATGTTTCTGGGACGTGACAAAGACAAAGCCAATATTTTAGATATGCTTTGTGATTCTTTTCTTGCTACTTCCCTCTCCTTTTTTCCCCTGTCTTCTTTGTTATATTTAATACCTCCTTTTCTCCCAATTTCTCGTACACACTTCTTTGATTCCTTCCAGTTCCCGTACATACTTCTTTGATTCCTTCTTTGATTCCTTCCAGTTCCCGAAGAGTGTCAGTTTAAATCTGACCCGGATTCAGGGTATGCAGCATATGAGTAATAATAGGGGACGGAAGGTGCACTTATTCACCTCTTCCTCGCCCTCTTACGCCCCTGCTAGCCTAATTGGTTCATGATTCGACTGTGCCATTCTTTCTCATCAAGGTGTGGCCTGCCGTTCCCTCCAGCGTGTATCCAGACTTCACTCTCTCAGATGACGTGACCGCGTGGTGGACGCAGCTCTGCGATGACTTCCACGGGAAGATTGCTTATGATGCGCTGTGGATCGTAAGTTAAGAGCCTCAGAGTCGTAACCACGTCTTCAATCGATTGAGTTTCTGAGCTGATCTGCTTTTACCGTGAAGGCATTTGTGATTTGCGTAATTCATCCAATTACATTGCGTGTTTTTCGTTTTATAAGGACATGAACGAGCCGTCGAATTTCGTCCCTGGTTCCACAACTGGCTGTGAAGAGAACAAGATTAACAACCCACCTTATTTGCCCAGTAAGTTTCCATGGATGCACCCAACCCAACACGAGGGGTCATAGATTCCCCCCTAGTTATATACCTTTTGAGTAGTATAATTTTATATACGAATCTTGCAAAACAAAATTGAATAGAAAATATTTCTTTGTACAAAATAATAATAAAAAATTGTTAATTGATAATTTGTTTAGGGATAAAGCAAATGGACAGCTATGTTGTTTTTTTTACTGCAAATGAAAAATCACCCAGATAAAACAAAATTCTTCAGAATACCGACTTATTTTGTGTGATCCAGTCACATAATGCAACACATCTTTACTATTTGTGTATTTTAAGGACCACACCATTATTCATGTACCTCAAAAAATTACATAATAATCATATAGATGTTGTTTCTCTTAAATATCTCTCTCGCCTTTCTGATTTTCCCCTGTATTTCCTAGACATTCTCGGTCGTATGATGGGTGACAAGCGCGGTCTGTACGACAAGACGATATGCATGGACGCAAAACAGAGCTGGGGCGACCACTACGACGTGCACAGTCTGTACGGCCACAGCATGTCACAGGTCACCTTCAAGTGAGTTTACTAGTACTGTGCTCTGTGTTAATGACTGGCTGACAACACAAAGCATTGTCCTCGAGAGTATAGTAAAACACGACTGTGTGCGTTTGAGCGTGCTATTCGTGTTAACACGAGTATACGCACGAACGGCAGGAGCAAGTCCCGCGGGTTAGCAAGAGTATACTCTCGGTCAGACCAGAAGTACTCTTGCACCGAGAATAATGCGAAGCGCAACATTTTTCATGCACTTGGGAGTAGCAAGATCTAAGAGTAACATGCTCGAACGCACCCTCGGAACTTTGTATAGGTAGTTGGTATATTTTTTCTTCTTCAGAGTTAAGGCAGCGAAAATAAGAATTGTATTTTCTGACTGGCTTTTGAGAATACAAATAATATTTCATAAGGGGAATTGTTTGAAGTGAAGAAAACATATCAACTGCAGATTGTGCGTCGCGTCTATATTGTATAGGTCAGGCAGACGCCACGGCTACAAATAAATATGATGGCCCTTCTCAAAGCTCGACGTCGTTTCTGGTTTGGCTTTATCGTTAAAAGCTCTTTAATGTTCCGATCAAATAAAAAATAAAAATCACTTGCTTCATATATCATAGAGTTTGATATATCTGTAAGAAAACATTGACTGATGTTGAGCTGGAATCTTCAAAGTTAGGAACCCAAATAGCAGGCGAAGCCAAACTGGAGACGAAGCCGAGTTTTGGAATACCCCTTATGGTAACCGTAGTCAGATTCAACATAGTACTTGTATGTCGCTACAATACTTTTGTCGATTTGTATAGCGCCTTGAAGACTGTCTTCCCGACCAAGCGTAGCATGGTTCTGTCCCGGTCGACGTACGTGAGTAGCGGCGCGTACACGGGACACTGGCTGGGAGACAACCAGAGCCAATGGCGGCAGTTGCCCTGGAGCATTCCTGGTATGTAAAGTAGTGTCGAATCCGTGTACTAGGATCTATTTAAGGGCCCTGCAGTTTCATCATTTAAAAGCTATATATCCCTGAAAATGCACTTTTGTTTTCCATTTAACCTTATTTTCAATTTTCGTTTTGCCATTTGAAAGGTATTTGATTTTTACGCTGATGCGAATGTCCATATTTATGAGCAAAACAGGATGTCATTCCGGGCTAAAAACTCCATGTTATAGCTATTTCAGCACAAAAGGTTGCTAGAATTTTGGATATTTTGCTGCCATAAATGTTCTTTTCTTTGCTGATTTGCTGTTGTGCAAGAACATGGCAGTAGAGCAAAAATTTCGGGTTCACAATTTGAACAGAAAAGCCCTAAACTGAACAGTGTCTTCCTGAAATGATATCACAACAACAGCTCCCGCAGTTGCCCGGTAAAGCATGTAACATTTCTAAAGTTTAAGGGAGTGCTCTTTTCAAAATTAACCAAAAGTGGATGTCCAAAAGATGTCATACGTTTTAAGAGGAGTATAGAAAGTTGCATAAAATGTGTTCTTAAGAAATGTCATCGCAAAGACCTTTTAATCTTGGCTTGAGAAGTAAACCTTCGGGGATAACTGGCTATTCTGATTGTTTTAGTACTGTATATATCAAATAACTGATGTGTATCATGTATTGTACGTTTTTAATTTTCGCCGTTTACGGTTAAAGTTCTTTGTTAAAAGGTTATACTTCTCAAATGTACGTCTCACAAATTGCAAAGTATTCAAATAGTTTACTATATAAAGAAACCTGACGTTATAGACTTTTTTCAAGACTCTCCTAAGACTTCCATGTTTTTCCTCCGTTTACAGGTATGCTTGAGTTCAGCCTCTTCGGCTTTGCTTACGTAAGTTACATCAAAATTTGAATCAACTTCCACGAATAAAGAATAACATGTTTAGGTACATGCATGAATGCCCAAGCTAGCTTAGTCTTCAGTGCCTCTAAATTTAACGCATGATTAAATTTGAAATAGTCGATTGTAACAGCAACGTAGACATAGCGCTCTGATTTATGTATCTCCGTGCACGTGCGCGAAGTGAACAGTTTTTAGTTGACGTCTATAGCTTTATTTACACGTCATTTAAAAGTAAAATGTATGATCGACGGCGAAAACCTTCTCCCAATGTCTTTCACTGAAGTCTATCGATGACCATTTTATGACAGTGTGCTCAGTGTGATAACAGTCTCTTGATTAATTAAAGCAAAGGCGAAATTGCCCAGAATGTTTGCCGTCAAGTAGAAACCTATTTACCTAAAGCTTTATTGTTATACTGCTTTTCCTTAGACCGGGACCGATATTTTATGTTTCTTTTCCTTAGACCGGGTCCGATATTTGCGGCTTTTGGTTCGCCACCACGAGAGAGATGTGCCTTAGATGGAGTCAGGTCGGGGCCTTCTATCCTTTCGCCCGTAACCACAATGCCAAGGATTTTATAGTAAGTAAAATATGTACATACATCCTAGGCCATCTCATGTAGCCATGTCTGCACTATCTGCCAGACTTGTATTCGAGTAACCAGACCTGGAGCCCGAGTCCGAGTCACCTCTCCCGATTCCCGAGTCATGCAGGTCGAGTCCGAGTTCGAGTCACGAGTCACCTGAAATATATATCGGAAATTATTTTTCAGGTACTTATTATTTTCAGGTACTGTTAAAACCTCACAGTGTAAATGTTTACATTTTGTTTCACAGCTGTTCTCTAATTTAACAAAGAACCGGAAAACAAAATAACTTGTTTAACCAAGCAATAAAATACCTAACCTCATTTCCAGCCGCAGCATCCTACCGCATTTGATCCCGAGTTCACGGCCAACGTCAAAATGGTACTGGAGATTCGCTACAAACTGCTGCCTTTCTTGTACACACTGTTTTACGAGGCTAACACGAAGGGGACCACAGTTGCCAGACCAGTCCTGCACGAGTACGTTTGTATCTCTTTAGTTTTACAGAACAGGCTCAGTTACTTTCGTTAATGGACCGATCCAGTAAGCTCCGCCCAGTGCGCACGTGGGCAAATTAACACGTGCTCCTCTCCAATGCCACGCTGCATTTTCCTTCCGCGCGCATCATACGCGCGTGCACGCATGTCGGACTTTAGTGCACGCACGTCGGACATAAATCACGGCTGTGATTGGTCAGAACACCATGGGGCGGTGCTTACTGGATCGGTCCATTCCCATCTCAGCTTGAAGTTGTAAACGAGTTAATGTGTTTGGTCTCTTTGCCCAATACAAGGCTGATCAGAGAAATTGATTGGAGCGGCCGGCAGTTGAGCCTGCGACCTCTGAAACACCATACCGGCTCTCTACCAAGTCAAAAGTCGGATATGACATATCTGTCTCTCGCCAGATGATTTTGTCTCCAAAAAGTTTAAAGAGGAATTGGTTAAAGTTCAAAGAAAATATACATTTGTTTGAATGTCGACTCCCAATGCTTTAATGCTTTTCCACACCATGATGTTTTGGAGTTTGGTGGGTTTGTTCAAACATTATTTCACCAGGAAATTCATTCCGATATAAATTACGTGTATTTTAAATCCTTCTGTTTGTTCGTTAAGACAAATACATTCAATAGTTTTGTCCGGATCTAGAACAATCCGACATCTGATCATCAAAATTCAACAAAACATTGAGGCATTTTCAGATGAGTACAGCCACATTCTCTGTGAATATGTGACAGTGATTTTCGTTGCTATACCACTCATGAATTTGAATCAGCCATAGTGTTTTGTTTTGTATTTCACAGGTTTCCTGAGGCTCTTGGTATGAATATAGACCGCCAGTTCTTGTGGGGTCCTTCATTCCTCATCTCACCGGTCCTGGATGAGGTACGTCATGCCCAACACATATTCTAGAACTTTTTTTCAGATATCTTAGATTTGGTATGTTCGATTATTCTACTTTTCCCTATGTAATATTCATGTTTACTTTCCCGTAGGGTATGACAACTGTCGAGGCTTACATCCCGGACGCTAGATGGTACGACTATCACACCGTGAGTATATAGGTAGAATGGAACGGAAGTGCTTCAAAGATTTACTTAACGTAGTAACTTGCTGTAGCGTTCGTAGCAACAACTATTTAATCCACCTGCGATTAATATGACCCTGTACCAGTTAGCAGTATGCAATGCCATGACTCCGGGAAATTACAACTCTTCAAACAGAAATCATACTTAAATATTCCAACGTTTTCGCAATAAGCCTATTGCCACTTCACGTTCAATTATTTACAAAACGTCAACAGCGAAAGGAAGTGGATTCCAATTTACGCGGGACAACGACCACATTGGAGGCGGATCTGTTGACCATTAACCTGCACGTCAGAGGCGGCTATGTCCTGCCATTCCAAGAACCAGCCACCAACACAGTCTACAGGTCAGTGTTATAAACGTACAATTATCCTGATGGCAAATCCCGCCAAAATTAAGAATGAATCCTCTTATTTAGATGAACGTTTTGAGATATGAGAGTAGGCAAACTCTTTTGTATTTACTTGTTGCTTCCAATTATACCCACGCGAAAAGGCGCCCTCTCACTGTGTCCGCCATATCTCAAAAAGGGCTAATGACACACAACAGTCTACAACTAATGAATGTTTGTGATTGCAATGGTAAGAATAATTTCACATGCTTACAAATAGAACGTTCCATTTCATGAGGCGAAGTCGAGTGGAATGGAACATTCCATCTGTCACCGAATGAAATTATTCTTTCCACTACACGAATGTGAATTTTGTATTATTTGTTTCACTTTTGTTTGTTTTTATACATGTATCACCAAATGTATCATATTTGTAAAACATAATGATTATTACACGGTCGATCCCCAAATTCCTATTCATCAACACAAGAAAGAAAACAAACAAAGATAGCGATATTGTGAGTAAATCTCCTTTCCCATTCAAGAAAATGTCACTAAAAAAATGATATTCAACCTTTAGCATGGTTAGACGCCTTCATTTTGTAAAACTCATTAGTTCCATTTACATTCCGTCATTGACTGATTTCTTTCTCTCATCTCCACAGTCGAGTGAAGCCCATGGGTCTGATCATAGCCCTGGACGATGACCTCAAGGCTAAAGGAAATCTGTTCTGGGACGATGGGGAGTCTAGAGGTAAGCCACATTTCCGCACCTCGCACATTTTGTAAAAGGCCGCTATTTAGAAGCATTCCAATCAGTCATTACACCTGTTGCCTATAAACTTCTGAGGAAAACTGTCCAGGTTCATCTTCTTGACGGTATTTTATATGAATATTGTCTGACATTCAAAATGTACACTTATTAACATTTCATGACGTTCCTGAAAGTGCAAGTTTTACCTCATTGAGCACATCCTGGGTATTTGTGTCATCTGCAGATTCGATAAAAGACGAGAAATTCATACTGGCAGAGTTTGACGTCACGACGCAGAATGGAGTGGTAACGATTGGTTTCTTTTATGCATTACGGTAGTTAGGATGTGATCGATACCCACATTGTAGCCCATGAAGTCTAAAATGCAATGATTGAAGATTATAATTGTTTAAAACAACAGCTTCCTTTAAACACTGTAAACTCAGTGTGTGACGCCAGTGTGTTGTACGAATTTGAACCAGCCAACAGGATCGGTTGGTTGGAGTGATTCGAACCAGCCAGTGTAGGCTCGATGGTCGAGTGGTAAGACGTCTGCACTACAAAGCAGGACGTCGTTGGTTCGAGTTCCACCCCAGTGATTTTTCCCAACTAACATTCGGGAGGTAACACGCTGAGAATACAGTTTTATACGTCGGTGAAGGGCAAAACCTATACTTCGAGGTTTTAGTATCAAGAATTGTTATTTGGTACACTGAAATTGCAAACTGTCAAAATTCTCCTTCGCTGAAAGTAAACACATTCCTTTTCATATTATATTAAGGGTACACTGAACATAATTGAGACCAACGGCAACAAGTACACTGATCCGGACTCGCTAGCGTTTCAAACCATCCAGATAATGGGACTGACTACCGTGCCGACCAAGGCAAAGGAAAACAACGTGGCGATTCCACCGTCTAACTTCCAGTACGACGCAGACACCAAGGTATTTGGTTCTTCTCGAGTTTTTTAAGCAGGCGTTTCTTTCCTTATCGTGCAGTAGGGCTTTCAGTCTTAACCTAATTCACGTAATCTCATGAGATTCGTTTTTTTATGTGGAAAAAGCACATTTGGGCTCCTAATGAATGCTTTAAATGTACATGAGACACTGAGCTGTAAGTACTAGGTTGTTTAACTAGTCAATTACATTCGCTTTTGGCCGTTTATAGCTGAAGCCCTAACCCTTACCGTAACCTTAACCCTGTACCTGAACCCACCTAGCCCTTACCCTTACCGTAACCTTAACCCTGTACCTGAACCCACCTAGCCCTAACCCTAAACCTAACCAATCTACCAGGGGCGTAAATCCCGGGGATGGAGGGTAAAATCTCCCCCAACTTTTTGACCGGGGGGATGGGCTATTGAATCCCTAACACTTTTCGTGATGGGAAACAAAAAATGCGGATTTCGAGGTATTTTTCGAACATCCCAACAACCTAAATGTATTCAATAGCTCTGAAAAGCAGAGAAGCATAGTGCACAAGCTTTTAAAATGCGCCGTTTTGATGTATTTAAAGCGTGAGTATACATATTGATATGCATCTATATCCTGAAGAGCGCCCCCTTGTGTAGATTTAAGCATTGCAATCTATTGTCTGGTCGCAACTCATTAGACGTTTGCAAAGAAATCAGTCTCTTGGAGGACAACACTCGAGAATAACACGGACACTATACATTCTAAAATAATGATGTTCGACTGAACCATGGCCTCAACGATGTTGTCTCCAAACATGTGGCACGTAAAACTTCGTTAGAAATAAGCCCGAGTGGATATTAATGATAGGCATACTCAATTTTTTTTCCCCGTTCCCTTTAGGTGCTGGAATTGACAGGGCTGGATCTGCTCATCTCTGGAACTCATACAGTGGTGTGGGAGCCGTAAACTACCATGGATGGATAAAACCAGGACGGGGAACATGTTGCTTTTTAAATATGACCGGCTCCACACAAAAAAAGGGTTTTATGTCGCAAAAAATGTGAAACAAACTGAGTTATACACATGGTTGGAAAGCTCACAATGTAAGCTTTCATTTGGCATATAAAAGTGCTCCATATCGCTTCCGTTTCTGGAGATATGACATATTTGCATGAATTACTTCCTTGGAGTTCACCTTACACAACTGAGAAAACAGGCTATGAAATAGCTGGCTGTTTTGTAGAACAACAGAACGACTCACGCATAATGGTTGTTTTTCCCCACTTTGTTCATCAAAATCAACATTTCTGCGAATGAAACCTGAAACTGTAGGTGTTAAAGATGACATTCATGACCAACAAAAAAATGAAAGTCACATTTTGACGAAATTGTCACCCCCTCAATGTTGAGCGGGCCATTACACAATAACTTAATACCCTTTTTTGGTGGAGCCGGTAACAATTTTAATGATGGTTATGTCTCGATATTTTCTTATTGTTTCCGATCTTTGAATTTTCAGTGGGAAGTATTTTGTTCTGTATTATGTTTCTAGTAGGCTTGTAGGATTGGTTAGTAATTGCTCGGTTACTTAATCAGAGAGGCGCTGGAATTCGGGCGATTCACAATGCAGTGCGCCACCAAGAGTTTGCCGTGGAAAGTCAATTTTTTCAAGTTCACGGTCGACAAAACATGGCTAATTTGAACAAAGGGGTGTCAGGAGACAACTTGAGGTAATTTGTTATACTTTTTAAATTCCACAGTCGGAAACCCAAGCTCACCATTTGTTTTGGTGGCAAATAGAGTATATTTAGAGAAAAACTGAGTGTTTCATTTGAATGGTTATTTACCTTGTCTTACACAGGGAATTTTGAATTTTTCAAAGTAAAGGCTGATGAGTTATGCCATTTTCATTGAGGTGTCTCATTTTCCTGTCTTCACACGTAAATCGGTACTTTGCCTTTAGTTTTTTAATGTGTCAACTTCAAGTGAGTCACTCACCATGACTACTAGGTTTCTATTTGTAATTACACTGCTTCAAATCAGTACACGATTACAATAAATTTGTTGAACCATGGAACCGTGGTCAGGGTTTTTTTTAGCGTATGTCCTTAATGACGCTTTTCTTCAAAGTGGTGCGATGGACATACATGAAACTTTCACAAAGTATGTACAAAATACCAGCCTGGCACACATCTCATTTGCAATTGCATTAATAGTTCCTACATATTTTTAATATTTTCTGTAATTTCGGTGCAGATCATTCTGTCACACTGTTAATATGAATACTTCTTAAAAGTCTTGATTGTCTTATTAGAGTCACATCCAGTCATGACAAAATTTTAATATAAGTCCACACCTATATTTCATTTGGGAAATTAACAAGCTTGACAGCCTTGGTCAAGGCTACACCAAAAGTTGCCAGAATATTGGATTTGTTGCTGTTGTGAATTCTCTTTTCTTTTGGTATCGTTGTTGTTTCGGTGCATGGCAGTAAGCCAATAGGCAAATTTTTGGTTCACCAGAACATAAAACCCCTATTCGAATGACCCGCGTTTTGTTCGGGCACTGTGCAGTCGATAGGGGCCAATCACGGGCATTTGTGTTTGCGCTCAGCAGTTTCTCTTCGCGCAATCTATAATTTTGCAACTGTTTATTGGATTAATTTACATTTCCCATGGGCAGAAATGGGACTTGTTCTCCTAACTTGCGTCCACTCGCTGCCAAAACCATATATTTGTACATGGCTCTTATGTAAAGACTGAATTCTGTTCAATGAACCATGGACCCCACTATTCCTGTACAAAACACACAAGCCATGGAACAGAATAAGTAAACTCTGGCAACAACAACGCCCAAGATAAACTGGGGTCAAAGTTTAGAAGTTTTCAGCAGCCTTATCGCAAGTTCTGAAATGTAAAAAAGAAAGGACAATGAACGAGGATTAAACAAACATGGCAGCTCTAATTGAAAACCTACTGTAGGTCAAAAGTCTTTTAAAAACAGATTGCGATATCATTCTGCGAGTAAATAACAGTTGTGAACGGATGTGTCTGTATTTAGGTCCTACACCAAATTCCGGGCTGCTATCAGAGTTAAAAAAAAGAAAGAACAAATTCCTAGAGTCTTGATCTTCCATCTAAGGCCGAACTTCCCTACTCATCATGGTGAACAAGGCCTTGGTTGCTTCCGTCACGATTGCCGCAGTAGTGGTGGTGTTTTTAGCCGTCTTCCTGCCCGTGTATCTCACCCAGACTAGCAAGGATGACGGGAAAGAACCAAGCGAGTACCTTACACCGGACCAACAGTTCTATCGAGACGTCAATGACGAGGACAGGTTAGTATAGGCCCATAATACCGTTAAATTCAGGGAAACAATATCTACGAGTCTCAGTTGATGGCTTCCTCCCACTTCTTGCTGGTACTATACAAACAAAGAGATCCACTAAAAGTATCCGAGCACTTTATTTACACTCTAAAAAGTTGATTTGACCCGAAATCCGAGCCCTATGGGGCCTGACTTTTTTTCCAGGGTTAAAACGACACTTTTCTGGGTCAAAATGACCTGGGAAATGAGTCAAACAAGTGCAATCGTGACCGGGAAAAGTGTCAGTCCCCGTAGAATCCGGATCCGTTTAAAATCTGACCCAGGACTTTTGAGAGTATTAGGAAGTGTGAAGAAAGTTCCGTATGCAGGGAAAAGTCGATGAATAGGCCTATACATCTTTGGTTTAAGAGGTGGAAGGATATCCCTATAATGGTATTTCAGGGAAAACTCACTTAATCATGGAGGTATTGGACATCAACATGCACTTCGGATTGGGTTCAATTCGAACCTCATTACAGAATTGGAAGGCGAGGAAAGCACCACTGCATGAACATCAATACTCACGGTTAACAAATTGAGAGTGCAAAAAAGCCAACACTTACAACAAATAGCATGGGTTTGTTACAAGTGCGGAAAACATTGTCAAAGTCATCACTTTCGGTAGGAAGGGAGTAGTGAAACATATATTTGCATCCACTGAAACCCCGATTTTGTGAAATAACTATTTTATGAACTTTAATTAACGTTGCACACATATATAATGACCGTTTATGGTCATGGAAATTGACCTAATTGTGAAAGCAAAATGTGTATGGTTCACAATATATATTTTGCTAATGACTGTTTAGGTTTGACTGTTTCTCGGATCTGGACACCCCAGCCAGCCAAAAGCTGTGCGAGGCCCGTGGTTGCTTCTGGAAGCCCGCCACCCTGGCCAAGGCTCCCGTCTGCTTCTACCCTCCAACCTACGGCTATCAGATGGCTGCTAAACCCACGGATACCAACCTGGGCTGGGAGGCTAGGCTGACTCGCATGAAGGGAATACCTAGCCGCTACGGGGCTGATGTGAACAACCTGAAACTTGAGGTGGAGTTTCAGACAGATTATCGTCTACACATTAAGGTATTAAGTCTATTGCTTTATGGACGGAACAGCCATAAAGATCCGTGGTATACACAGCCAATTGCGTTGCGTGATTTTGTTCCAAACGGATTACCTGAGTTAGACCTCTTGAACATGTTAGTGTCATTGAATTAGATTAACAAAAAGTCAAAACCACCTCAAAAATGGCGGCCTATAATGCAAAGAGTCTGGATGCCACACTGACAAAACACTTTTATACTACTTTGCCAAGATTGATAACTCACGATTGCGGACGTATTATGAATATCTCGCCTTTTTAAATAGCAGCAGTCGGGATTCTAGGCAACCAATCAGCATTGAGATTGTAAGCAGCCAATCGTCGTTAGTGGGTTGCCGCCAAAATCCTAGGCCAATCCGTAGGCAGGAAAACGTATTAGCAGATGTGTGTGTGTGTCATTTTATGTCGCGGCTTCAAAAGACAAACATGAAAATTTAGTTTGAAAATAACTTGGGTGTCTGTCTACTTTAATGGAGTTTGAGTATAAATCGTCTTGAAATTGATTGTGATCAAAGTTGTCACTCACAATAATATTGTTCCCTGATGTTTAGATATCTGACGCAGACAACGCCCGCTACGAAGTTCCCAGCGATGCCGTCAACATCGTTAAACCGACCAAGAAGCCGTCTAACCCGATGTATGAGGTCAGCTACAAGCACGACCCGTTCAGTATCCAGGTCAGACGGAAGACCACTGGAGTGAAGGTGTAAGTATACAATGTCAAAAGTCTCGTGTCAGATTTTACCCAAACTCCGGGTTCTATTTGACTTGACGCCTTTCTGGTCCTAGTATCGTCCGTTGATCAGAGCCCACACGCTAGCTCATACTAAACGTCTGATATAATTTCTGAAATGCAAAATTGATGCGAGTCTGCGCGCCAGCCAAAAGGGGTCAACTTTAGAAACTGTGACGTCATTTAGTGCCGAAAAGTGAATTAAGCTGTAGATTGAATGGTCAATTGGCTGACATTGTTTTCTGTGTGTTATACAACAACTTGTTGCCGAAGATTCGATAGCAGGACTTCTGCATTTCATTCTAGTTTTGATTCGTCGGTGGGTGGTTTTACATTCGAGGACCAGTTTCTTCAGATATCAACCAAACTGCCATCCAAGTACGTGTACGGCTTTGGTGAACACAATCACAGGCGCTTCTTGCATGATATGGACTACAAAACATGGACAATGTTTACCAGGGACGCTTTTCCTATTGTAAGTAATACAATTTATTTACCTTAATCCGTAGTGCGTTGGTATACAAGGCTCATTACTGATTTCTTAATTTGCAAATTGGATGGATTCTAAGTTGACAATAATTATGGCACATATAAATGCGTGTTCAGTGGCGCGTCAAATCCCTGTCAGGCCCTTGGTTATATATTTTTAATGACACGAGTCCAAACAGTTCCTCAATGTTACTCCTTCAAGACACCTGAGCTATCCAAAAACAGAATATTTTCATAAGTAATTATTTTCAGCATAGCATTCCAATGAAATTAATTAAAGGTATTCGGAACATTCTTGACAACAATCAGTCACATTTAATGCCGTCTTTTTGTTTTGATTTCCCAACCAGGATGATTCAAATCTCTACGGTCAACACCCGTACTACATGTGCGTCGAGGAACGCGAAAACAACGCGCATAGCGTTCTCTTGTTAAACAGCAATGCGATGGGTAATTCCTTGCTCTATAAGTTAGTGTAAACATTTCTCCTCATGGATGACATGAGAAAATACATGACATAAAAATGCCCACCCAGTTTTGAAAAAAAACCTTTTCGGGATGCACAAATGAGCGTTTAAGCTATTTTGCAACTGTTTCAGTCTCCATAAATGCACTCAAGCATGTTTTCTGTAAAAAGGGACCTAGTATTTTATTTAACTGATTGTTATATTCACCTAGAAGTATGACGACATTATTTTAATCTCCTGTCACATTTTAATTGTATGCATGGTTAAAAACAAATACCATTTCTCCAATCTTTATAAACAAAAACACATGATGCACGCACTGCGCGGTGTGTGGCTATGGGTCGAGTTTTACATACACATACATTATTTGCAAGACAACACATCAGACTCAAAGGAAACAGTATATTATTTTGCCTTAGAAGACCATTAAATGAAAACTGCACGGAGAAACCAAGAAATACCCATCCTAATGTGTAAAAGTCCTAAAGGTATGTAATTTATTTGTTGACGGAACCAAGGCTGTAGTTTTTTGTTTTGTTAATTCTCTTTCAGATGTCAGTCTTCAGCCGACTCCAGCTCTCACGTATCGCACCATCGGTGGAGTTCTCGACTTCTACTTGTTCTTCGGACCGACGCCTGAGAATGTTGTCTCACAGTACACAGAGGTACTAAGCAACACAGACTGATTAGAGCTTAAGTATTTAAAATAAAAATATAAAAAAAAATTGCAAAAAAAGTTGAGTTTCATTGCGCAAAAAGGTCATCAAAAGTCCATAAAATATTCCTAACTAAAACATATCACGTGTTTACAAGTTATTTTTATACCTCCTTGCAACCTATGATAACAGGTTTTGTGCAGTGTCTCATTTTAAACTCAAACGGGCTCCGATGTACACAAATCTTAGTTGTCAACTTCTTCCACGTTTTTCTTTTCTAGGCAATCGGCCGGCCCGTGATGCCGCCATACTGGGCCCTGGGGTTCCAGCTCAGCCGATGGGGCTACAACTCGATCGACCGCGTCAAAGAGGTTGTCAAGCAGATGACCGATGCACAGATGCCATTGGTAATATACCTGCATGTAGTGCGCCATCACGCGAATATCCGGAAGATGCCACTTTCCATTTTTAAATTTACCCCGACAACATGTCGATTATCCATCGGTTATTTACCTGTCCATAGTTTGAAGAACAATGAGGACATTGTCCGTGAGCAGATGGAAAGCAGGATGTCTTGGCCCTACGTTTCCCATAGTTCGTTGCGAAAAAAATATTGTATCCTTTGTAAACTCTTGGTGGCGCTCTCTAAGATTCTATTTTTACGATGAAAAGAAAAGTATATTGAGGTTGCAAACCAGTAAATAAACTGCCATATACCTCAGTGATAATTACGCCCACTATTAGTCAAGGGATCAATCATTTATTGCAGGATGTTATGTACGGCGACATCGATTACATGGACCGATCCATGGATTTCACAGTGAACGAATCGTCTTACGGAATGCAAAACCTGGCCGACTTTGTGGATGACCTCCATGACAACGGTATGAAGTATATTATCATCCTGGTGAGTCCCGTCGAGAAACACCGTTTTTTTTCTTCTTTAGATATTTTTCAATTTGCCATAATGGTTTCATATTAATCGTAAATGTCACGTCGGCACAGAAATGAATGACAACAGGCTCGGTTTTCACTTGAAGCACGAGAAATTACCTCCTTTTCAGACTTCCTCATTTCAAAACTCATTTTTAGTACCTGGGCCTATGTGCAGTTCCCTCCACCGGGCATATTTTGGCGAAGAATCAAAGACAATGCACCATCGAAATGTCTTTACTCGGAGCGCGTGTGTCCGTTGGCCAGAACAGATGGTTACACACCGATGTTCCGAATGAACCTTAACCCTAACCCGAACCCAAACCGGGAGTAACACAATCTTATGTGCGAGTTGTCGGAACATAATGGTGTCGGAACATAGAGCAGTCAACGATCAGATCACCCAAAATAAGGTTGCATAGGATGGCAACTATTTTGGGTCAACCGACATATACGTTTTTCTTGTGGCAGCAAAGTTTGTCTTAGGCCCATACTGCCAACGAGAGCCTGATTTGCCCAAACTTTTTTAACCGTTTAGGACCCGGGTATTGGAGGGGAGATTGGCTACGAACCGTACGACAAAGGATTAGCGCAGGATGTCTTTGTCAAGATGGAGAATGACGAAATACTCAAAGGAATGGTAAACATTATTCATGGTTTTTGATTCACTAATGCAGAAAGCGTGTTACCAAAAGGCAAATGTTCTTAAGTTTGTGGGATACAACAGGGACCAATTTCAGATAGCTGCTGAACAGACAATGTGGCTTTGCAAATGAACGCGTTCAGCAAACATCAGCTTGAAACCAGCCATAAATTGTACTTATCTCAGTTGCATAAAATGTTTGCTGGTAAGCAAGTACCTCAAAAAATACATTTCTCCACAAGTTCCAATTGTGTTTAACGCGACCAATCAATCACACAAGTAGTTAGCATCCTACCGATTTTAACCAACAAAGAGGAGGGATTAAAGCATAGGGAGTTAGCAGCAGTAAGGGGGGGGGGGTGAGACTTGCGTCCATGGGCGTCGCGAGGGGGGGGGGGGGGCTTCCCCACCCATCCCCCCAAGTGCATGCAGTGTTTGTGCGTCTTGTTTCCGCCGTTCGAGCATGTATACAGCTGTCAAGAACAGACCGCCCGAACTCACCCAGAATTATGACAAGAAAGTGTTTGAGTGTTTTGTGAGTTCTGTAAACAAGTTTTACGAGGTTTACCCTGCCTTTTTGTTTCTAACTTTTGCTGCCTAGGTTTGGCCAAATGTAACTTTCAGCGTCTTCCCTGACTTCACAGAGCCCGACACGGCTGCTTGGTGGACGGAGTTGTGCGATGGGTTTCACGATAAGATCGCCTATGACGGGCTATGGATCGTAAGTTGAAAGACATATAAAATATCGGTCACATTTTGACATGGAGATGGGCTGTCGGATCCCCTCGAACAAGGCAAAGCAGTGTTGTAGTACTCGTATTCGGCACTCGGTACTCGTACTCAAGTACATCTCGAGTCCTTTTTTTTGGAGTACTCGTACTCGAACGTCAAAGCGTTTGTTTATGGTGTAAATCTGGGACACACACGCGCAACATCATCGGTGAATCGAGGACAGGAACCAATTTGAGAAGGACCTCGATAAGAAAACGTGTACAAAACCAATAAGAGCTGTTGTGAAAAAGTTAAGTACAAACAAAGGAAAAGGAACATCCTCGATTTAATTCACGACTGGTTGCAAAAATATTCACGACTAGTCGTGAAAAAAAAATCAGGACTAGGTCGCAAATAAATTCACGACTAGTCGTGAAAAAAAAATCGCGACGTCGCAAAAATATTCACGGCCAATCGCAAAAATATTCACGACCGCTTATGTCCCTTCAGGGCCACCATCCAGAACAGTCGTTCATCCTTGTGTGTATGATCCATGGTTTTATCAATGATCGGTGAGTTTACGCCGCTTTTATCGCAGTCCGAATGTTAACAAATACAATACAAGCTGTTGCGTGTGCCGCAGAGAGTCAGACATGGAACATAATGTGTAACTTCCACAGCGGCCGTGAAAGCGGCGACAGCGGTGATGAAAGCAGTAAAAATAGCAATGACCCATGAAATACGCCGGTTTGGCTGATTGCACAAGTGAGAAATAGTGTATACATGTAGGCTACATGCTCAACTCTGTGTGCTGTGTGGACTCTACAAAAGTAGGCCTTTCTTGAAAGGTCTGCAAGGGTTAGTCCAATAAAAAAAAAGTGGCCGAATTTGAAGGAAAAAAAAACATTTTAGAAATATGCGGCTCGCTCTATTTTATGACAAAAATAAAAGGATAATATAAATCTTATTAACTTTAACTGTGAACCTTTTTACCTAATCTGCCTACTCTATACCCAAGTTATGTCTATTTCGATGAAAAAAAATCACAAAACTCGGCTATCCACCACTGATCATTTACCGTTCTACGAACAGATGAATGATCCATTGAGCACAATAAAACATGGACGTTTTCCCACCTTGGTGAAAGAACGAGAAGTTGGAAAGGAAAACAAGTCAGACAAATACCGCCATCAGTATTTTAGAAAAAAAAGAGTTGACTTGTTCCTCATTATCAAAACACAAAATATGACATTAAAAATAGTGTCTCGGTCTTTATTTCAATTATTGAAATCTCATTTGTATTTCTGTGGTTGTGTTTAATCTGTAACACACAGTCAGCTTAATCACTTTTTATCGTATTCCATGGACAGCTAGAAAAATTGGTTCTTTTTGTAAAACTGTAATTACCCTCCGATAGCAAGGATCAACTTCACTGTTCTTTTTTTTTGTAGATGAGTGGAAGAAGATGCTCTTTTCATATACACCTTATTCGTGTTTCAAATTTGATTGGTTTTTAAGATAACAAAAAAACATTAATTTGTGGGTAACTTTCCTTTGACACCCTTTAGCCCGTCTACCTCTACAATTATATCTTACAGAAGGTCGGTATAGTTCCTCTACATCAAGGCAATTTGCCATCTTAATTAATGCACCTGTCTGAGTATTTAATGATTAAGATATGGCCTTTAATTGCAAATTCATTCTTATTGAAAAACACCCACAACAAATATCTCCATATAATCGAACTATTTTTTGTATGAAAAATAATAATTTACTATTTATAATACGAGCCAGCTCGTGAATTCGATTAAGGAAAAGCAAGTCTTTAAAATATGAACATACAAAACTGTTATACAACCTCTAAAAATGCGAGCAAAGACTTAATAGTTACTTATCACGGTCATTATTATTATTATGTTGAAAACATGTATCATCCGAATATATATTAGGTGTGAGTCTATAATTATTATATGTTTGCAAATGCATCTGAATATATAATTTTTTTTTTCATCATAATAACTCAAAGAAGAACGGAAACAGTCAAATATACCGTTTTTCGACTAACTACGAATAAACTTCTCTCTTGTGTAAGCTGTAGCCCGTAGGGCCAAAATGAGAGCATGTGGAAGAAACTTTCATCCAGTATCTTTGCCAAATCTTGCAAGGAATATGAAAATGAGATGTTTCCCCTGCTAAAAAATACCCCAAAATATACGTAGCGTTAAAGATGCATACTTTCCCTTGTGCTAATTATTTTTTCTTCTCCCAACGAATTCTCAAATGTATGTTTTGTTTTAACTAGAAAAACTACTTTATTCCGGTTTCGGGCGTCCGGAAGCCTTGATTTTTTTGGGATTTTTTTCGCACAACTTCACCCACCCTGCGATAGCCGAATTATTGTCTGCCAGCCAATATTTCAATTCTTGTCAAGAGTAAATTCAATAAACAACGGTCGGTGGTTTTTGTGTTCGCTATCCTATTCCAAAAGTAAATAACTGTTATATGTTTTTTCAGAAAATAGCCAAAAAACACCCCCCCCCCCCCCAAAAAAAAAAACAACCCCCAAACAAACAAAAAAAACAGATCTACTTTTCAAGATGAAAGCCGAAAACAGTACGGGGAGCGCATCTTTAAGTCAAATAAACGTGATGAATATTCCTTTCAAGCTGCACTTGTTCATGAGTTCGTGCAGACCAACTTGTTTTTTGGTGCATCATTTAGTTTTCGGTTTCTTCGAATGAAACCTCTTCTGGTTCATTGGTGTGTTGAGGGGTCGCGTCCATGTGGATGTGGTGAAGCTCGATGTCAGGGTTCTGAGGCCAGGGTTCCTGGGCATGGCCATGGAGGATGTTGTTATTCATAATCGGTTTGGGTTTCGACTTCAAGGTGCGAAGGAGAAGAAGATTCAAGCCCATTGAGAACACAAGGAGAAGGAGGGTTACCATGAAGGTTGCCATCCATGCGATGGGTGACTGGTCGGGTTCTTCTGGACGGACTCGGATCGGCCCGAAGGTACACGAGCGTATTTCCCCTGGGAAATCCACCGACGAGATGGAACACATGAATTCCTTCCCATCGTCGGAAACATCCACCGTCAGAGACAGAGAGGCTGAAGAGACCGTCTTGTTACGGGTGATGGTGATGTTCCTGCCATGACAAGTGTACCCTGCTGTGGTCTGGGCAATGTCCATCGCGACTGCCGGGTTACCGGGGTCTGACGAGCAGTGCAGGATCAGCTCCGTGCCAGGGTCAGGGAGGTCGGGTGAGGGAGAGCAGACCGGGGACGACTCACCGGGGAAGTACAGCACTGACAGTGTTACGCTGGAGGTGTTCAGGAGGATATACCGTTGTCCCAGAAGATCTCCTGTGTCTTCGCAAACGCTGCAGTAATAAAGCCCGCTGTCCCCTTTGCGCAGATTATTTGTGACAGATGTAATCGAACTCATGTTTGTGGACGCATCAAAGTAGGGCATGGAATTAAACTGACTGGTTTCTGATATTGCTCTCATGCCCATGTGGACTGTGCATGCGGCATTGTCTGGTGGACCAGGGCCCCACATAAGCCTATGCCTGTTGTTGTCGAAGTTGGTAGCCTGGCACGCTATCTGTAATTGCTCGCCCTCCTTTCGATCAGCCTCTGGTGTAACGATCCATGTACGCACCTCCGGTGCTGTGCTGGCAAAACCAGCGTGAAAACACAGCACATAGAGAAGAAACAGACGAATGGAATTTATCCTAGCCATTGGATTGATTGTCATAGATCTACAATGAGAGACCGAGTCCTATAACACAATCTTGAATCGGAGATGGGCTTGAAAAATAGAGCAGTCTAGGCAGGCAAAACACTGAAAGTAACGGGAAGTTTGCGCCTTAAAATGTCTTTTGTGAGAGGTAACCTGGTGTACCTACATAACTCACCAGCAAGCCATAGCGAAACCCTACATTTCCTTGAAGTTTTCATTTGTATGCAAATTAGTGGCTAAGCCAAGTTCGCTTCAACAAAGGCTCGCCAAAAATCTCGTGACACGGTACAATAAAAGACCTGATTTTACCTATTGTCAAAGTAACATTCTTCTGAACCGTAAATAAATGCTAAATAAACATTCCATCAACATGAGTGCATGTCTGAGCTGTTCTACATTTAGGCCTACATATTTTATATTAGTTGGCTTGCACGGTATATATATTAAAACAAAATTCAATGCGTCAAAAGATATTGAAAGCTTTTTTTAAATTTATAGATAGTGCTATGTAAAGAGCGGCGAAAGGTCTTTTTTGTTTGGGTGGGGGGGGGGGGGGGTGGGAATAACAGTTAAAATTGTCATGCAAATTTCCTCCCTTAAAATTAGTTCGCAAAATACCTTTCCTGCATACCTTCGTGTAAATTGCAGGTAGTTTCCCGGTTCTCTGGTAGAGCTTTGGAAGGATGTGTACATGCCTCGAAGCTCGATGCTTAATTAGGCAATTAAGCTCGATTCAATAATCCATTGTCCAAAAATACAACTAAAAGATAAAACAATGCTACATTTTATGTTTAACGTAATGTGGTGTTTCTTATTAATGTGCTTCGTTGTTTATCACAACATGGTTAAATCCAAAGACTGCATATGCCATTAGCTGCGTACTTTTAAGCACTGTCGCGCCCATGTTGAAACAGTAAAAACTTACTTTTCTTGTCCCCTGCAGGACATGAACGAACCCTCCAATTTCATCAACGGTTCTTTCAGTGGATGCGAGGACAATAACATCAATATCCCACCATACGTCCCGAGTGAGTTCCAGACATCTTTTACCTAGTAGGCATTATTGTGCCGTGCTATTTCATTTCATTGCAAATAATTAGCATTGACTAATCGTCATGAAGTGTAGTCAAAACATGGAACCATTGCAGCCTGCTGGCGTTAGTATTTGGAACTTGGAGCCTTGCTGCTCTATTTCAAGTCATAGTTAAACCTGCTAATTTGTCATTGGAGCAAAGACATACGAGTATGACCTTCAAAATGTTGGTTTTAATAATAGCCAGGCCTATATATCATTATTATTATTATTTTTAAACAGCCGAACAGAAACAATCAACTCAAGATGGCAACGGTGACCAAAAATAGCTTCACATTTTAATATCAAACAATCATTGTCCCCATTTCTTAAGTGTCAAAATGCAAATTGTAAATTTTTGGAAGGGAAACATCTTTTTGTCCTCTATGAACAAGGTTCACGCGTTACACATAAAGGAGAGAGCAGTGTTCAAAACAGAGGTTGGGGTTTTCAAGGAACAGCTGTACACAGTTAATTGTAGGTAATCGACTCCACCATCAATTTGAATACGATAACACTTGACATTCCCTTGCATTACTCTTCTTGTATTTTCCCTACGGTCTCTTCTCGCTCCTCTTAGATATTCTGGGGCGGACTGCAGCTAACCGTCTTGGTCTATTTACCAGAACCCTCTGCATGGACGCTAAACAGAGCTGGGGAAAACACTACGACGTACACAGTCTGTATGGCCACAGCATGACACTTGCTACAGCCCAGTGAGTATGAAGATCTAGACCGTTATACATGCAGCTTAATATACATCATTGAGGGTGCACTCCTGCATTAAAATTCCCATAGACACTAGTGCTATAAATGCCCATACTTCAAAATTCTTTTTAAAATACTAAGAACTCTCACAGATATTTAAGCAGCACAGAAAAATGATGATCAACATGTTATCTTTCATTTTCTTTTCAATTTGTGGTGGGTTGACCACTGGCTTTTCGAGAAATTCTCGCCCAAAGAAGACGACCCCTATTTTCCCCAAAGCGGAACGGCAGCCATCTTGAAAAACGATCCCTCCACAACATGACAATGTAGCGCCGCTAGGATTATACTTTCAATGGGGGCGCTGTTCAATTCCGACGATTATTAACACTATATCACAGAGTAAAGTATATATACACCCTAATCAAGCTGGCTTTGTCCGTATTTTGTGCAATGGCGGACATTATTACAAGTAAAACAAATATGGGCGTCAGAGCAGGGGGGGGGGGGGAGGGCTCGCATTTTTTCCTAGAATTTGATTTTTTTTGACAGAGCTGGGGGGGGGGGGGTTGGTACCCCCCGGATCCGCGACTAGCGTACCAACTTTTGCAGATTGTAAGATTTTATTGTGTTGAGATATTATTTTACCACCAGAGCCTTGGAGACTATATTTCCTCGAGACCGGAGCATGATCCTGTCCAGGTCGACGTTCGTGGGTAGCGGCGCCTACACGGGACACTGGCTCGGGGACAACCAGAGCCTGTGGCCCCAGATGCATTGGGGAATCCCTGGTGAGTGTTGTCGTCGTAAAAAACAGCATTGCTTGAATCGGTGACCAATTTGGAATCTTGTTCCTTTCAGAATCGAAATTGAAAGTTATGTACAAACGGATTGAAGACAATGATGATTAAATGAGATATCAAGATTGAGGAATGTCTGTCTTCGGTATTTTATTAAAACTGAAAACCTTTCTTATCGACTCTGACGTCATCGGCAAATAGTACTTCGCTTGCCTGACCATAAAGGGTCCAATTTCATGCATGGCTCTGCTCTGCTAACCAATGATTACGATTATCATTCTGTGCCGATGGTGATGCCAGGATGACCAGGAAAACTACCTTCGACCCTTGAGTGGTCTGTCAGCAAATTTCAAGGAAAGAATTCAAGGAAAGAAATCCTGGCGATACCCGAGATTTTGGCCAAATATTTCGAAAACAGAGACAGTGAAACTGTAGGGGTCCAGTGGTTAGTTACGGTGTTGGACTCGAGTGCCGTGGTACGAGGGTTCAAACCCTGTCGGAAAATATGGTGCTTGTGCAAGACACTTACTTCAATCGCCTCTCTCCACCCAGGAGTATAAATGGGTACCTGTGAGGGTAGAGACCAGATTGCGCTGATCTCGAGCTGATGCAAAAAACTGGTCTCATGGCCTGATGAACAGGGGTAATAATTGTGAAGCGCTTTGAGATCTTTGGTATAAAGCGCTATATAAGCACCACATATTAGTTTGGATTCAGACGAAGCTAAATAATACTTGCAGAAATTTATATTTAAGTTTGTGGTTCGTTCCAACAGTGTCAATTCATTTATCTTGAATATTGTTCTCACCCGTCTTTGAGTGCTCGAACTGATTTTTTTTAAAAATGTGTTAATATGCTCTTTTCTTTCTATAGGCATGTTGGAATTCAGTCTCTTTGGTTTTGCCTTCGTAAGTACTTATAGAAAGGTTTTATATCTCCCCCACCAAAAAAAAGACCGGCGTTTGTTTAAAACACAAGTTTCGGTTGAATTTGATGCTATGTGTGCCTAGAGGCCATCTACTCAGTAGGCCTAAGGAGATGAATTGAGGATATTTAATGTTAAAAAAGAAATCATAAACTTTATATTCCTTTTTATGTCATCTTCAGCGCACCTAGCGAATTTCAGAATAAAACTCTTAAAAACAAGTAAAATAATCATTCTATCACGTGTCAATACTCAACATGTTTGTTTTATGACCTTTGATTGTAAAGGACGAACGATTCATGAAAATACTTGCATGATGATGGTGAACTGTTTCTTTGACAGACTGGTTCTGATATTTGCGGTTTCATGTTCAACACCACCCGTGAGATGTGCCTGAGGTGGAGTCAGGTCGGGGCCTTCTACCCGTTTGCTCGTAACCACAATGCCCTTAGTTTTACAGTAAGTTCTTCGGTATTTTTTCTAATGTATGTGTGGTGCTGTGGTCCAATGGTTACAATGTTCGACTCGTGTGCCGTGGTACATAGGTTCGAATCCTGACCGTGGTAACATGGTATTTGTGCTCTTGAGCAAGGCACTTTACCATTATTACTTTGTCCTTCGGATGGGACGTAAAGTCGTAGGTCCCGTGTGTTGTGTAATGCACGTTAAAGAACCCAGTAACACTTATCGTTAAGAGAAGGGGTTTGCCCCAATGTTTCTGGCAGTGGCTGCAATATGCGCCGCAGCACCTTATACACCCTTATAAGGTGCTACGTAATTGGTCTCATATTTCTCATAAACTTTATTTACCTTTCTTTAATAAAAGACATAATTTCCAGCGCATAATTGTACGTGCGCTATTATAAGACTCCGATATTATTATTATTATTATTAACCATATGCATACATATATTATGATTGCAATAATAAGATGCAAACATTATACCAATCAGCCAATTGCTAATTTTGGCTTACCAATGAACCTCGATCGAACCCGCTCTTCACTGAGAACGAAGTATTTACGTTTTAGCCGCAGCATCCAACGTCTTTTGACGACGAGTTTACAGCCAACGTGAAAATGGTACTGGAGATTCGCTATAGACTGCTGCCCTTCCTGTACACACTGTTTTATGAAGCCAACACAAAGGGGACCACGGTTACAAGACCTGTGCTACATGAGTGAGTCTGGCTTTCTCATTTTGTTCCGTCTTCATTCGATTTTGTCTATAAACCAGTGTAACTATGTAAAAATAAAAACAGTGTTTGTGTGCAATATTTAGGCATACCTGTCGTGAAATCATTAATTACTGGGTGGAGTCGTCAAGATACTATTTTTTTTTTATTGAAATACGGAAGTGGGAAAATGCACAATTGGGAGCAAAAACTTGGACAGATTTTATCAACGAACTTGATGGATTTATCATCATATAACGTCGCTGTTAATCTAACAAATGACCAGTTCGCCCTCAATTGACTTTTTTTTGAGAAGGGGTTCATAAAACAGTTAGGTTTTGAAATTCGCCGTTCAAAATAATACCGTTTCTGTCATAAAACTCGACGAATTGTTGACAGAGGAAAATGGATCGTCTCCCATAATCACAAGATTATGAGTTTGAAACTCATTGCGCAGGCTTTTAGTCGTGGGGTAAGCACACTTCGTACACGTCATGTTGGTACAAAGTCACGCTTTGCCTTCGCTATTTCAACCGCTGTCAAGATTTAGATAGTATTTGAAGTATACGAAATTTTACTTGTGCCTTCTTTCACAGGTTTCCGATGACCCTTGGTATGAATATAGACCGGCAGTTCCTGTGGGGTCCATCATTCCTCATCACACCGGTCCTGGATGAGGTAGGTGATACTAACATTTTCAAAAACTTCTGCTTCGAATTTGATGTCCGCCTCAAACCATTGATTTTAATTTTGGTGATGACGACTGTATTACGCTTTAATGTTTCTGTCTTTTGGTTATTCTATAGGGCATGACAACAGTTGATGCGTATATACCGAATGCAAGATGGTACAACTATTATGACGTAAGTCTTAGGGGTCTTGTGCCCTCTTATATAAAAATCATTTATCTAATCACCAAAAGGGATACAAATTTGGTCCCCCCCAAAAGTGGGTCCAAAAAATGACGGCGTGGGGTTCGGGGTTCGATCAAGGTCCCCGATCATTTCTTGGATTCTAGATGCTCCGTGGTGCGATTGAGGCAATTTCTGACCACTTTTTTTTGCGGAAAAGATGGTGATCAATGCAGTGCCTGCCTTTATTACGACGTCTCTTAAAAAAAGGTTTTTTAAGGGGTGGGCATGGCCCCCGTTGCCCCCGATCCGCCCTTGATTGCAATCAGCTTGGAGAAGCACCTGCTTTTATCGTCAATGTGCTTCATAAGCTCATATTTGTACCAACTGTTTGGACGTAACTGCAAGATGCAGTTTCTACGTATTAAAATGGTGCGATCGTTTAGTTAGCCTGTGTCATTAACTGTATACATTTACCAATACCCTGAATATTTGTGAAAAAAACTGTGCAAAAATCATAGACCTCTCTGTTCCCTCCAGTCTTTGTCAAGCCGGATGGCACATGATAGAAATGCTAGAGTTATGGTTTCCAGACACCCATAGGCCTGCACAAAATCAATTTCAGATACGTATCGAAATTTAAAGAATATTAAAGAAACAATGCAGATTTTGAAACTAGTCATATAGGTGAACGTCAATCCGTTAGCAGATCACCGTTACTTATGTTTCATGACACATTTCATTTCGTTTTGCTCACGCACTTGATCCTCCTCAGGGGATGGAAGTTGCTTTCAGTTTACGCGGGACAACGACCACATTGGAGGCGGATCTGTTGACCATTAACCTGCACGTCAGAGGCGGCTATGTCCTACCATTCCAAGAACCAGCCCAGAACACAGTCTACAGGTCGGTGACAGAATCGACTAGCGATTTTAGAAGAAACATCAGCTAAGGCCAAAAAAAAAGTCTCCGGTTTCTGGTATGGAGCTTGCCCAAAAAGTGGTGCGGCGACGCGGCTTTTTTTTTTTTTTTTACCTGATTTTTTTGCTTCAAATGCGTGCTGATGACTGCAAATGGTGCCCGACTAAACTTAGTGCAAATATATGGGAGTCCAGAGAGGCCACAAAAAGCTTATTCTCGACCATAACCCAATCTAAAAACACGTTAAAATTGTGCAGCAGCAGGATTCCAGTCAAACCAGTGAGTTTGGCGGTTTTGAGACATCATCTTTTATTGAAAAAAAAACTTTTTCATTTTGCCGACGCGCATGGCTACGGCGACGCGTGCGCATACCAGAAACCGGAGACTTTTTTTTTTGGCCTAAATATTGACCAATGTATATCACTCATCCATCGACAGATAAGTCAATAATTTATCCAGTAGTAACTAACTGACCAACCTGCTGTCAAAACAAAATCGTCAATAAAACGTTCATGCAATTATCAGTCAGTCACTATGTGCACATTTAAAACAGTTTGAATGATTGTAGTCAAGGCCATCACACCAGGCAATTACAGATCAATCAAAAGTCAAATTTCAAGTAAAAATATATCCGTCATGCCAAATCCCTTTTAGCTTGCAACTTGACTTAAGACTTAAGATGTCTTGTGATTAGACTACTACTTTACATGCAACTTTTTCTGATGGCACTACGACTGGCTACATTTTCTTTCGAAAAATATTTTCCTATGCACGGACTCCAAATACTGTGTAACGCCGCAATACTAAAGTCTATGGAATATCCCCTTGCACAGCACGGGTCTATGATATGCGAGCAGATTCGGCGATTAATTATGCAAAACAAGACTGTGTCTTGGCCTCGAGATTCTAACCATTCAGTGGGCGCCTTCTATCGGGTCTTTGGTACCCCATTGTTGTATTACAAAAAACATGGTAGCCAAATTGACCAATCAACAGCTCAGTTCACATTTCTGATCGAAATGACATTAACATTCAAAAGCTGGAATTTCGCGTCGGGGTGATGTAAATCAAATTAGGTTTTGGGTTACCAAAGTGTATTTGATATGATTTTCTGTGTTTTAATCCACCAGTCGGAAGAATTCCATGGGTCTGATCGTTGCCTTAGACGATTACTTGAAGGCCAGTGGCAATCTGTTCTGGGACGACGGTGAATCCAGAGGTAATAGGCAGTTTAGGCATCAAAGTGTTTTTTCGACTACCAAAAAAAAATGAGAAGCAAAAGCTCAGTCCTTTATGTACCAAAAAATATCTTTGTAAGGAAAACAGGCTCTCAAAAAAGTGTTAACACAGACATCTCATTGACTTTATACAGATTCTATCAGCGAACAGAAGTTCATACTGACTGAGTTCAATGTCACGACTGAGAATGGAGTGGTAAGGTTGAGTGTTCCGATTTGTGGAAAAGATTACAGTTTATTGAAACAAATCTTAAAAGTGGAAACCACGGATTTTAAAAAATTATTCGACATCTTTTGCAGTTATTAGTATTTGTTTAATGCTCACAAATACACATAAACCTTGACCATTACTCGACATCTTTTGCAATTATAAGTGTTTGAGTGTTCGCTTTAACAAAGAAAATGTATGGACGCAAAACATAACAGCCTCACTGAGCTACATCAAACCGTAGAATTAGGACGGGTGAGTGCATTCACATATTCTTCAGTGGAGCATAGTAAGCTGGGTTTATATCTTGTCCTCTCTTTTATGTCCAAATTATTTCTCTCAGGGTACCCTAAACATTCAGAACAAAGTCAACCAGTACAGTGATCCGGACTCGTTAGCGTTTGGGACCATCCAGATAATGGGACTGACTACTGTACCTACCAAGGCCACGTACAACGGAATACAGATTTCGGCTGAAAACTTCGATTACAGTCCGACTAATAAGGTAAAGGAATTACCTTTGGTAAAACCTGTAGCAAAAAAAAGATGTAGGTAGTTTTTAAACATTTAAATAAAATATACAAAACAATAAAAAGTAAAAGAAAGCTGCTTTTTCGCTGTGAAGGAAGCTCTGCGTGTAAGGAAGTTTGTGTGAAAACACAATCCAGGTGTTGAAGATCTTCATTTCGTTGCCCTTGTGGGATCCGAACCCAGGACAATGGAATGAAAGATAACTTCCGACTGACATTTTGGTGTCAGATCTTATTGAATATTTTAAGAGTAATCTGATAGAGTTACGTCTGACGTGGAAAAGGTCTTGCTACAATTTCGTCGAAATCACGACTTTTCTTGAAATCTTCATAAAAGGTTTAACTAGGTCAACATTGTCCAGACGTGTAGCCTGGCGATTTTTTTTTTAGCTCTGATGGGAGCCCAAGAATATTGACAATGCAGTTAGTGGGGCAGATAGGGAAAATAATTGGGGGCATTGTGCCATTGATGATACAAGCATGGCATTTGGCACACAGTCAGAGAATGTCTTAAGAAAGATATTTGGCTATAGGGCCATCACAGATATGTCCTTTGACAAAACATAGGTAAAATAACAAGCAATTTCCAAAATTGTCAAAATGGCTGCCATGGCTTGTTTTTCTACCTATAGTTTTGTTCAAAGGGCCCATACCCAAATACCTTTCTAATCACATACTCTGACTCTGTGCAAAATGCCATGCTTTTATCATCAAAATCACAGTCCCATCAACTATCTGTCGTAGTAAATAGAAAACAATTGCTTAGATTTTAGTTTGGATAGATCCAAGATCCAAGCTTGTTTGTTGACATACATTGGAAGAACTGACCAATCACAGGATAAACAAGATTTTCTCACTGGAATCCGAGGGTTGACTGGGAAGAATCCGAACATTCGATTGATTCACAGCAGAACTGAAATTATGATACTTTTTTAATTGCTATTGTAATTTTCCTCTTTATTGTTCATACTTCAAGGTTCTTACATTGAAGGGACTGGGACTTTTGATATCGCAGAGTCACACTGTCGTCTGGGAACCGTAGCTTACCATTGCTGGAGGGAAGAAAATAATCATCAGACACCACGGCAAAAATAGTTTTTCACGCCACACCCAAATTGTGGATTTGGCGCCAACGGCTGACTAAGCTTCAGTTTTCACCTAAATGGCTAACCACTAAAAGCAAATACTTGAAAACTATTAATTTATCTAAAAAAAGAACAAGACAACTGCTTTTTCAATTTCAGATGTAATTAAGGACGTACAGTTTAAGATTCAAAAGTAAAAGAGTATGAATGCAAACGATATTAACATGGACTTAACTAGACTGGAACCTGGCAAAATATGCGAACCTTTTTCGTTTTGTTTCATTTGTAAGAAAGCCTAACGCTTAACAATAAAATAAAAGTCACATAGGTAGGAATTAAATTTTACCAGATTTCAGTCCATTACACAGATTTAGGATCAGCGTTGGACAATTTACATCATCGAGATTATGTCTCTTTAACTATTCATCGGAAAACATAAAATACTGTCGACTGGTAAAACCAGCCTTCCCATCCAATCGTCGTTTCATGTGATTGTCTTTAATTATAATGTACATACCTTTAAATGTAATGATCTGCTATATTTATAGCTGCTGGCACTTTGATTGCCTATTCATTAACCACAGGTTTCAGATCAAGACATGTGAATAAGTTCCACTATATCATGAGGTAATAAAAAACACTTTTTGTTTTTGCTTGATAGTAGCCGACACTTTTATTGATTGCAGAATTCAATTGTTTGTTCATTACATCTATCTGCCAGCTTTCTGGTGTTTGTAAACCCCTATTTGTCTATTTTTATTTGCAAACGCTCGTTCTGTTAATTGTATTGTGATATAGCTATGCATGCAAGAAAAGGGGCTAATAATATAGGTTTTTCCGGCCAATTAACTGTTCATTCACTTCTGAAATCGGTCACTCATTAAATCCCAGTTGCTTGTCTTAAATCCCATTTCAATTCAACGAAAGTTCAATCGTTCTCATTGCCCGTGCATTTGGTTTTGAGAAATAGACGGCCGATTACGTTACCTGTGCATTCATTTACGCAAGCATACCTTTTCTAAATTGATTGCAGGTACAGCTAATTAGATTGACGGTTAATGAAAAAGAAACCCCTAAATGTATCTGGTGCCGATGGCATTAAACTAAAAGTGAAATAAAAGGGTGAGTGTTTGAAATTGCTCTTTAAAAGCGAAAAAAGAATTCTTGTAAATGAATCGGAATGGACATAAACGAAAGGTGCTGCTCCAGCACTTAACTGATTGAACTGAATAAGGAATTGCTCTGGTAGCAAAAATGAAACGCGTGTTTAGAGCGATTCTGAATTTCAGACACACATGAATTACCGATTTTCAGACGTGAATGAACATTTAAGGAAATTGGCCGGGAAAACCTATATAAAAAAAAGACTAGAATGAATTTAAAAAGAAAGGACTCATTGATGAATGAAAAACACGGGAAATTTTTGTACGCTGAATTGCACCATTTGCCAATCTGGATCGTCCCCCTTTTGCCTTTGAAATTTTTTATTTATTTTAAGAGATTGTCTGTGAGGAATCGAGGGTTTTGGCATTGACCACCATTAATTTGAAGACGGAACCTCATTCTAATGAAGCTCGCCGACCCAATTCTCAGATGAATATGCACCGCAAAGAAGGTAAAAGCGGCAAACATAAAAACAGAGAATTCTTTGTTCTTTTTTTTTCTGACAATGTCTGTGGAAGCCACCACTTCCCAAGAGTGTGTATTGTTGTTATTGTATACAGCACTTCATTCCAGGGTTTGTAACTTTACCCCCCCCCAAAAAAAAGAAGAAAAAACCACATCATAATAATTAAAAACAAAAAACAAAGAAAAAATGTCCCAAAGCCACATGTCCCCTGTTTTTTGGCCAATTTTTTGTGTGTGTGCGATATCTCCTTGAAAAGCTAATAACTAATGTAATGCTAGAATTTATAAATTCAATCGAAAAATGTATTGCCACAAACAAAAAGCACGTATTGTACCACCTTGAAAGGAAAAAATCATAGATTATAGTAATTCTCAACCAAAAATCCACACATTTTTCCAAGAAAAAAATACTGAATTCTCACAAAAATAATAGACTTTCCATTTTGAAATGTTCAAAGCTTGACATGAATTTATAAGACCTTATATTCTTCAGTACGTGTTCGTGAAAAAAGGAATACTTTCTACTCTATCTGCATAATTATGACATTATCACTGCATTTTACTGTGTTCACGATATTTGTTTTAACACCAATAATGCACAAGCACATTATTTATTCCCATTCATAAATAATGAACGATCACAAAGTAAAAAAAAATGTTCAACAATTTTACTCATAAAACACACTTCGCGCTATGTTGATGGTATGGGCCTCGCGCGAATTGTACTAAGTATCTCCTTATATGGATATTGACTCGCTCGTGAATGTGGCGCAGAACGCAGCGGTGCCGGTGTAGTGTGAATTTGGTTAGGAATCTACGAAATACGAACTCATTGGTACAGTACTGCGCATGCCTATAGGTGAAGGTAATTGTAAACGTTTACCCAATAAAAGGGTAAAAGGGAGAAGATTGCATAGGAGTCGAAATTTCATGTGACACCGGAAAGTGTTTAAAACCATCCAATCGGTTTTTTTTAACCGTTTAAAACCACCCACGTAAAAAAGAATTAGGAATGAGTAAACTAGTCTCAGTTATTTATGGATGATTTTTTATGTACAGGTGAACGATTAAACTTCGCAAACGCGAGTTGTAGAACAATGTGAACAGTCCTTTTTTTATCGGTCAAATGAGTTAAGACCTTAAAACGTTACAGCAACTCGAGTGTTCATGAGTTCAATATAAACTACTTAAAACTGGAACAGTTTTGATCCACGCAGGTGTCCACAATGTGCTAGATCACTAAAATGTACGTAAACACCTGATTAGTAAAGTGTGTTCATTCTTTGTTCGACAATTTAAATGTACGGCTACAGTTGGACAAGTGAAGTCATAATCTGAAACTTCTATTCAAAGATCTCTGCAAACGTTGCAAATTTCCCCCTTTTTACCCCACGTCGTGCTTTAGGTTACTGATAAGTACCAATGCTGACAGTCGCCACTGTCGAGTTCTCACCTGTCGTATCCTTCCTACCAAAGAATTTTGTCATGGCCTTTCGGAACTGCTTGTACTTCATGGCGTATATAACAGGATTCAGACAGCTGTTGGTCGACACCATGGCGACGGTGACGAAGAAGAGAGGTGATGTGAGGTCCACTGCCACGCCCAGGTTGAAGAGCAAGAAGGCGACCTCGTTGGGCGTCCAGCACACAGTGAACGCCACGCAGACGATCAGGAGGGTCTTGAAGGTGTTACGGCGAGCACGCATCAGCGACTCCCCCGGGCCCTCGGGAGCTTGGCCGGTAGATGGACCGGCAGCCTCCGGTCCGGGCTGGATTCTCGCCGCTCCCTTCTTCAGGACCACCGCGATGCGCACGTAGACGACCAGCATGATTGTGACAGGCAGGAGGTACGTCACGACGAACACAGCCACGCCAAGAGCTTCCGGATGAGCCACTAGCTTCTGCCTGCACTGACCAGCTTCATGGTAGCGAATGAAGACACCATAGCTAGTGAACATAAACGCCGACAGCCAGACAGCGAGGATTGTGACTATAGCGTTCTTACGAGTACCCAAAGCTCGGTACCTGAAGGGAAACACTATGGCCAGGTACCTCTCCAGGGTCAACGCCACCAGGTTGAAAGTGGACGATACAAACAGCGCCCAGTTGAAGTAACCGGACACCCAGAGCCTGCAGAGCAGCACCCCACTGGTCCCCGAGGGTAGCGGGTCGGGGATCGGTACCAGGCTGGTCAGCACAATCAGCAGGGATCCGAAGAGATCGATCAGTGCTTGGTTGAAGATGAAGGCGTTGGTCAAGGTGTGCATGAAGGGGACCTTAGCAATCACTAAGCACACCAGGCCGTTCCCGCAGATGCCAAGACTTCCTACTATGCTCTGGAAAATCGTCAGTGTAAGGCTGTCGTCACCCATGGCCGCAACTCCAACTTTGATTTCTCGTAAACCTCACCAAACTGTAGTGAACAAACAACTGCAGATCGCTCGATGAGAAAAAATACCAATCCTCAATATTGCACATTGGCTGCGGTCATAATTGTTAAATTTAATAAGCACCCATTCAGTTGAGCATTATCTCTTTATGTAATGGACATGGAGATTTTCATTTGCTTGCACTATACGTACGCAGTCGTACACAGAATGACGATAGATCGAGCACCCCTCATTTGTGCAAGCGAGAATGTAAAACGAAAGTTACCATGACAACCAATTAAGTAGGAGCGTACCTGTGAGCCTGGAAGACATTAAGGTAATTTGCCCGAGTGGTAAAAAAAGGACGGCCATTCAATCACGGACTTTAGTTGTTTTGCTGCAGTGGCGTAGCCACGGGGGGGGGGGGGACAGCCCCCCCCCCAGTCGCCCCCCACTGAGATTTTGAGTTTCTAAAAAAATTATCATTGATCTACATGACGCCCCCCATGAAATGTTCCAGTCCCCCCAGCGCCCCCCCCCCCCCCCCCCACTGAACAATTCTTGGCCACGCCACTGTTTTTCTGACCTTAAGGTCGCCGCTGTCAATCTGGCCGTGTATTTGTTGATTTGGGTCTTCAGAAGCGGGGCGCTCTGAACGCTTCGTCACTCACAGGAAATTAAAATTGAAAGAAGGGTCAAATTCAATAGAGCGTTCTAGTCTCGCCAGTCCAAGTTCACTGTCATGTGAACGACTCGTCTCGTCACAAACCCTGTATTTGAATTAAACTACTGAATACTGTGTTCGGGCGACATATCTTGCTGGGGTGACCATGTGGTGTCGCTTTTTTGATAACACGACCCTGAGGAGAAGGAATTTTACTGGCGCAAATGGTCCAGATCTATTGTTCTGGTTCAAAACATAGGAATACCGAAATGCGCATGGAGGCAGGATTGGTAAACTTGGGTCAGGTGACATTTTCGGTTTGTGCACAAGTCTAAAGGAAAGTCGCCCTATTATATCATTCAGTGTGTTTCTTAACCTTCTTGTTAATAGCGTGATCGATTGATGGCAGTTGAGGTCAACAAGTTTTTATAAATAAATAGTCATAAAACATCTTCGATATGTTATAAATTGTAATGATTTCTGTTCTTTCGAAATACCCGTTTGTAGTGCCCTTGGATGGGCTTAGTTGGAACACAACATTAATTCTAAAATGGAACGTGCTGTGTAAGCATGTTGGCCAAAGACGCTAGTGATCGATAGTGGACGGTGTACAGTGCATTACAATTATACCAGCGGGCCTACTCGTACTGACGTCTTTGTTATTTCGTTTCAGCGGTTTTTCTCTTTATTTTCTCCCGAAGGCTTTTGTAGGGAACCAATCAGCGAGAAAAGGCCCAATGGCTGCCCCAACTGTTGTTAACATACGCGCCACGTGCGGTAAGTAATCAAGCATCATCGCTCTCCTAGGGAACGAATCGGCGATCGAGAAAAGGTGCAATGACTCGCCCCATGGTTATATACATACATGTACGAGCTATAAAAAAACTGTGTTTGTTCGAATTTATACCGACGGTGTTATTTACATAAAACGACCCCGCCCCCATTGCTACGAAATGACCAAGACGTTAGTGAGAGAAAGTAAACAACAATAATACAAGGGCGCTACAGAACATTGCAACTTTCGCTTTTGATCGCTGACGTCTTGGCCTTAGATTATGAGAGTGCCTAGAAGGAAGACATTTGTAATTTGCTCAATTGATTACCAACTATGGTGGGGGAAAAGGCACTTTCAAAAGATATTTTCTTCCGAAAGTAAGCTTATACTCACAGTGTATACTCGAACTGGACCCAATTGACGTCAGAAATCATAGAGATTGCCATTCAAACATGGACTTTATACTGACTTGAAAGCCGCTGTCAATTTGGCCGTGTAATGAAAATTTGGGTCTTCAAAACGCGGACTTTCCGAAAGATACGTCAATATTAATTATCTTTCCCTTAACAAACCCCAAAGAGTAAATTAAACCGTTTGTTTGAAGACGGTGCTCGTGAAAACGATCACATGCTCAGAAACGGGGCGCCCTGAACACAATCGCAAAGATTTGTCACTTAGAGGAAATTACAATCTAAAGCAAGTGACAATTCTTTCCAATTTTCATAATGGATAGCATCTTGACCTCCAACCAATAGAGCATTCTGGTCTTGCTAGTCCACGTTACTTTTATGTGAACGTCTTGGTACCAAACACTGACTATTCTGGCGACTCTGGTCACATATCCCGTGTTTGAATCTACCCAATTGCTATCTGCTTTATCGATTGAATGGAAGTTTATGTCAACATAGTTTTTTTAAATGTATAAAGTCATAAAATATTTTCTATATGTTGTAAAAGTGTAATGATTTCTTTTCTTTCGAAATACCCATTTATATTGCCCTGGATTATATGGGCCTAGTCGGGACACAACAGAAATGCCAAAATAGGACGTTACACGTACGTTGTAGATCCTAGAGAGGGTACCCTGATGTGCTGTATTCTCCTAAAATCTCGCATGTTTTTGAGGCCCACTACTCGCTCTATGTAAACAAAAAGTTGCTGTTCTGATAATGTCTGTTGCACCTACCACATAGCACAGTTTATTTTCTGCTTTATTTGACCTTGGGAGATGCCGACACAAACAATAATAATCCAAAAAAGGCAAAACAAGAGCCCAAGAGCTCTATATACAAAATACCCGGTTCATATTCTAAATGTCACCACTGCGCATTTTATTTTGTTATGTGAGCCTACATGTTTATTAAGTTGTTGCCAGATGCCTCAGGGACGTTTGACACTAATTTCATAACAATGGAGTGTTTCCCAACTAATAACCAACCTTGAAACAGAGAAATCTTAGACGACTTCTTTACTTCTGATAATGTCTGTTACACCTACATAGCGCATTTTATTTTCCTATTCCGGAACAGCTTTTTTTTTTACCATAGGAGATGCCGACACAAAAGCAAATAAAAAACAATGCAAAACATGGGCCCGAGAGCTTTATATTTCCCTGTTCAATTTTTAAATGTCTCCACTGCGCATTTTATTTTATTATGCCGAGCCTCAATCAAATTGTTGGCAGATGCCTCAGGGTCGTTTTACCCATCTTCATAACAATTGAAAGTAACGATCGCGTAACATGTCACATTTTTTGAAGCAGGATACCAAAGAATCTTTCTTTTTTTTAGGGTTCATTAAATTGTAAAGGGGGTAATTTCAATTGCTGTTTTAGACTCGACAGATGTTAATTTCATTCTCTGTTTTAAACTTGCCAGAAGTTAACCGAAATTGTTATTATTTTGATCATTGAACGTACATGCTAACAAAAAGTCCTGGCGAAAACATAATTATTCTGGCTCTATCGGGGTTTTATTAGAATATTGCTATTTTTGACACGTATATCAAGACTGAGTAGTTATTATTTCGCCATTTGCAGATGTGAACATTTGGAATGTTCAATACAGGCGAGATCGTTTTGAAATTAAAGAAAAATTATAATGATGCTGTTCCAGATAACTGAGGGCGCTGTTGTCGTGATGCCACTGAAGGCAGAAACTATAGTTTTATAGTATAAAGACAGTACTTGCTTAATGAAAACATTTGTATTGAATGTTTTCTAATAATTTACCTTGATGTACTGAATTAACAATCAATAACAACACGCCTCAAACGGAACATTCCCCAAAACCTACCCCTGCCCTAAAATATAAACCAGGTGAGACTTTAACTGGTTCATTTTGATTTCTGTGAAGCCCCTTGAGCGTCAATTTTGACGGATTTGGCGCTATACAAGAATGAGTTATTATTATTATAATAAGGTAGAGTAAATTTGAACACAAAGATGAATTTCAACAATTTCATTTAGATAAATTCTGTTGTGTTGGTCCTTTTAATATCGCAGGTGAAAAACGGACTTTGACTAATGCTCAGGTGATCTCAGTCGACCTAAAACATAACGAGATCACACTCCGATAAGATTACACAGGAAAGAAATGGTAGTTATAAAAAGTCATCAGAGAGAGATAGAGACCAAGATATAAATTGTCTCCCTAATGATCAGTGTCTCTCTAATAACTCAATTTGTACCGTTTAATGTTATTGATGTAATCATGATTACCTACGATCAACAACGACCACATTGAGCGGTGTGTTCTATGGTGATCACAAATAAACTTGTGCACATTTATTATGTGAGTTAATTAAATCCGTCTTGAATGTTCTTGTTAAAAAAAACCCCAATTTTTCCTGTAACTCTATTTAAAACAATACTAGCAAAGATGTTTGTAATTCTTCAGCTGTTATTTATAATGTTACTCAACACCACAGCACTCCGAATCAAAGCTTAAACAGGTAGTGAGTTTTAAAAGGGGATGAATTAAAAAAAAACAATGTTATATTTATGCTTTTGAGCCAATATTCAAGGCCTCAAGATTCTTTCGGTATTGATTTTCTTCCGTAGATTGAATCATCTACTCCACAACTAAACGGTGCTTAGAAAGGGTATCGTAATATGGCAGAGCATCCTGGATCAACTGCTGGATTTCAGGTTTGATAGTATCTGTACCCTCCGTGGCTGCACCAGAGGTTTCTTCATTGGTGTGGAAACATGTGCTCTCAAAGGCCGACTTGTACATGCCGACTTTCACGCCATTGCTCCAAAGGACCTTGGGCATCAACCAGTTGGAGGGTAGCTCGTCTTTGACCTGATCCCAACGGAGAAGCTCTTGGCTGAAAGGCATCCCGGTGGCTTCGCAGATCAGTCGCACGGCTTCCGCGGGTTTGGCCAGAAGGTCAGCGGTGTCTAACACCACGGGCGCGGTATGGCCGAGGGTTTGGGTCACGTAGTCGTACACGCCAGCCAAGCCTTTGTGATAGCTGTGATCGACCATGGAATATCTCACGTCCTCTGGAAAACACCAGAGCGATTTGTAATGAGATGTGATTGATTTGAAAGGGTGGCGCATCAGGAAGACGTGAGTGTATCCATCGGGTATCATCTCCATCCTGCCGCCCAACGAGTCGGCCATCTCTTTGCCGAGAATAAACGATTTGCCAGGATGCGGCTGCTCGTACATGGCCTTCCAGGATTGGATGTTGAAACTAGACTCTGTCTCAATGTCGACAAGGTCCTTCCGATCACCCAAGGCTTCGGGTACCTCGTTCAAGCCTGCTAATAGAAGGTACTCGTTGAGGACCAGCGAATCACGAGCCTGTGACAACGACCTCATCAGCACGGTGGAGAGAGACCGCGGCACGCTCCAGATTAGGATTCTCTTCTGCGTTGCCATTGATAGTTTGAAAATCTCCGGGCCTTTTCGTCAAAATAAAAATATTGGTAGGATTATCTCCTGCAATGCAACCAGAAGAAGGGATAAAAGTGATTAGTAGTGTAAGTCAGGGTTCGACTTTAGCGGTAGCCCGCTAGCAAAATGCTATTGACAGCGGCGGGCTAGTCAAACTATTCCGAAAGTAGCCCGCCTGGCGAGTCAAAAATTATTGGGCTACGGCAAACATGAAAGGACAGGAAGAAATAAATCATTATATTCTGCAAACGATGACACCTTTTCCAATGTATTGCAAACTGGACAGTTCAAGACAGCTATATCTGGTGTAACAGCGTATACGCCGTTACCGTACCATGCCCGTGACATTCAGACAGCGAATGTAGGGAACAGGTCAACTCGTACCCAGGTCAGATCGTACCCATTAAAAGTTTGACACAGAATTTTCAAATAAAATAAAATAACGAATCATTAAGGCTGTCTTTTTCTTCGAGGAATAATTGATGTAGGTTACATAAAACATTGTTCACTTACTCATGTGCAATGTGACGGGAAGCAACACAGAGAGGGACAACGCACAGAATGCTCGCGATCTTAATATACCATCATTACCTGGTAACCACCATCACAAATACACCATAACGATATCCATTATGACTACAATTGTTGGGTACCAATTGGATGACGATATCTGTTGAACTTTGTATTTTGAAATATCGACAAGACAATCAATTAGCAACATAACGATTGTGATGACCGTGGTCTCCCTAGACGTACTACTGGCATTTGTGTACCTATCGTCGGGCGGGTAATCAGGGTTTTGTTTGCCCGTTGCAGTGGCGAGCAAAGGGCACCTGGCACCCGTGCTGAAAGGAAGACAGGGTGTTTCTCACCGGACACCCAGTTTCCGTAAAATCAAAAAGGTTCTTTGTTGTTGAAAACAGTCTTCGATCGTGAACATGTACAGGGTTCCTTATGGGGTAGAAAACATAATAGATCAACAGACCCCATAAGGAAGTCTATAGAAATCAATCTACCCCATAAGGAAAACGCTATTGAGTATGATATTTCAATAGAAATAACAAAAGAAGGAATATTGAAGGAAATTGACGTGTAAGGGTGCACGCCTGTGAATAGGCCTAAACCCATCCACCGAGATCATGAATAAAAGTTATACCCTCAAAATATTCTATTATTAGAGAGTTCTGAGAGCCATAAAATTGGGGAATTGAAAATAATATGGCAATGAACCCTTGCCCAGACATGGGACTTCCAATTCTGAGCATTTTGGATGCAATTGAGCTCGAAAGAGGCGCTATTTTTTTCATGTTGTGGAGGAATCGTTTTTCAAGATGGCTGCTTTTCTGCTTTGGGAAAAATAGGGGTCGTCTTCTTTGGGTGAGAATTTCTCGAAAAGTCAATGGTCAACCCACCAAAAATGTAAAATAAAATAAAAGATGAAATATTGATCGCCATTTCTCTGTGCAGCTTTAATACATGTGAGAGTTCTGAGTATTTTAAAAAGAATTTAGAAGTATGGGCATTTAGCACTAGTGTCTATGGGAATTTTAATACACTGTAAGGACACTCCGTATTTTTTTCGTCATGGAACAATTTTTGTTTTCAAAAAGAGGGCGCGCTACACAAACACTGCTCACCACGCTACGACGTCTGGCCATTCGAGATGTAAACACAGTTATTGTGAAAACGGGAACTCAAGATAAACACATTGTATTGCGATGAAATTTCCTGTAATATTTTGCCGTGGTATTTGACACGAAACTTTAGAAAATTGACAGGACTCACCGAAGAATGAATGTAATATAATTAAAAGAAAATGCAGTATGAAGGACACTCCGTATTTTATCGTCGTGCAATAATTTCTTACAAAAGAGGGCGCGCTACACAAACACTGCTCGCCGCGCTCCGCCCGACGTCTGGCCGTTCGAGATGTAAACACAGTTATTGTGAAAACGGGAACTCAAGATAAACACATTGTATTGCAATGAAATTTCCTGTAATATTTTGCCATGGTATTTGACACGAAACTCTGGAAAATTGACAGGAACCGCCGAAGAATGAATGTTATATAATTTAAGGAAATTGCAGCATGAAGGACACTCCGTATTTTCTCGTCATCATTACTAACACATTGTCGTAAACGTTGGTATCTGAAAATTTCTATGCAAAACCCCCTACACCGGGGGTTTGTGTAGAAAATATCAGACGGTTATTTATTACTCTCCATCACGATCAATTACCTTCGGCATCGACCGCAAGCCCCATTTGAAAGAAAAAGTTAAGACCGGATCAAGGTACCAACTTTTACGACAACGTGCTGGTAATGTTTGCTAAAATTTTACCAAACATCTGAAATCTGAAATTTTCTGAAATTTTCCAGAAACATCTGATTGTGCCTTATTTTGTTAATGAATGCAAGGTTAACCCCATACAATTTAAAATTGTTCATAAAAATCTGATGTTGCCCAATTTTATTCAAAAAGCAAGGTTAACCCCTTACAAACTGCAATTTTCCAGAAACATCTGATTTCGCCCAATTTTGCATAAAAAAAATGCAAGGTTAACCCCTTACAATTTGAAATTTGTCATAAACATCTAATTTTGCCCAATTTTACTAAAATAGCAAGGTTCATCCCTTACATCTGAAATTTTTTCAGAAATATCTGATTTTGCCCAATTTTGCCAAAATGTGCAAGGTTCACCCCATAAAATTTGAATTTTTTCATTGAAATTTGATTTTGCCCAATTTTGCTAAAAATGCAAGGTTAACCCCTTACAATCTGCACTTTTCCAGAAAAAAATTAAAGGTTAACCCCTTTAATTTGACATTTTTCATAAGCATCTTATTTTCAGATGTAAGGGGTTAACCTTGCTTTTTGAATGAAATGGGGCAAAATTAGATGTTCATGAAAAATTTCAAATTGTAAGGGGTTAACCTTGCATTTTAAGCAAAATTTTTCAAAATCAGACGTTTCTGAAAAATTTCAGATGTAAGGGGTTATTCTTGCTTTTTGAATAAAACAGGGCAAAATTAGATGTTTATGAACAATTTCAAATTGTAAGGGGTTAACCTTGCATTTTTAGCAAAACTGGGAAATATTAGATTTTTATGAAAAATTTCAAATTGTAAGGGGTTAACCTTGCATTTTTAGCAAAACTGGTCAAAATCAGATGTTTCTGAAAAATTTCAAATTGTAAGGGGTTAACCTTGCATTTTTAGCAAAATTGGTCAAAATCAGATGTTTCTGAAAAATTTCAGATGTAAGGGGTGAACCTTGCTTTTTGAATAAAACTGGGCAAAATTAGATGTTTATGAACAATTTCAAATTGTAAGTGGTTAACCTTCCATTTTTTTTGCAAAATTTGTCAAAATCAGATGTTTCTGAAAAATTGCAGATTGTAAGGGGTTAACCTTGCTTTTTTAGCAAAATTGCTCAAAATCAGATATTTCTGAAAAATTCCAGATGTAAGGGGTTAACCTTGCATTTTTAGCAATTTTGGTCAAAATCAGATATTTCTGAAAAATTTCAGATGTAAGGGGTTAACCTTGCATTTTTAGAAAAATTGCTCAAAATCAGATATTTCTGAAAAATTTCAGATGTAAGGGGTTAACCTTGCATTTTAAGCAAAATTGGTCAAAATTAGATGTTTATGAACAATTTCAAATTGTAAGGGGTTAAACTCTCATTTTTTAGCAAAAAAGGGCAAAATCTGATTTTTCTGCAAAATCGCAGATTGTAAGGGGTTAACCTTGCATTTTTAGCAAAACTGGTCAATATCAGATTTTTATGAAAAATCTCAAATTGTAAAGGGTTAACCTTGCATTTTTAGCAAAATTGCTCAAAATCAGATGTTTCTGATGAATTTCAGATGTAAGGGGTTAACCTTGCTTTTTGAATAAAACAGGGCAAAATTAGAGGTTTATGAACAATTTCAAATTGTAAGGGGTTAACCTTGCATTTTTAGCAAAACTGGGCAATATTAGATTTTTATGAAAAATTTCAAATTGTAAGGGGTTAACCTTGCATTTTTAGCAAAATTGGTCAAAATCAGATGTTTCTGAAAAATTTCAGATGCAAGGGGTTAACCTTGCTTTTTGAATGAAATGAGGCAAAATTTGATGTTAATGAACAATTTCAAATTGTAAGGGGTTAACCTTGCATTTTTAGCAAAATTGGTCTAAATCAGATGTTTCTGAAAAAATTCAGATGTAAGGGGTTAACCTTGCATTTTTAGCAAAATTGGTCAAAATTAGATGTTTATGAACAATTTCAAATTGCAAGGGGTTAACCTTGCATTTTTAGCAAAATTGCTCAAAATCCGATGTTTCTGATCAATTTCAGATTGTAAGGGGTTTACCTAGCATTTTTAGCAAAATTGGTCAAAATTAGATGTTTATGAACAATTTCAAATTGCAAGGGGTTAACCTTGCATTTTTAGCAAAATTGCTCAAAATCCGATGTTTCTGATCAATTTCAGATGTAAGGGGTTAACCTTGCATTTTTAGCAAAATTGGTCAAAATCAGATATTTCTGAAAAATTTCAGATGTAAGGGGTTAACCTTGCATTTTTAGCAAAATTGCTCAAAATCAGATATTTCTGAAAAATTTCAGATGTAAGGGGTTAACCTTGCATTTTTAGCAAAATTGGTCAAAATTAGATGTTTATGAACAATTTCAAATTGTAAGGGGTTAACCTTGCATTTTTAGAAAAATTGCTCAAAATCAGATGTTTCTGATGAATTTCAGATGTAAGGGGTTAACCTTGCTTTTTGAATAAAACAGGGCAAAATTAGATGTTTATGAACAATTTCAAATTGTAAGGGGTTAACCTTGCATTTTTAGCAAAACTGGGCAATATTAGATTTTTATGAAAAATTTCAAATTGTAAGGGGTTAACCTTGCATTTTGAGCAAAATTGCTCAAAATCAGATGTTTCTGAAAAATTTCAGATGCAAGGGGTTAACCTTGCTTTTTGAATAAAACTGGGCAAAATTAGATGTTTATGAACAATTTCAAATTGTTATGGGTTAACCTTCCATTTTTTAGCAAAATTGGTCAAATCAGATGTTTCTGAAAAATTGCAGATTGTAAGGGGTTTACCTAGCATTTTTAGCAAAATTGGTCAAAATTAGATGTTTATGAACAATTTCAAATTGTAAGGGGTTAATCTTGCATTTTTAGCAAAATTGCTCAAAATCAGATGTTTCTGATCAATTTCAGATGTAAGGGGTTAACCTTGCATTTTTAGCAAAATTGGTCAAAATCAGATATTTCTGAAAAATTTCAGATGTAAGGGGTTAACCTTGCATTTTTAGCAAAATTGCTCAAAATCAGATATTTCTGAAAAATTTCAGATGTAAGGGGTTAACCTTGCATTTTTAGCAAAATTGTTCAAAATTAGATGTTTATGAACAATTTCAAATTGTAAGGGGTTAACCTTGCATTTTTAGAAAAATTGCTCAAAATCAGATGTTTCTGATGAATTTCAGATGTAAGGGGTTAAGCTTGCTTTTTGAATAAAACTGGGCAAAATTAGATGTTTATGAACAATTTCAAATTGTAAGGGGTTAACCTTCTATTTTTTAGCAAAATAGGGCAAAATCAGATTTTTCTGC